TAAAATTATCTTTTTTTTAAACGTTTGTCTGCTTTTCAATGTGTGGATTGTGCATGTAGTGAAGCGACAACTGCTTGATTGGCCATAAACTTTAAGTATCAACAAGTTCAAATGTAGAAAAGAGGATACCAGTGCAATTTTCAATAAAGGGAAAATTGCAATGACTAGATTTGTGGATGTCCTCTTTCCTGCATACCTTTCTTTATGTGAAACAAAGCACTCCTGTTCATTCAGTCTTTATCACGATCTAAGTCTTAATCCGGCCATTGAGCTTACTGGACCAGTGTCAGATCAAGTCTACATGTCCATTGTAAAAACTTGTCTTATTGGCTCTGGATCAGACTGTGATTGTGTAAGATCCTGTCACAAAGGGTTGGTAGGGATACATCTGCAAAGTAGAAGCAATCCTTGTTGAAACGGGTCCATCAATCACACCATCATGTCTATTGTTTTGGCTTTTGGTTATCTGTTAGACTTTGCAATTCTCAGATCGACATTATGACAATCAGTACTACTGCTAGCCTTAGCTTTAGGCATGTTTTTCAAGTTGCAATCATGCTGTCTTTTGAAACAATTAAAAGAATACACCATTTGACACCATTTAACACCATCTGGTTAGCTTGTGGCTGTGCATGCTCTTTCTCTCTGTGTGTAATTGTGGATCACAGGCTGCATCCCACTGTGTTAAAATATGTAGATTTGTCAACATACTAACAAAAGCAACTTTTTATGGCTGTTGTATAAAATAAATTTGTATTATTGGAATTTGCATGTTTACAAAAAGCCTTCTTTATCACGCCTGAATGTTATTGGCCTCACGCACATTGTACATCTCTTGAAATAATTCCTCCTCATATCTTTTACATAAAGTATTTGTAAAATGAAAAGCCCCGAAACCAATGCCTCAGTGTATGTTTTCTGTGTTGCAATTAAGAAAAGTGACATATTTAGTTCGTCAATCAAATGCCAAAATTGTCAGAACTATTAGCCCATTTTCCTTAACATAAAAACATGAGGTTTTCACGCGTTGGAGCACTTGAGTTTATTTTCAGAGTCTTTAAAAGTAGGTCATAAGCATGAATATTACAGCATCTGGTCGACAAAGTGATGCTGAAACAAGTTTTTGTGTGATATAGGATTTATTTAATCTCCAAACCAACTGAGACCAATTAAACTGAAAAACTGTCCTTAACTACGGTGTCATCCATACTAAATATGCTTCCATTTTTTAGAATGTGTGTCATTAAAATATCTTGTAAGTGATCTTGCATCTATGAGTAACCTAGGGCCAATTAAGATTGAAAGGTATTTTAATGCTTTGATGATTGCATTTACTGTCTGTGGAAAAACATTGTTGGCATGCAGTTCTCTTTCCATATTACAGGCTTTTAAAGGCTTGTGTCCATGTCTTGATGATTACTATTTTCCAAACCTCTCATAATGCATTTGCCTTATAGCATTTTTGATGTAATTGTACGCATTAGCTTTAAAATGCACTTCTCTATCTTAAATATGTGATCTTCAGGTTATGTCTTCAGGTTTCAGGATTCTGTGATGCTTATACTCTACCAATAATAATGAGTATGCTCATGTTTCAGCTTATTGCTTAACAGTTCATAGAGAGGACGGACGCCTCATCTCCTTCTTAAATTTTGATAGCATTAGCAAAAGGCAGAAAGAAAGACGGTATTAAAGAAGCACAAATTAGAGCAGGAATTAGACAAAGTCACACTACATGCAGAAAACCTGGTAGATGTTTCAAACACATATTCATGGTACCAGTACTGAAACAGATAGACAGTATTTTCTGTTAGAAATACAGATCAGGTCAGTGGTTGATGTTATTTTTTTTTCTTCTTCTTCTCCAGGTTCAGTTGCTCTTGCGTGGGCAGTCTTTTTATGCAGGGGCAGAAACTGAGAGCAGTTGCTGCACATGTGCACCACAGTGCTCACAGTGTTGCCACCCCCACAGGATTCTGGAAGTGTAAAATCTCTCAGCCAATCCAACACAGAGCTATGTTCAACAATTCTAATATTTCTGATATCGATCTGGGCAGTATTTGACTTGGAAAAGGGAAGTGCTTACTTTTAACTGGAGCCTGGCTGATGTGGGCACTGATATCAAAGGGGATCAGAATTATAATTATCATAACTATTAAGCACTCAACAGGACACACTTTTTGAAGACAGTCTAGTTTAACTCAAGGATTATTCTCTGCTTGGAGAAGCTCTAACAGAACATATCAGAAAATGTGCTGGTGTTGAAAATGATGTTTGGTCTTCATTGGCTGATAACCAATAAAATGTTAAGGCTCTACTACAGAAATGGTCTTAATAGAATGAAAATATGTCTTGATTTGTTGAATCTGATCCTTTCTGAGAAGGATTTGTCCCAACTTACTAGAAAAATTGTGCATCAACAGACTGAGGACACTACGTTGGCGAGATGTGATATAGTGAGTTTATAGTCTCACACAGAAACAGAGCAGTGGGCATGCTGACAGTGCTTACATTTGCACTTGGTCTTGGTTGTTTTAAAATGGACAGAACCAATCCAGGGCAGATTAGCCTGATCTGCATGAATATTTCATTCAGTGATGTTTTAATTTGGGTTTTTGGCAGCTCTGGAGATTGATGCTGCCACTGTGACTTCCAGCCAAGTGCACTTCAAAGCATGGATTGAGCTCAGGACTCATTCAGAAAGAGACGCAGGCTTAGCAGCAGCTACTACAACTTGACTGATTTAGCCTTGCATGTCAAGGAAGTCTTGAATCTTATAGTGAAATATCATGAAGAGGCTGAGGTCAGGGTGAAAAGACAGCTATGATTGATTATAAATTGTACCGTTTAACTGTCCTGCAAACCAATAGTTTTCCCTCTTTGTCTACAAGTCCAGTACCTAAAAAAAGTTGCAATGCTATTGATGGTTGGCAAATCATTTAAACCCTCTAGCTGACTGAAAAAGTGCAAAAACAAGACATGAAATGTTAAAATTGAAACATTTAAACATTATATAACATCATTTCAAATTTAATTCCAGCAATATGTCTTATCAAATTAAAGCATGGGCATGTGTACCATGTGCATCACCTCTTTTCACATCACTAGTAATATTTGGGAACCACTGGGACCAGTTTTTGAAGTTTTCCGAGTGAAGTGTGGTCCCATTCTTGCCTTATTCTGAATTTTAGCTGTTTCATACACTGGGGTCTCCTTCGCTGTGTTTTTTATTTAATGATGCCCTAATTTTTTTAGCAACTCACAGCTGCCTGTTAAACGTCACCAGTATTCTTTTACTCACAGGACCACTGAAGAGTCATGTCTGTTTTCAACGCAGTGCTGCCTGAAGACTCTGAGATAAGATCCATCTAGAACTGGTTCTGAGTCTTGTCTCTTGTAAGGAGAGATTTCTCTATATTCTCAGCGTTTTTTAATTATGTATTACTCGCCGCAGATGATGAAATCTCCAAAATCTTTGCAGTTTCTTGAGAACTATGTGATCACAGAGTAGTGAGCCTTTTCTCCTCTTCACTGCTGAGACATCCAGCCTCTCTGGAAAACCTTTTTCATGCAAAGTCAAGCTACTAACCTGCTGCAAATCAGGAAGTGTGAATGTTAATGTTAGATGTTTTTCCAGGTGTTGTTTATAAGCACTTTTAGTGTTTTGTTGTCCACGTCCCACCTTTTTATGAAGGTTTTTTCAATTTAAAAAGAGCATATATTTAAAAAAAAAATGTATAAAAAAATGTTCCAACCTTTTTATATTTCATCTTGCACCTTTTTTCTATAAAATATGTGGTTTAGATTATTTGCAAACTATCAAATTCTGATTTTAATTAACATTCTGTATAGCATCCCATCTTTTAAGGATTTGGAGTTGTACCAAATGGATGTGTTTCTTTTTTTTCTTTTTTTTATATGAGGAGTTATTACATATCATGTCTTCTGGGATACTTAAAGGATTTAGCTGTAAAACTGCTTACTCCTACTTCTTGTTTACTCATGACAGAGATCGGCAAGTACAGCTCGTCTCACCCAGTAACCTTTGATGAGTCAAGGCTGCATTACTTCCCAAAAGAAGGATACTGTCTGTGGTTTTATGATCAGGACTTGAGCGAAAGTAACCCTCTAAATAGTAAGAGAATATCGTACCGTATTTATTTAAAACGCTATTGTGTTGTATGCAGGACGGGTGCCAAAAACAAGCAAATCGTCTGTGTCCATGTGGCATGCTGCCGCTTGAGTGTTTGATGAATGTGATGCTACAGGTCAACAAAGGACCTCTGCTGTCCTATTCAGCTGGGCATTCAGGCCAGGATCAGCAGTCTGTGGAGGGGCCTCTGATGCATATGTGCCTCTAGCTGCCTCATCTCTGCAAACAGGAAAGGCTCGACGGCTGGCCTCAGCTCTCTGCTGACTCCTCTATTGTATGGGGCCATTTTTGCGGGGCAGGCTTTGTGCACTGCATTTTGGGATCTGCCTCCCCATCCTCCAGGCCCATCTGAATATCACAGGCAGGCTGATTCAGGGCAACGCAGAGGTGCCACCTCAGCTTGAACTCATTAAAATATGGCAATTTAAAGCACTTGGCTGCTTTACAGTAATGACTGTTTTTTTTGGCACAATAATAAAAGAAATGTCTTTTGTATTTTGAAGATTAGTGTCGTACTGTGGTTTTATAGAAAGAGTTGTATGGCAAGGCTGATGGCTTCTTTGTTTGGCAAACCTGGGAGTGGTTTTTTTTTTCCCCCTGGTACACGGTAGCAGTGTGTCTGGCTAATGTGCACAGACCTAATTCCCTGCAGGCAACTGATTGTGGGCTCTATTTCTCTTCTCCTCTCTCCCTGATTAACGGGTGCAGTGACAAACAGACCAGGGAAGTGAAGGGAAGCAGCACCAGGGAGGGGAGGAGGGCTGGTGATGATGAGGAGGAGTGTGTTGGTGGTGCTGCCTCTCATGCTGCTGCCTCTGCCCTGCTTTCTTAGCCGGTGTTGTTGTGCTGTGAGCGATAGCCTGATGTGTGTCTGCCTGGTCAGAAGCTGGGATTTAGCCTTGAGGCATTCCCCATTGTCCCACTTTCACTGTCCCCTCTTTCAGAAGCACTTTCCCTTTGTACAGTCGCACTTAGGGTACATATGGCTACTTACTGCTTTTCCATTTATTAAAAAAAAAGCATGTTGCCTTGGCCCCAGCTTACCCAGCTTGAGCACATTTCATAACATTTAAGACCATGCTATCATTGTCTGTCATTTCAGTTTTCACAAAGTTCACACGACCCTGCTATATTGCAAAGTATTGCGAAAAAGAGAGACCTACAGTTGTTTGTATTTTTCCGCCATTCTTGTGTTTGGCTTTCAAGTGTCAGGGGAGCAAATTTCAAAGGCTTATCACCGTATGAAGGATATGTGACAGGTTTTAAATCTTTCATTATATTAATGTTGTCGTGGATTAGGCCTTGAGGGGATTTCCTTTCAGTGAACCTCTTTTATGCCCCCCTTTATGTGGCACATCTGTCTGACTGCTTGCCTGTCTGTGTCTGGTATGAGCTGCATTGTTACGTTGCAGTCGCTTTGGGGCTAACATCTGATGTCTCCAGAAGGAGCTTGTTTAAAAAAAATACAGGACTCAAGGCTTCTTTTCTGCTTTTTTGGCTTTACAGTGTACCCTTGTGGTTTCAGGTTCTCTTCTGTTCTTGATTTGGGTTTTCTCTGGTCTAGGGGAAGGTATTTTTACATCACTTAGGATAGCATGACTGTCAGTCCTGAACCATCCTGTTCTGTGTGCTGAAAACTGATACAGTTTTTGGTTACATGCTGAGTGGGTGGATTTGAATGTGAGTTTCATGAGCAGTGTATGTGTGAAAGACTTACAGTGGTGAAGGTAAAGGGTGTAAAAGGTCAGTTTGCATGTTTTGTTTCATGGTTATTTTCGTGAGTTTGTGTTTGTGTGTCAAAGAATGAGCACAGTAGGTTGTATCATAGTAGGTCAGGGGATTGTTTGATCCATTGAGGTGCGATTAGTGTAGACACTGATCTGACCCTCATCCGACTGACAGTAAAGGGGGGGGGGGGGTTGACCTTGATTTGCCGCATCCAGACTCTTGTGACCTCACTGGTTTTGCGCCCCCTCCAGCCCACACCCTGGTCCACTCCCATAGATGGGTTTTTATAGACTTGCTTCCATGCTGTGACTTTTTAGGTCATTAACCCTGAATAGAAACCTTACCGCTCTTTGTGTTACGATGATGATGATGATGATGATGATGATGATGATGATGATAATTAGTTTGAGACTTTTCTTTGTAAATTAACATTGGGTTCTCTCTGCTATATGAATTCAATTTATAATAATAACAACAACAACAACAACAACAATAACAATAATAATAATAATCATTTTTTAGTAGTAGTAGTAGTAGTAGTGGTAGTGATGTTATTGTCATTATTATTATTGATTATTGATTGATTATTACTGTAACTTGTTAGCAGTACCACATCTCAATAAGTCCACTGTTGTAGGCTCTCCTTTACTTTTCACCTATTTAATTTTTTATATTTTTTATCGTCAGTATTATTTAGTCAATCAATTTTCCTTTCAACTTGACCCAGAGTCTACAAGGGGACTATAAAGGCTGAAATTTGTCAAAATTGGTATTGGGATTGGTAGTTTGGTTGTTTTATTTGACATGACTGTCAAGATGTTAAGGAAGGACACAACCATAAACTGATTTGCACACACACTCAATGCATTCAAGGCATTAGCTGAGTCCTGGGGTTCCAGTCAGAGGGGAGTTGACAGGTTGGGGGGCAGTGAGGAGGCGTTGTTATGCCTTCTTCTCTAATCCCTGCATTTAGTTTCTATTCCCAGCAGCGACTTCTTAATCTGCGCCTAATAGGATTTGTGAAGCTTTTGTTTTATTTTTTTATTGCTAGAATGTGTGTGACCTGCCCAATGTGGCTTGACAAAAGTAAAATGTAGTTGGAAAATTGCCCTGGTTTGTTAATTTAGGTACAAAAAGCAGAAATAATCTTTCATAATTTTGATGTCAGAGTTGTTAGATGTATCATAGGAGGAGAAGTAAGTGTATTTTGATGTAAAAAAAAAACATCCTTCATTGTGTGTTTTACTGAGTGTATTGGAAAGTCAATGGATGGCTTCAGACGGAAAATATCATCCCTCAGGTCATGCATCCTGGAGGCCAAATAGATCTAGATTGCTTCCAGCATAATAGCAAAGTGAATTTCCAGCTATTTGGTACATTACATCTCCCGCTTTCTAACATTTTGTTTCCTCATACTGTCTCTATGAAACCTTATCAAAAGACAACCCATATGAAACAAACAACAAAATAAAACTCAATAACGTAGTTCAGCAGTAAGTTTCCTCCACTTTACTATGGGCTTTTTATATGGTTCATCATCTTGAAAAACAATAAGGCAACCAAGTTTGAGCCATGGCGGCTGTCTGTCATCGATTTTGGAGTTTGATCTAAGGATACATTGACTTAGCTTGCCATGACTGATCCAAGTGTTGCTCAATCGCACCTCAAGGAAGAGAACAGAGAGTGAATACATGAATACCTCATTAGTGTGCAATGTGTTGCTTAGCTGGCCTACTTAATCTCTCCAGAGAACCACCTCATTTGTTGCCTGGAATCTCTCCCCTCCATCCTTCGACTGTAGTGCAGAGCAGTTTGATGTAGGTGAACCAAACTCACCATAATACCAGATACCATAGCGTTACATTACATGACCAAAAAATCACAACTTTTAGTTCTTTGTCTTATCTCCATGAGTAGAACAATTTTAGGCTAAGAACATGAGAAGCTCCCCTTTAACATTTGTACCACCTTCCTCTGCCTTTATCAGTTATCTCCACACGATCAGACACAACAAAAGACAAACTAAGAAGTATTAACAAACTGACTATTCAACCTCAGCTATTAATCCTTTCAGTACCCTTCAACAAATGGCCCCAGTTAGTAAATGGATCTGTCTGGTGGGGGGTTTAATCCTGATGTAGATCCCTTATTGGATGCTACAGTCTTATACTAAGACACGATCTGTCTGGTTACTCGCAGTGATTGTCCTTTTTTTAACAATGCTATGACACTCTGAACATATTCAGCTCTTTACTGATCAGGCCTATCAGAGATGTGACGCATAGCAAATCTTCTCTCTAAATAACACCGTGTATCTGTTCAGTGTTCATCCATTTTGAGACGTGATCTGATTATATTACAGCAGAATGGCATGAAGAGGAAGTTTTATGTTAATTGTTAATATGTTATGTTAATTATGACTCGTATCATAACGATCCAAATCAGCATGATAGCTTCCAAATTACACTGGGTACAAACAGGCACTCTTGACTTAACAACAGAAGATGACATTCAACAAGAGAGATCCAAAATTAACCACTTTGTTTACAAGAAGGGTGTAATAACAGTTATCTCTTAGCGCTAAGTGTGCGTCTGTCACAGTGAGGAGCAGAACAAGCAGAGAGTGTGTGTTTCAATCTTGGATTATGTCATGTCTCTAGAAGTTGATAAAAAAAAATTAGTTAATATAGCTGGGAATAGGCCTGTCGCGATAATCAATAAATCGCCTTATCGCTCGATAAATAAAAACGAGGTCGATAACTTTGCCAGCCTCGATAATTGACGTGCGTTTGTTTTCCTCCTCTCTCGCTACCAAACACGCTGGATGAGACAAGAGGTCTCACTCTGCGCATTGTTCTCGGCACCTGGGGGCGTTGGCTCTATAGCGGAATGAACGGAGTTAGTGAACCCTCCTGTCAGTCATTCAGTGTCTTTGTCACGAGGGGGCTGGCGCGCACAGGCGCACAGACACAGACTTTTTGGATACAGTGCTGCAAGTGAGCGTCGTGAGTGAAAAGCAAGCTAACAGAATGAACACGACAGCTTTGGTGTCTAAACCGAACGCAACAGCCCAAGTGTGGGACATATTTCGGCTTTAAACCAGTTTTGTTTTCGTCAACCACAAAACTCCACGTGTGTGTGTGCGCGCGTGCGTGTGCGTGTGTGTCTGTGTGTTGGAGGAGCACAGCAGGCTGATGAGAGCTGTCAGAGCGGACTGAAGCTGCTCCTATATGTTTAGCGTTTAACTGACTGAGTTTTGCAACTCTGTTCGTCCTTTTCGTCTCGTCCAATCAACGTAAACGCACTTTCGTCTCGTCACATTTTAGTCATCTCAGACTTACGTCTTCGTCGTGGGAGAAAAGGGAAATATTTTAGTCAACGAAAACAACCAGTGTTGTTCTCGTGTGGAAATTAAAGTTTATCACTTTTGACATGGTGTACTCGCATTATTATGCCATATAATATCATTATCTATAATTTAAAAAATGGTGTCAATAATATTGTTTATTGGCGATAATTTGTAGCACAATTATCGTCCAGCAAAATTTGTTATCGTGACAGGCCTAGCTGGGAATGATGCCCAGTTAAAGTATGAACTTTAGAAACCTGTACAAGAGCTGCTGAATATTCATTTACTTTGTAGCATTCTCATATAGACTAATGAGAAAAAAATGTAACTGCAAAAAAACAAATAAAAAAAACCAAAACCTTCGGTTGCCTCTGAAGCTCCTTGGTTTTAAACACATGCTCAAATGGCTCTATTCAGTGGTTAAATCTATAAAGGTGCAATGCTTCCTACAGTTCGATCAGATCAAGGTTGGCTCGTGTTCTTACCCCAAACAAACCATATCAGAATGTGAAAGGTAGCAAACTCAGACCCACCTTTTCATGTGGTCTCTGTACAGTTGTTTTGTCTGCTCAAGTACTTAAATCGACAGCATTAACACTAGTGCACAAACTCAGCAAACAAAGTCCAGTTTGTTTTAACCAAACCCAAACAGGTTAGGTGTGAAAGCATGATCCTACAATAAATACAAATGATCAGATGTCCTCTTTCAAATACAGTAACTCAGCCAGTCTGAGGAGAGGTAGTGTAATTGACCTCCTTGTTGTTTACATGGTATTGATTGTTGTCATATAAGGGTACCCTTGTTGTTATGTAACTGCTTCACATACAGTCTATAACCGGATGCTGAGTTAGTACATACAGCAGGATTGGAATTGTATGGCTAACATGGAGCAGAGGGCAGGAGACTGAAAATATAAACTGTTCTGTGGAAGTAACAATGGATTTAATGAACTAGTTGCTGTACTGTTTGTTTCATCGTGTTTTTAACCAACATGATATGCAAGGTCATGCACAAAGAAGCCTTAGTTTTTACATGTTTATTTTTAGATTATTTTAGTTTTTTTTTTTGCCTTTTTTTAGGATAGAATAGGACAGTGGATAGGTGAGGAGTTGGGGAGTTAGAGCAGGGAGTCTCATGTGGGTAAGAAGCATACGGCTGAATAAGCAAACCCAGGCCAGTGGCTCCCTAAGCTATTTATGTGTTGCAGAATAAGTAAAAAAGAAAAGAATATCATGTCAAAAACTGCATCTAGTAAGTTGTAAAATTTTATAGCTGTATGGAGTGGTCTATAAAACACAGTACAGTTTAGTTTTCTAGCATCTCAAACAATATTCAAGCTAACTGCATTGACATTAATGTGCATTTCTAGATTTCTGTTGCAAACTGATAGTATCATCAGACATCTGTAAATGTTTCTACATTAATATAGTATAAATTGATGTTCATGCACGATCTTTAAGTACCTCCTGAACCTAATGCAGTGAGGGTTCCAGCTGTTGGATAAGTGCAGTTGCTTTGCTTAACAGGTGTTCCTCATTGGTATTTTTTGTGGCTGTGCATTTGGCTTTAAGGGTTTCGCTCATGTGCAAGTCAAGATCTAATCAACGTAGATTGAGGTTGTTTCCGCCATCGACACTCAGGCTAAAATGAGATTACTGGAGTTGCCCTGGCTTACAGGAGCAGTTATATTCAATTATTGCTTTTCCAATTCAAGGACTTCATGACAGCTACTGAACTTATCTCAAAGTTTTTTTCTCTCATTACACTCTGGCAGTTGTACTGTCAAAGCTGCTATTTGCATGACTGTCCTTTGATCAAATAAAACTTGAGCGCAGCTGTGAGTCTGGAAAGGAGAGTGTGGCTGATGGATGTTACAGTGAATCATCTGAACCCTGATGAAATAGAAAAAGACACTTAGTTCCTTACATCTTACATCCAGGCTTGTCCTCTCTCTCTCTCCTCAACATGCACTGACTCTGGATGTTGTTGTGTGTCTCTGTTGGGTTGCAGGTTGAATGTTTTTTCCTCCAGCCCTGACACCATGAGCACCATCTCGCCGACGGACTTTGACAGCTTGGAGATCCAGCAGCAGTACAACGACATCAACAACCGCTGGGACCTGGCAGCAGAAACTGACTGGGACAATGAGAACAGTTCAGCACGTCTCTTTGAGCGCTCACGCATCAAAGCTCTTGCAGGTATGTAACACAAATGTCCAGTTTGCATTATTGCATTGTGTCAACTCCCAACTGTCTATTTCAAACATCTTTACCAGTTATACAAAATTGAATCAAAAAGGTAAATCTATTAGAAATTGGCTTTCACGGAAATTTAAAACGATATTGAGGCTATTATTAGTGCGTGCGATAGATTTTATTGTGTGTGGTTATGTGTAGCAACTGTCACCAGAGAATTTCAGTGAGCTGTAAAATGAAAATAGCAAAGGAAGCTTATTTGCGAACCATTAGCTAGAATTGATGGACAAATTGCTCAGCAGGGGTCTATTAAATCCTGCTGAGAGGAAAATATTGTGAGGGGAATGACGTTATGATAGTTTGAATATTGCAGTTGTAATACTTGAGTCAAAATACAAACCAAAAAAGCAGTCAGCAATATTAGAGGCTTATTTTTGATCATATTTAACAAATGTGCAGACAGTTACTTAAAGACCATACTCCTCAAAAAGCTTCTCAATATAATGGAAATACTAGTTTTCAGAGAGCCTGGTTGATAATGTGTTTGGACTGAACATTGAGGAATGCTCAAATTTAGTAGAAAACTTCATGCATTAACGACTGTACAGAAAATAATCACAACCAAGGATTTAGCACATTAGCTTTTGGAAGGTACAGTTAAATTTAAGTATTTAGAATCTACACAGCATTTTACCGTTTCTCAACATAAGAATTTTAACAGTTAATGTAACTGGTACAACGGTTTTAAAATATGTATTTTAGTTCTTTTTTGGTCACATACTTTTACACTCTAAGGTCAAGCTGCTTCTGGCAGCCAGTCATAGATCACCAGAAGAATTTTCTGTGACTGGTGGGGTACAACTGGTAAGGTGATCATGGTTATCTAACATGACAGCCATTGACAGCACAGCTCTTGGAGGTTTGACAATTATTCTCCTGTCTATTTTAATGGTGAGGCTACCAGAGGATGCTGCAGACATTCTTAGATCCCATAATTGAGTCTCACTCTCTAGATAGACATTCAAAGAACTGACATGACATGCAAATTAATGCCACAACACATACTAAGCTGCTGCTTACATTCACTGCTCTCTAGAGAATACCTGTTAATTTCTCTATAACATGATCGCCTTATTTCCTGCTTTACACCTTTGACACCTGAATAATTTACTGGGGCCACTTCACTCTTTGTGTGACAGCAGTGTCTGCCACTTGTTTTACCACAGGGAGAGAACATCATCCATGTTAAGATAAGAAAGATTTGCATAGACAGGGTTTTTCCTGGCTCAAATTGAGGCAGAGGTGGCACCATCCTGACCATGCGCCACAAAGTGCATGTATTTGTAAATTCAACCGATTCACTTTCTTTTACAGGCAACATACTTTAAGTTAAGAGTTCAAAAAAGAGTGTGACCATTATTATGTTAAAGCATTCATTTATTAAAACTATATACACACACAATTCAGCTGGCAACTTTAAATTGAAAGTACACTTCATCCACACATCTCGCAACCAGACAGAACATTTCAGCCTCCTCTTTTTCATTCTGTAGAACCTCCTCATGCACTCCTTGTAGTCCAAGGCCTCCTGGTCTGGTCCATCAACGGCCACCTTACAACAGACATCCAAGTGCCTCTCCTTCAGTCTGTTCCACAGAGGTGTCTTCACCTTAAACAAAACAATTCATCATGCATTAAGTATTTTTGTTTTTATTCTGATACAGACATGAAGAGTGATAGCGTTTTCAATCATATATTATATATATGTATACACTGCAGTGTCCTCCCTAAAAAAAAAAAACGACAACCAATTATTTCTTAAACTATCTAAACTATGTTATTTTAGTTTTTGTAACTTTATTAGGTTTTTTTAGGTACTACCATCTTTAATATATTTCTCCTTCTCTTCTGCTGCTTTGTGAATGGCTGTCACCTCATGTCTTTTTATTGTGTCCAGCCTGTAGTTGGTTGATGGCTGTCTCACTAAGGAGGCAGCAATTGCCTGCTGTGTTGGGGCACAGTGCTTTTGGCATAAATAGCAGTGCATGCCTTCCTCAGTATGCCTGAGCCAGGTAAATTGATTGAGCCATTGCTTGTCAAAGCCACTGGCTCTGTGTTTTTGAGAAGATCTGGAAAGAGGAATAAAAACCACGTACACGTCGGCTTTGCGTTGTTATGCTCCTAATTGGAAACTAATTAATTAATTACCCCCGCCTCGCCGACTCGTCCTGTCCTGCATTCTGACACTCGCGATCACCAGTCCCGTGTGAAGTACTTTCAGACCTGACACAAATTTCCACGTTGTCACCAACATGAATTATAGCATTTTAACTGCCTGTTACGTTTTTTCTCTGCTGTGTTTCACCTGGACTCTTGACTTTCCTCCTCGCGAGGTCGCTTTTTAAAGTACTGGCTGATTTTGCCTGTCATAACTGCAACGCTAAAAACGGAGTAAACTTTTTTTTTTTTTTAAATAAACACGACATGCTTGGATGCAAAAAAGAGAAGCAGTATTTACCTGTTTGTACCATCCGCCAGGGAAAATCAGGACGCCGACAGCACCAACTAGCGGGAAAAAAACTTGAAAAAACATGAGTCGATCCGTTTCTTCTTCGGTAGATGCTTCAGGTCTTTCCGGTGCACTGCTGTTGATATAGCGCCTCTATAGTGGCGCAACGCTGCAACTGCAGTTAAAATACGTTGCTGCTGCAGCGGGACATCAATCGCTCAATCAACACAGCTGGAGCTTTACGCTGTGTTGAGCGAAATCAATCGCTCTGGCTGGGGGCGGCACAAAATTAGGTGGAGGCGGCCGCCACGCAATTTTGAACGCAGGAAAAACCCTGCCTACAGTCTTGTGCTGTGTGGGTTAGCATGGTAAGCATGTGCCAATTTGCCTTATTAGAAGAAAGGCTCAGCTCCACTCTCAACATAGTTGCATGTTTTTACTTGTAGAAGATTCTCTGGGAGAAAAGGTCAAAGCTGTCACACTTAAAAATACACCCACATGTAATTCAATATTATTCTGCACTATAGGGTCATCTCAACATTGTCATAACACAACTAATCTAATATTTTGTCATGATTACATTTAATTGAATTTTTTGTTCTGTTTTGAGGTTTTTGCCCTAAATGAGATCCTCAAACTGATAGTGTATCACCTTAACTGTGGGAGCCATATCCTTCAAAATGTAGTGAGAATCGTTTTCATCTGATAGCATTTGTAAATTCAATTCTCTTTGTGAAGGCACTTGTTGCTTTTTAGTTTCTCTTTCTCTCCCTCTCTCCTGTAATCTCCCCCTCCTTTCTTTCTCTTTCTCTCTCTCTTGAGTCCAAATTGCTTTATTTGTCAAGTCTCTCTATCTTTCACCCATTAAACTATAGCAATCCTTTAAAGTTATCTGGGTTAGCACACTGTCATCGCATTAGATTACTATACCAGAGGTAGAAGAATCCCACTTTTTTCAAGTGTCTTTCAAGACAAAATAAATGTGTTTTTTTCAGATCAATATTATCTTGACTGAATAAAAAATGTTTTAGCAGATTAAAGCAAACAAATAAATAACTGACATGGAGAAGATGAAATAGGTTCTGAATGTCAGCTTTATTAAATTTTTTTATGAACTTACAAGCCCTATGTTGATGCCATTAAAAACAATGTTCCGCTTTGAACTCTCCAGTATTATAAAGATCAGGACACTGCTTTCTTTTATGTTTTTTAGAAACAATATTGTGCAGCCCAGTCCCACTTAAATATCACTTTTAAAAGAATATAAGCAACAACAGTTTGAGTTATGGATAGGACTAAAAGACAAAATTACAGGTGAACAGTTAGTTGCACAAATCAAACGAGGCTCTATGGACTGAGGTAAACTCTCTATTTTTGCCTGCCCCAAAAGGCAAAACTGACTCTTTGTAGGGCAAGACAGAAATACTTTCAAAATGAGGACAAAGCCAGACGGCGATAAAGTCAGTTCACCAAAGAGCAGCAAGCAGTGATGGAATGAGGTGATGAGACTAAACTTGAAGGTAACATAGTGTGAACATTTTCCATTGATGTATCACCACTTTTCACTCTGTTCCCTCAAGTCTATTTATAAATGATTGTTTTCACTAGAAGTGTCACAGGAATGAAAAAGATGTATTAAGGTGGACTATTTTACTCTCCTTCCAATCTGTGCGTGTCTGTTTTTCAAGCATATGTTGTTTGAGTATTTTTATGTTTAAAAAGGAAATTGTCTAAAAAGGAAATTTTCTTTTTTGGTTTTATACTCTACAGGTATAATTCCTTTTTTTGATGGTTAAAGCAGGTTGCAATATCATGTAATACCCAGCAGGGGGGAGCAACAGGCAGAAAGGCACTATGACACACAGCCACACACAGAAATTTACCAACACACTCTGACGCTCTGAAGCAGCACTGCAGTTCAGGTATTTCTGAATTACAAACCCAATTCTCTTACAAAATACAGCAAATCTCATTCTTTCAAGCCAAAATGAAACTCACTTTGAGTTCCGCCTTGTCGTACATGCAGTGCTCTGTATTTAGAGATATTCTGTGCCTTTGTGTCACATAATTATAGTGGTGTGTGTGTGTATGTGTTTGCGCTTCTGTGTGAATACCTCTGATACCATCTCTCTTTGACAAGTACGGACTTGATGTGCACATTCTTTTACATGCTGGAGCGACTATTTCCCCCAGGCACAACTCCTGCCCACCTTTTACAACTAATCCCCGCATGTCAAGACCTTCTGCATCCTGTAAGCTGCTGCTTACTTACGCCGTTCTCTCAATGAAACCTCCTGTTTTTTTTTTTCTTCTTCTTCTCTGTAACACGATCCCTTTATTTCCTGCTTCACACCCTTTACACCCACATGATCTACTGGAATCACTTTACTCTTTGTGTAACAGCGGCGTCTGCCACTTGTTTCACCACAGGTAGAGAACATCACCTACGTTAAGATAATAGAAATTTGCATAAACATCCACTTTGCCTACAGTCTTGTGCTGTGTGGGTTAGCATGGTAAGCTGTGCCAATTTGCCTTATTAGAAGAAAGGCTCAGCTCCACTCCAACATAGTTGCATGTTTTTACTTGTAGAAGATTCTCTGGGAGAAAAGGTCAAAACTTTCACACTTAAGAAAACATTCACATATATTTCAACACTATTCTGTGCAATTGGATCATCTCAGTAGTTTCATAAATATAAAATCTGTTTTTTAAACAAACACACAAACCGTGCTACAAATGTTTTATCTTTAAATTTAAGCGTTTAGAAACAAATCAATAACTATTGAAAGCCATGCTATCAATTTCTCACTTTTGCTCACTTATATGATACTGGGTCTAAGATGAGTGATTCTTGGACCCATGAGGGTTTGACCCTACTTGCTCCAGGGGGATTCCCCTTCAGATCAGATATTTACTGCCAGCGCTCGGAGTGTGGTCAGGCTCTCAGCTCTCCCCAAGGTCCACAGAAGGGCTTGTGCTGTACGATGGATAGAATTTATCGTCTCAGAAATAGATCTCTCCACGCTCCCTCTGGTAGTTCTCATTCCCCCCCCAGAGCTTCTGTCTTTTTTTTTTTCTTTCTTGTCTGTGTTCATTGACCACTCCAGACTACCATTAATTTTCATTAAATCATTCACTCAAAGCAGGATTTTCCCCCCCACGTCCTCCTTTGGCAGACTGTCTCAGTTTGTTTCTGTGTTTCACAAGATTCACAAAATAACCCTCTATGTTTATTTTATACACTGCTCAAATGATTGATGGACGTTATAGGGAGTTAACTGCTTCAAATGATCATTTAAGATGCATGAGCCAGACACACAAACCTGCTATCACATCTGCCTCTCATGCTAATTGGTAATGTAATGTTTGATATTTGCCCGGTGGGATTTTAAACGGCCATTACTGGGGGTTTACCAGCTCTCTGCTCTTCATCTCTCCCTGCATGTGTCCGAAGCATATTGTCTGTTCCTCAGAAGGAAGTGTGTTCTCTTTGGGTCTCATTAGTCCAGTAGCCCCCCCATAAACACCCAGTCAAGCCTGGAGCATTTTTGTCCTCTAATGAGATCCATCCAGATGCTCCCTGCTCATCATGACAAACAGATCAAAAAAAACCCAACCAGACCTTTTTTACTGACGCCCCCTACCAGACCAAAAAGGAAAAAGAAAAAAGACCTTTGACCCCGTTCAGTCTTGTGTAATAATTGCACACTGAGACATTTAATGCATGTGTAACTTTTGTCAACGCTGCATTTTTGTTGCCTGTTCTTAAAAAACCTAAATGCTCCCATGGAATAATGAGAAAACTGTACAACACTTCAGAGTAATTTATTAATCCAGGATCTACTGGTTAATCTCTTGATTTGTATCACATCTACAGTTGACGTGAATTATAAAAGAAACATGTGAATCATATGAAACCAGTGTAAGATTTTCCGTTTTAATAAGGTGTGCCTGAAATAACTTGAAATCTGTCCCTTGTCTCGCTGGACAAAACAGAAAGTATAATTCTACAACTGTTTTATTCGGTTAGTGACTCACCTCCAAACCCAGCTTTACTTTAGCACCTGCCTAGCTTACAGTTGGAGTTCACCATTTAAAATCTTGTTGAGGCAGGAAGGAGCTCGTAGTATGCATCTCAGACTGCCTCAACAACTTCCTTCCTGTCTCAGCGCCTTATCGAAAGGTAGACCCTATGAACAGAAAGAGAGAGTGGTAGAAACAAGATGAACCTCACAGAGAGTAAACAGGATAAGAAGACACAATCTGATGGGAACTGTGGTGATATACCTTCTTGGTAGGCCACACCCCGCTGACCGGTGGAATTAAGGTGGAGTTAAATAATCCGCCTCAAGCTACACTGAGTAAAGAACTCTTAATGGTTTAGTCCACCTCTATACATCCTCCCTCCTCTCATCCACCATGTTCCTCCTTTGTGCTCCTCCCTCGAACACACCTTATGCAAATGGCTCTATGTTCAGACGGCACAGCAGGCTTTGTTTACACAGCTATCCGACCACAGCCGGTTAGCCTTCTCTGCTGTGCTCTGCTCCAGCAAATGCGTGTTGAGAGTCTGAAGTGAAGGCATAGCCAGTATTGTGTTGCTAGAACCACAAGGGAGTGCAACCAAAAGCTTTTACTTTTCACTGTGGTGAGATTTTCACAAGGAGAGGTGAAAAAAGAGAACATTTTGTTCTTAAGATTTGCTTGAAAAAACTCTTTTTTCTTCAAAAAAAAATCCTCTAGCCGGGCATTCATTGCTGTGTTTTCATTGGACAAGGTGGGACATACAGTAGATGAAGAAAAGGACAAGCGCCAACATTACTGAGCCACAGCATTGAGGCAGTTCAGAAGAGGAGGATAGACCAAAGCATACTGGATTAAAAAAAGAAACTTTTTGATTTTTTTGGGAGTAAAAGGGTTGGATACTTTTTTGAGTGGAGATTGCTGCTTTTGTTGTACTATGCAGAAGAACTCCCATTCATTTTCTACCTGAGAGGATTATTTAAGAGAGATCCAGAAAAAAGGCCATGGAGTGGGAGCACAGGGACAGAGAGCCCTGCTTGTCCCCTGCAGCATTTGTTAATCAGGTGCAATACTCCAATATCCTGGAGGGAAGGTTTAAACAGCTGCAAGGTAAGAGTTGAAGTTAGATGTTCATTTGATTGAAAGGGACATTTTCAGGCAGTTGTTGAGTGTGAAATCTTTGTCTCTAATGATCAGTTTAGATTAGCTGGTGTAATGTATTTAAAGATACAGTTGACCTGTTGACACCACAGGGGAGTTTTTTGGCTCGTTCTCTGGCTTTTGGAAACAGTTGCTAATGTGACAACACTGGGAAGTTAATGTTAGGTTTAGCTGTACTAAGTAGCTGGTGCTGTAGTCCTACAGCAAATGTTAGATTGTTAATAAGTCTCCAAATAGCTCAGCATTTTTCTGGCATCGAGTGGCTACCTGTGAGAGGCTACAGACACTCCCCTCTCATTTGGGTACTATTTCAAAGCTCAATGTGGAGAGAATTGAAGAGAGGCATAGTAAACGCTCAGTAGGCTTCAGCTCAGCTCTAAAGCAGGCCAGCAGTCTGGCACCTGATCACTGGGCCACCTGTCTTTCTTATCTCATTACAATGCATCGCTCTGTCTCTGGCTAAAGCCTGTAAGGTCTAGGAGGTCCTGTAAACTGAAATCACAGAGGCCTCTGGCTTTTGCGTGCCACTTTGGAAATGATGTAGTAACATGAGTCTAAATCCCCAACCCCAAAACTGACACTTCATTGATTCATTTAGGAAAACTCCTCTCAGAAAGTTAGTTTTACTACCAAAAATATAGTTGAACTTTTAATTTTTTCCTCTTATCATAATATGTACTTAGAAAAAGTTTTGGCTAAACTTCTGGTCTCCCAGTCACAGGTCGCAGCATAAAGTTTTTGCGGTACCTGAGCGTTTGTGCTTCAGCGTATGAAAATGTCAGTCACTGGTGCACATGAAGTTTGCAGTGTTTTGCGAGCTTCCGGTCCCTCCCTGGTTGCTGTCTGGCATAAAGAGTAGTCTACAAGTGTACTTGTGGGGCAAGTCGACTCTCTCTGCATGTTTGACATTCCAGTGGACAAACAACACTCACCTCTCCTGTATTAAGCCTTATCCTCCATGATAATAAAGAAGAGACTCGTACACTGGAGTCATGTATGTTTGTGAAAGTGATGCATGAATAATGAAACCTGCATGCCGGCAGCTCCAATACTTTTGTCTGAAGATAATGATCACAGAAGAGATAGAATCTTCTTTTGTCAAGATTCACTACATTTTTACATTTAACCACGTAGCCTCATGCACAAAGAATCTTAAGGTACATACCAGAGTGTCAACTGCTCATAGCCATTTGTCTTTTTTTTTTAACTTGTCAGGCAAGAAAACCTTTAACTCTGTGTAATTTAGGGGGGTCAGAGAACTGTCACATAATTTGTGCTGACAGGACTGATTCACACTTCCTTACAACGAGAATATTGTGAAAGAGGCTTCAGAGCTCTTGGTTATGAATATGAGGTCCGAGGAATTCAGATAATAATAATGTATGACAGATACATGCATACAAAGGTTCCTCTACTTTTTCAGTGCATGAATATGTCCTGGCTGGAGTTTGCTGTAAATATACTCATGCACACACATACTCAGACGCATAAACACATTTTGGCAACTCCCACTTGTATTTCCAGTTTGTCTACCCTTGCGGCTCATTCCTTGTGTCACTCCCTCCCTCCCTCGCACTAAATTATGATTGCAGCAGGAATGACGAAGTAGAAGATGTAGAAGATGACAAAGTAGCTTAGTATCATTACCATCTCTTAAGACAAATGAAATCAATTACTAACTTGCTCTTACATTCGTATTAAATATGTCATTCTCCTCAAGTTGGTGCTTCACAACTTTTTGTAAAAGTTCAAATTTGACCTCAGCAATACAAATCATCTCCATTGGAAAATTCAATAATCACATCAGAGCTTGCAGGAAAAAGAAAGTGAAAAAGAAAAACTGAGGTTGGGAGTTGTTGTTGAAGACATATTTGAACTGCTTTACCGTCATAAAAGTACTGAACATCTGTCATACAGTGTGTGACTCATTGGTAAATGATATCTTACAGGTAAAGAATGAACTGAGTAACTTAATAACTATCGCCAAGGGAGACAGGTTTAATGAAACACCGGCCACATGGTAAGACAGAAGTGAGGGGGAAAAAAACTCTTCATCTTTGTGTCATGGAACAGGCTTTATTGGCAGATGGAGGGACAGTTGCTTCCTTTTTATAGCTTATTCTGGCAGCTCACCCCCATATCAATCATTCATGACTGAGTATATAGATTATTGCATCACTTAGTATTAATGTTACTGTCTTTATCAAATGACTATCCTGGCTCATTGAAGATACTATAGTGTTAACTGTTCCACTTGAGTCTTTATTTTGGCTCCAGATAGATACATTCTGAGTTAGATCTAATAGTTTACAGTTGAACTGTGTGTCAGGTTAAACTGCAAGCGACTCATCCAAAGGGTCACTGCTCGAGCAACCTGCACCCTCTGGACTTTAGTTTGTACTGTCACTCAGCAAGCATTAGCTGGGTGACTGTTTAAATACAAGTTCTTTGACAAAGCTAGAAGCCATTTTTGTTTGCCCTCTGGGCTGCTGCAACAAATAAGTACAGAGATGAAAAAGAAAACTGACAAGCTGTCTAAAAGAGGTCTGCAGCTTAAATCTTTATTTGTACTTAGTTGACTGATTTAAAGCTGTAATTTCTAATTGTTTTCAGTTGATTTACCTTCATGGACTTGTTTTCTCTGGTTAATATATTCTTATGTTTTTTTTTGTAATCCAGTGCTGCTCCAGTGAGAGCATTTCTATTAATTTTAGGATCTGAATTGATACTGGGTGGGATAAATGTCACGTTTTGGGTCCAGTTTCAAAAACAGGGGCGCACTTTGAATTGAATGTTGTAACTTAATATTTTTAACACTCTTAGTGAAAGCTCTGACTCCTGTGGCCTCAAGCTGTAACTCAGAGTCACATTACCTAGGTGCGGAGGGTTCACCAAACATACAAAACACACAAACACTCACACTCAAAATGCCTTATTGTTTGTTCACTTTTACCAACATTGACTGAGTCCTACAAAGAGAGCTAACAACTAAGTGCAGTTTTGGAGGCTCTAAGATAATTATTATTTGTTGACATTTCACACCCTGTTTGTGTGCAGATGTTATGGCTGAGAGGTGCCTGCTTCCGGCTCCTTTCTCATGGGATTGGCCTTGGCCACCCCCCTCTCATATCTTCCCCATTATCAGCCCCAGCTGCAGATGGTGCAGAGGGCCATGACCTGGAGGACATGTGTAGTGCCTTCAGTGCTTGCAGAAAGGGGAAGAGGACAGTACTATAAGGGATGAGTCTCTCTTGCCCACCTCAAAGGTTTTGTCATTACATTTACTAACCTGTTAAAGTTGGGCAAAATGTCTTGCTGTACTTGAGGCCCAAAACTGTTAAAAGTGTAAAAATAACACATGCCACATGTGGCAAGGCGTCGGTTTCACCACAGGCCTACTTTCAAAGTACTCAAAGGGGGGCAGTTCCGCTTCTGTATCTGCGCTTCTGTGGGGAGAGGAGCACGTGCATTTGTGTGTGTAGTTTTACTCACAATTTTAATGGGTCATGTGGGTGGACAACATATTGATTTGTAGGAATAATTGGAGGGATGATATGCAGCCTTTTCCAAGTTTGCAGACATGCAGTGTCAATCAGTTGTTCGGAGGGTAAATCTTCCAACTTCATGAAAGTTGCAGACTCTATTACTGTTGAATAACAAGCTTATGTAGACTCAGAAGGCTCACAGAAGTATATACTGTACAATGAAAACTCACGACTACTAATCAATCTCAATGTGAAGAAATGGCACAACCCCTGGTTATGGAGTAATTCAGTTAGGTACAAATCTGTTCTTTTGCTGAGGTCTAGGCAGTTACTGTAGTGTAACCCATTTAGCTTGAAGTACGGGTACATAAAATGTCCCTTTCCTATTTACTGTAACATTTTTTACAAATTCCATTCATCCTATCACCCCTCAGATGGTTTGTCTTCATCGTGTGCGTTTCTTAGGGCACCCATGAAGTGTTTCTCAGCTCAAACCACCCACTGGTGTCAGTACAGAATAGCAACCACCAGCCACAAGGTTTTCAAGATGATTTTGACTGTCTGAGTTTGGTCACTTCTGCATGTGGTAAATACTTCATGAAGTCAAATAACAGAGTAAAATTCAGCACGTCAGAAGTACTCCTTTGATGATAGTCTTGCCTCTACACTGTTATTACAAACAGACTGTTAAAAGCTGATGGTCCTTGGTTTGACTTTTAGTTGCTGGCTCCAGCTTGAGGAATTCACGATAACTATCTAACAATCTTCTGTTAGGCTGTAGCACTTCTTACAATTGATGCATTTGTATAGCCATTGTGCATTTTTAACACGTATCCTCGTGAATTTACTTTTTTGGGCAAACTTGAAGCTGCTTTCATGTCATGATTTTTTTAACCATAATGTAAATAATAAAGTTAAAATCTCAGTTTTCTTCTTAACTTTCAATAACGACACATTTTAGTTTGAGGAATATGTGGGTTAGCTAATCTTAAACTACCGTTTGTCACATTTTCCAGTCACTGTTTTCCATGTTGCTAAATAAAAGCAGAGCTGACTACCTCCCATGAGCTCTTTTCACCTTACCCTTTGGCACAGAACCATAATCTTGTCTGTGTGAGAATGTCCAAGGGAAGGTCATTAAGACAGATTAAAGCCAGCAGATTGATGGAAGTAGTTTACTCATTCTTTCTAAGGGCAGGGTGACCAGAGGCATCCATTATGCAAGATCAGAATGGGTGGGATGTTGTATGTCAAGACTCAACTAGAAAGGAAAGCATGAATGGCCAGTAGGGAGTAAGGCATGACCTCGGCCAGAGATGAAACAAGCTGAAATGATTAGCAGCACTTAACACTTTGCAGACTGCGCTGAGGCATGAACCTCTACTTTTCCTTTAGCTCCATGATGGCAGTCCTTCAGAGAAATGGCAAGTGGACGATATCTGCAGAATGCATTTATTGCCATTGTGTTAAGAGCTCACTGTGGTGAGCTATGGAAGGATGGGGTCATTCCTTGTCCTCTTTACTGGACTGATGCCACTGAGAGCCAAAGTGCAGTGTCATGCCACACAGCAGAGAAATGCAGGATTCAATGAGAAGGTGGTAGAAAAAAAAGTGTGTAGAAGGTTGTTGTCCTGTTATTTTTTTCCAATCTCAAACAGTACTTGAATATTCCTATCAATGAGATTAAACACACAGCAGAAATGAGTTTCAGGAGAATGTGGAAACTGTAAACACTAATCTCTAGTTAGTTGTGACCAACTATCTTTGGAGTTGGTCAGAGCTGATTAGGCAATTACATGCCTCTGTGTTTATTCCAAACCTAAATCCAACTCCATTCATTTATCTGCTGCACAGTATAAATGGGCGACTGGACAATCAAGATGGTTATTCATCAATGACCACCTTCTGGCCGCCAGAAATAAAGAGTCACCTTACAAGTACAGGTTGGCGACTCAGTGGCAGGACGACGCCTAGTCTTAATCTAATTACAATCTATGCCAGCGGGACACCTTCTACTCAACACACTGCATACTGCACAACATGCTGTAAGCCTCAGTGGTGTTTATAAAAAGATAAACAGTTGCATAATGGTTGGACCTATATGCACAGTTCAACTGTTTTTGCTTACTTAAGTAACCTACATACAAAAAAAACAAATATATTTTTATGAGGACGATAAATCATATTCTCACACTCACATTCTTTGCATACAAACTGCTTTAAAAAATGCTATTTTTTTTCTTTGCCTTTCAAGACAGCTGTTGAAGTCTGTGTCAAGTATTTGAAGTAGTTCTTACCGGCATCTTAATTCAGGGATGAAATCTAGTAAATGCTGCAGGTAACATCTTTGATCTAGTTTCATCCAAAAAAAGTTAAAAACTGTAGGATAAGAAAACAGAAATAACTTAACTATGATGTCAACTTTGATCCAAATTCAATGGCAGCATCAATGCAGAGTCTGTCATGTTGTTTGTACATGAACCTTCCCCACTGATTCGTTGTTGTTTTATCCATCTCAGTATTGTCACCAAACATGATCCACACAGACAGGATTAAGTCTGGCGGCATATTTTCCTCAGATTACCTGCATATCATCGTTATCAACAGTACACAAGTTTGTTGCGAGCTCAGATATGGGAGAAGCTAAATCCTAGTGCCTGTAATAGTAGAGAGGGCACACAGACTGCGCCTCTCTCCTCCTCCTCCCCCACACTGACATATACTTTAAGCTAGCTACCAGAGACAAACATGCACAAAATGACTGGACATGCCCAAATATGCTTTTGAAACATTCAGTGATGGCTCTAACCACTAGTTCTGATCTGCCATTAGTAAACAATGGAGAAAAACACTAATCACTTGTTTTTCTAGCTTACACGCAGAGAGGTTCAGGAGGGAGTTCAGTCAGGGGACTTTATGACGACTATAGAAGCAAGATTTCAATAAGACCAAACTAAATCTAATCCTCGAGAGATTAGGAGACACACTTAAGTATGAATGGTGGAGTCAAGTTTAACAAATTTAACATGTTAAAAAAAAAATAAAAAACAGTATTCAGTTTAATTTATTTTTTTAGAGCAGTAAAGTTTATTTTATGTTGGATAGTAGTCATGGCAACGCTGTTGTGTGAGGCAGTTTTATCACAGCCCCCCAAAAATCACACCTTGCATTTCAGGATGAGAGAATAAAATCTTTAATTTGTCCACATTTGAGGCAGGCATGCAGTCATTTTCTTTTTCTGTCAAACCAAATTAAGATTATGAAAGATTTTTAAAACTAACAAGTAACTGCAAGCTTTACTTTCTAAAAGCCCACATTTTCCCTCTCTTCTCTCTTGTCCCCCTCTTGTGTAACAACACTGGCAGGCTCTTCAGGTATTTTGTGTGACGTGTGCCTTAAGACTTCAAGACGACACAGTCCAGTCCTTTATCTTTTTTCTCCTTCAGTTATCAAGGTGATTTTTGTTAAAAATAAACAGGCAGACCCTTAAGCATTTCTTCAGGTTAGTTAAAAAATAACAGAGCATTTAGACCTGGATGTGCAAACTCTACAGTTGAATTATTTTCCCATGCTCTTACACCTCAATATTCAAATGTCACATTGTAAGTAAAAACAGCTGCACCGGTTTTGCCCTTATCTACTGTGGCTGCAACTGATGACAGGTTTGTGTTTGCTCACCATAATGAGCAAACACATCAGGGACCGTCGTCTGTGTTTGTCTTGTCCTGTGCTCTTGTTCAGTTGCCTTGTTATTAGCTGCACAGCGTGAGGTGGGAAGCAACATTTCTTATTTAGGACCCCTGTCCGCCACAATACCGCCTTCTCCTCAGAGCGGGGTGCTGTTACAACATGACCAGGTATCAGAAGGAATGTAGACCCGCCACTGTACATGCACCTCACCTGGCATAGTAACCTGTCTCTGCTGGCTTGAACATCTTCAGATATTAGTGGTTCCCTGGTTTGTAGAGCAATTGTTTATCCTGGTACGTGAGATAAATGAAATTGTGAGATAGAAGAAAAGACGAGGTTTATTAGGAGTCTGTTTTCTAAAGCTTGAAATAAACTGATGACAAGAAAACTCAAGCAGACTTCACTATGGTAAATAGATGTCTGAGGCTAAGCTCAGGATTGACATTTTGACTGATGATGGCTATTACAGTTTGATGCCATAACATTATCTTGTTTGTCTGATATCCTTGAATTACAGCAAACCAGGAAGAAGGACACATTTCTCCGAGCCATGCATGCTGATTGCAAAGAAACCTGTTTCTTACAGCTGCTCTTACAGCCGAACAACAAAAGCCTCGGGGTCATTACTGTAGTCCATTGTTTAAATAGTTTAAATTAACATATTTTTGTGCATTTCTGTTTCGTAAAAGCTTTACTCTAAAACTGCATTTGACACATTTCTATAGCTCCTCGTACAGTTTGCATGTAGACACAGACATTAACCCTAACCCAGTTATTTTCTGCAGAGTGTGGACTAGCAAACATAATGAAATATTGTCTTTTGCTGCTGGTCAGAGCTTTTCCACAGATGGTGCAACTTTAGCATTTTTATTTCAGAGCTAGGATTCCAACAAACACATTTCAGAAGTGTTTTTCTTTTTTTACAGTCCCTCCTATTTCTGTTTCGAAGCCATGAAATAAACAGAATTACACTTCAAAAGAAAAAGAAGACAGTTTGAGTCTGGTGGGGGTTCACAGGAGACGAGGCGCTCTAGTCTTTTGGCTTACAGATGCATTAATGTGAGCATGCATACAGTTAGGAAACATGCCCAATACTTATGACAGTTTTTGTCTTCTACATTAGAAAATGATCAGCAGAATCCTATTGGGTTTTTGTGTCACTGCAGTGCTAACCACAGATAGCTGTTGCTTATTTCAAAGTAGTTTATAATTAGAGGAAGAACTGTCAGCTTGCAAAAGATCAAGTGTTACTCCACCCCAAAGGGGCTGTGGGAAATTTCTGAATCTGTTCTTTTACAGATAGCCGTTAGATATGGGTTAATTGCATAACCTGATATTCAGCCACCTGACGCTCATCTTTTAGGGAGTAAGCTGGTACTTGTTAAGCAACCAAATGTCTAATAAACCACACACAGCCACTTGACCATGTCTCTCTGTCACCTCTAGCCTTATTTCTATGACATTTGCAATAGTTTCTGTGCTAAAAGATCTTTTCGAGGCTCTTTTTTTAAATTCCACAAGTCCTGCTATTAATGTCTTGACCTTGTGATTTAATCTCACGGCGCACCTTTGAAAAAGACTGTACTCAACTTTCTGACCTTCACAATCTCCCTGTGTTACACAAACTGCCTTGATATTTGGACCTTGCCTTTGGGTTGAAAGTCAGCTTTGAAATGAAATGCATTTGAACATTACTGTAGCTTTTGGCTGCAAGCTCCCCTTACAAGTATTTCTATTTAAACTGGCAGCTGAATGTTTTTGATATACAAATCAAGTTGGTGCATTCATTGATTTTACTCTTGAAAAGAACCACACTCTCTTGACAGTGAAAGAAAAAAAAAAGACCTTTGGCAACATTTTACTATGTATTAATGGACTAATGGCAGCTGTAGTGAAACAGGAGAGAAAAAGGGCTGACAGACAGAGGATTTTTAAAAGAAGAGTAAATCTTTTCCAGAAAAATGACCCTTCAGGGCAGCCGTCTTTCACATCACTTCTGTTTCTTTCCTTTGATGTATTTGTGTTGCAGCACGTGAAACAGAAGTTACAGTTTGGAGGTTAATGTTGTCACATCCCACTGCTTTTAGATGTGCTGTATGTGATACCAGACACCATGACGAGTGATCATAGCAAACTGATCTATCTATCCTTGCGTGTTGTACAGTTAAACAATACAGTCTCACTCAAACTGTGTCTAGTCATGGTTTTATTTGTCTTGACCATGATCATATATCATTTCACACTGTTTTGGCTAAATATCACAGAGTTTATACTCTCATTTGTTTTCTGTCTGCTCCAGGGTAGTTGCGTGTTGGCCCGTGTTAGGTGCAGTTCACTCAGTACAAAGCCAGAACAGTGCTTTCAAAAGGCAGAGGGAGACCTTGTGTCCTGGAAATGAGGTCACCTTGTTAGGTGGCGGAGCAGGATTAGCTTCTTACTCCCCTGGTCCATATGTCTGAGCTGCTGCTCCAGCTTAATTTATTGTGACACATTTTTTTTTAGTTCTGCTCCTACAAAGAAAAGAAAATTCTAATTAAATGCCATCATTGTTAAGTGCAGTTTTGCATTGTCATTTTTTTTTTTTTTTTTTGTAAACTCACATAATTAGAGTAATCAGCAGAGCACACATGAGATGAGCCAACAGTACATAACCAGTCTGAAGAGTGAAAACCACTCACTAAGCTGTCAATGCTGTGATCCAAGAGATTTAATGGCATAGCTTATCTGTGAAATGAACTGCTCAGGACCAAGCTTAAGTCCTTATGATTTACTGTCACCTGTCTGCTCTCCAAAGTGATCAGAGTTGGAGACACGTTTTTTTTGTTTGGAGCCAGATTTATCATCTACGATCATTTCGCTGACAGTAATGATGTTGGTAATGTCTCAGTCAGCAGAGTGTAATCTTGGAATGTGACTTCAGGCTCTTTCTCCTTGTGGTGTGCTTTGCAGATGAACGTGAAGCAGTACAGAAGAAGACCTTTACCAAATGGGTGAATTCCCACTTGGGCCGAGTGACCTGTCGCATCGGTGACCTGTACACTGACCTGCGCGACGGCCGCATGCTTATCCGCCTCCTGGAAGTGCTCTCAGGAGAACAGCTGGTCAGTAACACAGAAAACACCTTTTCCTGTCCTAGCTCTGACCCCCGTGTGACTATCATTTGCACCACGAGTCTATTAAAAGCAGAAAATCATGTGCTTCGTTTCTCCTTTTCCCCAAATTTGATTTCCCTCTAGTACTGTTTGTTTTTCTGTTTCAGTTCCAAATGTCCCTTCCCTGCATTTATGTTGTGATCACTTTTGTTCAAGAAATCCACAAGTCTGATTACATTTTCTTCCCCTCTGACAGCCAAAGCCAACGAAGGGACGCATGCGCATCCACTGCCTGGAGAATGTCGATAAAGCCCTGCAGTTTCTTAAAGAGCAAAAAGTCCATCTAGAAAACATGGGCTCCCACGACATTGTGGATGGGAACCACCGTCTCACCTTGGGCCTCATCTGGACCATCATCCTTCGCTTCCAGGTAACATTCAGTGTAGCCTCTGGGTGCTCTGTTCATTGCACTGTCAGCACAGCTGCCAAGTTATCTAACCTTTTTACAGACTGAGTTTGTCTCTGCATGTAGCCAAGTCCATCCTCAGGCAAACTCATAAAAAATTGTTTTTGGGATTAGATTAGATTTATTATGTAGTTCCTCCACTTCTCATTTTAGTTATTAACTCTATGACATTAGGTGTGACCTTGTAGTCATCTTAAATTCTGTATTCTGCTAGGATGGTGTAACATTATGTAAGAGGATATTAACAGAATGAACTCTCCTCTGACAGATCCAGGACATCAGTGTGGAGACAGAAGACAACAAGGAGAAGAAGTCAGCTAAAGATGCCCTCCTGCTCTGGTGCCAAATGAAAACTGCTGGGTAAGACGGGACTGTGTGATGGGAGACAAAATGGGGTTTTGGGATCAAATACTATGGATAGACTCGGTCAAAGATATATTTAATCATCAAAGCTTTATCGAGTTTAGCCGGAGTTCCTACTGATAAGTGTTGTTATGCTGTGTTAATGATTAATGATGTCTGATCTGACCTCCACAGATACCCAAATGTCAACATCCACAACTTCACCACCAGCTGGAGAGATGGCCTGGCGTTCAATGCCATCGTGCACAAACACAGGTCATTGACATCTTTCTGTACTTAAAATGACACACTGGTCCACGTTAGGTATACATACAGTTTAAATTACTGTTTTGAATGATCTCCTCTGGTAAGTGTAGATTTAAGAGTCGTATTCGTCATAAGAAAATGGTGACAGCCTCTCTTTCATCTTTCTTTGCCTAATGAGCACCTGTCGCTCCACTATTACACTTCTCTGGGGTGTTTTTCATCCCTTCTCTATTTAGGTCTCCTTCTCCTCCCATCCTTTTTAGCGATGAAAGGATGAAAACGAAATAGGGAGTGAGATGACCTAGATCACAGAAATAATAACCCACTTATTTTCTATGAAGGAGCTATGTTGGTAACTCACTTGCACACCCTGCTGGTAATAACGTCATTAATATCATTGAACTAAAAGCCAAAGGTGTAGCCTAAACTCCACAGTCATATGCATCAGGTTGCGTTGTTTGTTACACTGAATGCTTAAGTGACACTTGATACTTGAATACCAACACTGCTTTCTTTGGCGTTAGTGAGCCATAAACTGCTTGTGTAAACCATGACTTTGCTATTTACATGATTAGGCCTTATTCAAATTACACATTTGCAGCGACTCCTTTCTCTTTGTTTTTGAAGCATCTGGAACATTGCATACTAAATAGTAAAAGATTTATGACCACAGTGTGTTTCAAATTTGGGACAAAATTTCAGAACCTCAACAACATCCATAGCCATGCTTGTTTGTCACCAGCCTCATGATATATAGCCTTCCTAACTAATTTTACTTCACTCTGATGCTTAAGTCACCTCAAATTAAGCAGCTTGCTTAATCCGCTGATAAAAAGCCTGCTTTCATGCTGAAATCCATGAATCGTTCGTTCGTTCGTTTATTGTCCACAAGTGGAAATTTGTCTTTAATCTCATCGTGTACAAAAAACAGATCAACAGCAACAAGGACAGCAGCAACAGACACATAACAAATACACACAAAACATCTTGGCAGCAAAAGAGGGAGGACAACAGTGTAATGTACTGCACATAACAGACAGATCTAACCAGACATAGGCCTAATATCATTCAGTGCCCTGATGGCGTTAGGAATGAATGAGTTTTTGAGGAGGTCAAGATCTGCCTGAACGAAGTATAACGAACTCACTGTACAGTGGGTGAGAAAGATTTCTTTGAATGTAACCTGGTCTATAAACAAAGATGTGCAAAGGTGTATTTCCTTTATAATACAAGACAGTGATTTTGTATTTTAGCCCAAAAGACATTGCCACTTTGTTTTCATTCAGCCCCCCAGTGTAATCTGTACTTATTAAACCTGTAATTGTTCCCTGGCCTGTGCAGACCCGACTTGATTGAGTTTGACAACCTGAAGAGGTCCAACGCTCACTACAATCTCCAGAATGCTTTCAACGTGGCCGAGAAGGAGCTAGGGCTTACCAAGCTGCTGGACCCAGAAGGTGAGTGTGTAAATCTTACACGAAAACAAGAAGCGTTCCTGAAAGTCACGCCGATGGTCTGATACTGCCCACTTGGTACTAAGCTGGTGTCTGTTGTCTGAAACAGCTTGATGGGTCAGACTACAGAGGATTATGGGAATTAATTCTAGCTTAGACAACACTGCATCACATGTTGGCTACACCGACACCTCAAAAAGCACGTCTAAAGACAGAAACCGTTTGGCACCTTGGAAGATCTAAATAAAGGCTGTTGTGAGAGCCGAACTTCACCGTGTTGTTTGTGCTGATGTTTACAGTCACATGACCAAAAGAGAAATAACTCAGTGCAAATGCATCAACCTTTCTTTTTTTCAGATGTGAATGTTGATCAGCCTGATGAAAAGTCCATCATTACCTATGTGGCGACCTACTACCACTACTTCTCGAAGATGAAAGCTCTGGCAGTTGAGGGCAAACGAATTGGCAAGGTTAGCTTCGAGTATTTGCATGTTTTTTGCTTATCAGTGTGAGAGTTAAAGCGAGTGCTTGAACCCTCCGCACCAGTTGCTTCATGCATCTCTTTTGCTTGCAGGTGCTGGACTACGCTATTGAAGCAGATCAGCTGATAGACAAGTATGAGACCCTGGCATCAGAGCTTCTGCAGTGGATCGAACAGACCATAGTGACGCTCAACGACAGGCAGCTAGCTAACTCACTGAGTGCTGTGCAGAACCAGCTCCAGGCTTTTAACTCCTACAGGACGGTGGAGAAACCCCCCAAGTAAGAAATAAAAGAAAGCAGGATGAGTGTAACTCAGTGAAGGACCGAGTGCACATAACACTGTACTTCCACCAGATCCATATTTAGCTTGTCTCCTCTTTGTCCTGGTTTGGCCCTGTGCTTTCTTGTCCATCAACACTTACTGCCTACATTTTCAGAGCAGCACGGAGCAGCAGCTCCTGACAGCTAGAGTCCTGAGACCCAAGAATTTCGATCAGTAATTACAGGATCAATGGTTTTCTACCTCTATGATAAGCTCCCAACCCCCCATTCATGTTTCCTGGATTCTGTAAATCTGAAAATTACCTCGATGTCATCCAGCTGTTTCAGTGTCTGACTTGCTACCTCACTTAATCTGCCCTATAGCTTGTTAACGCCTTACTCCAGCATCTGCCAAAAACAGAAGCTGTGTATCTCTTCTGCAGAGGGCTACAGATTGCTGGAGTTTAGACAGAGCATACACAGCGCAGCCAGTGGAAGAACACACATTGACTAGAGTGAAACCTATCGCTCCACTTACACAGCAGAGTGAAAAAAAATAATCTGGTGGAAGTTCCCTGTAAGCCATTTGGATCGATGTGTGAACCTATACTTGAGATTAAACAGAGGTGGTGTCTGTCTGTCTCCACAGGTTTACAGAAAAAGGAAACTTGGAGGTTCTCCTCTTCACTATCCAGAGCAAGATGAGAGCGAATAATCAGAAAGTTTATATGCCAAGAGAGGGCAAACTCATCTCAGACATCAATAAGGTATGGGTTTTGTAAAGTGGTCATTTTCTATCAAGAAATGTGGAAGTCACACCTCAACACCATAAAGTGAATGAAAAAAAAAACTAAAAATAAACACCTCATACTTTGTGGTAAGACATTCGCTTTAGTTTGTAGTAAACCAGGACTACTGTCTTCTATTCATGTAAAATATGGATCACCATGCTCCATTGGTATCCTAGTTGTAACAAACTCTGTGGTTTTTGTTTGTGTTATAGGCGTGGGAGCGACTGGAGAAGGCTGAGCATGAAAGAGAACTGGCCTTGAGAAATGAGTTGATCCGTCAGGAGAAGCTGGAGATGCTTGCTGCACGTTTTGACCGCAAAGCTGCTATGCGGGAGACATGGCTGAGTGAAAACCAGAGGCTGGTGTCTCAGGTAGAGAAAAAACATTGAATTCAACACAAAATATACCAAGTGTTAGGTTTAGTTGAAGTGGTATTAGTGAATAGTTTACCTGTGCTAAGAGAATTTTCCTTTGTTATCAGGACAATTTTGGGACTGACTTGGGTGCAGTTGAAGCTGCCACTCGTAAACACGAAGCTATCGAAACAGACATTGGGGCTTACTGGGAGCGCGTGGCTGCTGTGGAGGCTGTCGCCAAAGAGCTCGAAGCAGAGGGGTACCACGATGTGCGGCGAATACTTGCAAGAAGGGACAATGTGCTGCGACTCTGGGAATACCTCAAAGAGCTTTTAACTGCACGCAGAGAGCGTCTGAATGCCCACCGTGACCTACAGAGACTGTTCCAGGAGATGCGCTACATCATGGACTGGATGGCCGACATGAAGGTAATGACCCATTCAATGAAAAACACATCATGCACACGTGATTTCACTCAGCTGTCTCTTTAAACCTCTGCTGTGGATTCCTACATTCTCTCGGGGTTGTTTTTCATGAACACAAAGGTGTCTTATTAATCCCCTCATTACATTTATTGTTGTCCACATATGTCCTTAACAGCTTTAGTGTCTGATCGTAAGAAAGGACCATTAACGGCAGTAATTAGCTATTTACAAGCCTAGTCTGAGCCGTGCTGCGTGTCAGTATTTGCTTTACTGAGCTTGGCCAGGATACACTTCAATCCCTGAGTGTGTATTTGTGTGTGTGTGTTTCTCCTTGAAATGGTTTAAACCAGCAACTCCGTTCCTCCATGTTTTGATATGATACAGGCTGAATTTGTCTGTTCACGCTGGTGTCGCCAAATGCAGTCACGGACACAGCATTTTAAATTCCTGCTCTTTTCATAGAAGCCTTTTAGCCTAATTACCGTCTGGGAGCTTCAGATATCTGCAGCGTCATACATACAGTGCTCTTGAGTATCTGTGATGCAGGTTTGCTGTTTGAAATGATGGCACCGCATCTCTAATGAAAGGACTGTCAGCCAGGCTAGCAGTTGTTATTAAGGCTATGTAGCTGTTGGTTTAATTCCCTGTTATACTGTGCCAGTAAAGCGTTGCTCAGGTGTCAGAACTACTCATCTCTACATACAGTGACTTTGATGTAACATACTTTTTGTTATGAATGTTTCAAACAGAGCACTCACGCCTGTCTACTCTGCTTCAGATGTAATGTTTCAAATGCACTGTACGACTCTGAGGGCTTGGTCTCAGCAGCCGCCCACCAGCTTTGAAAAAACATAGAGCTATTTGTTTGTTATGCTCTTTGACCTGCTCTGAAGTTAGTATTTGAGGTTTCCTCTACATGACTAAATTGTGAAAGAGAGTCAGTGTGGTTTATTTGATGGTTAACAGCTGTTGACAGGGTGGAGATATAATTTGTCAGTGTTTGTTTGTCGAGGGAAGAGATAAGACGGACTTGAAACCAGTTCTTCTTAAATGCTTAGTTTAAACTAGGACCTTGTGGTTTATGTCTATGTTATTCAGTCACCTGTTACTGTATAATTATAGTGCTTGTTTACAATTTATCACTTTTTTAGAAATGATCTTGCTGTTAGTTAATAAACTGGCGGCTCAGATAAGATAAATTCTCTGTGCCTTTAGTTGAATGAGGCTCTGGCTATCAGAAACTACCCTCTGCTTTGATTTACTTTTTCAGAAATTATTCTAAGTCGGTATTTGAATAAGTCACCAAGCATGTGCCTCTGATTATGACTACAATTCAAATTAAAAAAAAAAAAAGATGTTTAAAAGTATTTTTCCATGACAATCAGGCCAACTTGTCACAGTTAAAGGATTTTTTATGAAGGTGAAATAAACCAAATGTGTTTTCCGGTTTTACAGGGTCGTCTACAGTCTCCAGACAGCGGCAAACATCTACACGATGTGTTAGACCTTCTGCAGAAACACACTCTAGTCGAGGCTGACATTTCAGCGCAGGCAGAGAGGATAAAGGGAGTTCAGGCAGCTGCACAGCGCTTCACTTCCTACGAACAGCGTGAGTCCACAATCATATCATCACATCTGTGCAGTTTGTTCTGGATAATTTTTCAAATGAATTCCTACCGCTTGTTTTCGTGTCTCTTTTATTTTTATTTATTTATAATGATTTTTTATATTTATTTTATGTCAATTTTTTAATGTTATGCCTTGACTATGATTGCAGCTGCTTGAACTGTGCAATTTCTTAACAAAGAGTCAATCTACTGACTGTCCAGCTCCAGTCAGACCTAACTGTGCACAAAATAGAATAAAAGCTACATATTCCTGCCTTTTCCTCTCCTCAGCCTACAAACCGTGTGAGCCGGGACTAGTTAGCGAAAAGGTAGACCAGCTGGGTCAGGCCTACGAAGAGCTCGGTCAGCTTGCCGGGCAGCGTAGAGAGCGCCTTGAAGACTCCCGCCGCCTGTGGCAGTTCCTGTGGGATCTCGGGGAGGAAGCAGCGTGGATTAGAGAGCAGGAGCAGATCCTGGCCAGTGGAGACTGTGGCCGTGATCTCACTTCTGCCCTTCACCTGCTCAGCAAACATGAAGCTTTCAGAGATGAGATGGCGGCCCGCTACGGCCCCCTGAGTAACAGCATTGCTGTGGGAGAAGCTTTGGTCAACGAGGGACACTTTGGAGCCCCAGAAGTCACTGAGAGGATTCAGGACATCCGTGCACAGTGGGCACACCTGGAGGAGGTGAGGATTGATGGAAGTGTGAAAGTGTGACTTTATCTTTAAATAATACTTCCTGTTTTCTAATCGTCTTGCTCCCTCTGCTTCCCAGACAACCAAGCTCAGAGAGCAGAACCTTAAAGAAGCAGTCGCCCTACACCAGTTCCAGACAGATGCCAACGACATGGAGGCGTGGATCATGGAGACACTTCGACAGGTGTCCAGTCAGGAGGTGGGCCACGATGAGTTTTCCACCCAAACTCTAGCTCGCAAACAGAGGGAAATCGAGGAGGAGATCCAGAGCCACCACCCTCTCATCGACTCCCTGCATGAGCAGGCCCAAGCACTGCCACAGGCCTTTGTACATTACCCTGAGGTATGAGCTGTTTGTGTTTCATCCTTGGTCAACGTTGACAAACTGTTGGCTGAACTCACTTATTGTTAATCCCTTTGTGTAGGTGGAGGGTCGTTTACCTGCTATTGAACAGCGCTATGAAGAACTGGAGTCTCTATCAGCCGCTCGACGACAAGCTCTGGAAGGTGCCCTTGCCCTTTACCGCATGTTTAGCGAAGCCGGCGCCTGTCAGCTCTGGGTGGAAGAAAAAGAAAAGTGGTTACATGGCATGGAGATCCCCACCAAACTGGAGGACCTGGAGGTGGTGCAGCAGAGGTTAGTCTTGCTGTATGAGAGAAGTATTTACATACAGAAGGTTTGATTTAAAGAAATGTGATAGCTGAACTATTGTCTGTTAAACTGAAACTAATAGTTGCGAAATAAATGCTTAGAGTATGATCAAAAATGACCAAACCAAACAAAGATGGAAGTGTTGATGACATGTCTCAGCAAATACATCCACTATTAATGAGAAATATCTTGTTTGAATAAGGGTGGAGTTTTTAGAATTAAAAGATTAATGCTGATTTATTGTGTTTGACTGCAGATTCGAGACGCTGGAACCTGAGATGAACAACCTTGGCACTCGTGTCACTGATGTGAACCAGGTGGCCCAGCAGCTTCTTGGCTCTGACAACTGTAACAAGGAGCAGATCAACCAGACACGGGACCAACTTAATAACAGGTCAGAGCTGACAGATAGAGGCCTCTTTTTATCCCTCTGTTTAATGCATAAAAGAATTCGTTCTGAATGAGAACTGGAGTTGGTGTTCAGGACTAAAAACTGTATTTTGCGTGATCCCTAGATGGAAGGAGTTTGAAATACTGGCTGATCAAAAGAAACAGGGCCTTGAGTCAGCTCTCAACATCCAGAACTACCACCTGGAGTGCAATGAGATTCAAACTTGGATGAAGGAAAAGACCAAAGTGATTGAATCCACTCAGGGACTGGGCAATGACCTTGCTGGAGTGATGGCACTGCAACGCAAACTCACCGGCATGGAAAGAGACCTGGAGGCCATACAGGTAAAGAGATGTCAATACAATGTACAGTATGTAGTGAGATGGTGATTAACAAAGCTGTGCAATAAATGATCTAGCAGTGAGGTCAACATGTTGAGGTGTCTTGTCATTAACTCCTCATTTAAATATTTTTCAGGGCAAATTAGATGACCTGAGACAAGAGGCGGAGAAGCTGGCCAAGGAACATCCAGAACAGGCTGCTGAGATCCAAGCACGTCTGGCAGAGATTCAGGAGGTGTGGGAGGAGCTCAATGCCACCATGAAGCGGCGTGAGGAGTCACTGGGTGAAGCAAGCAAGCTGCAGGGCTTCCTCAGAGATCTGGATGACTTCCAGTCATGGCTGTCCCGCACCCAGACAGCTGTTGCCTCAGAGGACATTCCCACCTCCCTGCCTGAAGCCGAGAGTTTGCTCGCCCAGCATGAGAATATTAAGAACGAGGTGGATAACTACAAGGAGGACTATGAGAAGATGCGCGCCGTCGGTGAGGAGGTGACCCAGGGTCAGACAGATGCCCAGCACATGTTCTTGGCCCAGAGGCTTCAGGCACTGGACACAGGCTGGCACGAGCTGCGTTGTATGTGGGAGAACCGCCACAGTCTTTTGGCCCAAGCCTTTGATTTCCAGACCTTCCTGAGAGACGCGAAACAGGCAGAGGCTTTCCTCAACAGCCAGGTGAGGAAATCACAATCAAAGCTTTACTGCCAGAGGACCTTGTTCCCACTTATTCAAATAACACTTCATGTCCAGCCTTATCAGCAGTGTTTGGAAAAATTCAAATGACATCATGTCCTTAAAATACCGTAGATTATTGAACCACTGAAATTGATGATAAAGGCTCACAAAGAAAGTATGAATCTGATAGTAAATGAAATGTTTCAAAATGTAAGATTGTGTTTTCTGACAATGCATACTTCTATACTTCACTTATGTCATGAAAACAGAAACCTACTGTCATAGTACAAATATGGAGGGACTAGGTGTTGATTTATATTCAAGGACAAAGCTGCAAAATATTGGGAAATTAGCTGAAATTGAAGGATTGTAGAGAGGAAATTGATTACATTCCTTTCCTATCTGTGTAGGAGTACGTGCTGTCCCACACAGAGATGCCCACCAGTCTGCAGGGAGCAGAGGAGGCCATTAAAAAGCACGAGGATTTCCTCACAACCACGGAGGCCAGTGAGGAGAAGATTACTGGTGTAGTTGAGGCTGGACGGCGCCTCATTAATGACTCTAATGCGAACTCCGATAAGATCCAGGAAAAAGTCGACTCCATCCAGGAAAGGTTAGAGCAAGACTTAAAGCAGAGAAAAACCCTTCCTATTTAAGACTGTCGTAATTTTCAGTTTTAATTTGACTTATTTACATTTCTCCTACACTTACTCCAGGCATCTCAAGAATAAGAAATCTGCAAACGAATTGCTGTCCAAGCTTAAAGATAACCGTGAACTTCAGCACTTCCTGCAAGATGGACAAGAGGTAAAATTATTCACTTTTGGTTAGAATTAGTAAATGTTTTTTTATAAAGGTTAAGTCATTTTCCTGAACATTACCATGGTATTGGAGATAGATATGACCTCTTCAACCATAAATACTTGGTTTTAGAGCATGTTTTAATTACTTGTGTTTCTTTGCGGTAATATGATGGTCTTCTCTTTTTGTAGCTCACTTTGTGGATCAATGAGAAGATGCTGACTGCACAGGACATGTCTTATGATGAAGCCAGAAATCTTCACAGCAAGTGGCAGAAACATCAGGCCTTTATGGCCGAGCTGGCCTCGAACAAAGACTGGCTGGACAAAATTGATAAGGCACGGCTAATTTTAGATGAATTGTTGTATTTAATAAGAAAACTCATCAAGAATACGAGACTTTTCACAAATGTTGTATCATGAAACAATCTGCATTAATGTTCCTGTAAGGTTTAGGCAGATAAAAAAAATTCTGTTGCTATTTTTTCAAATAATTTTATCATAACCAAGTCAACCTTTTAGTTGTTTGTTCAAAAATGATCAAACAAAATTTTAATTTTGGCACTGTCTCCAACAGGAGGGTCAGGCTTTGGTGGCGGAGAAGCCAGAGCTCAAACCTGTTGTTCAGCAAACCCTTGAGGACCTGCAGCGTCAGTGGGAAGAGCTGGAGAACACCACCCGCACCAAGGCCCAGTGCTTGTTCGATGCTAACCGGGCAGAGCTGTTCACACAGAGCTGCTCCGCTCTGGATGTGTGGCTGAAGAATTTGGAGGGCCAGCTGCATAGTGATGACTACGGCAAAGATTTAACCAGTGTCAACATACTGCTTAAGAAGCACCAGGTAGACTTCAATACAAAACATGACTCTGTAATGTTGACCGGTATTTAGAATGCAGTAGATAAAACTAACCAGCTAACTAACTCAGACTAAGAAAGATTTAAATAAATGTAAGTAAATTTAAGTCCAGAGATATTCTAAGAGTATGTGGTAGAAATGGCCAGATCTGTTCAGGATTGGTAGGAGACAAACAAATGTCAAATCTCCCTATCCTGACATCTTTCTAATATCCTTTGTAGATGTTGGAACACCAAATGGAGGTCAGGGAGAAGGAGGTGCAGTCCCTCCAGTCTCAGGCTCTGGCCCTGACCCAGGAGGATGCTGGGCTCGCTGAAGTGGACGGGCAACAAAGACGTGTGACTGACAGCTTCTCTGGCCTTCAGGATCCTCTCAAACTGAGGAGACAGCGACTCCTTGCCTCTAAAGAAGCACATCAGTTCAACAGGGATCTAGAGGATGAGATTGTAAGATCATATAACCTTACTGACAGCATGGATTAGACATGTAGAGTATAGTATTGTGTGTGATTAGTATTCTGTATTGCCCGAGCATCATGTTTAAGTGATTCTTCTGCTTGTATTTAAGCTTTGGGTGAAAGAGAGGATGCCTCTCGCAACCTCCACAGACCACGGAAAAGACCTGCCAACTGTACAGCTACTAATCAAGAAAAACCAGGTACAATTATATTAAAAAAGAAAACTGTAAAACATGCAGTGGAAAATTGATTGATGACTTGTGCTTTGATTGAAATCTTGCAGTCTAATTGTGAGAAAAAGAAAGATTAAAAAAAAAATGTTTTCTCTGAGTTCAGATAAAAAGTAGTGAAACGTTGAACCTAACTTGTCTCTTCTCTCTGAATCAGACTTTGCAGAAAGAGATCCAGGGCCACCAGCCTCGCATTGATGACATCCACAGACGAGGCCAGACTCAGAGCCAGGTGGACGGAGAGAGGCAGTCTGTCCTGGAGGAGCGCCTTGTGGAGCTGAAGGACCTCTGGGACCAACTGATTGCTGAGACGGACAATCGTCATGCACGCCTTGTAGAGGCCAACCGTGCCCAGCAGTTTTATACAGATGCAGCAGAGGCTGAAGCCTGGATGGGAGAACAAGAGCTTCATATGATGTCTGAGGAAAAAGCCAAGGTTAGAGGACACTAAATAAGTTCATGGTGCCATTATTCTCCACTCTGTTGTTGGCAGCTAAAGTGATTATTCTCTAATGTGTCTTTCAGGATGAGCAAAGCGCTCTGGTGATGGTCAAGAAACACCAGACACTCGAACAGGCCCTTGAAGACTACGCACAAACAATTCACCAGCTAGCAAACAGTAGCCGCCTCATGGTCACCAGTGAACACCCAGAAAGGTGCACTTATGGATCTAAACCAAAATTGCCTTCCTTACTGTCAGTTTATATAATTTGGCACTTCATAGATAAAATACTGATTGATTGGTTTCAACTGTTACAGTGAGAGAATCACACTACGACAAGCTCAAGTTGACAAGCTGTACGCCGGATTGAAAGACCTTGCTGAGGAGCGTCGTGGACGGCTTCAGGAGAGACTTAGGTTGACCCAGCTGAAACGTGAGGTTGATGACCTGGAACAGTGGATAGCAGAGAGGGAGGTGGTCGCAGGTTCCCATGAACTAGGACAGGATTATGAGCACGTCACTGTGAGTTTTTTTCCCCTCAGTAACATACTTAACGGACGCAGAGAAATTGAGCTGAACTACCGGTAATTGTTTCCTACTTTCATCCTGTTTACTTTTGTTTTCCACAGATGCTGAGGGACAAGTTCCGGGAATTTGCTCGTGACACCAGCACCATCGGCCAAGAGCGTGTTGATGGTGTCAATGGGTTGGCAGATGACCTGATTGAGTCGGGTCATCCTGAGAACGCAAGTGTGGCAGAATGGAAGGACGGGTTAAACGAGGCCTGGGCTGATCTGCTGGAGCTGATAGACACACGCACACAGATGCTGGCAGCCTCATATGAGCTGCACCGCTTCCATCAGGACGCCATGGAAGTGCTCGGACGAGTTAAGGAGAAGAGAGAGGGGCTGCCCTCTGACCTTGGCCGTGATTTGAACACTGTTCAGCACCTACACAGACAGCACAACACATTTGAAAATGACATCCAGGCCCTCAGTGGACAGGTCCGATTCTTTTTTTATCCAGATATTTCACGTAAGGTTTCAAAGAGAGCTGCGTAAATAAAAATCTAAACATCCCGTCTTTGAACTCATAGGTAAACCAGGTGCAAGATGATGCAGCACGGCTGCAGAAGGCCTATGCTGGAGAGAAAGCTGACGACATTCACAGGAGCGAGCATGCTGTCACTTCTGCCTGGGAGGGTCTGCTGGAGGCAGGTCAGGCCCGCAGGCTCCTCCTGCTGGACACCGTGGAGAAGTTCCGCTTTTTCAACATGGTACGAGACCTCATGCTCTGGATGGACGGTATCAACCTGCAGATCGATGCACACGACAGCCCCAGGTTAATATCCTCTTAATGATCTATTTTTCCAGTAACAATAATCAATACCGCTATGATGACATTATGCATAATCTAACCTCTCTCTGCCCTTTCGGATATCACAGGGATGTTTCTTCTGCTGGGTTGGTCATTAACAATCATCAGGACATCAAGTCAGAGATTGAGACCAGAGCAGACAGCTTTACTGCCTGTAATGAAATGGGAAACACTCTCATCAACAATAACCACTATGCAGCTGATGAGGTAGCGTGCACTGGGTCATTTGAACTGTAGCTTGCAGTCATATTGATGCATTTATTAAAAGAAAAAAACATACCTCATGTTTTGTCTGCTGAATATCACAAAATGTTTGTCATTTTGTTTAGCTTCTTGTTATTGATTATTTCTTATTTCACAGATCCGGGAGAAACTGGCTCAACTCCAAGAAAAGAGGGACAGGATCAACAAAAAGTGGCAGGACAAGATGGACCATGTACAAATTGGTACGCTCAACATGTTTACAGCCAATTCAATGAGACACTTATTAATCAAACAATACCTTGACAAACAAAAGAGAGTGTGTTAGCTGATGTGGACACATTGGTGTACAGAAGAAAGATAAAGGATAAAATGCAAACAGGAATGTCCAGTTTGAAGGTCTGCCGTTTCAAATGCAAATTCCTTTCCCTCAGCTCATACTCGACAGAGCATACACGTTACAAGGCATTTAGGAGCACTATGCAAAGTGCTCTTCAAAGCTTGGTTGGTTACACAAACTTGATTGGTGCTGATTGTGCAATGACAGTTGAAGAAAAGAGGGTAATTGGTTTGTTTGTCTTTATTTTCACATTTGCAGCCTTTCTGGCAGCAACAAAGTGGTCATAGTGCAGTCAGTGGAGCCAACTTTTTTGGAGCTGTTGTTGGCCCTGGGTGTTACAGGAAGTGCCCAGACTCACTGCTAAGTCCTTCTTAAGCTGTTAATGTCTTTTTTTTTCTAATGGCTTTTCTCGCCCTTCCTTCAGTGCTGGAGGTGTTGCAGTTTGGACGTGATGCTTCTGTGGCAGAGTCGTGGTTGGCAGGTCAGGAACCTCTTGTGAGAGCAGCAGAACTGGGGGCAAATGTGGATGAAGTAGAGAGCCTAATTAAGCGCCATGAGGCCTTTGAGAAACTCGCAGCAGCCTGGGAGGATCGCTTTGTGCTGCTGGAGAAACTCACAACAGTAAGTAGAAAAACAACTTGTTCTGTGTTACTGATCGACAGAGAGTCTCGTTCTCTGGGGATATGAAAATAAGTGCCGAGGTAAAGTTAATGATACTGAGGTTCTCTTATTTTCAGCTTGAGGAACAGGAGATCCAGAGGAGGCGAGAGGAAGAAGAGAGAGCACGGCGACCCCCAACACCCCCTCCGGTTGAAGAAGTTGCTCAGTCAGAGACCGAAAGTCACATGCATGATTCTGCAGCCAGGTAAAAAAAACTGGAAAGAAAAGGTCGCTTTTGTGATCAGAACAGTTTGTGTTTGGAAGTGGACGACATTTTTGATTGTTTTCAACACTTAATGTCCGTTTTGTCTCACTCTCTCTCAAACATAGAACTAGTCTGGACCAGACCACGCTCAATCAGTCGGTGTCAGTGAACGGAGTCCACAGTGACAATGACACATCCCAGGTGAGATTTGTTGAAAGTGATTTAAACTTTATTCAGTGATGCAACAAATCAATTTTTTTACCTCTTGTACAATGGGATTTTTTTATCCTTGAGCTCTACCATGTGATGTCCTGTAATGTCTTTTCTATGTTGTCTTTACTCATCTTCGATATCACAACATTTATATGTATGAAGTGTTATCGCTGTTCAGCTCTGTCTGTTTTAAAAGGTGTGATATTTTTGTACATCTATTATATTGTAACTGTATGTGAATGTGCATACCAGTGTTTGTCTGTCTCACACTGTTAACAGTCGTTTTGGTTCATATACTATTATTAACTGCTACTATTAAGTTCTTAACTTAAAGTCAGTTTATGAAGTATGTTGAATACTTAAAGTGCTGATTTGAGCTACATAAGTACAAGAATTATATCATTATTTAGATATTATATGGGAGATAAGAGAAGTAAGTGTAGTTCTACTAGGGGTTTGCAGACACCACCTCAGTGACACTGAATGGATAACACAGGACACATATGAGGAGGGAACTGGTGCTTGTGTAGGATGAAGTGAACTTGGCATTTCTCTGGGAGGATGATGGCAGTATACAGTGCATCCATCTGACACTGCAGAGACATATCAGTCAAAGAGAGAGAGTAATTCTCTGTTTGATTGAACTTCTCTAAATTTGTTTCAATCTACAGCTTTTGTCAAATGTTACTATTTTGTTGGTTAACATCCTTACATTAATGTGTCTCACAATCAATTGTGGTAAAATACTGACAAAGCCCTCCAAGTGTAAACCGTTGACTCTTAACTTTCAAAGACTTTGTAACATTTTCTTATTGCGTTTTTACCAGCAGTCATTATCGCTATCGTTGTCAGTGGGAAAGAAATCAGAGCCTAAACGTGTGTGTAAGCCAAAGCAGCCGGAGCGTGTGAGTACCAAGCTTTGGTCAGCATTGTAGCTTCTCCTCGCCTCCCCTCACAGCCTCCGCTCAGCTCCTGGTCAACAGCAGTGCCTCTTTTTTTTCCGATGAAGAAGCCTCTGCCTTCTGTCACAGATGCAAACCATTGCTTTTTTTAAATTCATGCACCTTGTGTTTCCATCGATCAGTCCCATTGCTGTTTGAAGGCATGATGCTGATTCATGAACAGATAGTTCTAATGGATCAGTATGCTGTTGCTTATGTGCGCTTTTTGACCAGGACAGGAGTGACTGTAATTGTGAAGCCCAGAGTTGTAAATGTGGTGATAACTGTAGCTGTCGGAAGTCCTTTTATATGTATCTTGTTTCAGTGATTCTTTATACCTGTGATCTCCCTGTGGTGTGTCCCTCAGTAGTGTTGGGGAAAAAAGCAAAAACAAACTTATTAGCTTATCATACTTAATAGTTCTGTCACAACTGAGTACTTTAGAAGGGTTGACTTTTGTTGCTGAATTTTGTGGTGAAGGAATATATGATACAAAGAAGCCGAAGTTTAAGAGATAAGCTGTATTCAAGGCCTTAGAAGGTTGAGTGTGTGTTTGTGTCTGTTGTTTTTTGTGTTAGAATAATGAGTTATGATGTCTTCAATTATAAATGATCAACAAATGACTGAGACTTTACTGTAGATTATCATATGGGGGACAAAAAAAGTTTATATTTTATATTTATCTCATCCTCTGTCCCCATCAAATCTGATAAAACAGGTTTATGAGTATTTTAATCGCATTATTTTGAAATATAGGAAATTTCACTGTCAGTTTTTAAAAGACTGCATGTTTCATATGAGTGTTTAGTTTAGCTGTTTGTCTAGAGTGAGTGTAATTGTTGTGTGTGAAGTCAGTGTACTGTGATTTTGTCAAAGCTCTGTACCCAAACTATGCTATTGCGTCAGGTAATCATACGGTATCATCAGAGCGAGTCTTATCATGCCTTTCATCTATGGCTGTGAATGGTCGCTTTGCTGCTCAGTGGTACTCCCATCCATCCTTTATTTTTCCTCCATCCTCACCACACGACATGTTCTGGTTTGGACCATAGGGCTCGGAGTCGGAGTCGGTGAATGGACCCGGTAGGGACAGTGGGCTGGCTTCCTCTCGCCTTGAGCCATCCGCCACGTTACCGAGCAGGGGCGGAGCAGAGTCTGAGCCCGAAACCATGGAGGGGATGCTCTGTAGAAAACAGGAAATGGAGTCTCACAGCAAAAAGGCAGCTACCAGGTGAGTGCTGTTGCGCAGGTTTACTGCAGAAAATCAGTGTTTTTGCATGTTACCTACTTTGTTTGTAATCTGACTTCTTTGCTCCCACAGGTCCTGGCAGAACGTGTACTGTGTCTTAAGAAAAGGAAGTCTTGGTTTCTACAAAGATGGCAAGAGCGCTAGCAACGGCATTCCATACCACGGGGAGGTACCCATCAGCCTTGGGGAGGCAGTGTGTGAGGTAGCCCACGACTATAAGAAGAGGAAACATGTATTCAAGCTCAGGTGAGAGGAAACATGGAAACCAAAACCTCAGAGCAAGAATTCCTAATAAAGGGTCGAGCAGAATAATAGAAAGTTTGATGTATAAGACTTTGTAAGTCATCCTGAGCTGATGAGTTCCTCTTCAACTGTGTTTACAGGCTAGGAGATGGAAAAGAATATCTGTTCCAAGCAAAGGATGAGGTGAGATATATACAACTCTTACTCTGCTACAATTAGTGCAACTCCAATATCCTGGTGTTTAAAGTTCTTGTTTTGGCGCTGATTGTTAGAGCAGGTGTCCCGCACACAGACGCTACAGTCCTCACTGTACTGGTGGTCAGATAGTTTGCATAATTTGGTGCATGTCATTCCTCCACACTCTTCTTAAATTTCTTGACTCTCTCAAGTTATTCAGTCGAGTAAAGGCCAAAGTTTACTTTAGAAAAGATTCTATGATGTGATTTGTTGCCCAAATGCCGAGGTATAACAAAGGTTTCTGACTTTCTAAAGGCGGAAATGAGCTCCTGGATCCGTTCCATCCTTGGCTCCATTCCAACAGGACCAGGAGACTCGCCTGGAGGTTCTCGGGCGCTGAGCCGTGCCATGACTATGCCTCCCATCTCCCCCAGCTCAGGTGAAGCAGGAGGTGTTACCATGCGCAACAAAGATGGCAAAGAGAAGGATCGCGAGAAGAGGTTCAGCTTCTTTGGCAAGAAAAAATAGAACACTTGTTGAATCATCGATGGAAGCTAAATTTGTCGAAATTTCAATGAACTGAAGCAGGCAGAAAGTTAAGTCCAAACAGGTCACACAAACACACTGCGCTCAGTGCAGGCCCTGAGGAATTTGTCGACAGCTGCTGTACGTGGCTTACAGAGAACTTTGTTTCTTTTTTTCTCTCTGATTCTCTCCCTCGCCAGTTATATCTGTCAGTTTCTTTATCCTTCTACCAATCCATATTTTACATTAAGCTGTACCAAACAATGAAAGTGTCCATCCAATCTCAGCCGGCTTGCAGAGGCCGTTAATCTAGGTCAGTAACAGGTGGGTTAGCATTAGTCTGGGTTTAGGCCCATCTCTGTTCAGACCCACCAAAACGGCTCCCTCTTTCAGCGTGAATATTTCCTACTCAGTGAGTCTTAAAGAGCTGAGCCGTTTTGAAGTGGTGTTGCTGATAAATGGATGGATGATTGCTTTCCACTGTGGTGCACTGTGGTTTAATTTCCCCTCTTACAAGCTCTATCCTCGGGAAGAATCCCATCAGTCTCTCTTTCTGTTCTTGGTATTGATGTTATTAACCTGACCGATATTATTGCTGTTATTGTTATTATTATTATTATTATTATTTATCTTTTGCTATTGCTGGTTTGAGAAACAGACTAATTACTCTGACAGTAGATCATCTTGATTCATGTTGTGGAGAGACACAAATTTGGTTAAATTAGTAAAGAATGTTGGGCTTGCCCTTTGTATGTATTTGTTTTCTTTTTTTTTAGGAATGACAGTTTATGAGGTGTTTTGAGAAAACCAATAAAGCTCATTAAATTTTAGCAGTGTGCAGTAAATGATCACAAGTTTCATTGGGAAAATTATATATATATATAAATATATATTTAATAAGTGGTTTTATTTTTTATTTTATCTCTAATTTTGCCTGTATTTGATTATTCCTTTTGAGTGATCTTTTCTGCTTAATTTTCGATTTTCTTTTTTTTTTCTGTACAAAGCAGAGAAGATTAGTTTTTTAGTGTGTGTGCGTGTGTGTGACTGCGTGTGTGTGAGTTGTGGTGCTGTGGATTTTGCACGTTTATGTTATTTCTGATCAAACGTGGCCAGATGAATGCTGCTTTTCGCTGCGCAAATTCAGACGAAAACCAGGCACAAATGCGGAAACATTTTTTTCCTGGAATGATCTCATGAAATTAGCTTTTCTTTGCTTTTGGTTTTTTAATTTTATGTAAGCTGACAACATTACCAATGAAGTTCCTCATGACAGTTGCATTATTGCTGTTTTAAGTCTTCTAACTACTATTTCCGTTCTTTCTCTTTCTGGTGTGAAGGCGTGGGGACAGTTTGTAGATAAAAAGCTGAAGCACATTTTCTGAGGCAGATCGTAGAGTAAGAGCTGGACAGACGGACATGTGACAGGTGTCGTTACGGGTGAAGTGTGGAGCATGGAAGTGAGATAGGATAGGCAGTGAAGAATGGGCTTTTTGCGCTACCTGACAGACAGAGGTGTACTGAGCCTTACTTGAACCCACTACAGACTTCTTTTTACAAACCCATCCTCCATTCAGTCTTAAAGGAAGCTTTCTTAACACAAAGACGAGTGTTACAAATGTGCCCTGTGGCAATGATCTAATGTATGTCAGTGGATTATATATGCAGGTACATTATTAATAAATAGGTGAACCTATGCTTACTAGCATTTGCAAAGAGAAAAAAAGCCCTAAAATGTCTCTTAGTCGAGCTTTGAGCTCTAACGTATGTGGCATGAATTCATGTAGGTTTATACTCGTATGTGTCTCATCATTGCCATGTATCCTCCTCTGTGTCGATGTGCTCTGAAACATGAGGTCGCTTTACATTCAGGGTTGGAGAACAATGAATCATGTAATTGGCAGTTATGATCCAAAAAATGATAACGGCAATCAAGTATAGTAAATGTTAAATATGATAGTTGTTCATTAGTTTCCTCAAATACTGTACATGTTTAAACCAATAAGGCATTTACAGTATCCTACTGTAGGCAGTAGTGCATTTTTATATAAATATCTTGAGACCATTGAATCAGTCGTTAATTGTAACCATAGCCAATCACTTAAATTAAAGTGTTGATTTGCCTTTTATTACTGCCAAAATGTCACTGGGAAACTGCTGGAGTTAAGAATTGGACAGATTATCTTTGAAGACACTGCAACTTATTTTGATTATTATTATTTTTTTTTTACATCTTGAGAGGAACTCTTAAGTTGGACCTGTTAATCAGTCTACAGGAATGTCACACTGAACTGGAACTGCTGGAAGCGAACCTGTCTTTACGTGCAGCTTCAGCAGTTTGGCCTTATTTTCCAGTCCTTGATGAATGTGGAACAGGGGGTCCAGCACTTAGATCCAAAATTAAAGTCAGGGAAAGATACATTAACATCCACTTTGCTATGACTGAAGTGGTTTCAGCTCAGTTGGTCCAGAGAAAGACTTCAGCTCCCAGGTGTCTGAGCAGTCGTGGACTGAGCTACAAAGTTGGGACCGCGTGATAAGGTCATTGCATACATAAGTGAGCCAACAGATAGTGTACACTGTGCACAGTTTTCGAAGGAGGATTCATTCTTCCCCCGGTGAATGAGCTGGTTTTAGTGAATATTACTACCATCTTCTGGACATCAGACACGGCATCCAGTTAACGTTAGGGAGTTCAAGTCTAAAGGTTGAACAGTGTATTTTCTTATCAGCTCATTTGAATGTGAATGATACAAATTAGTTTGGCCAAATTGGTCATGTGAAGCAAAAATATATATCTCATACTTGACACACTATCTCTCTCTCTTTTACACACGCATAAACACAGTACTGTATATTTAACGCAGAACAGCCTTGGTGATCCAGTCTGGCCCTGTGCTGTTTGTATTTTGCTGTTGCAGACAGCATCTTTTACAAAGAGCGATGTGCCACTGGAAAGCTCTGACCGGATCTTGGGAAGTGTGTATTATTGATGTCAAGGAGAGGAGGTTTTTCTTTTGGTTATGAGAGTACTTGTAACGATGGAGTACTTAATGAAGAAAAAAGAACTTTTACTTGTTGAGTATTCGATCTGAGTGAAACAGACAGGAAACAATTGAGCTTCCGTTTTTTAGAAGAAGGCAGGATATTTGCTGTCTAGTGGGAGCTTGTATTTTTTCATCCAGTGGTCTGTCTTGCAGCATTTGATAAGCCTGTCCACCTACCTTCATCTCTCAATTACTTTTGACGAATGTCTGTTCCCTTCTCTGTAATTCAGAGTTGTTAATACCACTACTATTATTAATTGCTATTATTACATTATTGCTACTGTTGTTACTATTACTACTACTGTTACTAATGCAACCTATTGCAAAACTTATAACTGCTGTCCATTTTCAGGTATGTGTCTGTAATACCAGACCCTTCCACACGATGTCAGTGTGCTGTGGAGCATTTTCATTACAAATTGAAAATAATGTTTGTTGACTTGTGTATCTACATCTAATATTAGGAATAATAAAACATGGTTTAACCAAAAACAAGATGTGGGTGTATGGTTTTTCATGTTTCAGAAAGCATTAGCCCTTTTTTATCTCCATTGAAAATTTTTATGCATCTCTGCACACCTCAGTTGGAGATAGTCAAATCATCAATTATCAGGATTTCAAACAAAGTGTACGATGAGCAATTTCCTTGAGACTAGGGCCCGACCACTATGGATTTTTTGGGGCCGATGTCGATACCGATTATTTGGGGGGGATCCGATTACCAATTAATCGGCCGATTTTTTTTAAATTTTTTTTATGAAGTTATAAATATATATACTGAAGTATACTGTAGGGCTACTGCTCTTCACGTCGACAGCCTCCACGTCTCAACTCACGTTACTCATTTCCGGTCTGGTCTCATCTGGAGACATGCAGCTACCTCAGTAAGAGAAGTAGCTCGATCACGTAATGTGTACTGTTTTTATTCTACCGTTACTGGAACGGCTAACAGTGTAGCAGGGCTAATAGCAGATGTCCAACTCTAACTTTAGCTTGCATATTACATGGTGCTTCACCGTTAGCTCGGCGTGACCGAGACCAGCACAGCGGGGAACATCGTGAAGTGGGTTGAACTGAAACTTGTTCACTTATTGTGTTTTTCACAAACTGGTTTATTTACCGTTGAGGCGGACCACTCTCCTTCGTGCGTCCCTGTCACTCTGCTGTGCTGTGAGGTAGTTAGTGGATGAAGATTGTCATGAGGTCGCTGCGCCATCTATAGGATAAGTCGGGGAAACTTTTCAAATGGCGGAACATTTTCGAAGTGAAACCGAATCTTATTCTCTGCATTTTATTTCTGAGAATATCGGCGAAAATCGGCGAGTTTTGGCCGATTACCGATTAGTCTCAAACAGGCTAAGATTGGCCGATTTAATCTGCTCGCCGATAAATCGGTCGGGCCCTACTTAAGACTCAACTGTGCACTATTCTTCTTCTTTGATACTCTTATTTCACCACTGCTCTTCCGTAATTGTGGATGAGCCACAGAAGTGCAATGAGCATAAAACAGGCAAAGATTCCTGTTTTTATTATAAATTAAGAAAAAGCTGAATCTTACATTTCCTTTTAGGGTGCACCTATCAACACCCTTTTAATTGGCCCTTTGTGTGTGTTCACATAATACAGCTGCAGCCTACATGTACAGTACAGTTTGTTCATTATGAGGAGAAGAGCTTCTGCAGAACTGTTTCATAATGACTCACTGATGCAACTGCTGAAAAAAAGAGGTCAATAATGACAGAGTGGTGACTAATAGTAGGCTTATGATACTGGGAAAGATAGCATCATGCAAAGAGCGGGAAAACCTTCTGTAAGCGATTTAGAGAAAAAGATGAGGACTAATTACAGTTGCTTTAATCTCTGCTGCTGAAAAATGAGCTTTATAGTCAAAGACCTAAAAAACTAATGAATCTGTGGACGATGAGAGAATATTCCCACATAGTATCTGAAGAAGTTCAACTTGGCAGTGTTCATACAAAATATAAGTATCACTACATAAAAATATAAAGGTATTTGTTAAGAAGAACTTTATTTGTGAAACCTCAATGAAAAGGCAAGGCCAGCAAGTCTGGATTAAGTGAAACTCCACAGATAAATAACTGATTTGGTTGCGTTACACAATGGAAAAATGATAACATTACAAAACCATGAAAATCAGTAACAAGTCAGATGATGAAATAAATATTAAAAACAGCTTTGTGTTAGTCAAACATTCTCCTAAGCTGTGACACTGACTGCAGCCATCCCTATTTTTAGCCCATATTGGAAGAAGCAGCTGTTTCCTTCAGTGCCATGTCATTCAAAAAAACAACAGAAAAAGTTTTTTCAAGGTCAGACTGTTCAGGACTTATCCTGCAGCGCTGGTGCTGCTCCTTTCAGTTGTTGCATTTTGAGCTCTATTCCTGCTAAAATGGCGCTTGGCCAATGCAAATAATTTACTTTTATGATGGATGTAGGACAATTTATCCAACAAGAAAACACACTGCTCATGTTTATATGAGATTTTTGTGTGACTGCAGTGCTGCTAATGAAAAAAAAAAATCTAGTAATGTCACAATCCCACCACGAAAGGGCGCTGGTCTGCATGTTCCTGCTCCCTCCTGCTCACTGTGCCTACAAGTCCTGACAGAGGGCATACATTACCCGCAGCCACTCTCTCAGCGTATTAGAGCAAGATGGCAGCTGTTGTTGAGAATGTTGTGAAACTGTAAGTGTTGGACTTTTCTACACACCTTACACCTGGGTACTTGACACTCGTCGCGGTCATATCTGTGTAGCTTTAACATCGCGCACTCTCTGGCTGTGTTGTTAGCTATCTTTGCAGCACTTGTACTGACTTGGTGGAGAGGTTTTAGCCAGCTCTGTCGGACCGTCGTGTGTGGTTCATATCCTGGAATGGAAGTGTAAGTTAGCAGGCACGCAGATGACGTTTCCGAAACATGAATCACGAGTTTGTGTGACTGAAAATGCGTCAGTTTGATCCAAAAGGTCATTACGGAGATATATAGATTACTTGTTGTGTCTTTCTTGAGAAACAGCAACTGTGATGCTAACGTTAGTGAAGTACAGTAGCTAGGTGGCTCGCGCGCTAACAAGCTAAAGAGAATGAATATGTTAGCGCAGGTTTGGGTGCTTTGGCGACCGGCCAATGAGTTGAAAATGAATGAAAGACTGACTTTTTCGATAGTAACTTAAAATGTGTGGTTCTAAAATGACAGGTAGTAACTCTGGGAACGTCAAGGTAAAGTTTCTGTTACCTGGTTGTTCTTAAACGTGCTTCCGTTTCCTGTGTTTTCACCTTGCGGAGGTGCGCAGGTGGCTGCTGTTAGGACGTTCTACGGTCAGCTCTTGGTCACCATGGTAACGTGTGCCATTTCTTAAATAGTGCTACTTAATTTCGCTGTTTTGTTGTTAAACCTTTAGTCGTTTTTATTTAATACAACACATTCACTGAAAAAGAGGAATCAAAACTGCTGTCCATAGATTCACAAAAACTGTGAAACATTACTGTAATTGTGTAGAAATGGTGTATATTTATATATACCCGACTATTCATAACAATATGAACATTCAGGCAATGTAATACAACCCAATACAACCCCTTTACTACCATAGATTCAACGTTTAGGAAGCTTCTTACTTCTCCATGTTTATTTGATGTGTTCAGACACATTGTTATTGTACTTTACGTAGGGCTGGGCAATATGGGAAAAAGTTTATCGTGATATATTTTTTTCATATGAGTCGATATCAATATATATCAATATATATCAATATAAAAAATGAAATTTAACAGTGCTTAGTGGTAGTATGTCTTTCACAATACAATAAGCTACTGCATCTGTGAGGTCTTTGTGTCTCTTTGACATTTTGTCGTGAGGTGTTGCCCTAGAGAAAGCAGACTGAATGGTCCGCTGTTTCGGCTGCACAGGCGCCATGGGCTCTTTGCTCCGCTTGGGGTTTGTAACCTTTTGCATTGCACATGCTCTGCCGCATGGCACTTCTTCAGGTGGTGAAAAAGATTTGAGGTATTCTCCGACTTTAAGAGAACATGTACTCGACATAATTTGCAGTGCACATTACTCTGCTTCATGTCCGACCTCAAAATTCCAAAATATCTCCACACCATCGACGTTTTCGTGTCAGTGTTGTTGACAACATCGTCAACTGTTGAGCCTTCATCTGCATTTCTGCTGGGGGTTGCACTCATTTCCTTTTTTGTCACCGACAGTGCTGTCGGCTTCACCTGTTAAAGTGCTATGGTTGCGTGTAGCTGCAGTCTGCTACTACACAGTTGTCTGCTACTTGGTTCCAATTCAGCACATGATTGGTTCAGCGCAAAGTGGATTTTCAATATAAATTGTTATCGTTTTATCGCCCAACCCTAACTTTATGTGTACTAGCATAGAGGACATGGTGGAAGATGGGGGTGTACAGGAGTGTGTCATATTGACAGCTGCTCCTGTGTAGTTCGTCCAGTTAATTTTCTAACATGGGGCAGCAAAATACTAGGAACTCCTATTATAATGCAGACGCAAAGGTTTTGAGTCAAGCAGCTGCTGATGTTTTTTTTTTGTATCTATCAGCAAGTCTCATCTAGTAGACTTTGCAGTTCCAGTTTAACAGGAGAGTGCCTTGCTCCAGGGCACCCTGGCAGCCACAGTACAGCTGCAGCTGTTGCGTGAGAACATTTGCTTCCAGACATCTTTCACCTGCCAATCAAGAGTTGCTGAACAACTGACACCTCTGTGATCATGAGCATGTTTGTCTCACTTAAAGGGAATGGGTTCCTTATCTTTGCTAAAGCTCAAGGTGCTATTTGAGTTTGTGTTGAAAACAACATACATGTAACTGAGCTGACTGCACAGTGTTTTTGAATTACCTACAAAAGAGCACCTACTACTACAGTCACCTATGATTTTCACAGTACAGAAAAAGACAACAGGCTTTAAAGTAAACTGGCACAGAGTCAGGAAAGATGGAAGTCAGGCTGTTGCAGCACCTGCTGATTTATCCCTTTTAGTCATCCGGTCTGGTTCTGTGTGTGTGTTAGGTTGGGAGAGCAGTACTACAGAGATGCCATGGAACAGTGTCATAACTACAATGCCCGGCTCTGTGCTGAGAGGAGTGTCCGCATGCCGTTCCTGGACTCTCAGACCGGTGTGGCTCAGAGCAACTGCTACATCTGGATGGAGAAGAGACACAGGGGACCAGGTAAAAAATAAACAGAGAAAAACATGTAGTGTACCACATCAACAACTGTATGTTTATAGTTTCAGTTTATTTGGTTGAATTTGTTGAAATATGCTCCAGCAGTCACTACAATGTTCTGGGTTGAGGATCTGTACTGTTGAAACAGCTGCTGTGCTGATTTGAAAGTTGACGATTGCAAAGGTTCACTTTCAATGTTGAACCAAAAAAAAAAAAACTACGAAAATTCCTTGAAATCATATAATGGGACATGAGCGACATGTGATAAAAGTGGAATACATCTAAACTTTCTATGAACATCATGTAATTTACCATACAGATGAATCTGCTCTCTTGTGTTTTAAAAAATAATGCTTGTCTGGGAAGATTGAAGAGCAGGTGCATATTTTTCATTATCCTAGAGTTAATAGATAGGCTGACATGTGCTGTGATGAAAAATAAGGCTCAGTGTCATGTAGATGGATGTGTTCTTATGGCCCTTAGGCATGGCTCCAGGGCAGCTCTACACCTACCCATCCAGGAGATGGAGGAAGAAAAGACGATCTCATCCACCAGAAGACCCCCGGCTTATCTTTCCACCTGTCAAATCAGGTACCAGCTCATTTCAGTTTTTTGTGTCCCCAGATCAACTTAAAGGGTAAAGAAGCTGAGACGTGCCACGCTTTCCCAATATGTGATTCATTTGATATCCTGTGATGAGCAGGAATGATGAAAAGAACTCACTGTTTATTTGTGTGATCTCTGACTGTTTTGTCTTCACAGAGCTTGAATTAGGACTGAAGAAGGATCCCCTGTTGTCAGCTGACGGTAGCAGCCTGGAGGCTCTGCTGAAGGGGGATTCATTGGAAAAAAGGACGGCTGCAGATCTCCGGGGCTCTGAGGAGGATTCAAACCAGAGTGACTACACTGGAAACCTGAACCCTGCAACTCGGATTAGAAAGGTTTCCTGTTTTGTTTGCTGGAGGCATCATGATGGCATGTTTATGATGACAGAAAAATGAATTGGTAACCCATTATTTGTGTTCCTAAAGAGAATCCTCGAGCCAGATGACTTCCTAGATGACCTGGATGATGAAGATTACGAGGAGGACACACCTAAAAGAAGAGGCAAAGGGAAGGGAAAGGTAATCAACTCTCTGAACTCTCTCTTCCTGTTTGTTTGTTTGTTTGTTTGTTTGTTTGTTTGTTTGTTTGGTTGGTTGGTTGGTTGGTTGGTTGGTTGTTTTGGTTGGTTGGTTGGTTGGTTGGTTGGTCGATTGGTTGGTCGATTGGTTGGTTGCTTGGTTGGTCGATTGGTTAGTTGCTTGGTTGGTTTGTTTTTAACTTTCTTAACATCTGTGTCCTCAGGGTCGAGGTGTGGGCAGCACCAGGAAGAAGCTGGACACCGCTGCACTGGAGGACAGAGACAAGCCCTACGCCTGTGACAGTGAGTCTGGATGGGGGAGGGTGGATCAGATGACCTTATGTTAACAGGTGTAATGTTTGGTGTCATGTTTGTAATCCAATCAAGCAAAGACTCAGCGTCAGCCTTCGGTCTTTATTGCCTCCTTTCACATCTTCTCCTCTTCCTCTCGCTGTACTTTATCATTTTCTTGCAAACTTCCTAAACCTGATGCGTATAAAGCTTGTCTAAAGTCAGCTTTATTCTCCTCTTTGTCAGTGATATCATACATGTCTTGAACTTGTTATTCAATCTGTATGTGCGGGGTGGAAGTTTTTCTTCTTCTTTTTAGTGTTGTTGGGCTATATCTGTACTGCTTGATGTGTTTTTTCCTCTTTTGTGAAGCATTTTCACTTTTCAGCCGGGTTCTCAGCAGTGACTGACTGATTCTCTGTCGGTCTATTTCTCTGAGTCTCTTCTGCTCTCTCTCTCTCTTCTCCCTCTCTTCTCTCTTTCAGACACTATCAAACAAAAGCATATTTCAAAACCTTCTGAAAGAGGTATACTTCTCTCATTCTTTTTTACTGCCTTGTCTTTTGTCTTCACTGCCTGTGTTTTCCTCTGATTTCTGTCTAGTAGATTTGCTCCTTGTGTAGATTAGTCATAGCGTAAATGTTGTGTACTGCACAAATTACCCATATGTCCTTAACGAGGCTTAAAAGAGGTCATGACCATGTTGTTATACTTCTCAATTAAACAGCAGTCTGTGTAATTCGAGCCGTCTCAGCCACAAGAGCTAAGCTTTGGCCCATGAAAGTGTTTTTTTCCCTTCGATCTGGCCCTGAACTCCCCACAGATTTAGATAAGCTTGAACTGCTGCTATTTCCCTCTCTGCGCTCTTGTCTTATGTCTCATTGCTTATGCGTGCACATTGTGACTGCATTACACCTTTTAGTCCTTGTTTTTCCCCTTCACTCATCTTCACCACCCTGCAACCTGTTAAATCTGATTCCACGTCTATCTTTGCTTTTAAGTCACTTTGATGCATTTTAGATCTTTTCAGTGAGTTTAATCTCTCTGCCGCGGCACGCAGTCGGTTGGCATGTGACGAGCAGTGTTTCAGTCGTTTTGTTTTGCAGAAGCTAACCACCCGTTCGTGTGTCGGGGAAATGAAAATGAGAGAAATTATGGAAGTGAAAGGAGAAGTATTTTCTCTTTGGGTGTTAATCTTATGACAAACCTCACACATCCGCTGTAACAAAGACAGTGCCATCGTTGTCCTCACTTATATGAGTAAATCCTCTTAACACAGAGCTACTGGCTTTATCTACCATGCTACGAACAGAGTATAGATTCAGAGCAGAAACATTAACAACAGCTACGGTTGTAACATTTGAAGCCAATCTATAGATTTTAGTTTGAAACATGGAGGTGTAGCGAGTGATGGGACCCAAAAATAAATAAAAGAAGGCCAATAGATGTAATCCAGAGATCCAATCTGTGGTGCTGAGGTGCTTCCTTAATGCTTTATTAGATAAATAAATTAATAAATAAATGATGTGATGACGCATGTTGTTCGAGCATGTCCATGATAATCTCAAATTTCTTCACTATGCCTCATTTTTCCATCTTATCTCTGACCGATGTATCATCATGTTGTCAGGGCTTTACGGGTATTAAGCCAAAAGCAGGATTAAACAGAAGTGTCTGTTGTTCCAGAGACATCATCACTTTAATGCACCCGAGTGACATCAACGAATTAAATCGATTTAGCTCGGCTCCCTCTGGATCAACAAAAGGCCGCATAGTTCTAGTAATAATATACAAGATCTGCAAAGAATCAAAGAACTGACTCATATGGAAATTTGGTGGAGTTCCCCTTTAAGGCCCAGTGAAGATATTGGGCACGTAGGTTATATCATGTTCTTGTTCAGGCCGTAAAGTCAGATTTTATGTTCTGTTATCTGTATAAACACAAAGACTAAGACAGTAGAAGTGATGCATAGTACTCTCTGAATCTCAGCTGTTACTAATATCTTAATCTCTTAAGTGTAAGCGCCATGACAGCAGCAGTTGATCGAGTCCTCCATGACTCACCCCTCTTTTCACCTACTGAGTCCATAGAAATTGTAATTATCCATTTTTCCCCTGTTTTTATTTATAAGCTTTGTTTTCTGGTTTTGGTGGCAGTTTGTGGGAAGCGTTACAAGAATCGTCCCGGCCTGAGCTACCACTACACCCACTCCCACCTGGCTGAGGAGGAGGGGGAAGAAAAGGAAGAGATGGAGATCAACGAGCCTCCTCTGCCGCTGCCCAGTGAGCCCAAAAGTAAGAACATGATACCCTGGCCATATTTCCCCATTAGTTAAGACCTGGACACTGATGCTGTCTGGGTATTTTTATCTTGTTCTCAGCTCCGAAGAAAGGTCCAGATGGGCTTGCGCTGCCTAATAATTACTGTGATTTCTGCCTGGGAGACTCCAAAACCAATCACAAGACCGGCCAGTCGGAGGAGCTTGTGTCCTGCTCTGACTGCGGACGATCAGGTGGGTGGGAGATAAACAGCTGCCAGAGTGGAGCAGCATCAGGGGAATACTATTAATTAATGCAGCTGACAAGGTGTGAGTCTCTGCAGCTAAGTGAAGTGATTTAATTTTGCATCACACAGGCCACCCTTCTTGCCTGCAGTTCACTCCTGTTATGATGGCAGCAGTGAAGACGTACCGCTGGCAGTGCATAGAGTGCAAGTGCTGCAACATGTGCGGCACCTCGGAAAACGACGTGAGTTCACCTGCATTCAAACAAAGTTCCTAATATTTTAATCTTTTTTGTTTTTATAAACCACTCACACAGTCTTATCCCATTTCTTCCAGGATCAGCTTCTGTTCTGCGATGACTGTGATAGAGGTTATCACATGTATTGTCTCAATCCACCTATGTCTGAACCTCCAGAGGGTACGTTCAAAACCTACTTCGTGATAATGGTTATATTTAAAGGGATATTCCAGCGTAAAATTAAGTTAAGCTCAAACACACTAAAAAACCGAGATAGACACCTCCGTTGAGAGATAAATGTTGCTTCTGTGGTTATACCAGCGGTAGTAACAATGGCACGATAGCAATACACAGAGCCACGCACTCAAAAAAAAACACCACTCTATAGCCACAAATAATGCTCAGAACAGCACCTAACTTCATCAACAGTACATATAGGCTCCCAGCCACAGTACTAGCCACCAAACATCTTTTTAACTTTGCCTAATTTCTTTAGCAAAGAGACTAAACACAACTCACCTACTCTCTTCCAGCAGCCGCTTGTTTGTACGGAGACCTCCGGGCGAGTCAATCGACTGCAGTGGGGTGACGCAGCTCAAGGAAGAACATTTATGATTATTACTTTATCATTTCCTTAAAGTAAAAATCACCATATTAATCGTCTCGGTCTGATTGCATTTCCATTGAGAAATTATCATAAATGTTCTTCCTTGAGCTGCGTCACCCTGCTGTAGTCGATAGACTCGCCCGGAGGTCTCCGTACAAACAAGTGGCTGCTGGAAGAGAGTGGGTGAGTTGTGTTTAGTCTCTTTGCTCATGAAATCAGGCAAAGTTAAAAAGATGTTTGGTGGCTAGTACTGTGGCTGGGACCCTATATGTACTGTTGATGAAGTTAGGTGTTGTTCTGAGCATTATTTGTGGTTATAGAGTGGCGTTTTGGTTGAGCGCGTGGCTCTCTGTATTGCTATCGTGCGGTCATTACTAAAGTTGGTATAATTAGAGAAGCAAGCGGTCAGCAACATTCATCTCTCAACAGGGTGTCTAACTCGGTGTTACGGTGTGTTTGACCCTAAATTAATTTTATGCCGGAATATCCCTTTAAGTCAACTGAGCTCCTCGGCAGCTTCTGGAAATCTGTTAGATTTATGCAGAAAAGTTTAGGTATCAAAAGTGTATCCTCATTTCAGAGATACAAACTTGTTTTCTGATTCAGTTTGGCACCTTTAAGCCTGTCTGAGATTTATTTAACGTCTTCTGCACTCAGGGAGCTGGAGTTGTCATCTATGTCTGGACCGTTTGAAAGACAAGGCATCCATATACCAGAACCAGAACGCCCCACAGTCGTGATGGTCGCCCCCACCCCCCCCCTCCTCTTCTGCACACAACTGATCACTCAACCGTCCCCGGCTGTTATTGTTTACCCTGAGAGACCGATGACAAACTCCCCTGATGAGCTGATGGTGGAGGGAGTGTGTTCAGAGCAGACGAGTGTGAAAAGGGAACAGTCCCTTACCTAACTGGCCTCACTTAGCTTCTTCAGTCATGATTGTTGCACAGTTCCAAGCTCAGATTCTGACCTATTTAATTATTATTTTTAACTTTTTGCCCTGCAGCCAACTTAAGAAGTACTGAGTTTTAAGATTTTAAAAGCCTAATAAGCCAAATTTTACTTCCTGTTCAGTTTTTTTGTATACACATGCCTACACAAAGTTGCTAAAAAACTCTGTACTAATTTTTCGAGGATAGCAGAAAAAGAGCTTGGAATCATGTAGCATGCTTGTGCTTGCTATCAAAAAAGAGATGTTTTATAATATTTATATATTTCTATGGTATATAATAGTGTGAAGTATGTACAAATTGGAAAGAAGGTCATGCAATGATCGTTTCATTAATGCCCATCTAATCATTATGAAGAAAACCATAACCACCTATTCTTTTATGGCGCTACTGATAATTGGAGTTTTACTCGATAAAGTCAAAGGGATCATGACTGAATGTGATATTTGTCTTGTCCACAGCCACCTGTAACAACGATGAACTTATCAAAGTGGTTAAAAGACTGAGCGATCAGAAGCAGGTTCGACTTGTGGCTGAAAGCGGCTGCAGTTGGCACAAGAATTTTTTCACTCAGGCTTTGGAGCCTTTGACAAATCTGGTCTTTACTCTGGTCCTGGAGACCGCAGAGGTACAAGCAGACACGATTCTGAATCCTGACTGAAAAGACTTTTCAATCTGCTCACCTGGCCTTTGTCAACAGATACGATAATATCAGAGCGGTTATGGTTATTCCATTCAAATTATAAAGAAATTTTATTTTCAATATCAAGCAGGTAAAGGGGTTAAAAACACCGTCATTGCTGTGTTCTAGCAGTTTGATGATCATGCATCATATCAAATAACTTTTAATGTTGTGACACCACTAGATTTATTTAATAGTAGTGACTTCTACGCTACTTTGCAGATGGTCACTTGCAGGCGGTGTGAAAGCAATATAAGAGCTCCTGAAGGATGCTGGAACGACAGGGACTGACTGCAGAGTCGCTTTAGGCTCTGTTGGCAGATAATGTGCGATACTGTAAATTTTCTATCTAAAAACATTCTATTACAGATCAGAGACTGAGGCAACAACTATGGATGAATCCATATTGTAAAAAAGAGATTATAATGTGTTGATGTACAGTCCTATGGAGAAACGACTCTTTGTTACTGCTTGCGTAGATTTATTATGCAATGGTTTCCTTCTGTGGCAAGGCTACAAGAAAAAGTCTGTCTGAACTGCTAAAGCAGTTACTTTACCTCAAAACGAAACAGTATTTAAGGGATTGAGACATGCTGTTGATAGACGGGACAAAGGCAGCGTGATCAATAGCAATGAAATGTGCAGTGTCTGCTTCAATTACTGCATATTCTACTGGTAAACAAGTGCATGCTCAGTAAGTGTCTGCACTCTCTTAAACTATGTAGTCATGTCAGCGTTAGGTCGGCAGAGGTGATGGGAAGTGGTGTAGTATAAATTAACCATGCTATCATGTTTCAATAGCCAACTAACAATAACTAAAGCATTACACAAGTATAACTTGGTTTATTTTCTCATCACGTGTAAACTTACTTCTTTAGCGCCTGTGGCTGTTAGAGTATTTTGCTGGTTTTTTGTATTCATGGATGACAATGTTTGCATATTTGATGTGTGGAACATTTTGGGACTTAAGTGGATGTTGCTTTCTAGTTAATCCTGTGATCCAGCTCTAAACTGAACTGCTATCTCCCAAAGCTGGAAATGACATGCAAAGTCCATCATGTGATCAAATAGTGGATTTACACATGTGAGACTGAATGGTGAAGAACTGGTGGACCCAGCACCCAACTTCAAGGCTTTAGTAGGAATACAGTCCACCTGTTGTTGTCAGAATGTGTTTTCAGTATCATTGTGTTTTCAGTCTCCAGCTTTGGGAGAGAAATGTTCATGAAGACAAAGTTTGAAGCTAGATCATGGGTTTACAGAGCAGGTGAAATCTCTTGGGGTGAACTTTTATTTGGATTGTGATGGAATGTTTTATTGTAAGAAATTTGTCTTCAGGAAAATAAAATACTAGGCACTATAGTCTGCATCTTCCCCCTGTCTTTTTCCACCAACCATTCACAACTGTTGGACTGTTTATGAAACAGTCTTTACCTCAAGAGTGGCTTGATATCAGGGAGTGTGACAGCTGTAGTGAAGACAGTTGTGTGTCGGAGCCTTTGATGCATTGACTCCAGTCTCAGTCCACTCTTTGTAAAGCTCTGCTGATTCCTTAAACTGACTTTTCTCCATTCTCCTCTCTAGGCTGTGGTCATCCCTGTTGCTAGTGCTCATTTCCCTCTCACAACAATGACCACCTTATTCTTATCATGGAGGGACTTTGGGACAGCTGACAAATCACTGACTGCAGGGATCCTTGTGATTCTAGTTGCATGTCCTGACCTGACTATATGGTATTTATACTGTTTAAATGGTAATTTACTCAAAGTAGAAATAAAATGTAATATTTTGACATTTTTGAGTTTTAGGCCATGACTTTCTTAATTAAACAGAAAAAAAAAATTCAAATATTTTAGTTTTATGAGCCATGAGCCAAAATCATCAAAAAGAGAAAACATCAGAAGGTTAAAATGTTAATTTTACAACACATTCAAACTTGCAGATGACATCCAGATATGTAGGTACATGGCACTGCGGTTATTTGTGGGTGAGCCAGACTGATAATACATGCCAAAGAGTAAAAGTCAGCTCAGCATCAGTTATCAAGTTTAACACAAAAAAACACAAACTAAGACAGACACCATGGTCAAGTCATTGACTGACTTTGGAAACTAGTTCAAGAAGGTCTTTTAATTTGATCAGATTTGGAAGGACTTTTCTAAGAATTGATTGAGAGTGAGACCAGAGTAATGTACTACAGTTTGATCTGGGACAGATACAGCCAGGAGAGGCCAGATTAAAAAAAAATACTGTTTTTTTAGTAGTATGGCACAAATGGTGCATCATGTAACCAGGGAACAGGGTCTTGTGCTGCACTTTATTATTTTTCTGTCTGTTTCTAATCTCTGACTTTGTCTTTCTTTAGAATAATAGTTTTAAATGTATCTTTGTTTGACTTGAACCTTTTTAATTCACTGCTTTTTCACTTTTCCTGATTTTGATTTGTGCTCCAATAGAAGCAAACCAACAATATAGAGGTCAAAGCACACCAAATTGTTTTTACTTATACAGTTCAGGTTAAAGTATCTCAACCGTAAAAATCACTGCTGTATAAGACCTGCAGACAGGTTTGAGCATTCTTATTATTTGATAAAGGATACTGACGTGAATAAACCTTTGGAGGCAGATCTGTAAACTGAGAAACACGTTAATGTTCTTACTGTAAGTACTTTGAGTTCTGAACTGAACAAACTGCACGATAGAAAAAAAATCTGTTCCAGTCTTTTTGTATTTTCTAGCCTACACCACTAGATGGCAGTCAGGTCCCTCTTTTCATTGACTGCATTAAGAAGCACGTCCACTCACCACAGGTCCACCACCAGAAAACAGGAGCAAGACATAAATTGTTATTGCACTTTTTTTTTTTATTTGACTCAGGAGACAACAGTATGGTGGCCCGTACAGTAGTCCTCTATGACCCCGTAAGATCTCTACGCAATAAGTTTTCAAACTTAAAAAACATCCTACCTGCAACATCACAGCAGAAGAAACAGAACATTCAATGTGGAAACATGAGTACTGCAGATCAGCTGTTTGGTTTGGTGCTGTTGTGTCTCTGCAGAGCAGTGACAAGAGTATGGAGATTATTACCCTTTTGTTTTAACACATGAGCTTAAAACAATGACTCCACACGGCTGAGTGAAAAGGACTGACCAGCTTCAAAACATTCTGTGAATCAACTTCAAGCTATTTTCCTGATATTTTGACAGTATATCCACCACCTAACGATGGATAAATGCATCAAAACTTCTGAAAAAGCCATGTCAGTAGGTATGATCAAATATTATCAAATCCTATGTAACTTAAAGAAGAGAAAAATTATAAAGTTAGGCTGAAAAAAAGTGTTTTTGAGGCAATTTAGTTTTCACTGAAATAATTCTCATGATTAGAAACAGCGCTCTGTCAATGTTGTACGTGAACAAACAGAACTGTACAAAAGAAATTCAGAACAAGAACACAGCAAAAGAAAAACCCGCCAGCTTCATGTGAGAACTAATTTACACTACCATGACACGACACTGACATATTCTAGTCATTCTGAAAAACCTCTTTAAAAGAACTATCTCTAAAAAGTCCTTTGAAACTGTAAACATGAGCTTCATTTTATTGTGATCTCTAACATAAATTAAGTTGTCAATGAAGCAATATTTAAATAGAAGATAAAATCTTAGGGCTGAAAAGATTTAAGACACAGCTACCATCAAAATCATAACAAAGAAGTGCTCATCACACACATAATTACAGCTTTTATATTTCACTGAACAGTCTGACAAACTATTCATTCATCTTGTTACAAGAATTCACTTTTACATGAAGTGTCCTCTAAAAGTATCAAAAACACCACAAAACTAGTCTCTGTCAGACAGTCATTTCTGTAAAACTATGTCATTTGAACATTTACGAAGAGTAAAAAGTTTGTCATGTAGACAAAGATCATAATTATACAGCCATTTGAAATCAAGACAAACAGATTGCTTGTTCCTTTCGGTGGACGACTGAGTTCAAATTCATCATATTGCCAAAGTGCGTCAATGTTTCTGACTGTTATGAGTGTATGGAGGAGGTTAGGTATATATGGATATGGGAGCCAAGCAGACCTACAAATACAGTAAATGTATGTGAGAGTGGTTTTTCTGAGAGTTTGAACGTGTTCCACCAAAAGGAAATAATAATAAAGTGTACAAAAAAAACAAAATAAACATCGATTGTCGTACCTAAAGAAGAATTATTACTACTAACCTGCACTCAGTCATCAACGTTTGTGACACTCCTAGAAGTACATTAAATATTAGATTACACATAATAAGATCTTTAGGAATACTTCAACACTATATTAATCTCTGTACGTACATTTAGCTGTACCAATACTTGCTCAGAAGCAGTGAGGCAAAATTGTCAATATATAATCACAACAATGTGCATTTTTATATCAGTGTTTCTATTCTAAAAGGCTCCTGGCAAACACACACACACACACACACACACACATATACACACGCACACATACACACATACAGTATACTGAAACATCTCCCCCTCTGTTCAGGGGTTCATTGCTGTAGTTCAGTGTCACCTGCTACATTTGAATGCATGTAAATACCTTCACACTCACGCTAAAGTCAGCTAGGGTGTACATTCAAAGGATAAAAGTAGTTGAACGAGAGGCTAAAGCCTGACGTGGCAGGTTGAGGAACATATCTTCATCTTTTTCCCTTAAAAAAGGTGTTTGAACTCTTCAGACTGTTGACAACATTATTGTGTTAAAGAAGGCCGCTAAAACTAGGATACCGTAAAAATACATCGATATTTACAAAATCTTTAAATCTTTTATCTACTTTCCCAATTCTCATGAACAGAATATTGTCGCTATCCGGTCTCTGCTACAATCTTGTTGTTTTCTCTGTGTTGTAACCCTCTTAGATTTCATGTAGTGGTCGTCTCATTTTCACACGTCTCCCGCCACGCTGAAAATAGTACCTGTAACTTGTTTACCCCCCTGTATGTGCATATCGCACCGTTTGTTAGTGCTGCCACATCTAAAAATGGTTGATCTTTCTTCACACGCTGCTGCTGATTCTCAGGGTACAAATGCAAGTAAACAAAGCCTCCGTTAGGGTTTTAGTTTTCTGAATAGTGGATAAAATCAGCAGCTGAAATTCCCTGTACCCTGCTTTTAAAAATATTAAAAACCGAAACAAATGAATCAAATTGTCACCTCAGTCTTCCTCCTTCCTTCTACTAATGCAGCTCCTTGTATTTCAGACTCACCACATGGGTGATTCATAGGAAATTTATAAGTAAAAGGCAGTGTGTCAGCTTTTGGGCAAAACTCACTCAAAATTGACATCAATAAAAACATCTGATACTTGTAAAGAGACGGTAATAAATATTCATTCACAAGCTAATTTTGAGTTTAGGTGGAATTTGTGACTTCTAGGGATGTTGTAGATATCAGAGATATTTACTTATTCAACAAATGGGAAACATAATGCCAAGCTGTTGGACAGTAAAATATGTATTATAATTTTGACCAAACATTTGTGAGCGGAAACAAAACCACAACACCTCTGTATAACCATAATTTGTTGATGTTGCCTCTCGTCTCTGCCATCTGCTGTCTCTTTAAATTTCTCTAATTTACTAAATATTTGAAAAACTGAGTTAACACCACTCTGTAAAAGAGTTAAAAACAAAAAACAGTGCTATTGATAAAGGACCGCAGTGTGTTTGTGTTACAGCAGCATCCCAGTGAATCCAACAGAGCTGCACTGAAACTCTCATGAGGAACTTGAGAAAACGTCCCCTTGTTTTTTTTTTTTTCTTTTGGCTTCATGGCTTGAAGCCAAATGTGAAAAAAAAAAGGTGGATACTCAGCAGGTCGTGTGATGGGGCTGAACTTCAACCAAGAGACTTCACATGTGCCCGAAGAGGATGGAGCAGAGCAGGAAGATGGCATAGAGAAACATCAGGCCCAGACCCAGCCGGCGATCGAGCCTCCAGTGGTTCAGGTGGACACTCATCACCTGAGAGCAGAGAGAGCAGGTGAACTTAGTCGGTCATTTTTATCTGTAAATTAGAGCTTTTTTTGTTGAAAACGGCAACCAGGGGTCGAGGCGTAACTAAAGTAAACTTAGATAAGTAAATCTCCACAGCAACATGTAGTAGAAGTTAAAACACACCGAAACTTTTCCTTGTGAGCAAACACGAAACTACAGCTCCCCTGAAAAAGTAACAGCACAGCAGGGCGAGTTTTTATCATACTTAGTTTCGTAGATCTGCCATCTATTCTGTTGTCACACATTCACACTGTCCTCTGTGTCCTCTCTGCCCTGCTGTCATGAGAAAGGCTGTGCTCTAAGGCTGTTTCTCAGCTTTCTCTATGACTGTTCTGTTTTCCTACATTTGGCCTGCAAGTACCCAAGTAATAATCCGACAGGAGAATGACTGACTCATTTCAACACGTTTGCAAAAACAACAAAAAAAAATGGGCTCCAACTGGTAAATCTCTTTCCTTACCGTCAGAAAGACAGAAGCTAGCAGCAGGATAACAGAATACACCAGACCTTTATTGTTTATCGAAACCTGTGAGAGGAAACAACGCAGATAGAAGTAATTTTGATCACTATCTCGCACTCAAGTAGACATCAGAAAATCAGGAGTATTGCTAGGAAAGAGAAATCGGTATCGCAGAATGATAAAGTGTCAGCGTACTGAGGATCCATGGTCCACTACGAGGGTTCGCAAGGCCCAGGGGAAGCCCAAACCCAGCAGGATGTCAAAGATATTGCTGCCTATAGAGTTAGATACTGCCATGTCCCCCATGCCTGAAAGAAACATGAAGAGCATAAGAGAAAATCTGCAGACATGAATTAAGAAGGGAAAGACTTAAGACTTGTCGAACAAGACTCTGAATCAAGTTTTTCACCTTGTCGAGCCACAATCAGACTTGCCATACAGTCTGGTACGCTGGTTCCTGCCGCCAAGAAGGTGATACCCATGATGTAGTCTGGGATGTCTAATGTGTAACTGATGATGGTGACCTGGAACATCACAAACATTAGAGTTAAGCAGTCAGCTGATAAATGAGTGATTCTTGCTCATGCTGTACAGTTATTAACACAGACGCACACAGAGAGTACGTTTGGGATCTCTTACCATCCAAACCATGAGGTAGGAGAATATGGCGATCCACAGAGTAGATGCCACAAAGGTGACCATGAACCAGCGGTGCCAGCGCGGCAGAATACAGTTAGGCACAGTACAGTAGAGCAGGAGGCCCAGAGGCCATGTGATCACCCACTTCACTCGTGCACAGCAGCCACCTGTGGAGACCAGGAAATCAGCCAGTCAGTCAGTGAGCATGTGATAAATTTACAGACGTTTGTTGAAGATAAACTAAAAAACTTTCATTGCACTGCTACAAAGGACGAGGTGGGGATACCTTATTTCTCTTGCCATAGAACCTTTGGTCATGTTATTAAAGTCATTTGTTGGTTTCAAGCAAAAGAAAAAGTCTGCAATCTCTCTTTGTTTGATGACGATCTACCACTTTATATGATAGAGTGCAAAAAGAAAACAAAAAAAAAAGACAAGCAAGAAATCATAAAGGTTTGAAGGCAATTGCAGGTTAAATCTTCTTGCTCACCCGGTATGCGCAGAGGACGAAAAATCTCATCTTCATCATCCTCCTCTTCCTCTGTCTGGCACGCCTCAGCCCCTGGCTTGTCTCCTGACTCTGTGTCTCCCATCCTATGTCCCCTGCCTCCATTCTCCAGGCTACAGGATCCTGACCTTTTCAGACTATTGCTGGCTAGCCCACCTCGGGACCCTGAGCTGGCCTCGCCATCCCGCTGGTTCCTGGAACTCTGGATCAGTCTCTGTCTCTGTTAAAGAAGAACAGGAAGATTTTGTAGCAGAGTTTTCAAGGATTGTGTGATCAAGTGTGACATGTGTGTGTTATCTACCTCGCTGATGAGCATCCGCCCCGCCATGGAGAGTCTGGTGCGGGGGGAGAAGTGTGGAGTGATCATGATGCGCAGGCCGGCCTCAGAGAAGGACAGTTTGTGGGGGTTGAGGATGAGGAGCTCATCCACCATGACGACCGGAGGAGGCTCCTGGCTGTTGACTTGACCTGTGAAAAGACAAAACACAGAAACACACTTGATACTTTCTTTTCACAAATGTTCAGACACAAAGAAGCACAGAAGCAAAGGCTCTTCTATTTCCCTCTGACCTTTGTTGATAAGCACCATGGAGGTGTTGCAGCCAGAAGCATCCTCTCCCATCTTGACGTCTCTGTGACCCTCGGACACATGGCAGCACGGCCTGGAGCTCCTCAGTTTATGGGTCACAAACACCATAAGCTGGGAGTTGAACCTTTGACCAAAAACACACTTTTTTTCTTACATCCGCATAAACAAATTATCCAGGCTTTGAAGAAGTGATGAGGATGGTTTCATAAACTTACTTCATGATTATAATGTAGATTACATACATCGTCATTAGGGACAAGGCCTCCCACCTACACAGCAACAAGTGAAATGTGTTACAGCATAAAACACAACAAAGTTTCCAACCTAGAATTTACTTTGTAGAAGTTCTGTCATGATATATATTCAGGTATTTAGTTTTCCTCTGATTTTTTGTCTTTTGAGTTTATTTTCTTTGTGATTTTTCCTCGTGTTTCTGTTCCCCTCTAGTCTTGTCTTGTGAGTTTTAAGTTTGTGTCTGACCCCGGTTCCCTCACGTTCTCAGTGTTTTATTCTTTATCAGTTTTCAGCTTTTCCTGTTTTATTTTGAAGTAGTTTATTCCCTGTGTTTCTAGTCTTCTTTTACTCAGTTTTCCCTCCTGTAATTGTCTGCACCTGTATCTCGGTGTCTCACCTGCCTCTCGTTGCTCGTTTCCCTGTGTGTGAATATATAGTCCTTGTCTTCCCTTGTTTCTTAGTCGGTTCATTGTAAATGTATGTTGTATGTCGATGCCTCCTCATGTATGCCTGTGTCTCCAGTGAGTCTCCTTGTGATTTTTGTTTATTGTGATTTTTGCCTCTTGTGTTTTTGCCTTCGGGAGTTTTTCTGTTGGACATTCAAAGTAGGTTTTTGTTGCTTTTTATCTACTTCATTTTGAATAACCCCTTTTTTTTTTGTTGTCCGGCATTTCAGGTCCTTTTTTCTGTTTTCAACCTCGCCATCGCGACATGTTCCTGTTTGTGAACTGCTGAAGGAGAGCTCAGTCATATTTATACTTGTGAAGTACAAACACAGCACCGAGGGCTCTGTACGAGATAACAGAGCCAGCCAATAAACACAACTGTGTACTCCTAAAACACTTGAACTTCATCAGCAGCTGTTCTGCTCAGCCCGTACTCAGGCTGGCCGCCACTGCTCATGTGAAGACGAGTCTCTCAAACTGTCCAAGCTTGCTGTAATTGAAGCGAACTGAGACATAAATCTGACACGCTGCATTCAGAGGAAGGACAGTAAGGTGAAATACATGAAGAGAGACTTGGCACTCTTCAGTTTAATTAAGAAGCTGCGTTATAGGACAGATGAATCCTCAGCAACAGCTGACATTAGATCCACAAATAAATCTACTCTTTCATTAAAACCTCAAACTACAAAAAGGTTTTTATTTCACTACTTTGTTGATATAATTTATTCCTTTTTATTTTGTTAATTTGATATTCTTTTTTTACCCCTTTTGTATTTGTATTGTTTTTCTCATTATTACTTTCATTACTGCCATGTGTTTAATGTGGTTGCTGTTGTTTGAACACACAAAAAAAAAATAAAGATATGTTTAAAAAAAATAAAAACTACAAAAACGTAAAAGGTGGATCAAGTTGAAAACATTCAGATTATTCAGCAGAAAAGAGCACAAAAGAAATAACCTGAACAAATGTTTTCAAATGAATGTAAGAGCCTCCTTCACATTAATGAAATACGACTCATTTCCAGACAGATTCTGAACTGAAGTGATCCTCATACCCTCTGCTGACACAGCTATCATAAATATCTACAGGGAGCCACATATTCAGTTGTTTTTTTTTTTAATTATGGAGCATAAATCAGGAGAGCAATTGATTACACACTCACTGATTGTTCAACTTGTTGACACCTTCCTCTTCGTGATTGCAATAACAGCCAAATGGCAGAGATTATTGACTCCAATCAGTCAACAAAGAGATAATTCTGATATGTTTCAGGATGAATACAAAGTAGAGCACAGCTTGCACAGTTAGAAGTCTGTGATATCTTCTTGTTTTAATCATCATCACTTTTTTCTCTTAAAGAACAGGCACAAAAAAACTTTGTAAAGGTCAGTGTACTCACCAGACAACTCTGGCATCATAGATAACCTAAAGAGAGGAAATGTAGATTCTTCAACAAACCATGTAGAAGTTTGAAAGTTGAACAAAAATCATGCTGATTGATATAATGAAAAGCTCATCTCACTATGATGAGAGCCAGCACAGAGAGGATGTAGTAGGAGGAGTCTCTGAAAAGGGACCACCAGGTCAGAACGACTGTCTGCAATGAAAAGAGAAACGTCAGTGTCGGATCATTCAGGAACAACCTGCCAATAGTTGTTCTTACCTGTCCGGCAAAGATCCCACTCAGGCCAATGATGACCAGGATGTTAAAGACAGCTGAGCCCACGATGGTACCGACTCCAACGTCTCCTTTAGTAATGAAGACACCTGTAGCAGCAGAGAAGGAAGCAAATGAGGGCAGTAGGCATCTGGTTTTGATTTTTTAATGATTAGATTAAATCCTGAAGATCTCCTGGCTCCTCTCACTCATAACAGAAAAATTCACACATCTTTGCAGTTCCTGCTCTAAGCTGTGTTACCCCCGCAGACAAACTCAGTGTCCTCTTTTAAATCTCCACCTAAAACTCACTGGTATCATTTGGCTTTTCCTTGAGCCTTGGCTGAGTTGTTTTTGTCTCCTTCACCTTTTATTATTGAAGCATCTAACCTTCTGACTGATCTGCTTTTATCATAAGACCTGTCTTATAGCTGCTGTCTTGCCTTGTTGAGATTATTTGATTTGATATCTGGTTTAAACTGTCAGGCATTTTGTAATCTGTCACCTTAAAAGTTTAAAGATTAAAAATCACACTGCTGACACCTCCTGGATGACTGTGGCACTGCAGGGACAAACTGGAGTTCCTAAATAAATCTGAAATAAGTGAGTCTTACGATTTGATTTTTTTTTCTCAAAATGTACTTAGTCTTGATCTGCTGAGTCACTAACCAATGAGAGAGGTGAAGAGCTCTGGAGCAGAGCTCCCCGCTGCCATGAAGGTCGCTCCAGCCACATCTTCACTGAGCTGCAGGTTCTGAATAACAATGATAATAAGAAGAACTGTCACATATTATTCCCACTTTAAAAAAAAAGCTATCTGGAGTCATTTTGTCATGTTTCCTCACCTCAGATATTTTCTCAAGGGAGGGGACAAAGTAGTCGTCACAAACGATGGCCAGGGCGTAGAACATGTAAATGGCCTGGAGAGAAGAGAGGAGAGGAGCTCATAGGAGAGACAAGAAACCTGAACATTTTCTCAAGTAAATATCTGAGGGTCTGTTTAGTATTTTTATTATAATGCTGTCAGATCTCACTTTGAAGTGCCAAGGATATAAATAAAGTGACTTTCAGATGGTTGTGTGTGAAACACTCACACAGAGTGCGTGCAGTAACACAGCTCCTTTCTTCCTCTGCTCCTTGGTGAAGATGTCCTCTGGAAACTCATGGATGGCTGCAGAAAGACACAAGAGATGAGCGTGTTGCAAAATGAAACATGTCATTATTTAACAGACATACTGTCGGGCATGAAGTTAGTAATTGCCAGTAAAAATATACACAATGATACAGGGTATCAGATAAGGGGAGTATGTTACATATTATTTTTCATATCCTTCTTCATCCTTTAAATGTACAGTCTTGGCAATGGTATTAATGTACATCAAGACATTTGAAATCAAACATAAGGATTTTTTATTTTATTTTTACTTAACCTTTATTTAACCAGGAAATATCACCATTGAGATTAAGTGAGTCCTGGCCAAGAGGCAGCAAACACAAACTACAGTTAGATATTGACATAAATAAGACACAGAACTTAAACACATTATGAGAAACAAGCACATATTGTGCAATTGGCCTCAATAACTCTCAGTTTGGATTTAAAAGTGCACGAAGAAATTAAGTCAGTTAGTTTCCAAGTCTATTAAATAAAAATATAAACATAAAGGTTTAATTTAAGTGTATTCCCATGTGTCTTCTCTTTGAAACGATTTCTTTTAGACTCTAAAAAAAAAACAATAACATCATGTTGACACACTTGTTGGAGAAGCACTGAAAACTGAGACAGGAAGTGAGTTTGAAGCGAAACTGGCAGCTGCTTCCTGTCTTTCCTTGAGTGTATAAGATAAAAAAAAAAAACACTGTTAATGACGCAGCAGCCTCCTTCTACTCCCCTGACGTTACATCAGAGATCCTGGAGAGTGGGGTACATTTCCAATTTACAACTCTGTGCCGAGCTGGATGAATTCAAACTACTGGGGAGCTTGGAGCTATAAATAGCTCTTCTGCTGTGTGAGACAACAGTGGGTCGACATGCACACAATGAGCGTAGCCGGCGCTGTGCACGCTGTACCACTGCTGCATGGAAACTGAACACCAGACTGTATGGATTAAGAGAGGACCTCTCATGTGGTTTGAGATGAGATCCTCCAGACAGCGTGGTGCTAGAGAAGAGGAGGAGGAGGAGGAGGAGGAGGAGGAGGAGGGGAGATGTCCTGTTAGAAAACGTAAATGTTTGTGCAGTGGTGTTTACACGTTTGTGTCCATGCCAGAGAGCAACACAGTGCGTCTTTGCCAAAATGCTGGATTGTCGGGATGCTTGCAGTGATTGATTCTTGTGCTTTGGCTTCAAGGCGTAAGAGTTAGTTTGTTGTTTTTCTCATTGAAGACCGGTTTGAACTGATTTTCTTTCTTTTTTAAATTTTGTTTAAAAAAAGAATCTTATACCAAGCACATCTAAAACACAACAAAAAAGGCTCACAGTCTAATTGAGAAAAAAGACAGGATGATCAAACCAAGAGAAAAATAACTTGGAGCTTCAGACGGGATCAATCTTATCAGTTTTCTTAAAGGACATGAAATAAGCTGTGATTTTTTGTTTGTGAAGCATCAAAAATCTGAAGAAAAAGAAAAAGAAACTTAGTTGATTAATAAACTGTTGTATTATTTCAAAACTGAGATAAATAAAGTAACTCAGTTTAAATCATGCGAGGACAACACCCTGCTTTTTTACAAGCCATTTGTTTCTGCAACACAGAGCTCATCCAAACAGCTTAGCATATAAACTTGTCATCTCAGCGCTCCAAAGATGGAGCCCTAATGTGAGGCTGCAGCATGTGTGTCTGTCAGGCTTATCAGCTGCTGGACATCTGTGCTCCCCGTGATTTTATTCTCACCTTTCTCCTCTCCAACCTATAGGAGTCTTTCACTCTCCTTTTCTAGCCTCAAACATGTGCTCTCAGGTTATTCTGGCGCTGGAAAACGCCAGGCGGTGACATGTAGACTCAGATGGATGCTTGGAGGAGTTGCTCTGGTGAAGGTAGTTGCTATGGAAACCCTCTCCCTGGGGGCCTTTTTTTTTCATGGCAGTAAGAAGTCTAAAGGCTGGGCGAGTACATGAACAGTGAGAAAGGGGGGAGGTGAATAAGTCTTTCCCATGGTAGGGGGTTTATGAAAGATAAAAAAAGAGGAAAGTGACAGCAGCTCTGGAGCTCAATGTCTAAAAATATTTATTTTCCCTCACAAACCTCAGGAGAGCTCTGAGAGCGAGGGAGGGAGGGGGGAGAGCGACACAGAGGCACACAGAGGCAGAGAGGACTGCTTTACTGAGGCTGCTGGATGGGCTTTACATGCTTTACCAAAACTTTTACGCCGTGATATTAAAACACACAATCATAGTCTTATCCTAAATCATGTTTTATTTTCAAATGAGCCATAGTAATATAAGGAGGATCTTTGTCTGCAATATTACAGCTTCTTAGATTAATAGTAACACAGAACCAAAATATGTAGAGTATCATTAAATCTGGGGTAAGAAAATTTCATTCAGTGTCGATCTTGGAGCTTTCTGTGAATAAAGACGTACTTTTTTACTGATTTTGCACTGTTTGAATCAAGTTTTCAAAAAATAAAAATCTAAAAAATTACACCCTGCTTTTTTTTAACATTAAATTGTGTCATACACTTGATTACACTTGGTGGAAAATATAAACAAGGACTACTTTCATGGTAAATTATCTCATCTTTGCAAAAGGTTTCCATCAGTAAAATTACTTTTAAATGTAAAGGGTGAAAATTGGAAACAGGAATGTGTCACAAAAGGGAAAGATAATACATCTTATATGGGAATATTAACAAGGAGTCATCATTTGTTTGTTCTGCTTATATTTTCTGGTGCATCATAAATTTACTGGTCCTTTTTCCCATCTTCCTCCTGCTAATGTTTGAATTATTGTTCCCTCTTTTTAATATCTAATAAATTAGATTTATACTTAAATTGGAAGAAACAACAGTTTTTCTCTTGCTGTTTTGCACTTTGTCAGGCAGAGACTAGTATAAAAAAGAGAAAGTGCAAACTCACTGAGGACCTAAAATAACTTTTTATTAACTTCACACAGCTATTAAAGCCAGGAGGCATATGTTCAGATGGACACTGTTTGCCAAGAAGCACCAAGTAAATCTACCCTAATGCATCTGCTTTTAGGTTTAACACACTGAATGTTGGCTGTGTAAAACTTTATTAGCTCTTAGTGGAGTCCACTTCAACATTTACAGCAGTTATACAACTCTGTTTCCTCCTTAAAAACCACAATAAGACATTAACCTGTTGGAGCTGCTGTTATTTGGGTTTTGCCATTAGACAGGAAGTGAGATGTAGCAAATGAAGGGATGATATTAGTTTAATAGGTGCACTGTTTTTAGAAGTCAGGGTTGCTGAGCCTTTCACAGAATAAAGCTGACGGATCGTTCTTATGTGTATTTTATCTGATTCCAGTTCAATAATCCTGCGCTGCAGTAGTTTGAGGTCAAAGCTGAGCACCGACTCTTTCAGAAGGCAGTAGAAGTGGAACCTGCACAAAGAGCTGAGCTCTGAGAGTCAATCTGCTGCAGGGGGGGCTTCAGTGTGGCTCAATGAAGGAGTAGAGGGCGGTGCAGAAAAATGCTATCGACCTGATAGTCTGCAGGGTGTCCTAGAGTCAAGCTACGGTATCGACTGGCAAGCAGAGCAAAGCTGTATCATGCTTCAACCAAACCAGTACTGAGGGGTTGGGCGTGCACACACACACACACACACCACACACACACACACACATTCACATCTCTGCAACAAGCCTGAATTTTTAATGAGGAATGAAAATTTAAATATTTCATCCAGGTGTGTAATGTGAATTCAATTATGCATTTGTTCTTTGATTTTGCTTTCCTTTGAGGCACTTTGAATACACGGCTAATGAAATGACAGCAGGGCTTCAAACTGCTCCCCTATCAATAAAAACACCAAACATCATGTAGTTGCACCATGCAGAAGTGACGGATATAGCTTCTCAGGGTGTCGTGTTGTCTTCTGTACCTGTCCATCATGATCTTCAGAAACTTTGTCTTCATTGACGTGGGAGGGTTTCAATGTCGAGTGAGTGGAAATATCCTCTTTTTAATGACACTCAGCATTCACCTCTGCCTTTGATTCCCTTTCTGTGGCATCACTTTAGTAGACAGGAGTTAAAAAGGAGAAAGCAGGATCCAACTGTATGCTAGGCTCAAAATTTTCTTAAACATTTCTTCATGTTTGCTTTGTGTCGCTGCCACAATCTGACCGGCCTGGCAGAAGTCCTCAGACCATTTCAAGACGGTTTCTGTCACATAATCAGACAGCCAGCTTCTCTTTCTTGATGTTTTCCCATAAATACCATTAAAAAAAAACTGCTGTGGAAAAATACTATTCTCAGCTGACTGCCGCCTGCCAAAATAAACAACACAACAAGCCTGGACAATGACACACAGTATAAGCCTTTTACCTCATTTACATCATTTGGATTCATTCGCCCCCCACCACCCCCTTTCCCCTCTCCTCAGGCGCTATTTTTAGGCCTTTGCTTTGCACTTTTAATGTTTGAAGGACAGAATTGTCTGGGTTTCAAAATTTAGCATTCAGTTGCTTAGCAACAGCGGTCTCCGAAGGCAGGTCACACCATCTCCATCTTGTTAAGCAGCGCAAGGATGAAAAGAGGGGAAAAGAGAGAGCCTGGGGCCGAATGTTACCGTGCAATCCCCGAGATAATATCCCCCGAGGTCCAGGCCCGGCTCTTTAATCACACTACAGGTTATGCAATCACTGTCAGGCAGCCTGCTGAGGGAGAGGGCGGCAACCTGAGCCTGGACTCACTGATGGGTCTGATACTACCTGTCCAGCCTTTGTTCTACTGCTCATCTCCAGAGTATAGCTGCGGCGAAGGATCCAGCCTGCGCTACGTTGGGGTCTTTGACAGAGATAATGAGAGAGATCTGTTTGCAAAGCAGGAACTTGATAAAGGTTAAGTGTCTTACCGGTAAGAAAAACACAAACAGCTGTGTGTGTGGAGTCCTGTTTTCAGCCTCAGGACTTAATGAAAAATGAAAGAAAGGATGTGAAGACAGCAAAGTGCCAAAACCAACAATTTCTGAATGATATTCCAGAGCACAAGCATTTACAGGAGAGTACATACTTCAAATTGATTAAACTAGCATGCATCTGCAGCATCTGTATCAACAAAAACCAGACCACTATGACTACAACATGCGGGAAATGGCTTTAGTCCAAAGCTGTACGGCTTTAATAACTTGATGTTTGCCAGTCCCTCACTTTTTTTTAATACCAGCCTCGTTTGTAAACAGTAAGAACTGCCTCAAAATGTCAGCCCACAAAATTCAGCAGAGACCTAACAAAAGCATCAGAAGATGAACTCAGTGACATAAACTTTGAATTATTCATCATGTGTGTCCTATAAGAAGCACCCTTCAGGCTTTGCTCAGGTGTATTTCCAACAGGCAGTTCACATTTTTGTGAAAACACTCCTGACGGTTATTATGTAATCAGCATAAAATCAGCTACGGATTTCCCCTTGGGTATAAATAAAGTTCTTCTTATCTTAAAACAAAGCAAAATAACAGACAGCCTGGTATGAGCGCAGCGACTGGATAAATGTAAATGATCCACAGATCAGCACTGCACTGTCAATAAGGCAGATCATTTTCCATCATAGAAATTTGTTGTTTTAGCTACTCTGTGTTATTATCCACACACAACAATAAAGAGATTTCCTGTCCATCTGAATTTTTAATAATAAAACTGTCAGGGGTGATGAATGCGGCTCATGTCAGCTATGCAGCTAATCAGCCTGAGAACTGCAGTCGAGAGCTGATTACAGCCGCAGATCGGCTGCATGTTTCAGTTATAATTTCATGAGGAGCAGTTTGAATCCTTTCAAACTATTCAGGTTGCAGCCATGCCCAGAAATCAAATTTACCAAATCTAATCTCACTTTCAGTCCGGCAGCATCCTCTCAAACATCTCCTTCAATCTTTCTGTGCGCAGGCCTGACACTGACTACACACTCCTGAGGACGACAAGCACACTCTCAGTCCACATGACCTTTTAGTTCACCTGCAGGGGAGAGGCACACATCTCTGGAGCATGAGGCCTTCTTTGTGTTACCCCTTGTATCTAACACACGGACTGATAAACAATACGTGTAGCCTACTAACAAGTACATGATTGAGGTGGACAAAACAGCATGTAGATCTTTCTGCCATATTACTCAACAAACTACAAACCACCTTCCTTCAAATAATTAACATCTTTTCAACAACAACTTAAAACTTATATTATTGTTTATTATTTCCATTTTTGGTTACATCGGTAACATACACTGTATATAATATGGACAACTTGGTTCTGCCTTCCACCAGTATACGGATTTAAAGCAGAAAAGCGCTCGGTATTTCTGCAAATTTTCTCCATATCCTAAAACCAACGTTGTGCAGTAGCATTGTACACATTTGGCGGGAGAATCACTTCGATGACGCTCGGCTCAAACAGGTGCTGCGTCCGAACTGCCCGCTCGGATACTACATGCTACTGCTACGTGCTACTGCTAGATCCTACTCCTACATACTAAACACGTTTGCCCAATTCGGACACACTAGACGAGCGGTGGGGAAAGACGACCCCCGCAGGCAGAGAGTAGGTACTGCGCCCGTGCAGACAGTGGTAACTGAAGCCCCTCATCTGCGGGCCTGGCTGTAGTACTGCAGCTGTGCAGTTTAATGATGGAATAAGTGAGCTTTACCTCCATGATGTCGCCACATATTTGCTCATAAAATGATTACTTGGGCAAATATGACACCATGACATGACAAAGAGATACAACCGCACATTTTTTAGGACAGTGTGTGAAGTTACATGAAACTTACATCTGTACTGCTGCGGTCCCGCGACATGGTGCGCGCTGTTGTGGCCAGCCGGCGTTCGCGACACATTTAAATAGGCAGAGCAGCTGGTGGCGCTAGCATCACATGCGCTTCTACAACTTTTAAGAGGACGAAGAAGAAGCCCGTGGTGCATTTTGGGTCAGTAGCATGCCCGTAGGATGCACCGAGACCAACCTACAATGTGGGCGTGTCTAGTATCTGAAGTAGTATCTGAAGTAGCATGCTACTCGCTCCGGTGGCCAATTCGGACATGCTAGATAATACTTCGACTACTACTTCGACTACTACTTGGCAATTCGGACGCAGCTAGGGTATCCCCAGGTGAGCTACACAACCTTCGTACGCCCATAGGCTGTATGTGTAAGTGTGACATACAGCCTATGGGCGTAAGTGACTATAAGTGTAAATCATAGAAAACATAAACATCCTAATAACTTTTACAAATGTAGCTGTACAGAAAAAAGAGGACTTGAGCAAAAATCAGTCTAAAGCCGCGTTCAGACCAAACGCGACCAGGTCGCGTCGCGTCGCTTTGGTCGGTCACGTCGCGTCGCGGGGATCTCCGGTGTGTTCACACCGTGTCCAAAGCCGCAGTCGCAGGTCGCGGCTGGTCGCCGGTGACGTCATCCATGTCACTAGCTCAGTTTTCAGTTCATCAGTGCTGCCGCATATCTGTACATCCGCAGTAGACGCCGCCGGCGTTTATGGGTGCATGAAACCATCCGGAGGAGGACGGAGCTGGGTGAATTTCACCGCTTGCTCCAGGAACTCCGCCTGGATGACGGCCGCTTCCAGCGGTACTTCCGTGTGTCGACGGCGCAGTTCGAGGACCTCCTCGCCCGGGTGGGAAGCAGCATCTCCCGCCTGGACACGAAATACAGGCGCTCCGAAACTGAGATGCTTCTTCTTTGGCGTTGCGGTCCCGGTACAGCCCGCAACCCACGTCGCATAGCACCGGGTGGTAGCTAACGGATGTGATTAACTGCTCCTCCATTGTGATTCTTCTTCTCCTCTTCCTTGTTTCGCCGGTTTGTTGACGTCAGCAGAGCCCTGATTGGCTGTCGCGGCACGGAGTCGCTCCCAAATATTTGAACTTTGGGAGCGACGCGACTTGGCGTCCTGCGACCTCGGCGACGCGACCTCGGGGACGCGCCTTGGCGACCGGTCGCTAGGTCGCGTCAGGTCGCGTCGCAGGCAGCCGGCGGTCGCCAAGTCGCGTCAGGTCGCGGCTGGCCATAGACTTTGCATTGGGAGCCGTCGCCAAGTCGCGTCAGGTCGCGTTTGGTCTGAACGCGGCTTAACAGTAACTGCATGTCAACATTGAAAGCAGGGGGGAGAAAAAAAAATAATTTTCTAATAAATTTCTAAAGTTTGTCCACAGCTCCATAGGAATTGCTGAAGGAGGAGGGATTTATGACCTATACTGCAGCCCGTCACCAGAGGGTGCAGTTCTTGGAGTGGCTTCACCCAGTGAGGAGGCAGACAGCGTCTATTCTATATACAGTCTATGATCGGTAATAACCGGGTGTACAGAAATATGTTTGCAATATTGTCAGCTTGCATCAATTTTATTACTTTTCTCTATCTGTCAGGTATTGAATTCACAAGATAAGTGAAAGTAAAAGCAATGTTCCTGTAGCTCATATATATATAAATATATATATATATATATATATATATATATATATATATATATATATATATGAACTGATATGTTATATTTTACTCAATCTTAACATCAAATGATGTTGGAGTGTTACAGACAGTATCAGAAGGAAAAGAAAATCTCAAGGAAAGGAAAACTCCCCAGGTGAGAAGAGTGACTCACCTGCTCGAGGCTGATCCAGACTCTCGTTGTCTGACTTCTCCTGCATTAGCCTGCGAGTCCATCGCAGCATCCCATCGTTCACGCCTGGCTGATACTCAGATGACTCTGCCTCTGTGATTAAAAAAAACGCCTAAATCAGAGTACGGCAAAACCAAATACACCTACCAGAGCAGATCTCACACACACAAACCTCAGAGATAAATGTTTGACCTTGGAGTAAATGCTGTATTAAGACAGTTTTTTCTAATCACCAGTGGATTATTTTTCACCACTTCGTGTAGTGAATAGGATTTAAAGCTGAAACCATACAAGCACTCCCCCTTTTCCTTTTTACCTCTTTGTGAAAGCAATGTTTCTTCTAGCTTGAGATTTCTACACATATGACATCTTGGATGGCTGAATATGCTGGTTATTTTTGAGGAAAAGTAAGTTGCAGTCCTACTTTAATAAATCACAGTTCACAAGAGCCCAAAGTCAGGTCCTAAAAAGCTTGTTTGTACCTGATCAACTGTCTTTGTCAGAGGGTGTGACAGCATCGTTGATATTAGAGGCATTTGTCAGAGAAATGATCTGTTTTACTGAGATAGTCTGGGTTTCAGATTTCAAAATGTTCACTTGTCTTAAGAAAATCTGTCAAGAATAGTTGCCACCTTTTTTTCTCATGCAGCAATTGTCTCCTGAGTTATTCTTGACCCAGAGGACTGTGGCCTCATGTTTCTCTCTCTGAGAGACAGCAGCTTGTTCAGTGTTACAGTCCGTGCTGCTGTCAGCTGTCCCCAGCCGTCGGCTCACACATCTTTATGGTGTTTATTTCAGCTCTGGATGTCATAGCACTAGAGCTAATCTCTGTGTGGGTATCAGATTTTACAGCTTCACTACAGCAGCGGCAGAGGAGAACTTCTCAACGAGTGATCTGTGTCCTCATCTTTACTTCAGAGGAAAAATAGATATTCTCCACCACCCATTGAGATCTTTGCACCAAGTGCTGAGAAGATAGTGAGCTGGTTATTACACTTTGTACTTCACACCGTCCTTTTATTTCAGAGGCAGCTTGGTGTCTGATGTATTTGGTGATTGCCAACCACTGTAGTGTCCTTTTGTATCTTACAGCTCAATGAGCTCATTTCATGAGGGCGGCGGTTCATGGCTGAGAGGAGACGTGAAGGCTTTCATGTCGAGGCATCAAGAGGAGCTTCACTCATTGGAAATTCAAAAAGGGTTTCAGAACAGACGGCTCTGCACCAGTTTCACACCTAAGACTAGAAGCAAGCTCCACTATATACAAACTGCATCATGTAGCATTACTGAGAGGAAACATGAATTATGCATGCTTATTATGTAACTTTTTTAAACAACATTTGAAAGACTCAAAGTTCATTTCCTCCAAGATAACCCAGAAACAACACAAACATCTAGTTATAGTCATAACTGATAACGAGTGTAGTACAAGTTCAAACTAAATCTGAGCTCAAAGTCCAGTTCACAATGATTGAAATGAACCCGCTCACGTTCACATTTAATTAGCTAATCTAAAACTCCTCTTTGCTTCTATCCTTGACTCTCAATCACTGTATCTAGTATTTTATATTTCTCTCTGTTTATTGTTGCACCATCATGCCAAAACAAATTCCTAGTCTGTGAATCCTGCTCATCGACAATGGCAATAAAACCCCCTTCTGATTCTGACTTTTTTTTAAATAAAATGAATTACATAACATTATTAAATCCCAGCTTTTTACTTGTAAAAGCCAAGAACATTTTAGTATGTTCGACCAGGTAAAAAATTAGAAAGACAGATATGACTGTAATTTGTTAGCAGAATATTGAGATCAGGGTTCCTACTTGTGCACTAAAATACACAGGGAAAATCTGCTTCATAAGTAACAATATAGTTTTTACATCCTCTAAAAATAAAAGAGCTGAAGGTAGAGAAACATTTAACAAACACCAAAAGTGAATTAATCTCCATTCTCAAGAAGATCCACCTCTCTAACACCGAAGGAGTTTCCAGCTTGTTGGAACCTGTCCTGATTTGTTCATGAGAGCTGTCCTTATCAGTCCTGCTACTAGAGGCACTGGATGCCGTAAACCTAACGTCAAGAGAAATCATTACTCTACAAAGGTGATATATTGTTTAAGAAGGTACATACTTTACCCTGAACTTTACAGCGCTAACTTCTAACATTAATCAACCGCCATACCACAACAAATCCTTACTCTCTGTACATGCGCTTGTAAATTTAATCTATTTGTTACTCGTCTCCAGGACGGTTGCCATTACAAAAGCCAGCCAATGATTCCTTTCAGGCCTGTAAATCTTCCAGAGTGTTTGCTTCATGTGTAGGTAACACTAAACAGTCTTGCTTCCAGAAACTGAGCAAGCTGAGAGTCGAAACAACAGCCACACTTGGTCAAAGAGCAATTCATCCCTTTTTCTTTTTGTTGAACTTCTTGAAAGTTTTCTGGGTTTTTATGTTAGATAAGATCAGGTAAGCCATGACACAGCTACTAGACTTTGTGTTAGTGAACATGAAAATTGGATCATGATTCTTGTTGTTTTAATCAAACTTCACAGTTACAGTGATTTTTCTCATAGAAAAGGTCTACAATGTAAATCCAGAGGAGGTGGGTTACAGAAGGATCAGCGGTGACAGCTGACGAAATCTGAGAAATGGTGTTTGTATGGAAATATCCTAATCCTGCAGCCACATTCCTCAACACAAACAAGCTGGATGAGTGCAGAGAGAAGTGTCAATATCATAACTCAAAATTCATCTTTTAATATATCAGAACAACAATGCAAGGAAGTCATGAGCCGAGGCTCTGCATCACAGATCATTAATATGCTCAAACATAGTTTTAAAGCCAGTGAAAAAGTCAAACCCCATGAATTCATCCTGCTGAAACACATGCTGAGAACAAACACTGAAAGACGTCACTTCTTCTGTCAGTTTCTTGTATTTTTAAATCTTAAAGGGAAGAAATGATTTCAAGTGTGAAGTCTCTCTTCCCTAAACCGTTGGTGCCTCCATCTGTAGCAGAAACAAGACATCTGATCCCGTCAATCACATTGACTGGACAGACCGGCTTCCTGTGGTCTTAACCACAAACAGGTTCACTGCCTCCACACAGAAATACTGCAGTCTGTGGTCATGAGTGTCTCTTTCCTAGTGCAGGCAAGCACGTCTGCATCCAAACCCAAGTCTTTTTATACAGAACTTCATAAAAAATAACATGTTTGTCATTTTAACTATCACAGCCTCACTTAAATAACAGTTTAGTTCACTCACATTCAGTCTGCAATACGTCTCAAATCTGTGGATATGTTTCAGTGAGCAGAGACATTTGATCTGATCTTAAAACAAAACTGAAACCACTGTTGTTTAAATACATGAAAGTGGAAAGGAAACAGTTTTAAGATCGCAAAAACTCTCACCAGGATTATATCACAACTCTCTAATCAGACAACTTTTCTAAAGATGAAATCCTTGATCCCTGTGAAGCTGATGCAAGTTTGATTATTAGCAGCTTATGTGTACAGGTTCAGTGACTACACATTTGATTCACATCACTCACTTCTACTTTGTGTCTTTTTAGTTTTTATGGCACTGACTAAATTCGAATTTGATTCAAATTAGATAGTTTCCTCTAGTTTGGATTATTACCATGGCTTGATACAAATTCTTAATCAGATGCTAATACTGAAAACACGACAGTGTGAGCATGTCAATATGCATCTAATTCTGATAATGTTACTTTATAGACACAGTATGCTTTCAGCTTATCCATATCTTTGGTTTTCCACTGGACGGCGCCAAAGTTATAATTGTTCAAATTCTACATGTGGCGACCTCAAAGTTTCTAAAATCAATGTGCAAACACAAACAAACCTCTGTCGCATTAAAGCTAGTTTTTAATGTAGTTTTCCAGTCTAAGACTTTAATATTAACCTCTAAAATGCTGCTTTGTGTTTGATTGGTATGTAAGAAAGCAACTGTTTCCTAGCACATTAGCCATATTAACTCAAAAAAGTGAATTTAATGCTAGTTTGTTTCCATGCCCACACACAGCCCAAGAAAGTTTGAATCGCAGGTTCAGAATCTGATAAATCACTAAAAACAAAGCTACTTTTAATAAAAAACGACAAAAATAAAACCAAACTTTTGAATCTTTTATACACCTAAGGGAATTCAGTGTGCTTTTGAACATGAATATGAACATGAGTCTGCCTTTATCAGTCTCTACAGCTTGTGCAGACAATGTACCGCTAACATGGATATTACACATTGGCTTTTAAGGTCTCAAATAGAAACATGGAAAATTTGGTCCATTTCTTAGCAGTGAGCTTATCTGTTTTACTGCCTTGTTGTTTGAGTCTTGCAAAGCCTACTTTTTCCAAGCCTCCCATGGGCATATTTTCCATCTTGCAGACTGTTATTGTAATGGTGTTATTTCCCAATACTCTATCCAATGATTGCTCAACAAACCAGTGTACACTGATTCACCGCTGGATGATACTGTGTGTGTTTCATTTTACCGTGTATTGTGACTGTAACCTCTCTGTCACCATTACATTCAGCAGGTCGCATGCTTGACTTTAATATGGCTTTAGTTTGAGCTGCTGACGGCTCCCTTTAAACAATGTTTGATAGCACTCTCGTAATTTAAAAGGTGAAGTATAAATATTGATCGATTCTCCAGGACACTGCATATGTTATGAAACCCGAATGTAAATGATTCACTCCTAATAAAACACTCCTTTCGAAACACACGCTTGGTTGCAGAAAAAAAACACGATTAGTGCTGAAGCAGCTCATGAGTGTGTGACAATGTGTGACCACTCAAACAAAGGTGATGGGAGAATAATGAGCTGGAAGGGGAGGCGGGATGCTCAGTATCTTACTCAGGCTTGTTTATGAGAATAAACCTTATCTTGGCTGCTGAAAATGGTGGAATGTATTATTTTTTTTACCATTAGAATCGGATAATTAGGAGAGTTGGGTGTCTTTGTGCACCTGAAGTGAAATTAAATAAAAACCCTCCAAACCTTTATGGAGGCATTGTACTATTAGTGTCAAGGTTTTCAGGTTTGATCTGCTATGAGGTCTAATACAGGATAAATTCATGCATCTACAAAAATGAATGCCCAAGATGTCATTCTCTCAGATGAAGACCAAATACTCTTTGCATGCCTGCTGAATTGAGAAATCCCTTCAAATGAACATATCCCAGATGACTTGATTTATTCCTGCTGCTTGAAACTTGTGTCTGCTTTATGTAATCACCAAACCGTCAACTTCCTGCAGTGTGAACAGGAGGACAGATGTAGCAGAATATCAAACTAAGATTTAAGTATTTCAAACAGAGCTGCAGCTGTATGACATGCAGATATCATGTTTGTGACATCCAAGGAAAGCCTTTGTCTCTTGTAATTGTATTCTTAGGTAGTCATCATTTCAACTTTACTCTTGCATGTAGACATTATGATTAAGAATGCAACATGTCCATTATAACATCTGGACCCCTTTACATCTTATTCATGTTTCTATTGATCAGACAGGAAGTAGATCTTAGCTTTGCTCCAAATTAAAAAGGAATGGATTGTCCATCACATTTATTATTCCATCATAGTTTTGATGTTAGACTTTGGAGCTTTGGTTACTTTTTGGCAACATCAGAATTTCTAAAGATATGTAAAGGGTTAACAAATAGGAAGGAATGAGGGTAGGTACATGTAAGCTATATAGCCTCAACCCACTCTGTTTCGATCTCCAAAAAAGGGGGGAATTTCACGTAATAAACACAAAATGAAATATCAGTCAACTCTATAATCTTTCCTAAATACATTTTACTCTTAAAAACCTCACTTGAGAATCAGTAGCTATCTAATTGTGTTATCTGAACCCATAATTTGCATTTGTGAGTTACACACTTATTTCAGGTATGTATAAGGACAGAGGACACTAACAGAGTACGAAGCACGGTAAATGGAAACTGAAACATACAACATTGTAGGTCTATATTTTGACAATCAGCTTCCTTCATAAGAGGTTTTTCCCTCTGGAACCTGCAGAAATCAAATGAATCCTTCATGTAAAATCTCTTACAACAAATTCAAATGTTGGCTTTATGTATTTTAAATGTTTGAATTGATGTATAGTTCCTGTCATTTATATATTTTTATTGTTGTCCTAATATTCATAGTTACATATGCTTCTTCTGTATTGGACGTATTGTATTTTTAAACAAACACCAAACTAGGAATAATTTAAAACACACAAAAGCTATAAACTCTGCAATACATCCATTTTAAAACGTCTATTATAAATACATTGACTTGCATTGTCTCTAAAAACAATTTCATCCAATCTCTGCTCTGTCTCTCTTATGTGCATGTTTGTTGAACTGTGATTTGTCTTGTCTATAAAATCCTCGTTATCGTATTTGGTCCTAGATTTTCATAAAGTATCCATATGACTATAATGACTGTGCCTGAACGCACGCGGGCGTGCAGGCGCGCACAGCCTTTGAAATCTATATTAAGGTCTCACCTGGTGCCTGGATGACCTGAGTGAGCCAAATGACAGCAAGCAGCCCGACTCCACAGCAGCAGAACCGCTGGAAGGGCCGCCGGTGCCTCGCTGCAGCAGCTCTCATTCCTCAGCCGGCCGCATATCCACCTTAAACATCTGTTGCTCTGTTCCTCACACTTGTTTCACACTTTTCCTCCTCTGCAAGCTGCTCCGAACAGACCGACACACAACCTCCTCCAGCAGCAGCAGCAGCAACAACAAGCGACTTCTCTGCCAAGTTGTTTCAGAAATTCCCCGCAAAGACCAGCTCGCTTTCCCCCCTCTCTCCAGAGTCAGAAAACACTCTGTGCCGCTTCACTTCAGCGAAGCTCCGGGTTGAGCAGAGAAGACGGACGAGTGGAGAAAGTCCTCTGCGTTCATGTCTACAGCCTGAAAGGTCGACAGCATTTCCCACAGTGAGCTGTAGCGACAGGAGGTGACATGCTCTGAGCCCTGCGTGTGCCTCCACTCTCTCCTCTCTTACCCTCACTCTGTTCCCTCCTCTTTAACCACCAGGCGGCGCCAAACCTAGCAATCGGGTTGAGGGGTAATGGGTTTGAAAACTCCAGCGTTTTTAGCGTTTCACCTCATAATGACCACCCATTTTACTCGCAAGCAGAGTATCTTGAATCCTAACCAACCAGGGCCCAAGCACTTAAAAGTGTAAGAGTCTTGTTGTCAATGAACATTATTACGGTGGCCAAGAACCGCCACTGCTGCTAATGAAAAAAAGAATGCAAAAAAAAAAAAAGAAGAAGAAGAAGCCACAACGGAAGTTACCGATGGAAAAAAAAAAGAAACCAAAGCCTGCTGCAAAAAACAAACAAACAAACAAACAAACAAACAAACAAACAAACAAACAAACAAACAAAAAACAACACAATGGAAGTTAATGATGCAAAAAAATTGTAGCAATGCAAAAAAAAAAAAAAAAAAAACTGTTACTAACTGCAAAACTAAAGGGATGCAAATAAAAAAAAGCCACAACAGAAGTTGATGAAGAAAAAAAAAAAAATGTGGCTATGCAGAAAAAAAAAGTTAGTTTCTGTGAAACCAATAATGATGATGCACCGGTGTTTTACGATCTAGGCACAGCGGACGACGGCGAGAAGACGAGCAAAGAAGTAAGTGGAAAGGTTATTGTTTAAATTCCCTTTGTAAACTTTTCAATGTGTCATTTGGTTAGGCCATGTAGTCCCTGAGTCGATATGAAGTTGAACTGAAGCTAACACTACACCGTCATCCTTCAGTTCAACTTCATATCGTCTCAGGCGCTACATGGCCTAACCAAATGACACACTGAAAAGCACACAAAGCAAAATTAAATAATAACCTTTCCACTTACTTCTTTGCTCATTTTCTCGCCGTCGTCCTCTGTGCCTAGATCGTAAAACACCGGTGAATTATCATTATTGGTCCCCGGTAGCTCACTTCCGTTGTGGCTTGTTTTTATTCGCATCCTTTTATTTTCTCTGTAAGTAATTTTTTTTTCTTTCTATCACCACTTTTTTGTGTGTGTGTGTTGTGGCTTTTTTTTAATCTATTTTTTGCGGCAGGCTTCAGTTTCTTTTTTTTTGCATCAGTAATTTTGATTGTGACTTTTTTATTTTATTTGCAGCAGTGGCAGTTCTCGGCCACCATACATTATAGATGTTTTACTTTCATTTAAAAAAATTAGTTGAATTTTCAGGGTCGGGACAGTTTAGTCAGGGTCACCTAAACATGTTGATCTTGGTGTGAGCCAAAACCTGAAATTTTCATGGTGCCCTCACTATTATAGATTTTAACACTGGATATTTAAATTTCATATGATTTGTGTGAGGGACCAGGACCACAGTGCTCTCCACTGGTAGTAGGAGGAAATTACAAGTCAAGTACAAAGCGCCTCTCCCTCGGTCCCATCATCTTTACCCATTTCTGTCAACAAACAAAATCGAAATTCAAACAGCTTTTGACAAATATTTGAGCAGATCATTTCAAGTTTTCTTCAGGTCTTCTTTGCTGCTTTTGTGGTTATAATTATTTGCTTAACTCATTAAAGGAGATTTTTATATATTTTTTCTTATTTATTATCTAAAATTATATTCTGTGCAGGTGTTGCCTCTCTTGTTTCACCCCCTGCAGGCTGCGCCCAGCAGGAAGAGATTTTGAAGCTTCCCTCCCCCTGGGAGCTCCCTCTCTTTAGAAAATGTCCTTTCCTGACACTTTATTTAATACACAGTGTTACTATTAGCAACATAAACAAGCATACAGCCAGCCAGCGGGATGACATGGCTGGTTTCCAGCACTGAGTAACTTGAATCAAGAGAGTTCCAGCAATACTTCATACTTAAACACATGAAAGTTGTGACTTATTTTTAACTTGTGCAGGTTTAGATTTAAAGCCAAATAAAAAAGAAAACTTAACCAGCACTACTCAGCTGCTATCCATGGTTCTTTTTGCCATTGCATTTTCTTATCCAAGGCTGAGGTTTTTTACAAAATAAAAGCCCTTAAAGTGAGGGCACAGCTCTCCTGTCTGTTTAGGGAAACAAGGACTACTTGTCACATGGAGACTTTCCAGAAACAGGGTAAAGATTATGAAACACTCCTTCACTGCTGTCTGCTAATAATCCACCATGCCAGTTCTCCACAAAGTACAAAAGGACACATAGCCTTTTGCGTAAAAGTGCATGTACTGGACGGTCAGAGTAGTCTGGAGAATGTCTCCCAGTAAAAATAAAGACCCTGGTTTAACTTTATTCTCTGGATCTCCCCGTCTGTTCTGTCATGAATCAATTTTATCTGTTAGTCCTGTCGTACGAAGTATTCAGGAAGCACTGGAGCGCTGAAGTTAATGTAATTCATCAAAATTCAACTCGTGTATAAGCCCTTGTATAAAATCTTATGAGAACAAATGGTGCACTTTTCTATTAGTCTTCATTTATTTCAAGATAAATACTCAAACATTTTTGTCACTCATTGTTCTGAGCAAAAACAACGGTTACTCGGGCCTCAACGTTAGACCAGATAATGTGGGAAAAAAAGGAAACTCCTCAGATAACAGCAGCAGTCCTGTTGTTTTTCATTCTTTAATGTTTAACTGCAGATTTTATGACATGAGGGTGCATCTGTGTGATAGGCCATCGTTGACTTGCAGAGCTTGTTTTTTATGATGTGCATGACTTAACAGGTTGAAAATCTTGCAAAAACAAATGTTATCATCATGAAAGCTTGTCCAGTGTTTATATGAGTTTGCTGGATTTAGGGACAACAACCATAAAGAGGAAAAACAGAAAAAGTTTTGTGTTTAAAGTTGTTAAAGTTTAGTGTTTGAAAAGGTTGTTGAAGGTGTCAACTTAGATTTATTCACCCCAGAACTGAGAGTTAATTCCATGTTATGCTGCATTTCTTGATCTCAATGTTAGAGGACCAACTATATACAATATTCAAGTATCCCTTTTATCTATAAATGTGCATTTATAAGATTTGTCTGAAATGCAAGGTTGCAAAGTTAGTCTTTAGCAGGATCACAGCATGCAGTCTCATTCACGTGTTGTGTATGGGGCAACATTAGCCTGGACAGTTAGAACACAATATACAAACCAGGAGTCTAAACACACACACACACACACACACACACACACACACACACACACACACACCAGCACATGGCCTCTGTATTTACAGAACACGTCTGAGTCAAAGCGAGTCAAAGCGGCGTTAAGCCCTTGAGCTGTGTGTGACACATAGCCTCTAGTGAAGCGTTCGTCTTGCACTACAACCCCAAATAAAGACATAGGCCGCTGCATTGTTGTCATCAGTCCTGCTCCTGGTGTCAAGGCTGGGAAGATGAAGCATTTTTCTGCGGCTGTGTTTAGGAAAGTCTTACAGAGGAGCGAGTCCTGGGAAATGTTTGTATGATGTTGTCTGGCTGTATTGTGATCATGGAGCAAGCTTTGGAGAGTCTGCACGTCTTACCTCATGCTCAATCAATTCAGAGAGGGGGGGAAATGTGCATCCAACCAGGAATTCACTTAAAACTTTGTTTTTAATCCAGAACTTAATCTAGGCACGACTTTATTCGTCAAAAACTGAATCTCAGACTTTTCTAAGGGCGTCTCAAGTTTTATATTGACTAAAGAGCATTCAGGGTTTCTAGACAATGAACGAAAGACTTGATGATCCTCTGAATGTTCCTCCAGTGCCATCAAGAGGTTGACTTTTAAAGTTTATAGTGTAAAGATGTACCACACACAGATGGATTACTATAGACAAAACTCACAAACTACAATAAGTTAATCAGCTACCATTCTTGTACTGTGTGGTGTGTCCTTAAAGCACCTGTGCTTGAAGTAGTTCTCACAAGTGATCAGTTTTTTTATTTTTCTTTTACTTTATATTTAACTATACTTTTCTCTGTTCTTACATATGTAAACCCTCCATTGTAATTGACTCCCAAAATAATAACTCCTTATAATATAAGATCATCTGAGTGAGGTGCCTTCATCAGAAGCTGTCTAATGTTTTTGATCCATCTATCTATTCTTTTGTTACAGTTTTGTTTTTGTTACTGCAGATACTGGGCTGCCATCACCGCAACGGCTACACAAATTAATTACCAGATATGTCTATCAAATTTCATACAGTTTACATAGATGCCGACATTTATGTTGAATTATGTTGAACAAGATGACCATGATAGCTCAGAAACTCTGCTCATTTATTTACAAACATGAGCCAGATTAAAGGGAAGTGGTGGTATATTCACCTGACTCAGTATTTTCAGTTCCCAGTTGAATGTTAATGTCAGAAAATCTCTAGACAAACAAGATTCAACAACCAAGTGTGGTTTTTGAAGGTCCAGGGGCAGAGCTGCTAACTTAAGTGACCAACAGAGAGCTACAGTGTATTGATTTATTTTAACCTGCACATCAGTGATGACCATCACTGTCTAAAGGTCTTCTTGAATCAGTGTATCTTCTTGTTCTTGTTGATCATGTTGTAGAAGCAAGTCATAAAACTATATCACAGGGCTGGAGGTAAAGGTCGATTCAAAGCTGTAGACGACATAATCCCCTGTGGTTTAAGTGATTGCTTATTCAGGTCAGTAATGTTCCTACTTAAAGGAAAATTTCCCCGACAATATGACTGCTTCTTTTGAGCAGAGCACTTCTAACACATTAATATATTTTGGATAGAAAATTCACATATTTTTGTGAGACAGCCAAAGACCAGAGTAGTTGGATTCAGGTTTGTGAAGCACTTTGATTGACATGAAGGATTTTTAAAACCCTTTTTCACAAAGCTGCAGGTTGTCCTTCAAACTGAAAGACTGATTTAATGACGCTTGTGCTTAAACGGGGACCATAAAACAGCTTTCTCCTCCAAAGCTGATGAAGCTTTCCCTCTTTCAGAGAAACAATTATGTTTCTTATAGAAATACCTTCAATATATCATTGACCTTTTGCCATACTGAATACAGCAAATACCCCGTGTTTCAGGACCTCATGAGACTACTAACATTCATGTTTGCTCACATATCTTGTGTTTTATTTCACTTTGTAAACTGACTTTTACCTTTACCTCCTGTGTTCATCATCTTCTGAGTTTCAAGTTTCTGCAGCTTCTGTACAAATTCATCTCTACTGTCAAAGATCTCCCAACCTTCTGAAATCTTTGTCTGGACCCTAAGAACAAAAATTGTGAATTTCTTCGTTAGAACTCCTTCATTTGGACACTTTGATTTTAAAATAGACCGTTTGAAACAGTCTTAGTCAGTCCTCTCTGGGCCTCAGTCTAAGATGGAGAGGAAAACCTTTTAGTGGTCTGACATATAAAAACTGGATATTCTTTTTGGAAATCATTAGCCTCCTCTGCTTCCCTAGTAGGGAACACTTGACTTATCATCACTGTACAGTTAAAGTGATGGTTCAGGTCTGCAGCTGTGCCAGTGAAATGGATGGTTCATGCATCTTAGAGCCCTCAGGTCTTCAGGTAGTAGTCTTTAACAATGCCCTAAGTTGGTAGAAAGACCCTGTAGATATCCCTCGGGGATAAATAAAGTTCTTCTTATCTTAAGGCAGCACAGATTATATCAACATTTTCACTGGCAAACTCAGGACCGACCTTTTTACTCTCCCTTTGAGTTTGATTCTCTTGTATCAGTTTTATTTGCCCATTTTCAATTTTAAAAACAAGCAAATAAATGTTGATGAATTAGATGTTATAAAACATATAAATTGTCTTTAATTCAATTATCATACATTTTTATTTTGATTGTTCATTTATATAATTTTAGAATCTGACATTAGTTGTTTACACTAGTTATTATTTTATTCTCTCTTACTGGATTCGGCCTTTTTAAATCCTATTTATGACCATTTGAGTTGTTTTAATTTGCTTTTATTATTTAACCTCTTACCTTTTCTGTTCCTTCATCAAGACCTCATGATAGTGTTTCTCCAGCCCCTGTTTTCATCGTCTTGTTCTTCACCTTATACGTGGATTATAGGGTGGGAAAAGGGAGGCTATTATTTTCAATTTATTGCCATATTGATTTAATAACATTTAAATATTATTAATATACTGTATTTTGTGTTATATTCTTTTTGTCAATGGTTCAGGAATAGAGTCTGATTGACTGATTGTTGACTAATTGATCTGGGCAGCCATCATTGATGCTGAATAGTTTACACAGGCTTTTGAGTGAAACATGCTGCTTTTTCACAGGACCTCGCATATTTTGACAAGACAGCAACAAACTATCTTCTGGGCTCATTACATGCCTCTGTAGTCAAAAAGTCAAGGTGCTTAACTGGGCTGCCTGCAGTCTCAACTTGTCACCCGTGAGCATTTGTGGGTTGTTGTTAAAAGTGATGAACACACCCCTGTCCAAACTATTTGTGGAAGTTTTAACTTTTGCCTTTCTTGTATTTTGTATTGCGCTGTCAAAATGTTGCTGTAGATTTTGGTCATTTGATAACTAGCACTGATATCAGCTAACCTTAGCTGTTAAATCAGATGCCTGTCATGCCATGTTTTGCACCAAAGAATAACCCATTAGCAACAACAGGGAACAGTTAATGGTTTCATTCAACCACTTGGTGGCTCTAAAGCGCAAGTTCAGCATTAAACCATCTAGCCAGAATTATGGTTTGATAGTATGTAACAGAAAGATAGAAAAAGAAAGGCTTAAATTCTGCCTGGATGTGGTTGCATGCTAAAGTTAGATGTGCCTAAGTGCCAAAGGTGTCGTTTTTACATGTAAGGATTCCTGTTTTCACTTTGCTTTCGCACATAATGGTTTTTGATCCTTTCTTTTCCTCCCCTTTATTACTCTATACATCTCACAACTTATTCCAGTGTATTTCAAGGCAGCTAAAAAACTGCATATATTCTCCCTTGTAGTCGTCTGAGGTAATTCAACCACAATCAGATTTCTTCTTGAAGTTGGATTTTCTGAGACAATTTATTCTTAAATATTTAAATACCAAAATAATCATCCCACCAAGGAAGCATACACCATTCAACACATTCATTTCAGCTCAAACTCCATCTCATCTCATCGTAAGTCATTTTAAACACCCTTTCCTGTTTAATTCTTTTTAAAAACCATAAATATTTCTCGTCACTTTGCTTTCAGGACAGTGTTACTCACTGAGCTTCAGTTAGTCTTCAGACCAACAACACACATCTGTTACCGTTATCTGCTCTTTTTGATCACATGTTACTCGATGACTTTTCCCTCACATAGTAGATGAAGGACCGGATGTTCGGACAGTGTCCTCCACAAAAAAACCTCAGTAAGTGCAACCAAAGACAAAGAAATGAGGTCTCTATGCTGGGTTCACATACATTACATTTTCAGGTAGGCACAAATTCAGAAAATAAGCCTTCACATAACACCAGTATGACCAGTTTGACCATCACTCATTAAGGCGTACCTAATGGTGTTATGAGACCTTATTTATTATGTAAGTAAGAGCAAAAGCTGAAATAGCTTCTTGAATGATAAGAACAATATGCAAGATTCGCAGATATTAATTTGTCATTTCATATCACGGTTGTTGGTTTTTCTACAAAGAAACAAAATTTATAACCAAGTTCACCTTTCCTTTCTATCCTATTTCACATTTTTCTCTTGAGACTTCCCTCCAGTTTCAACAGCTACAAGAAAATCCACATTTGCATGAATAATAAGTTACATTTTTATACATACACACAAACAGGGGGAGGAGCTTGGAAGTTGCTTGGCACATTCTCATGCTTGACCAACCTCCTACAATCTAGATAACTATACAGGAGACACAGTAAACCAGGTCTTCTCACACCGGTGTCTCCCCCTGGTCAGTCATGAGGCTTCAGCATGTACAGGAGATGAAACAGGAGCCCGCATGGCCACGATTAAAACACATTGTCTGCATAATCATCCTGCAAAAAGGAGGGCGTACACAACCCAATGCACTAAGTAACATGGAACAGTTCAGCTGTACATACAGTATCATCACATAATGATAAAGTTTAGATTCATAATTTAATCTGTATATACTGTATCTTAATATGCTGGTACCAGGTATTCACAGTGACTCTAAAAGAACATTACAAGAGGAAGTTTGTACAAGCGAGAAACAAGAGAGTCTGAGTGACTGGTGAACGTTTGGCATCCTTTTTTGTCCAAGTTTGTTGTCGAGTCAGTTCTGTTTGATTCCTCTGGATTTGATAGAGCTGCCTGGGCTTTTTCATTGGCACTGAGGAGAAGCAGTCTGACTCCTCTGAACACACTTTTGTTTTTTGTTTTTTTTGTTTTTTTTTTCAGCAGCAGTGGACACAAAAAGGTGAGGTAAGGTGGTGTCGGGGGGGGGGGGGGATCTTTTCCACCTTCATATGTTGAGCAAGACATAACCCGGGCATGAGAATCAAATACAGCATGTGCCCTGTCCAGTGCTGATTTTACCTTAAAAGAAAGTGCAAGAATGACACAGAAACACACAGAAACACACATCAGGTATTGTCCTTACTGCTACCACTCATAAGCCATATTTAACAAAAACAAAATAAAATCACTGTATCATCCCAAAACACAAAACATTTTTAAATACAATTTTCTATATTTCATTATAACTTCCAGGTGTTGCTTTCAGACACCTAAAGCTATATGCCAGCTGAAAGAGAAGCTGCCTTCTTGGGGCATTGTGTGGTTCAGGCCAGCAGGAGGAGATCTTCTACAGTATGGCTGCTACAATAGTGAGGTTAGAAGAAAACAGCTACATGGAAGGAAGCTGAAGCAGCTCTTTCCTGCCATTGTCTGTGTCTTCAGGAGAGGTATAACCCTTTTTTTTCCAGTATTACTCTAATACTGTTTTCATACACACTTCCAGGAGGAACAAGCATGCTCAGACCATTTTTTTTTTCTGGGAGGATTTCCAGTTTATGTCCTTCTCATTTTTGTTTTTAAGATCTTCTCCCTAAAAACTCCAGCATTTCTTAAAATACAGTACTACTGAGAGGAGAGAGGGCAGTCCTTACATAACAGACCTCGCTCTGAGGCGACTCAGTTACCATCATTACATGTTTTGAAGTAGAAGGCCGCCTACAGGCTCGTCATTGTCACGTTCCCTTTTTTTTCCCTTGTTGTGGTTCATTACACGACCGCCCCACACTATCAGCGCCACACTCACACACTGCAACTACACGTCTGGCAGACAGGATAGCAACACTACTGTTCACATATATTATTGGTGATATATATTTACACTTTTGGTCATTTCAGATAAGACACTACCCAACATGCTATACAGTGTCTCTCAGTCGTAATTGCCACTTTAAATGCAAGTGCTATTCAGCCCAGCTAGTCAAGTATTTAAGCAAGGTACAGTAAGAGATGCACACACACACGCGCGCTAACACACACACTCACACGCACGCTTGCACACATGCTGCACACATATCCTCACACATACTGTTGTATCATACACACCAATAGAGAAGCACTCAGGTATAGAGAGTTGCACATTGGTCAGTCTGTGAAGGTGATTGGATGCTGAAAATGTCCTTTTTGTCTTTTTTTTTTAAATGAGTAGATTTGCATACTTCCTCACCAGCAGGCAGGTCCAGGAATCAAGATTGAGATTGTGGTAGCAAACAGATTGAAGAGGATAAGTGTGTGTGTCTCGTTTTGCAAATTTTCATGAGAAAAATGGGTATACTGAGCCCGAAATCACGTAGTAGGACTTGTTGCACCTCTCTGCTGATTTGTGTGTTATTGTGCACGCAGCAGTGTCAAAGCTAACAGGGCTTGTTGACATTGCACAGCAGCTCAGTGACTTTGATGAGGCGGGCCACCGTGCTCTGAGACTCCTCCTGCAGCCGCTGGTTGTTCTGCCGCAGGCTCTGCACCTCGGCCTGCAGCACCGCCTTGTCCTCTTTCTCCTGAAAGACATCGGCACACAACAAAAACAAAAGCCGTCGCTCAGATCGCTGTGGCAGGAACGGGAGGGGAGCGACAGGTACAGCGGTGGCTTTAAAGTAACTAGTGGGCACACAGAGACACAGAGCTTGAAAAAAAAGAAACAAACAGTGTGTAAAAGTACAGCTAGTCTAGTAGAAGTGGGAAACAGAAAATATTTGTCTGGACTGGGATGATACAAGAGTCTGCTTCGGGATTCTAATCTGTTGGCTAGTCTGGGGAAGTGACTAAATACTTAAAGTGGGTACAGGGCAGCAGATTATGATCATGTAATCATTTAAACTATTACATGTAAAAATAAAAATAAACCTTTTAACATCACCAGAAGTACATGTCAGCTTTAAATAGTTTGTTCTGTCAAACCAAGAGTCTAAACTAAACAAACGGAGAAAAGCACCAAATCTTCGCACTTACATCACTGCGACTACATAAAGTTTAAATTTGGCCTTTTAAATATAACAAACAATTACTTTATCATTAAAACTATTGTGGAGTAGTTTTCTCAAGAAATGTTTGCACCTCTAAATGTGTGTCATACACCCCTTTTGACAGTGAATAGATTGAATCATTGCTCAATTGGAAAAACTATTTGACAGATGAATCAAGTGCAGTTACAATTCTTATCAAAGATATAAAAATAAACCAAAGTGTCCCATTTAATCAGAATAAATAATATGTTTATATAATATGTGCACACACAAAAACACGTACACTGTTAACAACAGGAGGCTCAACACAAAGTCCACTTGATGATGTAGAGAGGCTAAATCTGCTGAAGGCCATGAGAGGTGATAGAAAGTTTCAGATGCACAAGTGGACTTTGAGTGAAGTTCTTAGTAAGACATTTACAGTACTCTTCGTCATTAAAATAAACAACAACATCAGGGTTTTGTTGTGTAGAAAAAGAATTTAAAAAATACTGATAACAGCATTTAAGAGTTTGACAAATACATTTTAAATATGATATTTAAGTATTCAAGAATCTGCTGATGTTTCTGCACATATTTACAATAAAATTCTCAATAACTTAACAAGTGTTTTTGACCTGTGAGTCAGCTCAGACTTGACATGTTGAGTAGATGTAAACAACATGGTGGCATCAGAAAATACAAACTGCTCACTACAGAGACAGAGGCTGAAAAACAAATACTTTTTCCTACCTGCTGACTCTCCTGTGGAGCTCACTGAAAATACATCACAGAGAAAAGTATTTATGAAAGTCAAAGCACCTTTTGCAGGTCATCCTGCAGCTTCTTCAGCATAGCTTCCAGCTGGGATACTTTCTCCTCTAGGTGGCCTGGAGAGTCACTGCGAAAAAAGAGATGCAGTGACACGCTGTCAGAGGCAAAAACAGATTCTGTGTTTTAAATTTACAAAACTTATAAAAGGAAACTAAAGGATTTTAACACAACAGATTCAACAGGTGGAGGCATGTAATGTAGGGGACTGTGTCGAGGTCCTGTCACCCCTCAAGTTACCAGCAAAATATACAAATAAAGTGACAGATTGGAAATAATTTTATTGATTCAGAAAATATGTATTTTCAGGATAAAATAAAAAGTTCCCAAGTTTCCACATTGATAGCACTTCCAAAGCAACGACATTCTTATCAGACTAAAAATAGGTCAAATTGAACACTGTCATCCACAACTGAGTCCAAATATTGCCCTGTGTTAATGTTGAAAATCATATGAAAATTAAAATCACCATCTATAGAAAAGTGTGTTTTCCGTTGCCTTATTATCTCATTAGATGCAATAAACCCCAGAATCTGTATACGGCCCTCTCCCCTGTAACTCTTCTTCTTCAGTGTTCATACTCTGTTCTGGTTTGTGGTTTCTTCATTTCTGGTTAAACTCCCCACTTCCCATCTTTTTCCTCTGTTGGTGACGAGTCAGTTATTTATCGCCAATCTTACCTTTTGTACTCTCCAAATAAACAAAGAGTAATATCAAAACTTCCCTATGTCTTCCACTGAAGCTATCAGAAGTCATGGATTATCACACTCTCAACATGAGGAGGTGAAATCACAGTGTACTAGATATGTAACTTCTTTATGAGAATATGTAATGTGTGTGATCAGGTTGTTCCTTCGCAGTTTAGAATAAACAATCGTTGTCGAGTGGTTTTGACCAATCAGAGTTGAGTATTTAGCAGAGCTGGGTGATTAGTGGGAAAGCTGGGTGATAACCTGTTTTAACGCCTCTTTTCATGTCATACATTAACTTCTCAATTTGCCTGATTGGTTGAGGAGCTGGGTGTCATTTAAGCAGCCCCTTTAGCTCGAGAGACTGTCACCTTTAAAGTAACCTGTAATACTCGCTGATCAATTACAGTAATTGCTACAGCTGACCTGAATACCAGTCTGAGTGAGAATAGTTATTCCACGGTGCTCTGCGACTTACGGCAGAGAAAAACACTGGTGTTTAATCTTATTTTTGTATTTACTATTAGTTATAGGTTAATGCCTAAATCATTACACATGTACATATAATAAAATATACGTCTTTGCCGAACAGCTGCTTTCTTAGAGATATGCAAGGGTGTTACTGGGGGCTAACTGTACTCAAAGACAGGAAATCTGAACTTCTCTCTTAGACTAAAAAAAAAATAAAACAGGCTTTAATTTTCCACATAAATCACTTTCATTGCATTGTCATAATTTATGCATTAGAAACATAAAGAAAAAAACAGTTTCACAGAGAGATATAATGGAGCAGAAATATAGGGAACATACTGAGCTGTAATAGTGTCTCCTTCTAGCCCGAGCCAGATCTAATGGTGAAGTACTCATCAGTGCTGACCTCCACAGTATGTAGGAGAACGTAAAACTGTGTGTGTAAATACCAGAGACCTTGACTGATAAAAGCTTTATGTTTGTGTTTGCTCATTTTTTACTGCCTCATTTTCTTTTGGCCAACAGTTTAGCGGTCTTTAAATGTTCGGACACAGCGCAGAGAAGAGCGGTGCGGCCAAATAAGGCAAACAAGGAGCTGAAGAAGAAATATCAAAGAGATTAGAGTGGGAGTTTTACAGAAAGATGACAATGATAGTGAGTCAGACGTGATGCCAGTGTGTGTGTGTGTGTGTGTTTGCGTGCGAACAAGTGCATCACTGAGTCAGAGTGATGAGGGCTCTCTTTATGGGGGAGAGAGGCCACCATGCTGACCGAAAAAGTTAGATGCAGCCGATAAAGTTTGAAAAACTAAGAGAGAGAGAATAAAAGGCTAGAGTTGATGAAAAGGACGTGTGCAAGTCCAGAGAGTGGAAGTAAACAGGGAGACTAATGGTCGAGATACTGAGCTGTCTGATGTACTTTAATGCAACCCACCTCTCTTTTGAGTCTCTTAGCTTGCCGTCTGTTTGGTCCGCACCAGCTTGGGATGGGTCTCCAGCTTTACGGTCTGTGTTCAGAAACAGGCAACAAACAGGAGGACAGATGAGATGGATACAGAAAAGTTTTTCTCCACTTCAAAGGACTTATCATGTCTGTCAGGTAGTGCAATTATATGGATTGTGGACACCAGAACATGAACATGACGACTATCCAGAATTGGTGAATCTTTAACTTCCCACAAAATGTGCAACTGTAACAAACCACCGTCTAATACGAAATCTTGATATGATATATTTTCAAAACCAGGTCAGGTGATACGGCCTGACTGCTGTGAACCCAGCTTTTTTGTAGCCTGGCCGGGCCATCCAGTTGCGTGAATCACTTGCCGTTCCTTCTATTGTTGTTTGCAAACATTGGTCTTCAAATACTTGAAATCAGAGCAAAAAACTCTTTTTTCTAGATGCTTTTTGTGTGACTCCTGAATCAGGCGTCTTAAGTTTGTTACTGAATCTAAAAACAAGATTCCTTTTGAAGAGAGTTTGGGAGAAAGATGGAATATAACCTATTTTAACAGTTATTTTCCTAATTTTAAGATTTCCTGCCTATTTGTCAAAAAAGACAAGGTTGTGCTTGATATAAGGTTATAGTGTAAAGTTAAACACTTAAAATAAAAAATTAAGTCTTAAAACAAGAGAAATGATCTAAAACCTCTTAACCCAAGTTTTTTTGTCTTGGTAAGAACCGAATCTTTTGCAGTGTATTTATCCCAGAGGTGCAATTTAAAGCAAAACATAAGCTTTCCAGTCAACGACAGAGCGAACATCACACACTAACTTTATTTTTTGTACAGTATGATGTGGTAGTTCCTCACCCTCTCGTGACAGAGCTTCCAGGATGCTGCGGCACGCTGTGGCCAGGTCTGCGATGGACTGCCATTCCTCCTCCGTCGAATCTGCCGTCTCTGAGAGAACTAAGAAAGAAAAGTCCACATTTAACAATTATCTGAATGTGAAAAACTTCATCTATCGGGTAAAATATAGTAGATCAGAGAGAATGAAGTCAACTGAGCTGCTTTTACACAATAACATAGAGTCACCACTGAGGGGTGCTGCTGTTCAAAGGCTGATCAGAGTCAGGGACAGCAGGTCAGAGAGGAAGTGTTGTGTTTGTTGTTGAGTTCCGGCTAGTTTCACTGAATTATGCCTGACTATGAAAGATCTTTTTATTATTCGTTAAAAATGGAAGTAAAAGCAGTTCACCACTAGAGCGCAGAAGATGGGAAAAAAAAAAGATGTGACAAAGAGCTCACTTGAGATAAATTTTTGGTGAATTCTTGCTTGAGACTGATAATAAAAAAATAAAATAAAAACGACATTTACAACACTACAACTAATCCCTGAGACTTTTTACAGCCCTGATTTACATATTTTGCTTAATTAAGTTTCAGTGAGTGTTAAAGGCCCTCAAACTTCCTGTAGAAGAAGGTGATGGAAAACAATCAGGGGTCTCAGAAGCCGCCCCCCACAAAAATCTGAAGACCTAAAAGAGAGGATGAGCGGCGCACTCTTCTTATGAAGCTTAAACGATGAGTCTCACAGTCTCAGCAGAGGCCGAGCAGATGGTGTAAGAGGGGCTCCTTGATTTGGGGCTGCCTAAAACTCCACCCCTCCCACCACCCATCTGTCCCCCTTTTATCCCGGCCCTGGCAGGGGGTGGCAGCAGAGTAGGGGTGATATTAGATTAGGGGGATAGGGGGCAGCACGGATAAAAGAGGAGGGACAAAGGGGATGCAGAAGGGAGCAGAGGGAGGATAATGAAGAGAGGGTTGTAAGGGCAGAGAAAATCTGGTAAAAAAGAGGAATTTGTGGCTTAAATCAGGCAGGAATAATTTGCAAACATGTGTAATTATTCCATTTTGGCTTCATTTAAGAGGTCGTGTCAGCTGGTGCGTGTGAGAGGGGAGCTGACTTGAGTAATAAGGGTCAGAAAATCTCATGTCCTCCTTTGTATTCCCCACACAGCCACCGTTCTTTTTGTTTCAGGGATTATAAACATTTGTTTTATTTCCCAGTAAAGATATCTGCACTTATAAGGAAGTACTTACTCTTGGTGATGGAGTTATGAAGACTCAGGGCTCTGGAGTTTCTTTCAGCCCGATCAACACATGACAACCGGGAGGAAGAGTCACTCGCTGATGCTTTGTCATCGCTAAATTCAGCCCCCATAAACTGAAGACACATAGAGACACGGGGAGGAAAGGACACTGTCAGAGAGAAGATGGAGAGCAGAGGAGAAACCAATCAGATGTCCTCTTCTCTAAGTCAATCACCTGCTCGTCCTCCAGGGGAACTTTCGGTTTGACAGCCAGGATCAGATCAGGTGTGGCGTCTCTCAGCTCACCCACGTTCTCGTAGATGTGGCGGTCACCTTTCAGCACCACGTTGTCGTACACGTGCCTGTCAAAGACACACACAGGAAAAAAAACCCACTAACTTAATCTGCTGCTGATGCTTTGTGACATTTTTTATTCAATCTAGAGGCCAAGGACAGAAAGCAGCACTTAGAAAAGTAATCTCCAGGATAGCTTGGATTTGGGCCTGATTGATGTTTGTGATTCTGTGCTCACAAAATGATCTATCAAAAACATCATAACGGATGCAGTTTGGGTTAAATTATTCAGCTCTGCCTCCCTGTGACAATAAAAGCAGTCATATTCATTTTGCAGAGTTGCAGAGTTTAATATCATCCTCATGAATATTTCCTTCATGCACGATTTCCACTTCAAGCTGATGCCTGGTTTTAGAGTCCTGGAGGTGAAACTACCCAGTGAGGCAACGACTGTTTTTCAGGCAGACACATACTTCTAATGTTTCTTATCAAAATCTCTCTAATTGGAGATAATTACTCTGGAAAAAAGCGGGAAGCACCTTGAAGAAAACAGTTCAGACTAGTACACATTGTTGAACCCTGAAGTCACTTCACTCTGTCATTTTAACAGTCTGTGTTGGAAATAATGAGCTGTCTTGTCATTGACTTATTGAAGGTTTTCAATGAAGTAAGTTTGGTGCTGAACTTTCAAAAGTGAAAGAACGAACAGATAAGTGATTTTGGTAACACTTTACTTGACGCCTAACTCTATAACACATTATAAATATGTATAATGCGTTATAATCATGTTATAGCACTGTATAACTACAATTATCAACACTCATAAATGATCATGAGGCTTTATAGCAATAATCATAACACATTATAAAGCATAAAGATAATGCAATGCAACACATTATACTACCTGACCTTGTAATTCATGATAAAATGCTTTATGATGTGTTATGATTATTGCTATTAAGCATTATGATCATTAATGAGTGTTTATAACTATAGTTATATAGTGCTATAACGTGATTATAACGCATTATGAATATATGAATAATGCATTATCTATGGAGGCATTGTCTGTGAGTTGTTAACAGTTGTAACACATTATAATACCTGACCTTGTAAGTCATGATAAAATGCTTTATGATGTGTTATGATTATTGTTATAAAGCATTATGGTCATTTATGAGTGTTTATAACTATAGTTATACAGTGCTATAACATGATTATAAGGTATTATACATATATTTATAAGGTGTTGAAGATATAGGCGTCAAATAAAGTGTTACCGTGATTTTTTTTCTAATGTTGAAGATTTTCATTCCAGAACTTTTGTGTTACGTTGACACACTTCAGTGACGCATTGTTCATGTCCTTTCTCTCTGACTCGCTCTTCGCAGGAAAAGTGACGCACTGACTCAGAGATTAAAAAGTGATGAGTCAGCTTCAGCTTGGGGATATTTTCAGCCATGTTGGATGATTTAAGAGCTCTTTTACCTGATGCTCTCTCGATGTGCAGCTCTAGCTAGGAGGATCTTATGAAGCAGCGTTTATTGTCACTTATTCTATGAAGAGTGTGACATGCTTTAGTAACACTCACCCGTCACATGTATCCCCGTAGGATGTTCTCTCTAATGAGCAGCTGCGTGTGAGCTGCGGGCCGCCACCCTCTTCGCTCTGATTGGCCGGTTGGTCTTGCAGAGAAGTGGCTCGTAGTAAAGGTAAACTGGGTGGCGTGAGAAGCGTGATTTGACTTTGCCCCTTGAAACACTGGTGCCCTTCACCCTCCTCAGCCTCCACCTCTATAATGTCCACTTCATCAGCCCCACCAGCCTTCATCTTGCCATCCTCCATCACTTCCTCCTCTTTCTCCTCCTCTTCTTCCCTCTCATCCAGCACCCAGGCCTCTCCAGACTGATTCTCGCCGGGTTTACACTCCGCATCCTTGATGGCTTTCTGGTAGAGCTCAGAGAAACTTCTGCGGATCATAAAGCACAGAGGAGACTCTTTTTTGAATCTGTTGAGTCATAAATTAAGCTGTAAGCCAAAAACAAAGATTGGATAGAAAAAAAGAGCTATATTTGTCTGAGCTTCATTTATATTCTTTTGAAGTCATAGAGCCTCCGTTTCCCATGAAGACATCTTTGTGACAATTTGTGCTTTTGTTGTCACAGAAAAAAAAGCATTTCAGGAGTAAAATATAAATAAAGCAGGGGGAGTTCTCTCAGGATGATTCTCCTGCCAGCTTGAAATGCTTCTCTAAAGTTCAGAGCTTCAAAAGCGTACGGTTTGATGTAGTTTGTATTTTTTTATATTTGTGCCCTCTGTCTGACTTCAGCCGAGTGGAAAGTGTGCTGTACAATGTGTGTCACTGTGATTAAAGATCATTAGAGGGATTGATTAGTTGTGAACCAGCTGGTATGACACAGACGGCAGCAGAGCATGCTGTGACCTCAGAGACTCACAACTCTCATGTTTTCTTGAACTTTCTTGTTCTACTAGCCCCCTCCTTTTAGTTTGCTGTCAACTCTCTGTCACCCCCTCGCTGGGACTTCACTTTCTGCAGCATGCTGTATACCCATGGGCCCTTCCTCCAGTCTTACTTTGTGTCTGCTGACCCCAAAGTGCCCTCGTTAGCGCTCCCCTCCCTTTCCTCCCTCACCCACCTGCGAGGCTTCCCGTTCTCATCCGGCGGGATTACGGTGATATGGATTTTGTGCGCCGTGCGGAGCAGCCTGGTCCTCTCTTCCGGGCTCAGGTGAACCAGGGAGTGTCCACAGAGGCGCACAACGCGGGCCCAGAGCTGTAAACCTCCGCTCTCGGCGTAACAAAACCGCTGCAGCTCCGTCACAAAGCCCTCCTCGTTCATGAGGAAGCCCGGCTGTCCAACTCCATCACGCAGGGGGGTGACCTCGAAAGCCTCGCAGCCCCGAGTGACCAGCTGTGGAGGAGAAGATGAGGTACTATTGTTTCACTGTTGTATTTTCTTTTGTGCTGAATTTTATTTGTTGCTCTCAGTTTGTATTTGTTGCCTCGTTTAACTCATTCAATTCAGGTGCTATGTAAATAAAGTTGACAGAAAGACATGCACAAATTTAGTGTGTGTGTGACAAAAGAATTAGAAAGAGGACTGCTGTAAATTTTAGGTCATTACGATGATAAATTAGGGACATTTTCACTCAGTAAAAATAGCTCGAACAGCCAAGCTGTCTGCAGAAACAAGCACAAAAGCCAATTAGTCTGCACTTTCCAGTCTGACTGTGATGTACATAGTGGAGGACTTTTCCACTGTAATACACTGTCTGGGCTGCAAGTGAAAAAAGAAGAGAGGTCTTGTGTAATTAAAAAAGAAAAGGAGTGTAACAAAGAGCATGATTACAAGTACCAGCAGGGCTGCTTGATTAGGGCAAAAATCATAATTCCAATTATTTTGATTAATAATGAACGCATGATTACTTAACATGATTACTCCTTGATTTGGCATCATCCTCATCACATAAATCTGTTGAACTTAATCTGCAAACATACATTTCTGAACACATTATTTATGATAATTCAGTCCCTCACTGTTAAACCTGACAGTCATGTTTTTTCTAGTTAGTACTAAAGCCTCGATCTCCTTATGCTCACTCTGTCCCTCTGCTTTACTGACACACATCTTCTCCTCTCCTGCTGTGCCAAATAGCTCATCTTCCTCCACCTTAAGCTGCATGTCGGTTTAAACTGTCATAGCACAACATGTTACAGAAACAGCAGTCCCCACTTAACACATTTTGCAACATCTGCAACATCTTTGCTCCCACAAATTTAATTGCACATTGATCTGAGCCCCTAATGATGATGATGCATTGCAGCTTAAAAGGAAGAAGGCACTCCATTTGTCACTTATAACTAGGGGTGTCCCGACACGATGTTGATGTCAGATATTGGTCTGATATCAGCAAAAAAAAAACAAAACAGAAAACGAATACCGGATTATATCGGCCTGTGTCTAAAATCTCCAATATCAACACTCGATTCTAGCATGCAGAGCTCATGTGATCACAACAATAGTGTGTACTAAGGTACAAACAAGTTCAAGTCCGAAAAAGACATTGCAGCTTGTCACGCACAAGTTTGTGCCAATATTGGGTCAATATTGGTATCGACCAGTACTGAAAGCCACAGTATCGATATCGTATCAAAAGTAAAAAAGTTGCATCGGGATACCCCTACTTATAACAAAACAAGAGCAATATAGCCAGCAGCACAGTGTTAGTTTAATTTTTTTAGCGTGGTCATAAAAAAAAATACAATCGGAATTGAAATTATTATTCCTAACCCACTGCTTACTCTGCAAGTATTAAGTCCAATACAGCTGCTTCAATATATCCTCAGGCACATAAAGAATACACATTTTATGTTACTAGCACACTCAACTATTGTGTCAACAGAAACTGCACTGGGAGGCAAACAGTCATAATTTGAGGATGAGTAGTGTCAGTGTGAGGAGGTTTGTTTTGGATTGACACAATAATTTAGTTTGTTTCAATCAGCACCGGTCAGAAAAGCTTGTGAAATATGAATACTGAAGAAATCTTTCACAACCAAAGCTACAGCAGGCGTTTCCTTTACACTGAGTCAGAGAAAGAAAGTGATATTTCAAGCATACTGTATATCAAGATTTAAAGTGAAAAACTAAACTCATTTGGCTTGATTCTTCTGACTTTAAAAAATAAAATAAACCAGTCCAGACTCTACAAAACCTTGAGCTCCTGTGAATATATACTTTTTAATTTGTGAAATAGTCTACAATTCACATGAATGCCTTTTTTATGATTAACAAAGGCAAGCAAGACCTTGAGCGACAAACCAACATTTTTATACTGTTACTTTCAACACCTCAGACCTATACGAGGGGGCAGGTGTCGCTGGAGCTGCTGAATAAAGAGCCTGTTTTTACATGTTTAACATAAAATATTTCAGACTGTCTGACACTGAAACGTTGCCAATAAATGTTTTCACTTGCAAGTTAGACATTGTGCAGGATTCTTCCTCCCTTTTTGAACGTCTATCTCTTTTCCTTCACACCTGCCCCAGGACACAGATGTGCGAAAAACGTTTTCAATCAACATTTACATTTTAAAAAGATACACTTGACTGTCAAAAGTCAGCAGGATAAGAATTAATTGTCAGAAGACACTTAATGGAGACGGCTTTGTCCACAGGTGGCACCAATAGTGACACAAACCAAAAGTTCTTCACAGCAGCTTTAAGAACATTGAAGACTCTGAACTTAAACTGACTGTATTATGAAACTTAACATTATAGATCATAACTATAACTGAGCATTATCACACATGCTGGAGTGATGTACAGAATACTAGCCTGTTTGTTAAATGGTGACTGGTAAACTGGTGATATTCAGCACAACCTCCCCACCTCAAGCATAGCATTGCTTCATCAAGTATTAAAAGTAAAATGTATAAACATAAAATGGTGTTTTTGTTATGAAATCATTCATTGGCTCCACAAACAGAAGTAGTTCCTGGACTTGGCTAAAACTAGACTGTTGCTGAGTAACACTAACACCTCCCTGCACTGTTGATACTTTGAGCGTATCTACATGTTACCACGGAACATCTTCTCTGTATTTGTACATTTATCAGTAAACACATTGCTTTGGTAGCCTTTGTGATTCAGAGGTATGAAGTTATCTTAAACAATAAGCTTTACTTTAATGTCACCATAACAAAGACTAGAATAAAGGCAGAGTGATGAACATGGTTTTAACTCCCAGTGCTCTGAAATTCTTTATCACTCATGAAACTGTCCAATCTGTCAAATTGGTCTGAACCACTCGCTGAAAAACTTCAAACTAAGACACATTGACTTACCTCCAGCCTCTGCACCACCTCTCGGATGTCCTCTGCCTGACTCTCCATCACACTTATAGCCACAGATTCCCCACGTTCATAGTAGATGTCCAAGCACGGTCCTCCTTCTTTGACCTCCGTCACTGCTTTCCACCCAATTACATCCCTACAAGAGCAGTTGAACACCACCCTTCGTGTACACCTCTCAATGAGGACCACAGACTCCGCTGACACTCCAAGCAGACACGGCAGCTTGTGCTCCCCCACCTCCCCCTCATCTCCCCCACTGTTGACCATCACAGCCCACACCAGCGCTCCAGCACTGTGCAGCTCCGCCCCTTTGGCGCCCTTCAGCTTGTCCTTGCGTTTTCCTCCCAGAGAGAGTAGGGGAAACTTGGTGGAGGAGTCGATGGGTGTGGTGGTGACATAGTTCTCGGCCAGGTCCTTCAGGTATTCCTGCCGTGTTCGGGTGGCCATGGATCGGAACTTCTCTGACTTCTCTGCAGCGTTTTCTGCGTTCACTGCCTTTGCCAGGAGGAAGTCTCTGAAAGCGGGTGAACGGGGGAAGCGGGCACCCTTGGGGAACAGTGGTCCAAATAATGGGATGTCTTTTGAGCGAGTCACTGCCACTCTAAGAAAGAGAGAGAGAAAAGGAATGAGAGAGTAAGAGAGAGGGCACTGCAGAGACACTATCTCTGTCTCGTTGTATAATACTCTCCAGAATAACAAACCTTGTCATTGGAGATGCTGCGGTGATGCATTAATTTTCTGAATCTAGTTTTGTTTACCTCACTTAACTTGTAAATCACTAAAATCTAAACACAGATATTAGCTTTGGCCTGTTGCGTGAGGAACAGGGAGTTTAGCATATCAATCCTTCACATAGAGTTTTACAGAAAAGACAATGCCAGACCTGTAGTAGGTGTTTTCAGAGCAGGGCTCATGGACCTGTACGATGATGAAGACGTGCTGAAAGTGAGAGCGGATTGATTTGGGAGTGAAAGGCAGGGCGCCTGGCTCCTGGAACACGATTGTCACGATGTCGTTACCAATGTGTCGCTTCCTCAGCAACTGTTGGACCAAAAACAAGGACAGAGGGATGTCACAAACATGCAGATCAGACTCATTAGAGGAAACCACTGGGTCTGCTCTCAGTACATATCCACCTATCTGAATGTTTCTATTCTATTCTCTGAATGTGAATGAACACATTTTGATTGTTGGACTCATTTGTGGTAATGATAACAGTATGTATGTGGGAAAAATAAAGAAGTTGCTAAAAAACTGAAGCTGGCTCCAAAAGCCAAAGAGATTCCATTACCTGCCTCAGCACATCAGACAGGCCTCCTCTGTGCCTGTCCCGTCTTTAGACCCACCTCTTCTTCTTGGCTTTTAACACCCAGTAGGAGGTTGACTTCATTTATTTTCTTTTATTTATTGTATTTGTTTTTATTTGATTTTACTGTGTTTTATTTTTAGGCCTACCTTATTTATTGTGCTTCCGTTGTGTTTAAATTGTGCTGTATAAATAAAATGGATTGGACTGGATTGGATTACCACCCATAATAAAATCTTTGAAGCTGAAATCAACATGTTTGCGGCCTGATTTAGAAAAATGGCTTTTCTAATCACAATGTGGGGGGTAGCATATTCAGTTTGAAGTTTTGCATAATTAGGCGTAATTGGGGCGAAGCTGATTTGACTGACAGATTGGCACATTGACAGCTAAAGGCCTGCCTAAACTCCGCCTCTTTGCCACTCCTTATGTTAATTTAAAGTAAGGTGGAAATTGTGCCGCTATAATGGCTAATATTTTAATGTAACACAGACAAAAGGAACATTCACTGTATGAAAATAATGAATAAATAATATTTTAATAAATTTTTAAAGATGTAAAAAATGTGTCTATTAATGTGACACCAATACGTAACAAACAATAGACTACTCATCTACGAATTCAAATCGCTAGGCTGTTCCTGTCAAAAGTTTCTCAAGTTTTTAAAATGCTGTCTCAATTTAACCTCAACCATAAAATCTACATAAACATTTTGGTCCCAATGAGCCGGTGAACACTGTTAAACCACAGACTGCACATATGAGAACAGACAGTGAGCTCAACAGGCGGACTGTCTGACAGGCCGCAGTGAATACCTTCATGGTGGGAGTGAACACTGGGGGGCAGGATTTTGATGTCATGCTTGTTGCAGAGCACAGAGGCTTTTTCTAAAGCATTAACCAATGCATGACAGTAGGAACAGAGAGGATAATGAAGGTTGCTGATATATTTCATTTTATATCAAAGGGGAAAGATTTATTAGTCTGTTTAATAGGATGGATGTATTTGGCATTGGAGGAAATTCTGCTAGAGATGCATTCGGTGAAGAAAAACCTGCCTGTGTTGAAGATGTCTCTGCATCTTTTACCTGCTGTGTGTTGTTGGCGGTGTAGGGCAGCATCGTGGACACATGAAACATAATCTCATACTCCTGGTAGCGCGTGTAGAGGGAGTGCGTCCCAGTTGAGTCCGCTGCAGAAGCAAAAGACACACAGAAACAGAAGCGCATCACACAAAGAGATAAAGCAAAATCAGTCAACGTCTCTGAGTGAAGGAATAAACTCAAACTGTCAGAGTCAGGGTGAAATGTGTCCTATTTACTGTCTCTGCCGCTCAGTGAAGGGAAAACAGCTCGGAGATAATCAGCAGTGACTATGCTCTTTTACAGGCATTACTCAGATTACATGAGGCCAGATAGCAGTTATCTCAGGCTTTCAGTGCTGCACTGATGCCCTTTGGATAATGGCGACAAGGTGAGATCCTGCCAATAGATCGGGCGCGGTGTGTGTTTTCAGCTCACTCTTGTTGTCCAGCTGAGCTCGGTATTTCTCCCAGCCCTTCAGGCGCACCCGCTCCCCTAGCAGATCCAGAAACTCCTCAAACGCCGGCCCTGAGCTCTCGTTGTTGTACATGTCTTCCTCGGAGCTCTGCCCTGCTCGGCAGTACATCACGCCAACCTTTCTCTGGAAATTCAACTGTAATAGGAGAGAGAGAGAGAGGCACAGCGTTAAAAGCTAATTACAAGTATATTCTGTCATTTAGACAATTCTGATTATTTGATTTCACTTTACAGCTCCAACAGCACATAAAATAGTGATATCAAAGTAGTACTAATAACCTTTATGAACAGGTGAATTGTTTTTTGATTCCAGAGGTGGAATTGTTGTCATAATTACTGACAAAGCTTTTAAAAGTCATGCACAATTACCACCAGCTCTCAGTGGACTGGGACAAAAATTCATTCTTACTGCACAGGGCTGCTAATGCCAGTGATTTTGGTGTCTTTTGCAATGAGGCTTGTTTGCATTAAAGGAGGCATGTTTTTCCCTGAATGCATGAGAGCATAACAGGTTAATAAAATGTATGCAAAAAGCATCGGTGCAAAGGGATGATATTTACATGCAGCAAAGTTTGCATGTGATTTGTAAATAAACTGTTAGTTTTTTGGCACAGGTTTAGCTCTTTAATGTCTGAAACAAGAAATTATGGCCAGAAAATTCAAATTTTTTGGAGCTGAAATGTTTATTTCACTTACTACTGAAAACCAAAAAAATCAAAATGTCCTTAAAGTTTAATAAATATATTTATATTTATCTCGTTTGGTACATTGGATGTTTTTGAAAACTGATAAACCACAAGAGGACATTTTTTAATCATTTATCGGACTGTATTCATGATTTTTTTAGTAATTTGTTGATCATATTGATTTGTTAGAAGTATATAAAAGTATGTTTCAAATATGATACAAAAGGCATTAAAGTGTTAGTAACCAAAAAATCAATGCAATCCTTCAGTGCTCATAATATCCTATTAAGAAAAGAAAACAGGAGCCCCTGAACTTTCCATAGTCAACTCAAAAATAAGTTCTGCTGTGGTCTGTATCCATCCTTACAGACCTTCTTTGTTTAATCTGTGAGTTTAATGTGTGTTTTGGTTTTCTCACAGGTTTAACATCTGTCCCCCAACACGACCAGCCAGGCCCACCCCAACTGTCAGTGCCTGTGGAGGCGGTTTTTGACTTCAAGGCTTACAATAGGCGGAAGTGATGTGACGTTGCCTATTATATATACAGTACAGTCAGTGGTTTGACCTTTGAAAGAAAAAGCTTTTTTCTGCTGCCAGATATCCTAAAAAAGACCTTTCCTCTCTAACGTACATACAGAGGTCTAGTATCAGCAGGGTCAGCCCTGTACTCACCCCTTGCTCGTCCAGTTTCAGCAGGGTGTCGCGGACTTTGGGGGAATTTGAGGCCAAACGGAGGCAGTGCAGGTTCAACTCAGGCATGATGAACTCCAGCAGCCTCTTAGGAGACAATCCTCTGGGGGTTGTGTGTCGAGCAGCAGAAGGCACCGACTCCTCCAGGATGGAACCTCGCAGTGTCTTCATCTGAGGAGACGAATCACACTCATCACATCAAGTCCAATCTATTTCACACACGCACACACACACACACACAAGCAGCTCTGAGGAAAGAAAAGAGTGGGTTTACCTCTGTGGTGCGAAAGATGATTCTGTAATTGTACTGAGCTCCGCTGGATCCTTCCTTCTCCTCACGACGGAAACTGATGGCTACTGGACCGAGGCGATCATCCATGCCGAAAAAATTCTGGTGTTCTTTAAAGACAGGACGGTGACATAATAATAAGCATGAAAACAATGATGAAAGTGAGGATCTAGGACAAAAAAGCTGTGAAATAAGCGTGGTACAAAGAGGTACAAATGAGGGACTGTAGAGAAAGAGGACTCAGTCTTATCTTATATGTTATTTTACAACACAATCAGTACAACTTCAGTATTTCTAAGATTGCTAAATAAACAGTTTGATCAGCCAACACATAAGAATGTTTGATTTGGTTGGGAAAATTGAGAACCATAAGAACTGGTTAGCATTTAGCCTCGCTGTGACCAATTCAAAAATCGTATTAACTCTACAACACTGACGTTTACAGTAAAAATCAAAGAGGTGTTATCAACAGGCCCAAATGAAAATACGCTTGATACCACAACCAATCAGAACAACCGAATGATTAACATAGCAGTGAGCTGCTTGGCTAGGTTTCTTGGTTGCAAGGTGGAGCATTTATTTCTTATAGATTCAAATTCAATATTATAAATAGACATTTGTTACAGTATGCTTTCAGAGTGGGGGTGGGTGGTTTGTGTTTGGGGTAGTAATTTTTATTCTTTTTTTTTTCTTTGATTTTGTTACATGCACATCTAATTTATTATTATTATTTAACCTATTTATATTTGTTTTTATTATTAATTTACTTATTTCTATATAAACATTTTTCATTTTATTTTTTTAATGTATATACATTTATAGGTATGGGTATATGTGAATATATATCTTCATTGCTGTAACATTGACTTGTACCTTTCTACTTTTCTCAGTTACAGTAAATAAAAAGTTGCTTTTTAAGCTTTCAGAGTGTCCCGTTACATTTTTTACATATATTATGTGAACTGTCACCCAGTTAGTTTAATACTGATGACACAGCAGAATACAACTGTTTTAGATCATCAGTAGTTTAGTGTTATTGGTGCTTAAATCCACACAATGTAAGATAAATATAATAATGAGAAGGGGGCAAAATGCGTCTTCCAGATCACATAAAGAGTGAAATTAGGGATATCTCTAGTTGTTGTCTGCATATGACCAAAGTGATCCATACTTTCTCAAGTAAAGGTAATTCTGTGACGTGTATTTATAAAGCAAACCCAAGGGCATACTGTAATTTGATATAAATCCAGTCCTAGGGTTTACAGAGATAAAGAGTCAAATCTCTTTCCACCTCAGGAAGGAGAAACATCACATAACCCTGCCTTCTTAATAAACTCCCACTCTGTGACAATAACTGCACAGTCCCTGAAGAGAAAACGTGAGAAATCTGAAAATATGTATCCTGGTTAAGTGATCACTAATCTCTGATTGTAGGGCACCAGAGAGTTCTTCTGTTTTCTCAGAGCTGAACAGACTTTTTTCTTTTGGTAAGATCGTTTTTATTGGCCTGTGTTGGGGAAGTGGATGGAGAGAGAGCAGACATGATCTGAAGAGCTGGAAACTGAAACTGAAAAACTACGAAGGGGGTACACCTTCTAACAACCAGCAGATTTGATTTGAATCTTTGTGATATCATTTACACATTGATGGAGAATAAATAAAACAATCAAAAACTGGAGTTGCCTCGTGTTACACTTACCCTTCATGTAGAAATATTTGCGATAGTAATGGGCTCCCAGATCTGCGTGCTCTATAAAGTAGTTGCTCTTGCCCTGCTGTTGGATATGACTCTCTCTGGGCTCCTCCAGAACCGACACTGCATCATTCGGGGTTCGCAAACTCGACCAGAGTCCTCGTCTCCACTGGGATCTCCCGAGACCCACCTGCTCCTCTCCCCCGGTCTCGTTGCGGAAGTGTGGGCAGCTAAGCAGGAGCTCATTATCGTTGCCATCTCCTTCGTCTAGCAGCAGTGACTGCTCAGGGTCATCTGCACTCCCCACGTTGCCTCCCCCGCCCTGCGCAGGTGAGGATGGGGTGGCCTGGGAGAGGGGCCTCAGCTGGGAGGCGGCCGAAGCCCCTGAGGTGATGTTCTTTTTCCTTCCAATGCTGTCTCTGTTTGTAGCCGCCTCGGTGAGGTCGAACAGGATACTTTGAACATCATAGTGGGCAAAGTTCCTCACCCAGGCTCCACCCCCGATATTGTCATATGGACCTGGTTGAGGGATCTGAGGAGGCACAGGTTTGCTCTTCTTACTCAGACCTTCAGGCTTCGGTGGCTTGGCAGGTTTTGAGGAGTCCCCCATGGGAAGAGACAAACCTCGAAAAAACCCATCAGGCTCCGGAGGGTTGCCTTGCAGTCCTAAAAGCAGGAAAGGGTCTTTAAAGCGGAGGGCGTTTGGACTCAGAGGCCCCTGATCTGCAGAACTTGCCTCCTGGGCTTGAGTCTGTCTCTCCAGTGAGGACAAGCTGCCATATTCCCTGTGCAGCAGAATACCTGAGTCCCCCTGAGCTCCAACACCTGCTTTTTCACCAGCCGCCCGAGCTGCTTTCCCCCCGGCTTTCCCGGAGGAATCCAAGTCCCCTAAGGTTACATCGCTGTTACTTCTCTGCATGATGTGGCCCCGGCCCACTGATCTGAGGTTCAACCCCACACGGCTTGGAGTGAGGCTGTCTCCGTCAGCTCCATCACCCTCCCTCCTGGGTGGCCACTCCACAACACCAGCCTCCCTTTTGGGATCAAAGTTCACAGTAGCGATTGGTGGCCGCATGTTCTGACGGCGAAACTTACGGATGAAGAGATCATCTGACTGCATGGTGCCCTAGAAACCAGCTCCGGTCTTTCCGGTAGTCTCCTCTCTGAGCTTCCAGAGCTTCCTGCTCGCCCAGTTAAAAGTCTGTCCTGGTCTCTATCGTGCTGGTGTGAAACTGGAGTGATGTGCACAACGATGAAAACCCCCTCTGAGTGAAGCAGCAAATATAGAACTCATTCACACCACTTAAGATGGCTGAACTTTCTCATCCCTTGGGCTCCAAGAGAAATCTCTGTGAGGTGCCAAATAAGTCAACAAGTCCTTGAAGTGTAAAAGTGAAGAAAACTGAGGGGAGCGTGCAGCGTATTTTTGTTGCAGATGCACAGATGCCTGTTTTAGTGGTACTCCATTTTTGGGGGTACCTCTTCCTGCAGGGTAAGGATGTGAAGATCATCACTGGAGCCTGACTTTTTGTCCTCTGTTTAGGAGAGCTGATGTCTCTATCAACCCTCCTAACATGGTTTCCATTTGTCTGCACTCTTCAGTGCCTGCTGCTTCCCTTTTGCTCTGGTCCACTGGCCACCTGCAGCAAAAAAAAAAGGAAGAAATCTTTTTAACCAACATCATCTTACACATCATTTACCCGCACTGCTATTTTTCCCTCATCGACAGCTCCATATTCAACCCAGAACAGCTTTTCAGTGTGTGCACACAATCACTTTGTGGGGAAGAAGAGCTTTGATAAACAAGCTCTGAATGCCAAGAATAAGGCAGCGAGCAGATGTGACGTGTGGTTTATTCTTGAGTAATGCCCCGTACCTCTGTTTTTCTGTTTTCTTTTATAATTACTCTTTCCTTTACACACTTTCCGTTCCATAGTTCCCCGAAATAGTATCAGAGCGGACCACACACTCACCATGTCCAGCCTGCACACGCTCACAATAGACGGGCACTAACACAGAGGAGGGGGCCTTCCTGGCTCACTGACTCAGTGCCAACATGCAAGAGAAATAAATGCAACAATCTCCTCTTATCCTCACACACCGTATGTTCACACAGACACATGTTTTCTTGTAACTCGAAACCTAGCACCAGAATTAAATCAACATGACTTTCAACCAGCTGTGAAGACATCTTTCCTTTGACGTTGTCAGTGAAGAGGTTAAGAGTCATTTCAAGGCAAAAGTGGTTTGCCACAGAGAACAAAACAGAGTGCTTCCCTTTTTCAAAGGCCAGAGAGAATTCAGAGTTAGAATTTTTGTAAGCAACTTACCGACAAAGCAGATTTATTTTACGCACAGACCAGCCAGCTCCCTCATTTGTCGCCTGTGCCCTGTCTTTGACCAAACTGACGTCAATCCACCTCTGCTGAAATGCTGAAACCTTTTCGGCGCTCTCAATAAGTTACACGGCTTCTTCCTGTCTGGCTTTTTCTCATCGCATCTCGTCTCGTGCTTGCAGCCTAAAGAGCAGGTGCGGTGATGCAGAGCTGCTACCAGAAAAGCTACACATATGTAAGCACACACACTCTCTATAGAGTAAAGTGAGGAAGTCAGAAAAAATCTTGGTTTCCCTTCTTTGCTCTGACACTTTATCTTTCTGTTTGCAGTCTGTAGATGTATGAAGTGGACGTTTTGAGTTGATAAAACCTCAGAGAGCTGCTGAAGTGTGAAAGATGAGTAATTGTTGTTACAGATCACAGATCAGAGGTCAATAGTAGTTAAAATAGTTTGTCAACAAATGCAAATGAGTGTTAAAAGTTTTTATCCTGAAAACATTCAAAGACATTTCTGATTGTCACCGTTAGCAAAGGTTTTTGTTCATACAAGGCTGGATTGCAGTTGATCTGTAAGAGATGAAAATAGTTTATTATAAGTAAGGTTTTTTTATTTAGTACTGTAAAATGTAGCATTTAATCTCTCTTAAAACCTCTCTGCCTGTTTCTGTACTATAATCTCTATTAGTGCGGATGGACACGATGTAAAGCAGAGAGGCAAGTTTTTGCATCAAAGCAGTTTGAGGCTGAATATTTAGATTTTTATTTTATATTAACAGAAAGCTGTGTCTTTTAAATAACATTGACATGAGCAGTGCGGAAATCAGTATTTTAAAGTTTTCCCTAATAGAAAAATGAAAGTATTTATAGGGCGGTTTCAGGCCTTGTCCTCAATAGACCACCACTTATTAACCTCGATATTTAACCACATACATTCAAACTTACATTCATTCTGTTTTGGTGGTGTATAGCTTATGCAATGCTGATAAAGTATGAGATCATACAAACTCCTCAGCGTAGCTTGGGACCCACAAAACTGAAGAAACAATCAGAATCCACATGAATCTAAAAGATTTTTCAAACAAGGACCGCTAGGGTAGGATTACAAAACTGGAAACAACAATAATTCATGTTTATCTATGCACCGCTAGGGCTGGGCGATATGAGAAAAAGTTTATCACAGTATTTTTTTTTTCATATCAGTCAATATTGATAAATATCATGATATAAAAAAATCCCTTGTTAATCTTGAGTGTTCCCTGTTTCTCTTGAATGAAATTTAACAGTGCTTATTGGCAGCATGTCTTTTGTAATACAATAAGCTACTGCATCTTTGAGGTCTTTGTGTCTCTTCGACGTTTTGTCGTAAGGCGTTGCGCTAGAGAAAGTGGACTGAATGGTCGGCTGTTTTGGCTGTTTAGTTTTCTGGCTTCAGGTGGGGGAAAAGATTTGGGGTAATCCCCCGACTTTGTGAGAACATGTCCTCGATATAATTTGTAATGCACATTACTCTGCTTCATGTCTAACCTCAAAAACCAAAATACCTCCACACCACCATTTTCCACCACTCATTTTCTTTTTTTCTCACGACAGTGCTGTCGGCTTCACGTGTTAAAGTGCTGTGGTTGCATGTAGCTGCAGCTTGATACTACGTAGTTATTTGCTATTTGGTTCCTAAATCTGCACATGCTTGGTTTAGCCCAATGCAGACCCGGGTCAACTCCCCTTTTCATTGGCTATTCGTATAGTCTTCTAAAACATGGCAGAATGTCGACTATCGAGCATACTGACCATGTTTTATATTGATATTGAGGGAAATTAATTTTCAATAAATATATTTATCGTTTTATCGTCCAGCCCTATACACGGCCAATGAATGCATGACAACAAATCCCCCCAACCAGAAAAAGAACGATGTTACATTTTCTTCAGCTTTATCAGTTTCCATCACACTAACTAATAATGGCCTTAAAATTACTCATATGCTGATTTTTTGTTGGATATTGTACATTTTTTTCTCGTGAAACTTTAATCCAAAAATATCAAAACCTATGCAGAAGACAATACCTCATCATTCCAGTCAGAGCCTCCCTCCACCATCACAGTAAGCAGATATTAGTAACAAATGTATCTGTGGGTGTCCGGTGTCACTGATAGGCTGTGGTCAGATATGATTGTGTGACATGTATAAAATCAGACTTTGATAAATGACTTCCATGATTGTCTTAGATTTCAATGCAATGTTGTGTAAATCAGCTAAAACAGAGATGCTTCATAATGCAAAAACATGACTGGTCCAGGCTTCACTCTACACAAACTGTAAGAAATGCACCAACAATCGCTAATGAGAAAAAAATGTGATTCTCTATCTGACACACACTCACAGTGGACTACATGAAGCAGCTTCTGTGTATCATCTTTATGGTGCCACAGCTGTTGACATTAAAAAACCACTCACGCACTCAGGACCTTCAGATGATCATGATGCACGTGGGCACCAATGTTTGTGTATCTGCAATCATCTACATGCTTGATAACAATGCGAAGATAAGTCGATAACTGTTAGTTTTCTCTACTGTTATGGAGTGGGAGTGCAGATTTTTGGCAATAGGTTTCTTTTTTTCTTTTTTTTTTCTTTTTTGAAAAATACAGATTGCCTTCATGTTGCTCCAACAACAAACTGAACTTCCAGGATCTGCCAGAAACACTCCTGCTCTCCACCAACACACAGCGCGGGCTGAACTTGGACACTTATCACTCACCACTTTGAACAAATCACATACTCCTGAGCTCCTGGAGACCCCCAACCCATGAATCACTCCTTGTTTCCATAGCAACTGGTCTGGTGCCACCCTCTCTCTCTCTCTCAATGTTGTATCTAGTCCACCAGTGTTTTACTCTGTTCTTTGAAATGGAGCCACTGTCTATAAACCCACCTACGACTGGGTTTGCTTTTATTAGTGACCTTATTCCTGAAGAAGGAATCAATAAATATGAACTGGAAAATTATCCTGCCATCGTGGTTAAGCTGCTTGCTAACTCAAGATGTTTTCTGACTAAATGAATAAAAAGGGTGACGTTGACTTCAACCTTTGCAACCATCATAGGTAACTACCTCTCCTCCTCCTCTCATATTACTTGTGGTGTACTCCAAGGATCAATTTTGGGCACACTTTAATTTGATGTATCTTCCAATTGTTAAGCAAATAACACACAGCTATACCAATGAGACCTGGTGACCAAAGAAGCTAAAGTCTTGCTGCGGGTTAAACGCTCTCAGGGATGGCCTCAAGTTTTCTAAAGTACTGCTCTCTAAATCAGAAATCAGTTGTCCAGTCCGGTTTTATTCAGTCAAGATCCATGTCTGAAATCAGGTCTATTCAGTCACAAGTCAACCTGGAAAAAAAAAGTCATAGTCGAACTGGTTTTTGACTGGATTACTTTCTGGTATCACCACATAATCCTCTCTCACCGGCAACTGGTCCAGAACACAGTAGCAAAGCCTCTTTCTCAAGTTAATGCTTGTAATCAGCCAAATAAAGTAATAGATACAAGAACTTTACAGAGGTCTAAAGTTCCGTTATGAAAAATGAGGATAAAGGATGACTACTATGCTTTAATTTGATTTAAATAATAATAATAAAAAATAATGATTTTCTTCCAAGTATGTGATAGGTGAGGTACCAAAAAAGCTGACATGCTGGGACCTGTCTGTCTAACTCAGACAAGTGAATTATTTAACAGAAGTGATACCAAAGCTGTGTGTTCATGGCTCAAAATGACCTCTAAAAGTCATCTGTTTTGTTCTGTCCTGTTTGAACATGAGGTTTTTTTGTGTGTCTTTTAAAAATCTGGAACAAATGAAAAAGAAAAAAATGAAAGTATTTCTTGTCTTTTGTTGCAGTTTTTAAGATTTTCATTTGGTGAAAAAGGAACTTAAAACCAGCTTCAAAGATGAATCTCACAGAACTGGGAAAATTATAAGCATGTTTCACATCTACATTCTCTGTTTGATGTTATTACTGAGTATTTATCTGTGAGTAATTGATAGATTCTCCCTGGGTCAGATTCAAATACACAAGCAAGAAAAGCTACTTAGTAATCTTAAAAGACAGTCAGTCATTTTCTTACCCTAGTTGAAAATGATGTCTTCAATCAAATCTTCACCTGACTCGAGGTGTAACTTAACTGTGATCTCTTGCTGTCAGTGTTACGGTTCTCTGCAAACGTGTGATGCACCTTACACAGAAGTAACAAAGCGAAGCGGAACCAAAGTCGTCACTACCTCTCAGCTTTTTCCTCCCTTTTTTTAGGAACTCACTGTATTTTCTGAGCATTTCCCACTGCATACATTAGCCTTACAATCTAAATGTCATTTTACATCCTCCAAATGTGTGTAAACAAAGACAGTGAAGCTTTGCCGTTTCGATCACAAGGCTGACATCGGATGCAAAAATAAAAGTTTCCAAGAACAACACAAAAATGTTGAACAACATGCTTTGTGTTTTCCCAGAGAATTTCTAGTTGAACAGTCCCATGAGCTGCATCAGTCAGAAGAATACCAAACACTAATACTATCATAGAGGGATGATTCTGTAATGGCAGGATGGGCTGAGTGGCAATAAAAAAGGAATTTAAAGATATTATGAAAGCTTGAGAGACGATTACCAGTGACAGCAAGTCTTTCTTTTTTCTGGGAAGCTTTCAATAGAGCTGATTTCACTCTGATTTAAAAACACACATGGCTTCAAATAGGAAGATGCTTTATCTCAAATTTTCCAGAACAACCACATTGCTTGTCATTCTTGAATCCAGCCAGCCCTGCTGGTTCAGACTATGACTCTTTAAATATCTCAAGCTGCTCATACAGTTACCTCTGCAAAATACTGATTTTTTATTTTATTTTCATAGAGATCAATACAGTTTGTGTCTTTATGGTGTAAGTGCTTCAATTTTCAACACATTAGCTTTACAGAAAGTATTACTTGGACCTTATTTCATCAGATGTACAGCAATTGCAGAGATAAGCCACTAAATAATCCATACAGTGATAGAAGCCTGCGCTTACTTAAGTCCACACACAGCATTTAATTTAATGTAAATCATCTCTGACCCTCACTGCTCCCTGAGCCACAACTCTGTGGAGTACAACTCCACCATCACTTGGACAGAAACTTGACCTTTCCCTGGCCTGGTTAGCAGGAATAACTTTTAACGCTTTATATTGAATGAGTTTCAATGAAGAACTGCACAGTCGGATTTATGGCAGGACTTAAATCTCTGTGATCTTGTCGTACGCTGACGATTCACTAACATTTCCATATGTCATCACCATCAAAACAGAGTAAAGGAAAACCTCACTTGGTCATTGCTCTGCCTGATGCTGATTCACCACATAATCCCAATCATGGAGTGAATTGAATTCTCAATAATGTGTAGTGGACAGTGTAAACCGGTGCTGTCGTAATAAATAGTAATCCACATGATGATAGTGTCTTTTTTCATCTCTTCTACCGTACAATCAATCATGGCAGGATGACCCAGACTTGCGGCTCTTTCTCTCCAGGATTTTTTTATTTGCAGTAATCACTGCGAACGCTCTGATGATGCTGCCCTCCGCATATCCCCCTCGTGCTACCAGTCCTGGTCTCCCTTCCCAAGAACGTCAATAATGCATGTAGGCAGCAGTGTTTAATCCTGCATCTAAGAGCTTAAAACTCTGTTCGCAGCCAGTGGACAGTAATGATTTCAGTATTGTGCTCACATGCTGTGGATAAACTGGACTTTATTTTAGCGCTGAAAAATCAATTTCTTTGTGTGCTGAGCTCCTGTGTCAATCAGAAGTGAGGACAGCATGAGGTCAGCCTAAAAAAACCTCAAAGCAAAAGGGGAAACGTGAAATTAGATTGTGTAACAATATTCTGCTTTTAAAGATAATGTACTGTATGTCTTATTGTTGCTTCAACAATGTTTTTTCTCTGCATCGATGCCACGCAGGGAAGGCGTTTGTTAAAACTAACGAAAAAAAATGTGGTCTACTTCCGTGTTAGATCTAGTACAAGGTTAATGAGACTCTGGTGAGCGGTGTCAGGACACAAAATGAAGTCAGAGGACAGAACTATCAAACAAACAGAGTTTTGGGAAGTCGTGGTGACTTGACTTATTTTGTGTGCTGCTCATGCAAGTCTGCGTCCTGTGAAACAGGAAGAGATGACTGACTTCTGAACCCTGAGAGGATGAGTGTCGTCATCATTTGTACTTCATGCTTCCACACCTACGACGGATACTGCTGTGTGAATGAGTAAAAACTGAACTGAGCTGAAGTCCAACTTGTTTTTGAGTCACTTAGTATTTGTTCATCCTGATATATCTGATTGACATTTGATTATTTCTCTTTTTTCAAAAACTAGTGTATCAGCGTTGAAATTAATAGATGATAAAAGTGACGACTAAATTTGTGTATTTTCTGCACATTTATTGATCATACCGAGCTGCACTGACTGTTTTGATTGACTTACAACTTCATGCTGTACTTGGTTGTTTCTCTGCAACAATTGAAGAGAGAAGTTGCAACACCGCCATCACAAAGTCGGTCGAGCAATCTTCAGACATTTTAGACACTTGACTTTGAAATAATACACAAAGATGGAGAAACAAAAGCTCTCAGTCTCGACCTCCTGCTCAGGTATCTCCTTTAAAAGCCTTTGAATGTCTGGCTCCACAGCTCCTGGATCAGCTGCTGCTTTAGTGTCACTGTCCATCTATATAGTTAAAAGCTGCCCTTCCAATTCTTAACCACAAACTCTAAATCATCTCCTCGCAGTGATTGATTTAGAGAAATGTAAAGCCGGGCTCGGTCTCACTCTCTCTATTGATCCTGTTACTTCTGAGATCAGGTTGCTTCCCTGTTCTGCAGCAGAATATGTGACACTGGCCTGCAATGCTTTTAAGAAACTAAACGTGTATTAATGTGTCTGGATCGTTTTCAGAAAATGAGTTCATTTAAATACTCAACTCTTGCTCGAGGTATCCTCGATCTTCCCCTGGCGACCCAGCCCACTTTCAGCAACACTGCGGACAGCGAATTGGGCTGAGTCCAGAGGCTGCTAAGTGGATGCTACTGCAGCACTCTCACTCTCTCTTTTTGGTGAAGTGTTTTATCTCTCTTTTTCATTGGAACAGTTTGTGCACGTCAGTCCGAGCTATTGGTCCCCAAAGACAGATTAGCCTGCATCCCTGACACCTGGTGCTCAATTTTAAAAAAAGATGGTAACTATCAACAAAGAAGGACAGGAGCTGCTTTTCGAAGAATCTTGAAAATTATCTTTAAGTATTTTATTGTAGTAACAGAGACCTCCATCCTTGCCAACATCCAGTTTGATTCTTTGATTGATAGTCATCCATTTAACTGCTGTGCATGCAATTCCCCACACAGTTTTGCTTTAAATGTCCCACACAAATCATCCCCACTAAGTTGAAATCGAGAGGTACTCTAATGAATTTTGCTCTTGTGATGTTTTCATAACACTTTAAGGTGATGCTGACAGAAAACAGCAGAGCAGTTAAATAATTTAAAGAACCTATTGATGCATATTCTCTTTAAAAGCAATGATTAAAGCATTAAAATAAAGAAAGTGAGCACCTGCCCTCTCTTGTTTCTCTCCTGTCAGTTAATTTGCGGTATGTTAACTCTAATTGGATCTTTAATGGTTAGCTTAACGTGTTTTTCCTTTAACTACATCACAGAAAAAGTCTGTTAAAGATCTAAATTTGAGTTGGGGTTTGATAGGATCCAAAAAGTCTCAGTCGGAAAATATTTCAGTGGAAATGCTGAATGCCTCATCCCTGTCATGGACCAATCAGCAGTACGATTCAGTAAAATGCAGCCTTTGTGTGCATCAGCCTGGCTCTGTAGCTCTGTTGTAGTGGTTGCACGAGGAGGTCAAGCTTCCCTCCCGGCTCTGCAGCAGGATTAAGCTTCATCTCCACACAATCAAACACCTTTAGATTCAAGGACAGCTGTCCGCCTCAAAATGTGTCCTTCAAAAATTGAAAATAAGTCTTCTGCTTGATGAATTATTAATGAGACCGGGCGAAAAGGGGGCGAGGGTTACAGAGATGTTAATTATTCATTGGTCTGTTGCTCCCTTGTCCACTCTCAGACCATTGAGGACGCACACGCAGACAGACTGGAGCAGATTTGTTAAGATCTGAGTCTGTGTCTCACTTCTTTGTCTTACAGTTTGGTTGAGGTCACCTGTCATGTGACTTCAGTGGTGTCTGCACCAGTTTCGGTTCAGTTTTTTTTCGTTTCTGTATGTTGTCTTTTTATAAGACGAGGTTTTTTAGAAAAGAACAAGCTGCTGATATGTACAAAAAAACACTCATGCTGTCTAAAGGACTATAAATATTACGCAATTCTGTGCATGCAGACTTCTTTTTTTTGTATTTTTGCTCGACTTTTTGTGGATGCATGATCAGTGAACCTGCCCCTTCTGCAAATGCAAAAGAGGAAGTACACTCAGCAAAGCTCCATCTTTAGTCTTGTCCATATTAAAACCTGACTTCCTCTTGTAATAAATAGCACAACCTAAAGCTGGTGCACTCTTAAATATGAACACTACTGTTTCCAATAAAAATCTACGTGCCGTTCTGCTGGAGTGAAAAGAAAGTACAGGACTCTTTTGGCTATTGTTTGACATGTTATTCACCATGACATCGACACTGTGTGCTGGCAGAGCACTGCCACTTCCTGTGTGTGAAAATACACCTTGTGGCAGGCCTGTATGTGTGTGTGTGTGTGTGTGTGTGTGTGTGTGTGTGTGTGTGTGTGTGTGTGTGTGTGTGTGTGTGTGTGTGTGTGAATAAGGGACAAGCAGAGAGATTCAAGGCCTCAATGTGAGAGTGCATGTGTGTCTTTGCTGACTCTATAAAAGCCTCATAGATGTGACAGGAAGAGCAGCTGCCCCTCTGTGAGCGCCCTGTGTGTGTGTGTGTGTGTGTGTGTGTGTGTGTGTGTGTGTGTGTGTGTGTGTGTGTGTGTGTGTGTGTGTGTAACAGAGAGAGGTAACAGAGAGAGGAACTGACCCTCAGTTTCATGACTGCGTCTATTATGTTTAAACACAGTTCATGTTTACTACTCTGTCATAAGTGTGAGCTGCTCTAAAAGGAGGAGGAAAAATATGGTCCAATATTGCTATCAGATCTGTTGCCCTACCTCTCAGAGTTACAGAGGACGACACACTGACCTCCTCCTATTCCTTGTTTTTTTTATCGTCCACTGAAATATATCTGAATGCCCATGAAAGGGCTGCATCGCTCGTAGTCTCCACACTCGCACCCATTTATCAGCTGAAAATCACTTTTTATGGGAGGAAATCTCCAAAAGCTGTTTGCACTTGCTCTAAATAAGAGTTGCTTATGACTGCAGGGTGCTGCAGTGAGGAGACAGGCTGCACTGTTTGAGCCTGTGTTCATTATCTTCATGGTGGAAATAAATTGCCATCATTATTGAAGAAATAGACTCCAGTCTCTGTTGACTTTCAAAGTGGAGGCATCATCTCCCTTCAGTTCATCAATCTGTATGTGGAGACTGGAGTTATTATTTCCTTTGGACTATTTACTAATGATTATTACCTCCTGCCCAACTGTTCTATTTGTTAAGTCTGCAAATATTGTCAGTGTGTTATTTGTAAAAATCTGTTGCAAACAAGAGTAACTCCACAGCAGCAGGGGCTATCAGTGCGGTTACTACTTTAATGATTTTATATTATGTGTTTTGAATGACCACAAATTTGTCCACAAATTTTACATCTCATTGTATTCAAAGCACTGAGAAAAAATAGGTTTTAAAACTCGGCAAAAGCAGCTACTCTCAAGTGAGTTAAGAGAGTAAGTGAAGAGGGGGAGACAAAAGTTGAATCAGAGAACTGAATTCTTATTTTCTGTTTGTTTTGAGGGGTTTACTTTCTACTACTAATGCTTTAAATTTAAACGTAATCATAAATGTGTAGGTATGTGTTCACTGACTTCCTCTGTATCAGCACAGTGTACAGTGTACAAGTTAGTATTTCAAAATTGAAACGTGTATTTTTTTCCTTACCCAGCGCAGCTTTTTTCCTGTCACCTTTACCTAGATTGTGTCAAAGCTGATAATTCTGGTGTAGTGATGTTTTAACTACACATTGTGTACACTTGCATGAAGAAGTGTTGATTCTTACTGCTGTTAATCTCTCCAAAACGCCCACATTTGTATAAAATCTTGCACCTTAATCCTTAAAGTGTGGCAGTTATAAAGAATATAAGGTTCAAAAACAAAAAAAAAAAAAGTCCAAACTGGGAAAAAATAAAAATCCCACTAACTGAGTATTTTCTGCACATAACAGGTCTGCTCTTGCTGTAGTGAGCAGCCTCTCTCCTGCCTGATGGCCTTGTGTCATTAACACCAGCAGCTCTGTAACTTCTGACCTACATAAAAATGAGCAGATCGTGCACCAATGTGCTAGCTGTGGTAATGCAGACAGCAGCTCATGCACTGTTTTTTTAAGCTATCGGCATAAGCTGAAGTCACCAGAGGGAACTAGTTTGGTACATTTGTGGCTTTACCTTTGTGAAGAAAACACTCAGTGCGTCACAAGCAAGCTGTGTATATCACAAGTGAACATGAAGGTTTGCATGAAATGATTAACCGAGCCATCATGGAAGCTGCTGATTTTTGGAGTTCGTCAGAGTGTGCCTGGAGCCCGCATCATTATTTCTGGAGTTCATTTTTCTTCACTAAGGTTTGCAAACTGACACACAATGGCAGTGACTGCAAGGCGTGCATTTGTATCACGTTAACTACAACCACCGAGATTAAAAGACGTGTGTACAAACTTAACTTCAAAGAAAACATTAGACCACACCCCTCCTCCCACCTTTAACACTGAGGTCACGTCTGTCTCGGCGCGTGGTTTCGGTTATGTCCTGTGTGGACAAACAACGCAGCACTGAAACTATCTGCTCAACCTGCCCTCTCACTTCTGTATTTTTGCTCCTTCACATGTAAAATGAAACAGTTGAGGCCGCAACTTCTTCCTCAAATTTATGAAAGAACAAAGAGGGGTCTTTAATGGAAACAAGTAAATTAGAAACTTTGAATTGTTTTTTTTAAATAATAGCACATCCTCCATGAGAGTATTTTGAATCTTCTCTCAGTGTGGGATGTTTTCTGCCTCTCTGATCTCTATCTGCGGCCGTGAAGTGACGTGGCGTGAGCGTGAATGGTCTCTCCTGGTCTGCTTTCAGCAGCTCTGAAATACCCTCGAGTGCTCTTCTCCTGTAATAGCAATGCGAACAATGAGAAGGACCCACTGCACCGCTTAATGGTTTAATGTATGTATGACATAACAAAGAGGGACAAAAAGCTCAAACGGGCTTCATTTTACGATGTAATCCTTGCTTTATTGTGTATATATGTTCAGTCAGTGTACATATATCTCTATGTTTGATGAAGACTGTAGTTTCCACACATCTAAAAACGATCTTATTGGTATTTATGTGGTATAAATCTACAGATATTTTCCCATTATGTTGCTCTTACACTCCATCTGTGATTACAAAATCCAAATTGTCTATTTAAATGCATCTAAACCTGCATGTGTGAATAGTGGTTTTGTTCCCTAAAAGCATGTGGCTTTTTCTTTGTTCAGCCATGACCTCTCTCAAACAGCTGGTTGATCCCTTAAGGCAGTGGTTCTCAAGTCTAGTCCTCGAGGCCCACTGTCCTGCATGTTTTGGATGTTTCCCTGCTCCAACACACCTGATTCAAATGATCAGCTCGTTAACAAGCTCTGTAATAGCTTAATAACGAGCTGATCATTTGAATCAGGTGTGTTGGAGCAGGGAAACAGCCAAAACATGCTGGACAGTGGGGGGCTCGAGGACTGGACTTGAGAACCACTGCCTTAAGGGATATTACAAAGATTTTTTTTTTCATTTTATCAAATTAAACACCTAAAACACAGTGTTGTGCAAACAGAGGGAGTTTTAAAACCATTAAGGGACATTTTTTTAAAGCTCCAGTCATGAATGATACATAAAAAGAAGAACACAGCATCTCTTCAGAGATATAACTCCCAATATGTTCAAATCTCTTTAGAAATCCCTGTTTCTAATATACCTCAAGTGTGTGGAGATACCATTTTAAAAACTCCAGATGAGCCTTACTCTCCTCTAATTGGTGGACAGAAACAGCCTCAGATAAAACCAACAAGGCCTGATCTTGTATTAAGACCAATAACCAACGGGGGACAGGTGACAACTCGGAGCACACGCTAAGAGGATCCAGCCGGAGGCTTACTCTGCCAGCATCATGCCATCCGATGAGGACAAGACTCCGCCTGTCCAACTGCCTCCCTTGCTGAGCCCCCCATGGGGAGCCTGCCGGGTGTAGCCATGCAAAATGGCTCCAAATGAGAGGAGTGATAGGATGCTGAGTCAGACCAGAACTAAATCTGCCTGGTAACCCTCCAACATGTTTATCTCAATCTTAATGGAAGGAAGGAGAAATAGAGCAGAGTGGCTTTGCTTGTATCTGTGTCACATTACGGCAACTTTTGGTTCAAATATACACACACTGGCTGCTTAGAGTGGTTGGAACTAAAAGATCCCACAGAAATAACTCTTTCACAGCCTGTATCTTCTTTATTTTGTCAAGTGAAGACTGCAGGATGTGTCTGTTAGAAGCTTTTTGCTCTGGCTGAATCGTTCTGAGAGACACACCATAAAAGACATGATCTCAAGTTAAAGTCCTCGCAGACAAACAGCATCAGGAGACATCAGTCTGATCTAACAACCCTGAAAGTGACTCAACCTCGCTGAATAACGGTGCGATGCTGCTAACAAACTGTCACTTTCATCATTTAAGCCCACGAGTCCTGATTTTCAAAGGGCAAACAGTAAAAAAAACACAGCTCTCTCTCTGAACCTTTCTATGCCACCATAATGACAGTGGATTCTGACGTCAGGGGTTACAGTGGGCATAAACAAAGAGCCAGGGCGCATTAAGGATTATTTTAATGGCATTACCTCCCTGTGCTACACAATAAGAGCCGAACGTGGCACACACACGCACACACACATGTACACAGGCAGGCTCTCCTGGTGATTGTTTGGTGGAGGAAATAAAAGTAGGCCGATCGATTCAAAAGTCTCCTCTGACTCCGCTGCCCCTCCTACTCAACCTGGAATAGTACAAGTCCCACACAACACACGGCCCCTCAGAGGAAAACACACCCCTGGGTTGTGTACTATTGCACTAAGAAAAACAAACCCCTGCTAGATGCTGGCTGGGTTTTGGGTCATTCGGAAATTTCTGTTCTCATCTATGGAAAAAAAGGCACAACAACAAAATATGGTCCTACATATTAAGCATGTCAAATTGCTGCTCCTGCTGCGAGGCCGGGGATTAACAGACCGAGCTTTTGCGAGTGTCAAATGTGCTAGGAACAGATCAAACTCCAGATCATAATCCAACCCCTGATGCAGCATTTGCTTTGATAAGCAGCGGTCAGCAATAACATTTTGATCACTGATAGAAAAAAAATGTACTGTGTCATTTTATGTACTGCTTTATTTAAAACAGGGGCCCAAACAATACATGTACTCACTTATAGTGTCTCTGAAAGTGTCAATAAAGAACATATGACACTTGACAAATGTAATGCCTCTAAAAATATGCCACTAGGTCTTTTCTTTGACAATACTAGTTTTGAATTGATTCAAGATACCCTTTTATTTGTAATTGATTAATTTTAGCCAGACTTTTATTGTTATCAGACAATCTATACAAGAAATAAACAGCTGATTCATTGATACTGATTGATCGTACTCTGAAATGACATCGTTTGTTAACACCCTAATCCAAACATCTCCTATCTCCTGTCAGCACTCTCATATAATGCTGTAAGTCCTCACTGTGGCAGCACAGACATGTGATTGTCATGCATGTAATTGAGCTGATTCGATTATGGAAAACAATTAGTGCAAAGACTTTTAAATGATAAGAGAGAAAGTAATAGAAATCTATTAATCATCCTCTGTGGACTAAAATGGCACAATGTCATTGATAATTTGTGTAAAGAGTGTTTTTAAATTATCAAAACTATCAAAAATGTGGTTGATTTAGGTTTCTGCTTGTATTAGATTTAAGTGAGAATTTTACTGTTGTGATTTCGATGCGGTGCAGAGGTTAGCCAGCTGCAGAACTTGAATCCACAGCAGCTGAGTTGGGTGAGTGGGCTGCATACAGTTAGCACAGTTGTGTCAGTGCACTCCACGCAGACATCTACCACGGGCTTTAACTTTACAGTACGTTACAGCCAAAAAAAGAAGGTGGATTTTCATCAGCAACTACAAACCCAATGACCCTTTATTCAAAGTTGACTGTGATGGAAAACATCTCGCCCTCCTGCCAGCCTTTACCAGGAACGCAAACACACCGACACAAAGTCAGCAGGTCACATTCAGCCCTCACACATCCTTCCCTCCATCATGTCAGCTCCAACTGCATTTATATTGTTTAAAATGCTCATGTCAACCACAGTGAGCACCACACTGCATGAGGAGCCGCGCGGCTGAATGTAAATTAAATGGCCCGTCCTTTGAGTGCACTGGCTTATGTAAGCCGCTGCTGCTTGTGCCCCCCCCCATCCCCCCACACCCCCCAGCAGCTCTTCATCCCTGCCTTTCTTTCCCCTCAGTAGCCTTACCATCCCATCCCCTGAAACCCCAATGTCTCATAAACACACATCAGCCCCGTCCTAAATTAGAGAGTGAGGGAGGAGGGTGAGGAGGAAGCAGGGTGTGTGTGAGAGGGGGGTCTGACTCCCTGCATCCCTCATTTTCTCTGCCACCTTGAAAACAACACCCCAATTCCGGTGGTGCTTCTCCATTCCATCATTGTTTGTGCTCATCATCACATGCAGCAGTGTCACAGAGCTCCTCATCAACACAAACCTCGCAGCACGCCGCACACTGATGCTCTTTTTCTTGTCCTATAGAATAAATGAGCATAAAATGCATCTAGAAAAAAAAAATCCTGCTCCCTTTGTGTTCCTGCATCTTCTTTCTCTCTTCCATTCTCTCAGTGTCCCCCCATCCCCTCCCCTCCTCCTCTCCCCACCTTGCCCTCATCTCTCTCTGAGTCCTGCAGCCACACGCGCTCCCTCACAGCAGAGCACAGGCAAGGTTTTTTCCGCCAAGGCATCTCCTGGGCAATGTCAAAACACTGTTTTTGAGACAATCCCCTGCCTGCCTGGGTTAGAGGAGTGCAGCACAATGGCGGGAGACCGGAAAGATGATGGGGGGTTAGAGTCGGGAGAGGAGGAGGAGGAGGAGGAGGAGGTAAGGGAGGAGGGGGGAGGTAGGGATGAAATGCGACAAAGGTTGAGAGCTGGATTCAAACCTCTAATATAAATTGTATGTTGAGGAGAACCAGAGAAGAGTGTGTAAAATCCATTTTTAAGGGCTGACATCAGCACAATGAGCTGAAGAGGAGAAAGGACGGTGATGTGATAATACACAGTCATTATTTCATCTCCTCTGCTGCTCTTACACATTGTCTCTGGCTGGATTGAGCATGCCTGTACGGAGGTATGTGGCGTTCACGGTGTGCACATCCATCCATCTGAATTCATTATCATCAGAAAGAGGACATGGGGAGGCTGGAATGTGAATTCTCCCTAATCTGAACACAGTCAAAGAAAAATAGGCTTACCTCCACATTTCAGCTCCGCTCGACCCTGCCTTGTTTCATCCTGTTCCTCTCTGCCGACTCCCTCCCCTGCTCTCCCCATGACAGCATTTTTCTGCTATCTATCTCCACGGTGAGGCTTGTTCTCCTCCTCCTGCTTCAGTTCCTCCTCCTGTCTGCAGACCTCTCTCTCTCCCTCTTCCTCTCTCCAAAAATAAATCAAGCAGCAGAGATCACACACACACACATAAAAACACAAATACGCGCACTTCCTCGATCTCTGTGGCGTCTAAACCGGCTCCTCTTTTTTTCTGTTGTTAAAGTCAAGAGGCAGGTTGATTTGTGCCGTCCTCCTCCCTCTCTCTCTCTCTCTGATTCTATTCCATTCACATCACACTTAAGCCAGCCCCCCTCTTTCTCCTCCTCTCTCTCTCTCTCTCTCTCTCTCTCTGTCTCTCTCTTGCACACACAGCTTTACCTCCCCCCCACCCCCCCATCTCCTTGTCAGAGTGTAGTTGAGGCAGCGACGGACAGCAGCGGCCAAGAGGAGAGCTCTGTGTGTCTTCAACTGAACTGCAAAATGCTTCAGTTGCAAGACAGTGAATTTTTAAATTTGTGCTGATTCAAGCATCCTAAAGATCCTTGAATAATAACGTGACACGCCGACGAGGAATGTGGCAGATTAGATGCTGATGCAATGCTGTATCAAGATAGTAAACCCCACCACCTTCACATACACACGCATTATTCCTGCATCATTTTTCAGCTGAACAACAGTGTTCATTTAAAGTCATTTTCTTGACATTTCTGCACAGGCAAGATAAAGGCTTCAGAGCAGACTCAAGGGTAAAGGTGAAAATGTCACAGTATGTGCGTGTTTGTGTGTGTGTGTGTGTGAGTGTTTATTTGTATAGAGGGACCTCTGTGTACTCCCCAAACGTAGCCAGGGTGGCTTGAGACCATAACAAACAATCATCCTGCTTTAAGAACAATGAGAGTCGCAGCAGTGTAACAACAAAGCTGCGACTTTGGTCTTAAAAAGAAACATACCTGTGAGGTTTTCGGAGCTCGGCATGGTGATCTGAGGACTTGTGCTTCTTAACCTGCTGCTGCAGCAGAGCCAAGTGTCCGGCACCATCCCCCTAATTACTGTATGGTGTCTCGTCCCGGCTGGGCCATATGGCTGTGTGTGTGTTAGCAGGTCAGTTGCTCCGGTCTGGTGTGGGGTTTGGTCGGGTGGGGGCAGGGGAGGAGAAGCAGCCTGCGTTGCTGGTGGTGGAGCTGGTGTGTGTCTTCAGGAGATAAGCAGAATAAAAACAGAGGCACCGGTTGATGCAGAGTTCGCTAAAATACATGCTCTAAACATCGGGTCTTCATCAGTGATTTGCTGGAGTTGAACAGCTGTCTTTTCAGATACGAGCCAACACATGCATTAGTAAGAGTTTGAGGTTCAAAATAAAGTGAAATATCACCCATAAAAATGTCTGCACTCCTGAATACTTTGTACACAAGAGCTAAATAACTAATAGATTAATTAAAAAATGAATATCCTACCTGGTCAAGTCCAGTCTGATAGCGTAGCGAATCATCTTCACTGAGTGGTACATAATGTATGTCCACAGTAGTTTCTGTGGAGCATGATTTGTGATGGCCTGGGCTTTTTTGACAGCTTATCACAGCAGAAGTCATTTTGTTAATGGAGCCCTTCAAGTATCAGTGCTGCAGTGACACCATGTGGATATATTTAACCATGACTCTTGAGGTAATGCAGAGAAAACCCCATTATCCTGATCCATCAACACAATAAAAAATAAAAAAAACGTTTCACTCCAAGATTTTAAACCAAGTGAATTACAATGAGAATGCTAGAGTCCCATCAATGATTCATACCACAGTTTACACTCTTTCCTCCAACGTAAAAGCTATTAATGGACAGCTTACAACAATCTGAGCCAATAATCTGTGGGATGGCTAAAACCCAACAGCAGCACACATCACACTAAGTATCCATTAAAAATTCATCTCAACAGTGTTTTCTAATTGTTTCCAATGCAAAATGTCAAAATCTGGGATTTATATTCAGCCAAAGCCCAAAGTGAAATTAGTGGATTTCTTAAATGAAAATAACTTGAAACTTTGGACAAAGAGAAGCAGCAGCTCACAAGATTGGAAGCAAAAGATGCTTACATGCTTTGTGCCAGCCTTATGAATGTTTAGTTTCAATTTTAGTGTAAATGTGACACATTTCATTGTGGGAATTCATCAAAGTGAGAAAGTGGGGCCAGAAATTTACAATAACGTGGGTGTGAGAGGTTTGGTTAACACAAAATGTGCCACCTGAAGGTATAAAGAAGAGGAAATGTACCAGCTGTTGGGGAGAGTTTCCAGATGACAGATGTAGAGAATGAATGAATTTCTCCAGGCAAGGTGCAGACGGAAAAGATAAATTATGAGGGAGGTTAGGAGGACTGCAAACAAATAAAGTTTGACAACTCCTGAAGATCCATTGTAACTTAGTTACACCTTTAAATGCTCTCCACCTGCAGACAAGGAGCAATATATCATCAAAAAACTTAGCAACTGGCCTAAATTATGTGTGGCCCAGCAGCAACTAGTTTAGAACACCCAGCTAATGCAAACGTTGTTTTTTTCCATCAAGTGCAGCTATTTCAGACGGTTGTTGTATATTTACCTGCGGCTCAAGAAGCTGGATTTAATCAACTGAAGGTTTCCATATTTCTCCATACTACTGAAATGTTAGTTTTTATCAATCTAACGTCAAACTTCACATCAACAACATTAGCAACATTTGTACCGAGTCCGAACCTCGGTGGAACAATTTACACACCCGGGCAGTGGCAAATGAAATGCTGCCTCCTGGTGGCCATTACGCGAACTTTCTATAACTGATACTCGCTGAACAACTTCGAGATGTACTCTATATTGAAATATTCACCAACATGCAACCTAAGCTTTTATTTAAAACAAATTAATAGTGCTGTGAAAGACCTCTGCGCAATTTACCTTAACTTAACTTTCATGTATGCTGTTCATACTTCAACATCACTGCGTCTAACCTGGTCTGTCACTTAGGCTCTACTGTAATAAGTTACATGAAACTTGCCAAATTTCTCCTACATTACACTAAGAAAATACTGAGATATCTAAAATAAGGGTTTAGGTAAAGCTTTAAATATTTTCAAGTAATAAATGTAGTCTGATAAAGTTGGTTCATAGGCCTGTTCCTATAAGAAAGTTTTAAGACACAGATTAAAGATGCAGTAAATGTTTTTAAAATGTTTTTTTTTTTTATCAATTCAACAAGTTTTTCATATCAAATGCTGAAGTCATACTCTTGACTGTGTTTCACTTTAAGATAAACTAAATCATTTCAACAGGGATCCTTTGTGAAATGTAAACATAAAATACAAACTGAAAGTAATTCATCACTTTCACATACTTTTCTGTTCATATTGTGCAGCCAGTTAGTTTATATCGAGTAAAAAATTGACAACTGTACACAAAATTTACATTCCTCTAACAGTTCAACATGGCTTCTGTCTTCTAAGCTATTTTTTTATACAATCAGGTCCAGTATGTACAGTAACAGGGGACATGAGTTTAACTTAAGGGGGGTGATAGATCTCACTGCACACTGTACAAATGGTCATAGAGGAAGAAAATGTGGGAGAAAAAGTCACCTGAATGATCACAAAGAACATAGCTACTTCTAATGACAACATGAATGGGCCACTGTGGTTTGTACTGTTATAACTAGAGGTTCATGTAACAACTTTGTTTCTGTGTTCGCACTGTTGATTGTGATGTTCATATTCTTAATGGTGAACGTTGTTTGTTAAATAAGGTCAACAGAAATGATCTACCCCGTTCAGGGAGTTAGAGATATGTTCAAGTCCAGGCACTCAAAGGGAATCACAATAAACCACCAATTTGAGTCGGGCAGAGGGTTCGAATAGGTCAGTAACTCCACCGTTAATTATGGGAGGGCACAAGGATAAAAATCAGTCAACAAGATAGTTTTGTGTCCAAATTATGGGAACTCGTTTTTTTTTTACAAGTTATTTCTGAACGTCCTTTTGAAGCATCTGGAGTGTTTAAAAAAGCTCCTCCATTATCTAAAGTTCAGGTTTAATGGAAGATTGGAGCAATTTTTGGAGAAGTTCTGTAGAGAATTTAGTTGAAATGTATTTGCAGCCAACCCACAGAGGGATATGAAAATGATTTTCTTGCCGTCATTTTAACTTTAAACCCTACTACAAAGAATTTGAAAAAACAGGTTACCCCTTTGTTGTGTAAAAGAGGCAGATATGCTATTGTTGAATTTATGGGAAAGTGAACCCCTGTGCTTTTCACATAAATGGGAACTGATCAACAAACATGCGATTTACCATTTATCTAAAAACAATCGTCCCATTCCCATTGTTTTAGTTTGCCGCTTTAAAATGTAATTCAGACTTTTAAACTACTGCCTTGTCTCAGTTTAAATAGAATCTCATACACAGGACCCAGGTGTGGTTTATATTTGTTGGGGTCTTTGCTGACCTTTGTTTCATCAGATGCTGAGTCTTCCAAAATCCCATCATACTATGAGTATTTGCAATAAAAGCTTACAGATGTCAAGTGAAATGTTTTGTTCATTGCTTTTTTTCTGAAGAGCAGTCCTTTTGTGGGTTCGTAAAGGTTTCTCATGTTGTCTGTGAGACTGTTAAAAAACGTTTCTCTGATCCACAATTTGCTTCAAGTCTGTCGTCTGCAGGTTACAGAGGGTATCCAGTCAGGGACTCTACCACTTGCCCCTCTTGCTCCAGTCTTTAGGTGTGAAGTGGAGACATTTTGGATCTATGCGCAAGTGTCTCTTCTGCATCGCTCTTTCGTGACCGTCCACAATGTCCTCCGAAAGAGTCAGGATGTACTGACCCTGGATACAAGAAACAAAACAAGGAAACATTTCAGACCCCTTCCGTTTTAGTATCAAACAGAGAAAGTTCAAAAGAGGATATCTGCAGCATAGGTCACCTACCTTGTAATAGTTAATGAGGTTGAGGTATTGAAGCGTTGAAATGACATCTTCTTTCTTCACACTTGTAATCTCACTGATCTCACTGGTGGCACAAACATGGAACAGTGAAAAGATATAAAAACAATGATCAAACTGCACATCTAACAAAGACGACTAAATAAGAATCACATACTTGATGGTTATCTGTGGCCTCTCTCCGTTGTCAGGTTTCAGGTCCATGAGAATTTCCAGGATAGTCTGGGACCAGTAGGAGCGATAGGACAGGAGACCCAGGTCAGAGAGCGGCTTCTCAGGGGTGCCTGTCTTACCTTCGACTTTGGAAAGCTCGTAACCTGACAGACACATTATAAGTGTACAGACGATCAGCGCTTATAGGGTGAAAACAGTAAATATTCACTCAGCTTTGTGCCGGTACTGGATATGCACTTACTGAACTCGATTAGCAGTTTGCCATAACCTCTCCTCTGGTAGGGAGGTAACGTCAGGATGCAGGCAACATTATAATCTTCAGTCGACTCTTTTTCCTGAAAATACAAAACAAAGACTAAGTTAGGCTAAAGAATGACCTAATTAGAAATGACCCTTGATTAGATTTTCTTGATTACTCGTGCACCTTAGAGAAGTAGCCCACTATGTGAAAGCCTTTGGAGTCATACTCTGTCATTACATAGAAGAGGAACGGGTCGGTGTCGTAATACAGGGTTTTATGGTCCAGGAAACACTTAGCGAGTAAACATAAGTTCTGGGAATATGTCTGGAAAAGATAAGCATATAGATTAGTTAAAGAAGAATCGAAACACAAAATGCCAGGAAAAAAAAAAACGCTGTCATATGTGAAACGGCTGAAGAGGGAGAAACACGTTTTTATTTTTACTCACTTTATTTTTCCTGCCGTCAATCTCAAAGAATGAGATAGTGCCTTTGCGGTAGATCTCATTGCCTGGAGGATGTCTGAGATTACATTTTGTCTGTCAAAGATGATGGACACAAGAAGATGAATGCAAGGTACAGAAATCTGAGCAGCTAGAGATTAAGGGCTTAAGCTGTGACATGCTGGCGATTCCTACCAAATGCCTCTGCAGACACTTCAGGCTCTTGAGGTACTTTAGACAGAATTCACAGAGGTAGAGGATGGGCAGTGTGGTGAGTTCCTGCGGGTACGGTGAGAAATACCAGGGCTTCAGCCTGTGACGTCCCAGCTCTATACACTCGATATTTTTCATCCGCGTGACGATGTCATCGTGGCTGCGGTCAGACACCAGACTGCCCGTCATGCGGGGAGCAGTAGGGATGCCATCAGAGCTGTCCTGGGAGTCCTGTTGGTAAACAATGTAGACACATTACATCGACATGACAAAAAGGTTTTATTCAAAGAGGCTGTGCATGTAATCAAAACCACTAGACTCCGGTCTGAGGTAAAGAGCACATTCATGTTATTGGACGCATTTAGACACAGATGAATAGAAAATGAAACAGACCTCTGGTGGTGGTAGAAAGACGCTGGCACTTTGAGGGTTGTTATACTGCAAAACCTTTATCATCTGGCAGAAAAAGACACAAAAACACAGGCTTTTGGAAACTAAAAAAGCAGAATCAATTTAATCTTGTTGACACTAAACAGTTTAAGGGGCAGACTGAAAGCAATACTGAGTTTGTGGTTTTACTTCATTCCAGGATTGAGTTCATTAGAGGCCAGCCAGCAAGTGGCAAACACAGACAAAATATCTGAGGATGCATAAAGTAAGAGGAAAAGAGCGAACACAGATGTTTGTCCAATCATGTCATTTGTTCTTAACAGGCTATTTTGTACATTTAATGAGGAGGTTGGCATTGGTGTTAAATCGCCTCAGAAAAGAGAAGCTAAAAACTGTGCGGGGTTTGCAAATCTGCCCACCTCGTCTTGTGACATTAAATTAGTTTTCATGGTTTCAAGTTATTTGAATGAAAGTGGACACAGCGAACACCTCTGATGATTTACTGCACCAATCCATCATAACTTGTTCATGATTTTGATATATAATCTGCTCGGAGATGACAGGATATTAATAATTTATTAGTTAATTGATTAAATCATCAGTCACTGGAACTAATTCTTCATGTTATACTGTTTTCTGTCAATCATGCTGAGATGCAGTTGAACTACAAAATTGAAAAAGTCGAGCAACGACTAAGCAAAGCGATATCTTAGTTGACTTAATTTTTGCCAAATATGAAACAACGCTTTTAAGGAGTAATGTACTACTTTAAGCAACATGAAATACACAACACACTGACACTCCAAATATCGATGAAAATTATTATATGACAAATTGTGTCAAAATATTGCATCAGGGTGGTGATATGAATTGAGCTTGAAAAGAGAAAATCTATTCGAGAGTGAAAATTAAATAAAAAGAATGACAAGCATGCGTTTGAGTTATTCAAAAGAAGAAAACAAAATAAGATCCACATCCATCACACAACTGAGGCAGTGCTTGTGGTCATTTTATATTCAAGAGTCATAGAAGAATGAGATTACTTGATTAAGTTGTAAAATCAGTTCGACTGTCTTTATTGCAGTTTAAATTGTTTGGTTTTGGCTGAATGAGTTCCTAACAGGATTACACATACTACACATTTACTTTACTCAAAATTAAGTGTCACTCATACTTTTTCAAAAACAACTATGTGAGCTTAGACACAGAGTAAACATGACAAATTAATGGAATATACTGAAATGAAATACCTCATCAGTTCCTCCACAGTTTGCTTTTCTTTTTCTCCCGGGCTGTGAGGGGATGAGTCGTCTGGCAGTGCCGTTCTGTTTTTACAGAGAAATGATAAATTACAACTAGCCACTGAATTAGGACTGGAAAGCTACCATTAAATAATCACAGGGGATGAATAGTCACCGTTGTGAGCAAGGAAAGCTGTTCATGGTCTTCCCGGGTCTTGAAAGTGTTGGTCTCCCTCGCAGCAGGAAAAACAGATGCCTGAGAGGCTTCAGCTGAACCTGGCAGGGAGGGCACGGGGGCGGCCGGGGATACCTGAGTCGCCAAGGGGACGGGCTCTACTTTCCTCTTCTGCGGTAAACAAACATTGTTAGACATTGGGCTTTAAATGAGATTAGACTGTGACACAGCTGAATCAGGATTTCTGTTTCCAAACAAGATCTTATGATTCTGGTCAGACCAACGCACATATTATTAATCTTTTATAACTATACACACACGTAAAGGAGTGGAGTGCCACAGTTACACTACCTATTGTTTGCACACTAATATGAGCTCAAACTGTGTCTTTTTAAAAGCCAATGCATACCAATTTGATTAGGTTTGAACAATTTCTGATTATCTCCAGGTTAAACTAGAATAAATTAACCCTATTCAAACCTGGTATTAAGATGCAGAAGACATAGATCAGCTGCAACTGCATTGGATGCACAATTAGAGCTAAGATGTGTATTCGGGAGTCTTCCCCCACAGAAGTGCCAAATAAAAACATCAACAACTTTGAGCATTTTTTCACTTAACGGTTAAATCAGGACATGCGATTTTCAGAAATTATGTCATTATTAGATCAGCAGGTAATCTACGCTTATTCAAAACAATTTTTTTGCACTACATGAGAGATCACAACATGAACAGAGAGTGCTGGCTACCTTGACACGTGGCTTTTCAAGTCCAGAGCAAACACCTGACAAACATTTGGATACACTGAGTGTTAAACCACTTCCAGATGTGATCTGCACGACTGGATCATCATCTTCCTTTTTTGTGACGTGGTTGTTTATATCTGGATTTCCATGCAGTTCAGCATGACCCGATAGCTGTATGATCACACAAGATGCACGTTAACACCAGGTTCAAACAAGGGCTCAGGTCATTTCTACAATGGGTCAATTCAAGTTGTACCGGTGTGGGGAGTGTTTTGCCTCTGGAAGGAGCTGTGGCAGATTGTACGTTGAGATCTAGACTCTTCCTCTGAATTGAACAGAAAGGAAGAGAAGGAAGAGGGTTAAATTTACATTCATTTTATCACTCAGATTAATACTCTGGTATTCAATTTACCTCATCTTTTCAACAACGCAACATTTGAAAGAACAGTTTCTTAAAAGGTGCCATTTTCTGATCAAATCATTTCTGAGCAATCGTGATGAGAGATGTACAAAGTCAAAAGTGATGGTTTATGTGTTTCTTATTGGTGGAATGTCTTTAACAAACACTTCTTCAATGTTTCTGCTGTATCATAGCTGAAGGAAAAGAAAAAACACATACTCTGATCTTAAGGTCAGAGATCTTTAACTATTGTTCTGGCAGGCTGCAACATATCATCTGTTGACAGTGGCGTGAACATGTAAATGGCTGCTAAGATGTTAAAATTTGACAAAACAAGAGGTTAGATGTTAATATTTGTCTTTGTGTATGTATGTTGCTGGCAGTCCATATCTATCTGGATTGCTATAATCAAAACCACCAAGGTTATTATATTCCTTATTTGTGTTATATTCACAGAAATTTCCCTCTGGATCAATAAAGTATCAATTTCAAAAGTCGTCTTTAAGACTGAGTTACGTTGATAGCTGTTATGTTTTGGGGTCTGGGATAAACAACTGGTACGGTAGCATCTGCTTACCACTTCTCTCTCTGGAGAACTGGGACGAGAGCCTGAAAGACCATTCTTGGTTGGCGTTTTAGCTTCTTTCTTAGGAAACTGAAGCTTCTTCATGTCCAGCCTGTCTCCTGTGACCCACTCATCCAGGCGTTTGTTAACTTAAGACAGAAGCAATTTTACACATACAACATTTTTTTTTTCTGTAAATACTTCTGTGTGATAGATCGTGTTGGCCCGAGTGTAAGACAGCTCCCACTTTTCACGACAAATTTTTCAGAAAAGACTTTGTCAAGACCATATGTCATTCTTATCTGCATATATCTGCACCTATAGTTTTGGTATTTTAATACCATAAAAATTAAATAAACCTGCAGTCTATCAGATGGGTTAAAGGTTTGTTAATGGACATACTTTCTTTCTTTTATTCAGTCACAAACTTGACCACAATCTTTTTATGCCCAACATCATTGGATACTATACTCTGTGACATTGCTAGCATTTTTGTAACGACTATTGGTATTTAATTACCAAAGACCGAATACAAGATAACCTCGCTGTTTTTCAGGTGTATTTCTCAAAATAAAAACCTTGTCTTACATTCAGGTCAATATGGCGGTTCTTATGGCAAAGTGGCTGTAAGAGGATAGTGAAGAAGATGCACAAACTATACTCACAGTCGATGTAGTGAACATAATAAAGCTTTCTCGCAGATACCTCCTTCACACTGAGAATTTCAGCCAAAGCTGAGAAAGACATACAAAAAATAGAGAAATTATTATTATTATTATTATGAAAAACTGTGCACATCATCACAATGTTGTTAATGAAACTACTAAGAAACTGCAAATACAACATCTACATGCAACTTTCACTTAACTTCACAATTGTACTCTTTAAATAACTAGCCCCCTGTTATTTAATTGACAGATGAAAGACAATTTAATGCCAAACAGTTTTCACTTCAGGTTCTTAAGTGAGTGAACTGCAGTCGTTTTCAATTACACATCTAATAATAAGGTCCTCAATGGATAACTACTGTTATCAAGAAAATGAAAAACTGGAAGAGTTTTAAAATCATCCTGAAAGGTTTTATCACTAAGGTGTATCCTAGGTGACTTAAAAAATGCTATTACAGGTGTAACGTGAAATAGGATAATGAGGTGTAAGAAAAGCAGGTTTATTTGTTCGTACTTAATCATCATCATAAGAAATCTCAACGTTGAGATAATAGTTTTCTTACTTGACATCTCTGACAGCAGGCAGCGTATTTATGACATTGAGTAACATCCTAATATAAGAATCAAACTATTAAAATTAAGTGCTATTCGCTACTTGGATGTCAGGTTATAAAAAGCTTTAAAATATGTGTTTACGGTGAAATGTCAGAATTGTTTAGCTATCAAAATGGGCTTTAAATACACGTCTGATGTCAGGATGATCAACCAATAAAATTAAACGTTAATGTACTGAAACGTTATGATTTTTACTGGTGCATAATTTGGTGTGACTACAGATATAACCAGCTTTTAAATTCATCCTCTGTCGGTTTAGTATGGCATGTGTCCCCGGTGGCTGTGGTGTTTACAGAGCTTTAACGGGAGGCCGATCGCGCTGCTAACAACAGCTGAGGCTCTATAGTTAGCATTAGCTCGCTTAGCACGGGGAAAAACAACCAGACTAATACTTACGCCATTCGTCCTCGTGCTCTTGGTTTTTACGAAGAACGGGGAGGCGACAGCCTTCAACAATCTCGACCTGTGTAAAAATGCGAAAATTAGCAACCTAAAACCAACCATTGTCTCAAAAATAGATTTATATCGTTCGAAAACCTACCGAAGACGCGTTATCCGCCATTTTCGTAATCTGTGTGAGCGGCAGCAGGGTGTTGTGGGAAAATGCCGGTCCACGACAAAGATGAATGAAGCGCCAAGATAGTACGACAGTGAGGGCGAAAGTTGGTAGACGAATGCGGAAAAACGAGGCAGGCAGAATAATAAAATTTGTTTTTGGAGCTTTTTTAGGGAAAATACACGCAACTGCACTATTCATGAAACGCACGAAATACCCAAGTACTCATATGAGCGATACTATTACGTTCATTAATGTTACATGCAGCTGAAATCCCAGTTTCAAGAGATCTAGTTAACTTTTACAGCATCTCCGTTCATTTCAATGACTACCTTGCAGGTTCAGATAGTTTCCTTTGTTGTCACCATTCAAGTTCAGCGAAATTTAAGTAGTTTTGTCCAGTGCAAAATGCCGCTATGATAAATAAACAATGAAAATATAAAAAGGAAAAACTATACAGCTATGCAGTCTGCACAATTTGTACAGTCAGCTGGACATGGAGGTAGAATGGAGAAGGGTAAACATGTAAACATGATAGATGTTATGATCACAAGATATGATGTTTAGATCTTAAAACAGTGAAAAGGCACAGGATAAAAAGTGAATTGAAATGAAAGGATGCAGGTTTACTGAGGGTCTCTGTACATAACCAGTAAGTGTGGTATTTATGCAAATAGAGTCCCAATTCGGTGAAACAAATACTGAACACTAAACAGAGGGATCCAGTCGACTCTGAGGGCTTGTCCTGTTTTATTTAAACCAGGACAGATCAGTAGGCTACAGTTCATTGAATGTCAACAAGACACTCCTTTCAAGCTTCACACTATGGCCAATGACTTATTTTCCCTTTTGGCCAATTATTCATTCCCAAAACCAGCTAATATTGCTGATTAATAACAACTGCAAGTTAGTTTTGTGCCCTTTGTTACTTTGCCTATTTTGATTTTCCACAATGCCTCCCTGTGCCGCCTTGACTGGAATCATCAGATCCTTTTGATTAATCTGAGAGGCAGTAATGATTGGATGAGTATGATTAGGAGGTTGAGTGGCATGTGTGCAGAGTGGAGGATCCGATCACCCTGCTTTTAGGGATTTCCAGAGTTTTAAAGTTTCCCTATTGTTGTAAGCTCAGAAGAAAGACAAAAGAGAGATCAGTCTCAAGTTAACAGAGTTTATTCTGGTCACAGAAAGAATGACCCCTAATGTACAGATAAGATGAACATTTGTCTTCTTGGGCTGCACCCCGTATCATGGGTTGGAATTTAGGATTTATAGTCTCTGACTCCAGTTCAAAAAGGTTCAGGACCCTCTCTACCGTGGGCGGTGCCAACCGTCAGCCCACAGATTCATTGCTGTATGTATCAAATAGATGTGTGTGTTGTTTCTGGGCACGTAGCTAATGAGCAATGCAGGAGACGTGGTTTTGAGGGTTACAAATGTCTTGTTGTTCGGAGCATTCTGTGCCCCTGATGATTATACTGCAGAATACAAAATAGGTAAGATTTCTATTCTAACATTACAGTAAGGAAGGGGAATACCAAATAACAGAAATATCAATATCCTTCAGTACTTTGGTTCAAATGGACATTTGTCCGTTTTAGCTCTTCCTTTGGTTTCGTTAATGCATGGCTCGTTGGTCTAGGGGTATGATTCTCGCTTCGGGTGCGAGAGGTCCCGGGTTCAACTCCCGGACGAGCCCACTTTCATGGAATGGGGACTGTGACGTGCAAAAAGTTCTCAAGCCAGGAACTGAAACTGTTGTGACCTGATTCAAGATCTTGGGATAGAGAGATCAATGACATGTTGGCTTTGTTCCTTAAAGGCTTGCTGGGGCAAAAGACAGAAGCTTAGTACCTTAGTCTTGTTTGCTTTGTTCTGATTGAAAGGGGAAGGGGAAGAACTACACCGACATTCTTTTCACTTCGGTTGCTCTGTGTTTAAATTGCAACACTGAAAAGTGAGCTAAAAAATGCACCATGGCAGGGTTACGTCACAGCCTCATTTTTCTACTGCGTACACTAACAAACACCATGCAAAGTGGTCTCTGTGTGTTTTTGACCTGGTTGTCATTTGCCTGAACTTCATAAATTTTGGGTACCAAACTGTTTTTTTGGATTGAACGACCTGCCTTTTGAACTCTGTCTCAAGTCTTTGCTTGATTCCTTTGCCTGAGCCGTTCACCGTGTCATCATCTATCTTGTTGTAGGTGCTCGCTTCCTCCAGTTTCTTCTGCCTCCTTCTTTTTATTTTCCTGTCTCAGTCTTGCACTATCCCTGCCCCAACCCTGCATTTTTCCTGCACTGGATTCAAACCCACTTAAAAGCACCATCTTTAACCACAACATTTAGCTTTTCAAAAGCTGAGTTCCTTCTAAAGTGAGGGGTAAGCATTTAGTTTTGTAGTCCCCATTCAAGGCAGGTTTGAATCCAGGACCATTTTACTCTCAGATTGGGGCTCTAACCTACACACCACAAACCTGCCTGCCTGTGCCTGAGTCTTTATGGTCTCTCTATTTAATGATTCATGTTTTTCAAAGGCTAAAATCAGATTCCATGTGATCCAAGCATTTCATTTGTGCCTTGGTTACTTCCCAAATGATGATTTAAACCCAGAACTGTTTCACTCAAGGATGGTGGCTTAAACCACTAAAGGGCTGTCCGGTAGAACTTGTCTAGTTCATTTCACTAGAATTTTTGCATTAAGAAACAGCAGTCTTTACATCCATACAAGGAATGCCCCCCTGATGGGACTTAAACCCAAATCATTTGTGCCACAAAATACCAATTTTAGTTGCTGCTGCTGCTGGTCTATCTCCTTTTCATTGAAATGCATTGATTGGGACGCATATTACTATGCAAGATTTATTTGTCCAGGCTTATCTGCCTTCTGGAAGATTATGAGGATTTAAATACTTGATTTGCGACTGAGAAATGTAAATGTTCATTATAATGTGTGGGACCATAATTGGTTAATTTAAATTCGCAAGAAAATATTTGCTCTTTCTTTATGGTTATGCATAAAACAGAATTGTTGTGTTTCTATGGGTATAATCATGACATTAAGATCACTCTTTGGTTTACTAAGATCTATAGAAGACAAAATGATGCAAAAGCTACACCAAGACCTTTAAAGAAATCCCTTTGAAACTGCTGATGTCTATTTGTTCACCTTGAAACAAGAGCTCCTCATCAGGGCTCTTTTGGCTAATCAAATGCCTACACTGTGATTGTAAAATTATACGAGTGTTAAAGCAAATCACTGAACTGAGAAAGAGCAAAGGTTATAAATGATCTTTATTATAATCCTTGGAACAGCGTTCAGTATACAGAACTTGCATTTTTTGAGTTGAGGAACCAATGGTTACACTGTAAATGATAAACAAATGATGTCAGACACGAATGAAAATAATAATCTGTGTCAGACAGCCTTCTTTTTCATTTCTATGATTCAATCAGAAAATAATACCTTTCTGTCGGGATTGCCTGAATAGTGTTGTTAAACATGCAAGTCAGGTGGCTGATGATGACAAACAGGTGAAATTGTAATCAGACAAGAAAAGTGTCAAAGGGAGTGAAAAACAAAAACTTCATTTCAGTTCAACACCTTCATGAGCTTCTTTCAGTATGACCACTTCCAGAGCCTTTTCGTACATCTAACACATGCTTTTCCTCACATGATCACAGTTCAATTATTATTATGATAGCCAAATCAAATCAGTAGCTAATCAAATCAAACTAAAGAATCATGATAATTTTAGGGAGATTGAAAATTTAGAAATCAGAACAAGGTCTTTCAGAGCACCTTCATCAGTCAGTTTACAACATGACTTCACTGAGAAATTCACCCACTGTTTTTCAAAATTTGCAGCAGATAAAAGAGGATTTGTTTCTTCTTTGGTACCAATATTTCTACACCTCAGGCAAAGACTATACCAGACTCAATAATAACTCAAGTACTGTTAATTATCCTTGCTTTGTTCTGGGGTTTGAGCTGTTTCTTACCTGCAATCACAGCTATGTGTATTATTTGACTAAAATAGCCAAACTACCAGCTCATGGCTTATGATCTAAATTGGGGAGAGTTAAAAGTCATAGATTGTGCTGCATTGGCAGCAATACTGACTCTATGCAGGGATCGTTTTTCTTGCTACACAGTCCCGTAGACCTCCTCAGTGGCTTTAACTTCCCCTGCCCCCATCCACAGCACATCTTTACTTTTAAAACCCTCCAGTATCCCCAGTTACATCCTAAAGTAAGGACTAATCTGGTAGACTTGTCCACTGAGTTTGTCCGTTTTATGGAACAGGAAAAAAAGAGAAAAAAAAATCAATTACAAAGAGACGATGATAAAAGAAACATGTAACAAGTCACATTTTCTTCATGATATGAGTCTCGTAGAGTTAAAGTACCTTTGGATGGTTATTGCACATACTAAACCTGTGACAAACAAAAGGACTCAAATCAAGTTGTAAATATAACACATATAGTATAAAGTGACCAATGCCACAGCAGTGGGAGGTATAACAATTAAACATCACAATGTGAGCTATTGCTATTAATGAAAGACTCCAAACATCTACAGCTGCAGCTTTTCCTCATGTCCGACTCCACCTGAAGCAGATCAGAAATAGACAATCTGCTTCTCTCTGATTCAAGCTCTTCTTAAAGACGCTGCCTATCTTTAGCTACACTTTCACACATTTGGTGAACGGTCTATCCTTCCTTTCTTCTTTGCAGCATATTTCACACTCTCTGAGCCTTTTCACTCCTGATTCTCTTTTATCTACACCCCTGCCATGACTGATTCCAAAAATTCTAAAAATGTTCAGCAGAAAGCAAAGGATTCACATCTCCTCAAGCGTGGCAGGATACATATGTTTGCATGAGGAAACAAAATCATGACGCTTTACTCTGAAATCTAATATTTTCAATAATTTCATTCCTAAAGTGAACATGCAACATTCAGTTGCTGTTTTCCCGTTATACTCTCAAGCAGCACTCATCACATAGATATATAAAAATAAAATTAAATACAAATAAATAAAAAAGAATAAACATACATTGAAAAGTGCAAATGTACATTTGTTTACAGCATGACATATTCACTGTACAATCATTGATTATATACTCACATTATTTTATGCATTATAATAAGGATTACTAAGTAGCATAGTCTGAGTAAGAAATATTTCATAGCAAGTCTATTTGAAAATATTTGCATTGCCCTGTGACAAGGAGAGGCTCTTGTTAACATTGTCAGGGGAATGTGTGTCTGTTTGTGTGTGTATATGTATGTGTGTGTGTGTGTCTGTTAGTGTGTATGTGTGTGTCTGTCAGTTCCTGTGTATGCACTGTATCTGTACCCTTGTGTGTGAAGAATGTACATTGCAATAAGGTGTCCTGTCTGTGCAAACAAAGAAGCAGAGGAAACTGAAATCATTCTAGATCAGAGGCACAAAAACTGCCCAGCCTGCATTTCAAGTATTTCTAGCATTGTTTTTGGACAACACATATCTGTCAGACATCAGCAAAGCAGAGAGAAAGAGAAAGAGAAGGACAGAAAAAGAGGGATACTTCTTTTTGCAGCTCAGAGAGGAGGCAGATAGAGTGGAAACGAGCAGTTCAAACACTTTTCTAACCATAGACTGGGCTATTGCACTTCACCTACAACACCTCTTTCTCATGTTGACCCAGTTTGTTAAAGACAGCCCTCTATGGCTGGCTGAAAACAGCAGCCATGCTTGCTTTCACATTATGCTCCAAATCGAATTCATGCTCCCAAAGTTTTGGTAGAAACAAAGTCATTAATTCAGGAGCGATTATGGAGACACGGGCTGCTCACAGGGTGAACTCATACCAGTCCTTGTACAAGACACTCTGCTTGATTCAACCCTTTTACAAACACTTTATCATGTTTAGATGGCCTGAAAAATATCCACATCATAGATGGAAAGTGTGGAAAGTACCTTCGGCGGTCTGATCCTGTAAGGAGGAGCCCAACAGGATCTTGAAAAGGATATGTGATAGTATGACCCGCCAGAGGAGCAAGAATCTTCACGAAGACTTTCAGGCTCTGAAAGTTTCTGCTTTTCTCAATGGAAAAGAGAGCGAATCCACATTGAAAACTTGCCCACTTAAGCGTCTTGACGGGTTGATAACCTTTTTGGAAATGTATCATGAAGCCTTGAGTCATTGTTCCCCATGAACCTGGATGCTTAAGCCCACGATTCATGCGACGCTTTCATGGCCAAACAAATCCGGGTCCAAATTTCCCCAATCTGACGAAATTTGCTGTCATGACGTCGTTGGGTACTCTGTGTCTGTATGGTGCAGATGCAGAATAATTTTGGGGGGACGATGATGATCTGAAAAATACTTAAACCTGGCAGACAACCAATAAGGGGCAGGGGCAGAAAAACAATCCACAGTCTTGACTTTTCTTGAACAACAAACCATTGCTGTGATTAAATCAGACTGTACAGTTCGGGTAATGCTGCAGCACAACCTTCTGATGATTTTCGTGCTAGACTTGTGTTTGTCCTTGTGACTGTATATGAAATAGGACTGAGAAAAAAAGACTATATGACTGCTTTGCTCTCACGCTGCCGTAATATGTGTGAGCATTATCAAATCCATCAGTGGTTGCTTCTGGACATCTTAACGCTCCGACTTGACTTTGTAGCGTAGAACCAGGTAAGTGGCCAGTCTGAGGACCAGAAAGAAAACCCCCAGAACCATGAAGTCCACGTAGAGCTTTGCATCCTCCACATCCAGCAGCTGCAGGACCTCCTCTGGCTTTTGGAACTTACAGACCACACCTGGGCACTCCAGCTCAGACCGGTTCATCCCGTAGATGGAGAGTATCACCCCCTCAAAGCCGTACCTGAAAGCAGGCATTTTTGATAAAAACTTCATTAAATCAAGCCTTTAAAAAGATAATCAATACCAAGTTAGAGCATCCTTGGTCATCATCAATAAACAAAACTCTACCTGACATAGGAAACATAGGAGCTCCACTGTAGGTATTTAGGAATGGTGTCAAAATTTACAAAGAAGCCAGAGAAGAGGAGCACAGGTATGGCTGTTACTGGACCCACAAAGGTTGCAACCTGTGAACAAGCAAGAAGTTTTAAATAATGAACAGTTCAAGATGTAGTTTGAAAACTAATGCAGCTGAACCAGAGGATATTCCCTGTTTACCTCACACAGCCTTTTTGATGCCTACGCTAGTCATAGTTTAACTTGACAACATACACTTATATGTGGGTTATGGCTGTGATATTTTAGTGGCAGCTGATGGAGCTTCAAACCAAAAAGATTAAACAAGGAAAAGGTGTTAACTACATGTACAGAGAAGCAAGCAATGGACTTCAAATGTTTAAAAAGACAGCTGTGAACTGGCAGGGAGTTACGTGAATCCTCTTTTGACAAAGACCCGCATCTTTCGCTCCATTTGCTAGGAAAGTGTGTCCTGATACCAATCCTACATCTGACTCCAACAATCCAAACCAATATTGAATCAACAGTGTGTCACTTGCATGTGTAAATATAATCTTAGAATTTAACATTTTAATCACTCGCACTGCTTGCTACCGGAAAAGTAACCTAATCATGTTAAAGTAACATTAACGACTGATAACAACTGGTTTTAAATCACCTCTGAATACAGTCTGGAAGAAATTTTTTGTGCCTTGGACATTAACTGTGCAGCTTTAAGTAGGGAGACCATATGTCCTCTTTTATCACGACATGTCCTTTTTTGGGGGGGTTGTCCAGGCTTGTCCGGCTTTGTCCGGGGAAGTTTATAAAATCCTTAAAATGTCTGCGGTTTTGTACAGAAGTTTTTGAGTTTGTGTCACGTGGACTTACTGAGTTAGAAGCACGTAAAAGACACTCAATTCATTTGAAAAACTCTCAAAATTAACTTTGTGCAACTCCATGGTCGTGTCAGAATATGGTCACCCATAGCTTTGAGTTTATTAAAACCATAAAACTTGAGCTTGTTTAAACTGATAAATCCTGTGTTGGTTTGTTCATAATGATTTTCTTGTTCTGTAACTTAAAAAATATAATATTTATGTTTTTGTGTTACCCCAAACTTCCACAAAATATGTCATAACTGAACCCATAAGAGATTGATAAAGAGTTTATAAGGAATTTAGATTAAGACATCCTTCATTTTTGACATTTTACTTTAAAAATAATTCATATGTGGCTCCCAACTAAGTTTATGATCAACCAGAAATGTGTTTTCAATCAGATCTTTTCTAGCAACATAAAGGTATGCAGGAGTGCCTACCTGCAGAGATGTGGATGCTGCCCCTATAAGCAGACCCAGAGACTGGGCTACAAGGGCTGTGGATGTTGACAGCGCCATAAAGAGGAGGTAACGGCCCGCTTCTGGAGGCTGCTCAGTCATCCAGTACACTATGCTACAATACATGATCGGACACATCACCTGCGAAAAGAGATGTCAAGGTGAAACCTACAGCATGCACGTCCATTCTATCATGTGCAAAATCATTCCAACATTACCTGAAACGGCACATCAGCCATGGTTTTTGCCAAGTAGTAGGCCTTCAGGCTGTACCAGTAGTTGAGGTGTTCTCTTATAAATACAGACATCTCCAGAGGAACTGTGGAACAACAGCAGCGTTTAAACACTTTCCACTTCAACACGGCAAATCATTGTTTCCAGTCTCTTGTTACACTCACAGGTTAGGACAGTGGGCATCAGGGCTGCAAACATGAGGAACAACATGGAGAAAAACAGAAAGCCGGTGTTGTTGAAGACCTTGCTGGCATCATTTCCAATTTTGAGATACAGCAAGCCGATCAGAACTCCAATACATAGATGAGACATCACCCTGAGGTGGGTCAGCACCTGTAAACACACAAATACTAACATTAACACTATCCAGAATCCCTCAAATGATACATCAAGTCCAATTAATATTGTTTGGGATCAGATTTTACCTATGAAAATCTGAGTTTTAACAGGACTAGTGGACAAAATAATTATCTCACCATGTCTCTGCATATTGTGATGAAGGTTCTCTTGAAGAGGATGCAGAACTGTGTGAATGTACTAGTGGCAAAGCTGTGTTTCTCAAGGGTCCCTGTGTCCTGTAGAGCAACAGAGAGTAAAGAGTTAGTGATGTATCACCGACTAAGACATGAGATGTTTTTTGGCAACTGAGACAAATCGTAGCCTTTCATTCATCGTTATCTTTATATGGTCTTAACAGGCAGAATACAAGTTCTCTATTTTTGAAGGAAGGCATGGTGGAGGTTTAAAATGTTATCAGATGTCTCTCTCTCACCCTGAGGAGTCTGTTCCCTGGTAACAACAACATTAAATGCCAGCACAGACAAACAGGTTGTTCCTAACAAACGTAATACTCACTGAGTCTGCACCAAACTTTTAGTGACAACAATGGCAGTTTTTCATTACAAGCTAAAAGTCAAGACAAAATGTCAACATATATCTAATAACATTTCAGAACATGTAATCCAAGCAAATAAACATTAGTGGCAAATGCCAGAAGACAAAGATATGGCGGCAGAGTGCAGAGGAAAAGAAAACACACAGTAAAGGTTAGTGTCTGATGCCGACAAAGGAATAAGGAAGGGGAGAGAAAAGGTAGCAGAAGAAATCAATAAACTGATAAAATGTTTATGGGACTCGAAGGGCAAACCTGCACATGGCAAGAGAAAAGCTAGAGAGAGCTTTTGGTGGTTTAGATTTACAGTGTTAGCATTTAGCTGATGCTCTTATCAAAAAAACGACTTATGAAGACGAGGAAGAAAAAGTGAGAGGGAGCTGAGGAGACGGATCGATGGAGTGGAGCACTGAAGGAAGCTTTTGGAGGAAAACGAGTAGTAACACTGACAGGTCTTGGGGTATTTTGTTTTAATGTAACACAATTTGCTGGGTGGTTTACGTTTATTGTCTGTGAAAGCTTATTTGAAACTCTTAAATTGAGTTATCGGAGCACTACTTGGTCAAAATGGATGAAACAGAGACTTCTTTATTCAATTCAGTTAAGAATGCGTCCATCCCTTATACAGCACTTTGGCATTGCATGTTTAAAATGAACCAACTTCATTAAAATGGTGAAATCAGAGGTAATTTCTCATTATTGAACATTTTTACAAACACTTGAAAACCTTTTCAGTGTGTTGAAGTCGGAGGTTTGCATTTCCTTTATAGATATAATGCTATGATGCAGGGTTTGGGTATTAAGGCGGGATTTTGTCTGTTTCTGCGGTATCACTCACACTGTAACACTGTGAGGGACAGGAGGAGTCACTTTTGTCCCTGGAGTTCTTCTTGCCCTCTTCAGAGCACAGACCACCCTGGACCGCCTCAAACAGCACTGGATTCAGATCCCCGTACTCCCCTGACGCCACCTCAATGACTGCAGTAAAAGAGGACAAGCTGGTAAGAACACTTACACGGACACACACAAAATTTGCTTATACTGAGAGTTTTTGACCTACTGAAATCAGCTGGATTGTGATATGTGGGGCAGTGGAGGCCCAGGTTCTTCAGATACGGGATGAGGTAAGGGACAGTGCCCTTGTATATGCACTGACCCTGACTGAGGATGTACAGCTGGTGGAGAAACACGGGACAAAGTAATCAACATAGTTTCCAACACACCGACTCTCTGAATAATAAATGAACATCTGACAAAACATCAGGCCTTTATATTGAGAGCTATGCTGCTCAACCACCGGATAGAGTAAATCATGCTAACTTGTAGTCTGGTCTGAGCAGTGGCTAATGGAAAGCTTCAACTTGTCCAGCGCTATATGCTCTTGAGTTACCTTATCAAACATCTCGAAGAGCTTGGCACTGGGCTGATGGATGGTGCAGATGATTGTCCGTCCGCCCTGAGCCAGAGACTTCATGAGGGAGACGACCTGGAAGCAAGATGCGCTGTCCAGACCGCTGAGATGGGACACGGGAAAAGAGAGAGAGATACTCTGATTAACCTGGACTTCTCTTGAGATGCAGAGATTTGAAGAAGGCAAATGATATATCTCACCTTGTTGGCTCATCAAAGAACATGACAGGAGGATTGTTGACCAGCTCTTGGGCAATGGCCAGTCTTTTACACTGACCTCCAGAGAGACAGTTGGTGCGTGTCTGAGCACACTCGAGAAGACCCAGAGCAGTCAGGATCTCATCCACCTTAAACATAAGCAGAGACCAACATGTCATATACAGATCATGATGCCCACATACATAGATCAGGACCATTTGTATCAAGAAAATACACAAAGGCAGACAGATGATCAATAGCTGAGGTGTTTTGTGTGGTTTGGTTAGTTTCAGCTTTCCTCCTAGATAAAGAGTTGTGCAAATACTTGGAAAATTCATATTACATTTTTTTTTGTCAAATGAAGCATAGTAACAAAACTATTTTTAATACTATTTTGTTAATATCTTTTAATCTTATGCTATAAAATGCTGTCATGTTAAGTTACAATTTCTGATGTGAAACTGTAACTTAAGCTAGCTGTAACATGTAACACTTGCTAGTGATGACCATGGCTTCCTGCCTGTAAAGTGAAGACTATTATGGTTGATTTCCAAATACTCTAGTGTATTAACCTTCCTCCTGTGTTAGCTTTTACTACGCACCCACCATGTTGAGGGCTGGTTTTGACCCGTGTCTTAAATCAGCTGTAAATTACACTAAAAACATTTCTCTATCATCCAATTTGGTTCTCATCTCTAGGTTACCTTGTTAGGCTCCATTATCCATGAAAATATTGCTTATAACATTTTTGTTGTGTTCTTTATCAGGATATCCCTCATACAGACATCTATACTGAACTGATCTCACATGTCTGGACATGCCCGACGTTTTTTGTGCAGGGAAAAACATGGAAAAATGAGAATTTCCTGAATCTCACATGATTGGAAGAGGATCTGACTGCCAGTGTGGTGCCTGACAGTGCACTTAGATATTGATCTAACTGGGTCAACAGCGACTCTAACACGACAAGTGCCGGCAAGTGCCAATTCTAATAAGATCATTTTATAATTTATTCAATTGATTTGTTATTATTTTTATTTTGTTAAAATAGAGGTTCCCAACAAAGTCAAAAAGTCTTGATGCAAAAAAGCTGATTTAAGTGTTTCTTTTAAGCATTTAAAAACAAAAACGCGTTGGTGCAGACCCTAACACAGGAGGAGGGTTAAAAAAGCTGTGAATCATTGAAAGGTGACAAATTTGTGTTGCATTCATGTTAATGTACATGTAAAAACTTACAAGTTCCTTTTTGACCTGCATACTCTCGTTTAGTTTCAGATTGGCTGAGACCTAAAAGACAAACAGCATTGTTATTGACGGGTTTGATTTCAAGGGAGTTGGCTTATTTATTTATTTATTATTCACTTAAGATGACCTCACCATCATGGCCTCCCTCGTTGTGAGGTGTGGCAGCAGCATGTCATCCTGCATGATGTAGCAGGACATTTTCCTGAAAGTCCTCAGGTCTCTTGGTCGACCGTTCACCAGGATCTGACCCTTCATTCCTGTCTCCCTGTTTTCCCCATCAACAAAACATCACAGCTATTACACAGCCTGATCAAATACAAAGTACCGTTTATTAAAGTGATTTGAGAGAGTATCAGCAACTTAGCAATCTGAATAGATCGCATGCAAATTCACATCTCACCTGTACCCTGCCAGAATATTCATCAGAGTGGATTTCCCAGCTCCTGAAGGCCCCATGATACCAATCAGCTCTCTGCTGTTGAACCTTCCTGACAGACACTTCAGGAGGGCTTTGTAACCTGGTGAGGAGAGCAAACACTATTTATAGAACAGGACCTAGTCTGAAATTTCATTATTTATGTACACACCCATTTTCCTCAAAAGATTTTTAAGGGAACAACAAATAGCCCGGAGAAAAAACAGATTTCGTAGCCAGATAAGCAAAAATAAGTATAAGATGTTCTCTTTGGCTTTTCTCAGAGATCATTTTAGTGATGGTTCATCTCTTTAATCAGTTATGCCCACTTTAATAACATCTTTACAATCTCAGGCGGAGGCAGTGAGAAAGTGAACCATGAACAGAGGATGTGTGTCAGTCTAATAGCCTGTTTCTTCAGCTGGAACTGATTGAACCCTTAATCTCAGCTCACTGATCCCTGGAGTGTTTTGGATGGTTATGCAGATATCACGCTCCTGCACAGGGAGTCACAGGCTACTAAATCTGAAAACAAGTCAACAGTCAGGCGAAAATGCTGTGGCATAAATAGAAACAGTATCTGTATTTGCAGGTTACGCTGACCACAGTCACCTGTTATAAATAAATGATTTGGACTGATGGAGAGAGGAAGTAAGACAGACAGAATAAAAGTGGATGCTGTTTTCGGTGCCTGGGGAAAGGAAAGACTTTAAAGTGATGATGACAGTCAAGAATAAAAAACAAGAAAAGCAGAAGACTTCACAGACTTCAGGAGGGCTGGGTATCAGGTGAAGCAAAGTGGAAAAAACAAGAGAAGAAGCATGCAGCATAGAGAAAGATTTAACATCAGTGGCGCCAGCAGAAAAGCCACAGCCATCACATCCCTGCAGTGATTTTAAAAGCGGTCACAGCGGTGTGGCCAGCTAATAAGGACGGCTTGTGTTATTTCTTGATGCCTTCACCTTTGCTATGTCTGAGGCAAAATGGTGGCAGTAAAACAACCCATTTTCAAACTGGCATGGACTGAAAGCTTCCAGATATGAGGACTTAATAAGAGCTCTAAGAATCCTGCCTTGTTGTCACCCTTGTCTCACACATTTCTCAGCTGTCTGCAGGGATGTCTTGAGCTGTGTAATTAGGGTCTCACCAGAGCCTCTAGCCCCCTCAAACCATCACTCTATGAGCCTAATGGCAGGGCCTCCTCCTCCCTCGCACCGTTATTACATCAGAAAGCCTCCTCTCAGACAGCAGAGCAGCCTGCTGTCAGGGAAGCAGCTCTGCTCTGGCATGTGGTGCATACTGATGATCTAACCCTCTGCTGTAGGTTACCCACAACAGTGGTCCTGTCTGTGTGAGGCTGCAGGCGCATCCTGATTACACAGACTCATGGGAGCCAAAGCACATCACATCAGTTTCCACTCATGACGCCTCACAGACAAATAGACTTAATTACGTGGGGAAGTTTATGTGCAGTAATTCAGGCTGTGTGTTCACATCAAAAATAAAGTAATTGTTGGACAAACAGCTTTCAGGGCAACCTTCAACAGTACTCATGACAGACTGACAGAATTAACCTCACGTCTTTGAGTAGCATGCTACTATTTTTACATTCTCACTCTTTTTAAAATGCATTTTCAGTTTTTGTTTCTGTGCTATTTTACTCACATTGATTCCCATCCCATTCCCAATCGATCAATTATAGTTTTATGAAATAGAACTTTATCCTTCAGAAACAGTTGTAGTCTACTGTTTAATAGGTTGACAATAAGCACTAAGGTAAGTAGGCCCAGTGATTGCACTGTTCTAAAAAAATATTAATACTTCAGAACAGAAACTCACATTGTATCATTATTTGTTTGTTTTACTTTAACTTTACTTTTTTATTTCTTCACAAATTTCTCTCCTGTCAAAAGATGGTTTCCCTAATTTACCCTTGATGCAACTCTACACTGGACTGTTTGCCTACAATTTATACTAACAGCAGCTGACATAGCCCAGAGTATCTGCCCCAAAGAGGGATGAGGAGCCCTACAAAAGTCAGGTAAGCTCCCTCTATCCCACCTCCACACACGCAGATATTATAACTCTCCAGACTTGTAGTTTTCACCCCTAACTGAAACCTCTTATATAATTGATGGCATCTATATCCCCATATATATGCAGTAGCGTAAGACTTCCTGAAATCCCTTCACACATTTTGATGTTTGTTCAGTTCACGTCCAAGTTGAGCTATAAAGACTCGTCTTTGTGTTAATTGCCCACTTTTTGGTTTATTTCCTCGTTTTAGCATTCTGAGTAAATTCACATTAACCTACTTTAAACTTTTTTTGTCCTCAATATTAAAGGGTGCACATACACACTCCACATAAAGTGTGTATGTACCAGTCGTGCAATCAGCTTGTTACAGTTGCTCTTGATTACTTTCTTACTTTTGTACCAACTGTTTTAATTTCTTATTTATTGTTATTTCATTCCTATTTCTATACTTCTTCTGTTAATACTTGTATTTTCAAGAACAAGTGTAATAACCGACTTTCTCCCGAGATAAATGAAGTATTCTGTTTCTGATAAGCTGATGCTATCTTGACGAGCTTCTGGCACATTATTTCTTTTAACATCTGATATAAAAGTGCATCTTAATGAAACTAAACACAGTGGTAAAGCAGCTCGGGTTATTTCCCTACATAGACATACATTTATGTCATACATGATGCATTTTGGGCTTCGATGTGATCACAACATTTAATTTCATAGAAGAAGCCTATACTACCAGGTTTCATCAAAGTTGAGATGTTTGAGAATAATCGTGAATATGAAGGGGGGGAACTCAATGCAGTTAAAAGACCACCAGCTATTAAATTAAATATTGATGTATTTGATTATTATTACTCATAGTATTGCTCATTCAATGTAAAGAAAGTTTAAAGAAAATGCGTGATGTATATACTGCTATATCTTTTTATTTAGCTAGTTTCTTGATATGTCTTTTCTTATATTCTTATATTGTTCTGGCTCACTCGAAAAATGCTGCTGTAACAGCTTAATTTCCCAGTTTGGGATCAACAAAGTAATTCTGATTCTGATGCAGTTCAAGGTTTGTTTAAGGTGGAGCTGTTGTTTAATATTTTGTATGGGACTCCAACTACTGATTGCATTGGTCATGGATGAAATTGCTAATTATTTTCTCAATTGATGTGTTTATTGTTAGGTTTATGAAAAATTAAAAAGAAAAACAGATCAAAGTCACACATTTGTTTTAAATATATATGGCCATGACAGGATTATGACTGTCATTTGTCAATTAACCAGTTTATGGTTTAAGCTGGTTTAGGCTTTTTCAAAGTAAAAGTATTGGAGAAGAAGTATCGGGGATACAAGAGCAAGAAAATAAGTAAGAGGTAAAATTCAAGTTCCTCTATGTACCTAAAATACAGGCGTGTAGTAAAGAGTGCAATATTCTACCAGTGAGATAAACCCTGCGTGTGCAGTAAAAGATGAGATTGTATCTGTAATATGACCACATGACTCTTCTCTCTTACAAAGCCAGATCATCAATACAGCTGCAGAGATGCTGCTCGCAGTAAACAACAAAATGCAGAGTTAAATCACCCTGAGGCATGTCAACATTTTCCTACTCTACCTCCCCCCTCCCTTCTTGTGTTTCCCTTTCATTGGCTAGTCTCAAGTTTCACCTGGCAAATACTTCAGCAGGAGGAGAAAACCCTCCACATTAGCAGCAGGTCACAGTATCTTAACAGGGGTTAATGGCTGCCCTCACCTACTACACAACATACAACAACAACACATGTAGACAGAGGGCAGATCATACATCAGCTTAACAGCCCAAACCCTATCATACTGAAAGATGTTGTGCTTTTTTACTGCACTTACCACATCCTCTACTACATGATGATAAGAAAATGAGTCATGTGTAGTATGACAGAAACCAAAGCCCTTAAATTACAAATGACATCATGGCTTTAGCTCACGGCTCTTGCTGAACATCATCTGATTTTAGCACCCATATTTTTTCTAACCTGTCTAATTGCAAATAATTCAGCATGAGGATGTGTTTTTTTCTAAAAGAAAATGATCTCTGACTACAAAGGATACAGCACAACAACAGCCTTGAGCTCATTGTGATTACACCTGTTTTTTTTCCTCGTTTTTTTTACAGCTTTGATCAAGCGGACAGGCACTGCAGAGAAAGAGCTCTAAGCTTAGCTTGTTAAATGACACAAATACAGACAAACCCCTTGTTGAACCCCTTCAAATTAACTACAACATGGGTATACACATACAGAAGTACACAACGACTCACTGACTTCAAAGCTACAGTAGGTGTGGCTTATTATTTTTATGTGAGTGGTAGAGGCAGTAAAGCAGGATGTATAAGCTGTACACCACAGCAGATTCATCTGCCTTCAAAAGAAAACGTAACAGGATTCAGCATTTTTGTGAGAGACACTACTTAATTAGTAAAACCTGAGACACTTCCTGTTCACACGTCCTCGGTCTGATGGGCTGAGGTGCCCTGAAGAGACAACACAAACAAAAGCACAAGCCACAGGTTGATTTGACGAGGGGAAACATGCAAAATTAGCAAGACACTAACGAACGTTGGTCTAACGGCTCTTTTGCTGCTTGTCTTTTTTTCTTCATAAATGCTCTTGCATACATCCATGCACTTCTCCGCCAGGCTTTTATGATGCACATCAATATTACACCAGACTGAAAAAACACAACACAACCTTTAATGCATCATGTATGATCTCTGTAGCCTATGTGGGGAATGTCGTTAAGTGTTCGTCTAAGTATTCCCACCCTGCTGCATGAATAAACAATTCAAACGCTCTTGAACAGGGATGACCAAATGTTGGAGACTTGTAATTATGAGGGTTGATGAGTTAAAATTTTGTTTGTATTTCATCTGTAGATCAATCCTGACTCCTTGTCACCGCCTGCCATCAAACAACAACAGGGAAAAGAGATGAAAGCAGTGTGCCAACCTGAGAGTGTAAATTATTTACTACGTCTAAACTCTGCTGAGCGCAGCATGCCTTACAGACACTCGGCCTGCTACAACATGGAGGGAGTCTGCATATGTATGTGTGTGTGTGTGTGTGTGTGTGTGTGTGTGTGTGTGTGTGTGTGTGTGTGTGTGTGTGTGTGTAAGGATGGGGCTGGGCTACATGTGTCAGAACAACACAACAAGCCAGAAGAGACAGAGGAAACAATATTTCTCTCAAATGTCACAAAATGCCTCTGTGGTAATATTCTGCACTCCGGATATTGATCAGTATGGGTGGTGCTCGCTTTCTCATCCATCATGGTTACTACAGTATTCTGAGCTGAGCATGCAGTACCTCTCCTCCTCCACCAGGGACCCTCACGGATGGTGTACGAGAGCTCATTGAACTCCAGGTCCACAGCAGAGCGACGTGGGAGGTGGGAGAAGCGCTGGGCCTCGGTAATGTGGTTCTCCACTTTCTTCAGGTGGGTGAGCAGCGGGGCCTCCTGGGGAGCTCCACCTGGGAGTTTGGTCTCCTCCATGGGGATGCTGACCGAGCCCGGTTCCAGGGTCCTCTCAGCCATGCTGAAAGGCTGACAAAGAAGACATAACATGCTTATTGAAAAACCACTCACTCCACTTTTCTCACTCTGAATTAAGAAGATGCAACACTGCCTAGAACCTGTATTTTTCATGTGTTAAGAAACCAAAATCTGTGTTTTATTGTTGTCTAACAGACTGAAAAACCTCCATATTTGATTAGCCTATGGGGATACAAAGGTGCAGCTGCAGCAATGATTTTAGGATGCCTGCGGACATCTTAAAACAAGGTGCTGCACATGATCTGATTACCGTTTATCTCATGGAGTGGCTGCTTAAGAGGAATGAGATTTTGAGTGAGAGGAGTGGGATCTGGTTTCATCCCTGCAGCCGGCTCATACTGCTGATCCACATACATTTCCTCCAAAACAAAAGTGTTTGTTAAAGCTTGCTGATCCATTAGCTTTGCAAAAATCAGAGCACACATTATATCCCCTTAATAATAACAGCATGCAGAAGATGTCAGTAAAGCTTCAGAGTGGTGTTACAGTTTAATGCACAAGGCTAAAGTCAACAGTGACTCACAAAACAATACTCCAGTACTTGATGAGATTAATTAAGGGGATTATGTGCATAATTTTAAATGATTTTCTGAAACATTATCAAGTGGCCCACTTCAGTTTATGGTCAAGCTGTAGATAATACGCCTATTATTGTGTGTGAAATGTGGGGGAAAGGGCACATCTGATACTGTTGGTGGTAATTCTGTATAGCTAAACATCAGACCTAAAATACAAAACCTAGATTATATCTTCATTTTACAATCTATTCAGGTGAAATGACCTGATTACATTTAGAAATCAGGTAATTTACAATCACTTTTCTGTTTATGAAATGTAAAAAGGTTTGAAATTTCTCCTAAATAATCACTTCTACCTCTTTCTCACAGCTTTGAAATGTTTGGAGAGAAAAAAAGTGATAAACAACACAGAGGGACACATATTTATACACATGAAAAACCTCAGCTTCACATCAACCCTCAGTCTATCAGCATCCACATGCACACCTGTGGTACTCTGTGATTACTGTCCATGTGTCCATGACCTACTGTGCTCTGTAGGCAGTAAAACATTGTTATGTGAAAAGGAGCAGTGAAGAAAATTGACCGTGACTTCTATTGACCACCCTACCATTAGTGAATTTCCATTACCAGCCTGCATATAAGCTCTGTAGAAAAAAAAAGGGGAAAAAAAAAAAAAAAACACTGACAGGCTTTAATGGCCTCTTAGTCAGATGAAGGCCTCCATGTTCTGTCGTGCGGCCCAAAAGCCAGGACACGTGAGCACACACACACACACACAGACACAGATGTAGTTTAAGTCAGCCACAGGGTGAAATATGGTTATTTGAAGTATCTGATAGGTGATTATGCTCTGCTCAGTGACTGGAAGTGAGGATGAGGAGGATCCCTGCTCTTTTCAAAGTACCTGTTAACACCAAACTGATGAAGATGAAAACATGAGACAGATCTCAGGCTGGAAATGGCAGGTGAGTGTGCAGAAGTGACTTGTGGATGAGTCATAAATGAGCCTGTCATGAGCACATACACTCAGTCCTACAGTGTGTTGCATTGCACATGTACACGCACACACGCACGCGCCCAAATGAACATACTTATTTTTGTGTTGAGATGACCAGGTGAGCAGTTCCAGCCCTGGTTTCCGCTGGGAGCAACAGTGCTCAAATGATGCCTTCGGGTAAAACAACACACTCCCTCCACATCAGAAGGTCCCACAACCAGTCCCTCTGTCAGCTCAGGGAAAAAAAAAACAACAACAACAAGATACAAGATGCTCACTGTGCGCCACAGTCCAGGAAAAATCCGCTGAGATGCATTCAAGGACCGTGCTGCGCTCTCTGTATCAATATGTCTTGGGGTGCGGTGCACATCGTCCCGCATCTACTAGAGCAACTCCACAGATTAAAATCATGTCCGGCCTCAAACTATGACTGCATCCCAGAGAATCGTCAGGGGATCAGGATGCCTGTCATGGTTTCTTTTTCTCCTCGGTACGATTGCTCCCTTCGTTACATCCATCCATCCCGAACTCGCACATCTCGGATACTCACACACACGCACACACACACACCCTCAGCAGCAGCAGCAGCAGCAGCGATGACAATCCTCAGTGTCTGGACACATCTGGAACGAAACGAAAACAGTCGAGCAGTGCTGCAGATGCTTCAGCAGTAATAGCAGCAGCTCGGCGTAGCAGCCGCCGTGATCCTCTTAATACCGGTTGGTTGGTGCGTCTTCGTGGTGCGCACGCCGGTCTGGGATGCAGGGCGTTGCTGGCAGGATGCTACTGGAGGAAAAAAAAAAGTCTGTTTTGGCTTTGATCGCTTCCTCCTAATCGTAATCCCGTCCTCGTGTTTTGTAATGAATACAGCAAGAAATATATCTCATGAAGGCAGTGCATCAGCTGATAACACTCACATTTGTAAAGCATTTGGATGATGTGATGGAGATTTAAAGCTTGACCTAAAGTTTGAATTACATCACTCTTAATTAACTTTGTTCCGATCAGATTGGCCAACAAAGCCTTTGTCATTAAATTATCGTCTTAGATGCCAATTTCAACCCTTTAAGTATCCCATTGCCTATTCCTGGACTACTTTAGGCTGCTGTCTCCGGGGAATAATAGAATTGGGACTGGCTGGGGACGGTTATGAAATCTCCCTTGTGCGCAAAGTTTCTTTTCATGTCTCTCATACAGGCTTTTCATACTGATACAGATGATCGATGTGGACTCCATCTCTGTTGATGGTCGGTGTAAACATGAAGCAGGTTTTGGTGAGATTTTCGGCCCCTCTGTCTCTTTAAAGGCCGCACCTGCGCAGCTGCCTGCCTGGTGCTGATGCTGCAGTGCCCGGGTTATTTTCGGTAAAACAGCCGGGGTTACTCGCGTTCAAGCGGGCCCTACATGGCTTACATCACCCCTGAGAGGAAACCGAGACCATTTTTAGCCAATCGCACCTGCCTCTTAATCAGACCAAATTAAAAGGAGATCTCGTGTCGCAGCATGAATATTAATTCAGCACAGCGGGTCCATCTCTCCGTATCTGACGGTCCAAATCTTGTCATTTGGAGTACAAGATACAGATCACATGTAAATCTCTTCTCATCACGTTGGATGTAAAATTATTTGATTTCGAATACATGTTCTTCCTTCCCTTGGCTTCGGTCTGAAGGAGACAAGGCTGCATGAAAAATAAAATCGTATTGTTTACTGTTGGATTTGTTTTCATGCTCCATTACAATGAGACTGCCATGGAAACAGAGCCTCACCTCCATCTATTATTCTGCTTCAAAGGCCTAATCCCGGTTGCACATTGTGATATTTGCCTTGAGAGAAGAGATATGGCCTTTCCTCACATCTGTGTAGAATTAAAGTTTGCATGCATAAATTATCCAACAATAACCAGCCAGTTTAATTCATGCCTTCTGGGAGACCAGAGGACAGATCATTTATCAACATAAAGATCATTAAGTCACTCCAGAGATAACAGTGTTTCTCCATTCATAGAATACTGACTGTCATGTGTGGGACTAGAATGAATGCTAAGTGCTGGTTTCAGTGCATGACTAATATCAAAACTCTGCAGGGGCGGCAGGAGAAGAAGTTTTATTCTCACTGTTGTAGTTTAGGGAAGTGCTGTTGTTGGACACAGTTTTTTCTTGTACGTCCATCACAAAGGTGAGTTTCTGACAAAACAAATCATAATTATCTGACTTTTTGTGTCTGCATGATGGAAACGTCTCTATAACAGATTTTAACATCATGTCAAGGTGCAGCAAATCTTCTTACTGTTAATAAACAAACCATCTTACATGACTCCTGTGTCTTACTTCAGCTGTGGCAGAAGGAGCTGTGCTGCTGGGTATACTAAACTGTGTGAGCACCGCTGGACTTCAAGTCAGACCTACTATGACATCCTCTTAAATACCTTCATAAATTATCCTTTCTGAATTTCTGTTTTAGCATTATGTCCGGGTTTTTAAGTGAAAGAGGACCCAGCTTGTGTCTTTGGACTCTGAATGGAGGAAGTGTGTGAGCAGACGTACAGGGAGATCCCGTCACAGACCTCAGGAGAGTACAGCAGGCTGCATGTGGGTGAGTTTCCCCCTGGAGTTCAGTGCAGCAGATAAGAGGAAGACTTAATGAGCTGTAATGAAGCAGGAGGTTTGACTGTTCTTTCACTTACTGCCAGATGTCCCTGTGTGAGATTATTCTTAATTTTTATTGCTGTGATGACTCACGCCATGTGTTAAATGTATTTGGTGAGATTTTTGCAGTTCATTTGCAGGCAGTGCTATAGCTGTATCTAGTCAGTTTGGTTATCTGTTCATAGAGAAATAACAGCTTTAGACCATCCTCTCATTACTGCTTGTTATACTGTAGTTAATACCTTGTAGATTTATACCTTCTGAACTTTCATGTTCTTTCACAGAGATTGACTCCTGCACACATATGACAATTAACAGCTCTATGGATTTTCACTTTAGCATCAAGAATAAAGGACAATATTGTTTTCTCAAACAAGGTTGTTTTTAAATTGTCAAATTGAGAGCAAACCAGAGCTACATGCAGTGACCTGATTTATAAGAATGAACAGTGACATCTAGTGGCTCTAAGAAACAATGTCTTTTATCAAACAGGCTGTGAGCAGAGTACATTTTATGCATCAGTTTGCACAATTTAAATCACTTGCTTGAAAAATATTTAACATAAGAGGACATAATCACATAGTGGTACTAGTTATAGTAATATCCTGAAATTATCTTTCAAAACTTGAATGTTTTCAAACTTGAATGCCATGGCTTCTCCTTGAGTCCTCTATGACTAATCACAGATCCTTGTTCTGTCTTGAAAATATCAGGAATTAAATATTTTGGTGACCACAAACATAATATATGGGGAAATTTAACTAAAAGCTAAATACATTTTTTAGCTTTCAAATGTGTTAAAGGTTGAATATAAAACGTATAAATGACTGTTTTGAAGTTTTGAGATCAAATTTTCAGCTGCTAAAATATCCAAACATCCTCCACCCTGCCTTGTAGATCACTGAATGGATGCTTGATGTTGGTTGGGCCAGTAGTGTGTATGTTTTTATTTGTTTCTGAGTGCAACAGATATTTCACATTTATCCAATCTACTCATATAAAAATATTTCACTGAACAAAAAAGATCATTTGAGCTATAAACATATCTTTAAAAAAAGGCAGTTAGCTGATCATGTTAACTCTCAAGCTGACTGTGTCTCAAACCTAAAGCTCCTCCCTCTTGACAAGATTAAGGTTTCATCTCCCTCCAGGACAGATGGACTGAGAGGAGGAGCGATGAGGCAGAGCGGCTAATCTCCCTGGTCTCACTCTCTCCTTGCTTTTACTTTTATTTCTCCCTTTTCCTTAAAGACAAAAACATGATTCAAAAAGAATGAAGGAGGTCCTGGTGTGAGAAACTAATGTCAATACCATACTTTGAATAATCAGTCAAAAATCAGTATTTGGCACTGCTCAGCAAATAATGACTTGACCCAGGCCTGACACAGACTTGATTCCCTTGTCTTTTCTGACCCTGTCGGGACCTCACATCCTGTGCATTGACTGAATTTAAACTTTCTTCTTTCCCGATTATCACTGCTGACTCTGAAGAATTTCAACCAGAACTGCAAGGTTCTCAGTGCCTCTGGCTGAGATAATGTGTATTTTGTGGGCTTCAGTATGCCTGAGTGATCAAGTAATGACTTTAAACCTACAGATACTTGGTTGGCTGATGTGTCCACACAGTTGGATGAAGCAGCAAAACATAGCATGGTTCTACGATGAACAATCTGTCTGTACGTCTTCTTCATCTGCTGAGCTGTCGGCATGTTGTTCCCTCACGGATCAACCTGCAGATGCTGGACGTGAAGAAAAATGTGTTCTTAGCATTAAATTTCTAACAATAAACTGAAAGTACTAAGTAAATGGGGATGTGCCTTTGTGTTGAATACTCACCACATGACAGAGCACAGTCACAAATGCAGGGAATACACTGTGAAAAGAAGCGCTTCCAGCCGGTCTGCTTCTTCATACAGTTGTCTACCTTAGAGCAGCCCTGTTTAGGTGGACCGAAGTAGCTCTTGTTCATGCAGGTGGAGTTGCATGACCCACTGAGTTCCCTCTCACTGATTTCGATGCGCCCCTTTGGACACATTCCTAAAGAGAGGAATTCTTTGATAGGCTTTAAAGATTTATGGTGAAATACAGTATTTGTGTTGTAGTGTTTCCTTACTGAGACAGGTAGGTTTGGGGGTCCAGAGTCCATTAGCCTGACAAGTTCTGGTGGAGTTTCCCAATAGCAGAAAGCCAGAACGACAGGTGTACCTCACCACAGAGCCCACCCACCAGTCATTACCGTACACCGCTCCATTATAGTCCACATCTGGCTTCCCACAATTCACTGCAAAACAAGATAAAGGCAAAGGCTGATAAAATATTTTTTTGTGCTCCAGCATTTTAAAATTTGTTCTTTTGTTGTGTTCTTACCTCTGCACAAGGACTTGTATCCGAGCCAGCAGCAGTCTGAGTTTCCACACGAATCTCTCCTCAGCTCCTGGTGACGTCCTTTACAGCCTCCAACACAAATAGGGGCCGTCCCAGCCCAATAGATGTCATCTATGAAATCAGGCTGAGGCATCCATTCTGTCTCACCTGCAGTAAAACCTTTTAATAGCTTCTTCAAACCTTAGAACTGCACAAATAAAACATCTGAAACTAGAGATATTTTCACCCTCTGAAGTCATCAGAAAGAAAATGTTTGTTGTCATAAGGAGATTTACAAGGGATTGCAAAAATCTTAATTACAGGAGGTCTTACCACTACCTTCCACCTCTTTAATCCATGCGGGAGACTGAGAATCGGCTCTTAGCAAAGACCCAAACAACAGCAGCAGCAGCAGTAGGAAGGACCTCATGGTGACGATCTTCTGATGCAATAACTTTATACGAAAAACCCACAAGTACCTGTAAACTGTCTTAGCGCCGTTTCAGTCCAACAATATTATACACATTATCTCAGCCAAGAAAACAGTCATGAAGCCATTAGAAGCTGCCCCAGTGACTGCAGGATGAAGAATCAAGGAGCAGGAAGTGACACTTGGGCTAATCTCTGTGTGCTGCCTAATCTTCTACACACAGCTAATGCCACTGTGGTTCGTGTGTCCTGCTGGGGTAGGAATAACTGCTTTGGTCTGCTGTGATTTAGATCACTGTCTCACCTAAGGATCAAAGATAAAAGGGAAAGGACAATGATAACACAACACTGAGGGCCTGATGCTTCTGTTTTACTCCCATAGCTCCATCGATGTCTGTTCTAGTAGTATCTAATAACATTCAGCAGAGGGCGACAGAATTTGAGTGTAACAATAGATTCTATCAATGTGTTGTGGGAACCATAAGTGATATTAAGCTACAAACTAGAGTGTCATAGAGAGTTTCAGAAAGCATTGGAGTCACAGAACACATCTGCTTTTCAAGTCAAAGTTTATTGATGTTAAATAAGCTGTAAAATTAACACTCACTGAGGTAGGCCTTCCTTACTGGTTTCAGCATTTTTTATGAATATATAATTTTTCCTTCATAAGCTGTGGGACATTTCTGTCTGATTTTGGGACTGAACACCAAGCAGCCACTGCAGCATAAGTATGCAACCGTCATAGGATGTTAAAAATGCAATGAATAAACCAAACTAATGTAAATACACTGGCCAACATACTGCCTTCAAGCTCAACAAAAGGGAATAAATGACATCGCAAAAAGTTTTGTTGTCCAGTATAAGCGCAAAGTCAGTATTAAAATCAAGTGCCTCACCTTCTATTTAAAACTTCATTTCTCACCAGCTCAAAGAGATTTTTCATTTTCCTTCTATCTGTAGAGGTTACAGTTTGTTTCACAGTTCTGCTGCACAGGACGTGTGCAGAATTGTTACTGGGGTCAAATCACCTCCATTCCTTGCTGCTGAGCAGGATCCTGATTGACAGGGTCCTCCCCTCCAGCGAGAACGTACAGCATCCCCTCCTCAGCACTAGCAGATGGCTCCTCAGTCCTCTGCTCCTCCAGCAGCACCCCTCTCAGCTCCTCTTGTAGCTCTGAGGGAGTTGCACCAAGGTGTCCCTCCTCCATCGCCTGACCCTCTACCTGCCCGCTGCTGTCTTCATCATCATCTGCTTGCCTGCTCTGTCTTTCCCTCATCAGCTGCTCTGTCAGTTCCACGCTCTCGTAGCGAATCAGCTGCAGGCGAAAGAAGCCATCCTCGTGCTTCTTGTACCTGATCAAGAAATGAGGAGACTGTTAGAGGTGCCAATCCAAAACCAGGACTTAAAGTCGACACAAGATTGAGCAGTTTGTCAATACAAGAATTACCTGAACCTGGGGTGTCCCGAGGGCCATTTGAATTGATGTTTTTTGTGCAGATGGACAGTGAGGTTGTTGCCCCGGGTGAAGCACTGATCACAAACATGGCACTTGTACCGAGCTATGAAATTTCCCTAAGAAAAAAAAACAAACAAAAAAAACCCACCTCATATAAAAAATGCTCCCTTTTTTCTATGTACTTCATAAATAAAGTGTATGTGTATTTTATTCTCCTTTCACCTCATGTTCTCTTTTGTGGTGAATCTTCATGGTGATGAGAGTTCGAGAGGTGAAACCACAGCCAGAAACATCACAGTGGAAGGCTGGCTCACTGCTGTGTGTGTCAAGGTGTTTGCGCAAGTCGATCAGGTTCTTGCAGCTGTACATAAAAAAATCACAAAGGAATCATAAAGAAAACAGTCATGAGTGTATGCTTATGGCATCCTGATCATGTTTTGAATCACTATAAATCAACTGAGGTGGTACCTGTATTCACAGTATTCACAGCTGTATGGTTTCTCGTTGCTGTGGCGGAACTTGATGTGGTTACGTAGTGCAGAGGGTGAAGGGCAGGTCATGTCACACAGCGGGCATTTGTAGTGGCTTACTGTTCCAAAGAGATAAAGAAGAATGATGAGAGTAAATCACACTGCAACACTGCAGAGTGAGTTGTTGCCTGAGAGTGTATGACAATTAAACAGCATAAAGACAGATGTAAGAAATCTTTATATCAATCATTTAATGCTGTTGCTATGAGCCACATGGAAAGTTATTCACGGTGAATGCAGGGGTCTTAAGAGTTGAAGTAAAAATGCACAGAGGACTAGTGTGGATCACAGTTTACTGCAATGAAATACAGGGAACTCTGAAGGATGGACTGACCGTGGGTCCTCATGTGATCTCGAAGGAGTCTTTCAGTTGCAAAGCGTTTGGAACAGTGCGAACACTGGAACCTCTGACCTGAAGAACACGAAGGAAAAATTCCTACATGAAAACCTTTTTACAGAAATAGCCAACCCCCCCTTTTTTCACAAGATTTTCCTTACCTTCCATGGCACTCTGTCTTATGATGTGGTCAAAGAGCTTGGTATTGTTAGCGTACATCCCCCCACAGCCTGGACATGCCACCATCTTCTCTTGGGTATGGCTTCGTAGGTGCTCTCGCAGTTTAGGACGTCCTTTGGCCGTTGCCTCACAATCTGTAGAGTGACAGAGAATGTACTTAAACCTCACAATTGAAAAATTTCTATCACACAGCAAATATAACACCCTTTTTTTATTTTTTATTTTTAGAAATTTCTGACCATAAACGAGCAAAGTAATCTTTGCATATATTGGCATTTTTTTAAAAAACTACAATCTTTTGACAGTCACATTGATATACAAACCTTTCCACCTGCAGTGTAGTGGGATTTCACTGTCTCCTGTTGGAATATCTATGCAGAGGCTATGCATCTCAACATGGCGATAAAACCACTCTGGGTTCTCATATGGAGGTTGCTGTGATCAAAATACATGAAAATAGACACATACAAACACAAGTGTTTTGAGTTAAAGGCAAACCTCAGTCTGTTTTCCACTGGTTACGAACTGAACAGCTCATTGTCAGTTGCTTGTTAAACATGTTCATATTTTTATCTTGCCTTGCTTCACCAGATTACCTCACACTCCTCCCATAGGCAGATGAAATTGTCTGGGATTTCAGGGATGATGTTGCGGTTTTGGTATCCGATGGCGCAGGTGCCAAGCTCTGGCTGGGCATCGAGCACATGCTGACCTAACTGTTTCAGTTTGGTGTGGTAACAGTGAAAGAAGAGGTGTCTTCGTAACTCCTCAGGACCCTCCATGGAACAGAAACCGCACTCCCTCCAGAGACAGTTTCTCTCGCCTGGCCACAAAAGGAAAGAGGGATTATAAACCTTTGGAGTTTACAGGGACAGGTATTGCATCTGGATCTGTTGATGGGGATTATATAGGGGAGAGTGGGGTAAATTAAACCAGAGGGTAAGTTGAGCCACCCCGTGTTGCTTGGAAATGGTAAAAAAAAAAAAAAAAGATCATGTGACCAAATATTAAGGGGATGGGCATCAATTCATAAAGTCTGTGAAGGTTAGAAGCACAGGGGTGAAGAGGTTAGACATTTACAAAAAAAAAACATCTTTCACTGTTGAAAGTGAATTGAGTCTGTCACAAGTTTTATTAGAATTGTGTTCAGACCAAAAAAGATAATTTTAAATTTGTTTTATACATCAATTGTGGTATCTATGAGCTACAACACGAGGTCAAAAACATTTATTAGACCTCAAAGCTAAAATGGTGGACTTTTATGAATTGCATAAAAGTCCACCAAAACTATGATTTTCTTGATGTAGTGATCCGAAATATGAAAAACGGCTCATCTTACCCCACTCTCCCCTACAGCACATTGGATGTGGATTTTTAGGTGCCTGGAGTTAGAGGTGGGTTTTTGCCTTCAGTGAGACAACAGCTCAGTTAAGCAGTGTTTAGATGTGTGTTTTTAAGCGAAAACAATAGGCCTAAAATGTTTTATTTCTACATAAAGCATTAGAGTAGCTTGCATAGCAAATTTAATGGAAACACCGCCAATGTCCACCGCTTTCGGCCTGCAACTGTAGGCTGTAATATTACCATCAGACTACATTTCTAAATGAGTGTTTGTGCTGCTACATTTACCAGACAGCTCCATCATATCAAAACACCACACAGCCCTCACCTTCTGCCTCCTCCTGGTCCTCCTCCGCGTGATTCAGAGCGTTAAGGTGAGTCTCCGCGTGCGTGCAGAAGTTATCCATCTGCGAGAAAGACTCCTGGCACGAGCCCCATTCACACACCAGTTTGAGTGTTTTCTTCTGGACACGTTTGTTTGGCATTATTGGTGTCAGAGGTAGGTTAAATGTGGTGTGTTTTAAAGGCAAGCTTCAACTACAACCGCCCTTTTGGTTTGACCATTACCTGGCATGTACCGGTGCAGGCTAACACCTGCTGGTTTGTAACCGAGACAAGTGTTTCTAAGACATTCAGCAGCAGCAAAAGAGCTTTAAAACACATTTCTGGAGCACCTCGACAAAAATAAAAACATGGAATAAGTCAAGTAAACTCGAATACAAGTTTCAATTGATGTAAACATTGAAGTTCTTGCGGCTTCGGTCGACAGACAAGTTCTGTGCGGCGCAAAATGTGTCTCCCCTAAAACATTCGCTTTTTATGTGGTTCCGGGTGTGATACGTTCCACCTGAAATTCTCACTTCGGCTGCATTTTTTCTCTCAGACAAATATTGTGCTTTTGTACCCTTTTGGGTACATTACTCGCACTTTTTTGTGTATTTGTATTTTGTGAAACCTACTATTAGAGGACTCCTCACAACATTTTAGCTATATAGTAAAATGTACTCCACAACATGTATGCTGAGTATGCTTTTGGGTGGACTTTCAAATCTTTCGGAAAATTTTCTTTTGCTCATTAAAGTATTACCCTTGTAAAGCATTTAGTTTTCTAAATATGTCAGCATTTGTTTAAATAGTAATAAATTATTGTGATTTTGGAATACAGAATCGTCTTATTATTAAATGTACATCTCCATCCAAAGTAGTGAAGCCAAATGGATGCAGCCATGTTTGATGTTACTACTGAATTTAAATCGTTTATGATAAAAACAGTTTCATTAAAAATAGACATACAACAAAAAATACTAGTACAGGTTTCTGCTAAATGAAGTTTGGAAAATTGCTCTTTCATTGTTGAAATATTTGCCTCCAAATATTTTGTTGAATAATTTAGATGCTGATATGTATCTGTGAAAACTTCAGAGGGATATATTAAACATTTTCTTTTGTTACTTGTTTATGAAACTTAAACTGGGGTTTTGAAAACACTAGGGAAGTGCTGATTTTTTCAACTTAAGAACTTAAGATATGAATTCACCTTAAACCGCTGCAAATTGTAAAGACATCACAACTTTAAATTACAATTTCTCATCTTTTATTTCTCACTTTGAGTCTCTCATTTCAGCAGGTACGTCTCTCACTTGTCTTTACATTCCTCAACAAAGTAGTCCAGTGCCAGTGAAATTCACATTGATTTCTGCTCAAAACTTGAAGAGAAATGTCTATCAGTCACAAAATACAAGTATGTATCCAGAAATACCAAGAATGGCATTAATAGTCAATACTCATATTTAATGGACAGGACTGACTTCACCTCCTTCAGACCTTGAGTAACATTTGAGACCATCATGGATCAAATAATCTCACTTCACTTTTGCACTAACTCCTGCTTTTTACCCCAACTAATTCCTGTAATGATCTCCAGACTGATTAAAACCTTCCAACCTTTACTGCTAGTCTTCACAATCACCGTTTTTGTGCATTTGTTCAGAGGTATAAAAGAAAGCATATTAAAAAAAGAACAACAGAGATGAAATGTTCCCACCCACACTGCATACACTGATATATCTGCAAAATGAAAGGAGAGTGGGACCATTTTCTTTAAGCCATTTTGGATTTAACAGCAGAGTCAAGCAGTGGATAATTACATTAAATTGTATTTTTACAGTGCTTTCCCACATCCATGAACCTGTCATTAAATAATAGGAATTTAAGGGCAGTTAGCCATTGAGTTTATCTTCTCAACTTCCTTTAAAAGAGGATATACCTTCAGAAGACACATACGAAAGGCCAGGCATGATTCTCTTTGGGATTTACAGTCATTAAATCCAGGAGAATAGTTCACACTTCTGCCAATTTTGTGAAAATGTTGTACAAAGTGAAATATAGCTTTAGACCTCACTCTGAGTCTTTACTGCAGGTCCAGTCTGAGGCAGAGAAGTAACAGTGAGGTAATGAAATCTACTAAAGGCAGATGAAACATGAGCCTGTTAAGAATTTTCATAACAAAATTCATATTTTCTCAGTCAGGATTCTCTCCTCTTCCCCGGAGAGACGGCTAGACATCATAGAAGAGACGCACCAAATGATAACGAATCCCAAAAGCCATTACACTTCCCAGCACCTGAGATAAACACAAAAATGAGAAATCAGTCAAAAACCAATATCATTAACACTCATTGTCTCACACTGTGTTTGGACAGAGCAGCGGGTACTTTGTCATACCTGAATGATGAGCATGATGACTGTGAGGTTTCTCTCATGAGTGGGACCCAGAATTTTCAGAACCAGATTTATTAAAGTCATGTTGTTGCATTCAATAAAATCATCATCCCCCTCCTGAGAGCTTCGCACCTCTAGCAGCTTCAATAACTCTGCCACCTGTTGAGGAAGAAAAGCAATTTTACTGTCAACTAAAAAACACATCCAGAGACGTGATTTTGTATGTGTGTTTACACACCTGCACTGACCCTCACCCTTGTCTCTCTTTTTCCAGGTAGGCTGCCCCTGTATCTCTTTGTTGTGTTGGCTTTTAAAATTTTGACAAAGTGGAGTTGAATAACTATGAAATGATTGTGATGATCTCGATGGGAGTTAAATCAGGTGTAGGACTGGTCTGTGTTGAGTTAATAATATACTAGACTGTGGGTACTGGGACATACAAATTGTTTTTTTATATATGAGAATATGCGAAAGAAACCTGATGCTAAAACAAAGAAGTGTCATTATTCTTTCATGATTCAATGCCAGGGAAATACAGCAACATTATTAGTTAATTCAATTATCAGTTTACAAAGTCACTGTTTTTTTGTTTTCCCCCACTTTGCCAACTTCTTTGTTGCATCATTATATTTTTTTGTTTTAAAACATTATCCTCTTTTAAGCCTCTGTGATGTGAGGATTTGTGACTATTCTCTGTTTAACATAAAAAATTATATATTTTTACATTTATAACTGCTGTTAGGCATTAAAAAATACAGACATCTCTGAGGCTTTGTGAAAATTTGACAAACAGTTTTAGAGTACAATCTTGATATTTCAATTAATTGCTTTCTCTTATACTCCTTATATTAAGCAGCTGGTGAGAGACTAAACGTCAAACTGAGTTTTTATTTTAGAATCAATATCTGGCTTTTTTCAGGTCCAAAAAAACAAACAAAAAAAGAAACTGGTTGCTGCCACCTTTATGTCCGTGTTGGACTATGGTGATTGCGCCTACGAATCATACACACCTTTTTCCTCAGAGCATTCATGCTTTGGACACTATGTAAAACCCAAATTTATGAAAAAAAGCACTTAATTTTTCTGCTTAGTTTATTTTTTTTAAAAATCACAAAAAGACTCCCTGGATGCTTTAAGGGTGCTTTAATTATTTAAAGGCAGAGAATATCTGGCTGCAGGTATTTGGTTTGGTATATCTATAATCCTGGTTGAAATATTTTACTTTCTCTTCTGTGTTTTTACTGTAATTTAATCACCTCTTGTATTATGTTTGTGTGTATACCTGCTTTTTGTAGGCAAAATACCTTGTTAACTGGGGTTTGGTCTGTCTTAGACAGATTCTTTTTTAATCTCAGTGAGTTTTGCCAGGTTAAATATAGATTTTTTACCACTGATTTTTAACAAAAGCCAAATGGTAAAGGGATCAGAGAAGGCTTCACCTTCAGAATGAGGTGTCCTAGCTTTGAGAGGTCCTTCCTTTTGAATTTGGAGTAGCTCATCCACAGTTTCCCTGTCTCTGTGTTCAGCCTTTCATCAGCAGTGACAGTGGGAGAAAGACAAAAGGAAGAAATGCAGTCACTCAGTATGTAATTAGTTTGAATGATTGTTAGAAAGGATACGACAAGTTTTATCTCCACAGCGTCTTACCTGGGGAGCCGATGTCTTGGACAGGGGATGATGTGGAAAAGTTGAGGCAATGAGTAGATAAAATTGATTACTTGAGGAATGAAGAACAGTAACATTGTTTTGCTGAAGTGCCCGAGGATGCCGACAACTGCAAATGTCATCCCGGCAAAGTAGCAGAAAGTGTCTCCCACAAACACAGATGAAGGATACCTGTGATGACGGAGGTTAAAGGTTAACACCCACAGCATCTTAATTCTTCCTTCAAACCTACCTCTGGTTATTACATTGACTTACCAGTTGTGGTAAAAAAGTGCTAATGTGGTGAAGAAGAATGGTATCATGAAGTAGAGGGAGAAGACATGGTCGTCACGGTAATCTCCTGGTAAAAAAAGACGAGATAATCAAACGTCAGATCGGAACAATTTTCAGTTTCACAAACTCATTAAACATGTGCATATCTAATCATGAACTACAGAGAAATGGGTGTGACCTGTAATATGAAGAAGTCTAAGAAAGTCAACACAAACCACTGAGCTCCAGCAGGTTGAAGATTATGATTGAGCCGGAGATGAACAGGGCTTGACCTGACTCTATGCCGTTGATGCCTGCTAGGATGTTGATGGCGTTTGTGCAGAATACAGCAAGCATTCCCATGTAGACATAGTAGAGAATTCCTGTGAAAGATCAGAAACTATGTAACTCTGAATAACTTAATAAAACAACTTATAAAATGTTTTTTTAAACTTCTATTGGTAGAGTGGACAGAGAAGCTAGAGTTTGACAAAGCAACATATGACAGCTCATCTTTTGTGGAATATATTTGCAAAATTTTTAAGTATCTTTTAGCAGTAAGTTAGTAAGCATGAACTCACCCAGGTCCAAGTGCAGCCCAAGCAGGGCTCTGAAAGGCTTGGGAACCACAATGACTGTATTGCCAAAGTTGGTAAAATAGACCATGAGCAATGGCAGGGAAGCCATGGTGGGAAGCAGGAGCTTGTGTCTCCACTGCAGGTTCAGGACATCGTCAGCAAAGCCCAGGAAGATCATGCAACAGATGGCAAGGAGTGCTCCGATCAGCTGCACAAACTGAAAGTAAAACCAAAGCTGGTAACACTACATTTCAGGTTCAAAATAAGCGCACATGGTCTACTAAACATAAGTGAGCAAACCTCATCGTGCGGGAATCCAGTGCACTGATCTCCTACAAAGCAGCTGAGAAAAGGCACTGGGATGAAGCAGAAGAGGATGATGAGGAAGACCGTCCCGCTGATCACTCCCTGGGACTCTGGGCTGCAAAGAGATGGAAACAGAAAGAGAAACAGGGATGAAGGCAGGAAATGGACTCTTTTGTCTCTCTACAACATGTTTTACAACCAACAAATAATGAAAAACATTATAAAACCAGACTGAATCTCAAGATAGATGATAGAAACGACTCACACTTCTCTCTTGGTTGTTTTATTTAAGTCCATCCCGTACAGTCTGGCTGCGATGAAATGGCTTTTGAAAGTGGGGATGAGCTTTAGTGTGGCCATGCAGCCAAGTGCAGACATGAAGCAGCTGATCACCAGCGGTAGGACGGGTACAGGTGCCATGTCTCCAGGCGTTTTGGTGGACAGGTTCCAGACACAACAGACAAATCACGTCTCCAGCTAATCAAATGTTGCTCCCTCAGGGCGATCGATGAACTAGCTTTGGCTGTACTCACATAGGTAGGAACATTTCACACCATTATTTTGAAGAAAAATTCACAACTCCTTTTCCAGTATCACAGAAAACACGTCCAAGACTCGCTTAGTTTGAACATACCATGTTTCACTGCTGTGTTATTAACGCCATTATCCGTAAAGTAACTGTGAGTGTTAACTCCACGTCCGTATATTTCATGGTAAAGTCAGTAACATTGTGTTGAGGTAGCGTTTCCGGTTAGACCCTTCAAAATAAAATTGTATTACAACCTCAGCTATTATTTCAACTTTAAAAAAGCTTACATTTAGAGTTAATGTTCCTTATATGTTTCATTTATACCTCTTTGTGGAACAAGCCTCAATTTTCGCTGTTCTAAGACCGTTTCTGCTTATCTTTATTATGGCTGATGCGTGTAATCTGAAAATAAATATTAAGCCACAACAACTTCCTGTCAGTGATGTTGACACGGAAGTGAGTTCTTATTCTACGGTTATAATGCCACGAGAAGATGAAATTCTGCCATCTGATGTCCAAAACTTGAGGTCGATGCCCCTTTTCTGGTTTTGGTGTAAGGTTTTTGTCCAGAAATTCCTGGACAGCCTGTTTAGACAAGCTTACAGCATATGCAACGCAAATGTTACAATTTTATTTAACAGATGCTTTAGTCCAATACAACATACATGTCAAGAGTATTAACCCCACAAGCTAGGATCTAGTCAGAAGGACGCAACATGAGTAAGTGTTGTAACATGGGTGAGCAAATGTTAGGCCTACCCATTGACAAAGTAGCCTATAAAGCAAAACAGAACAATAAATAAATAAATAAACACTCCACAGACAATATGTAAATAAATACAAAAGGTGATAGCATAATATTTATTTGTAGAGCAATATCATGTTCATCTGAACAGACAAGAAAAAACAGAAACAGATCCCTCTTCTGATCCTGGGTCAGAGGATTTCATTCACATCTGCTGCGATGTTGCTGCTCCATCTTTATGCATGATACTTGATAACATGATAACATGATAGCATGCCAAAGAGGGGTCTCCTAAGGTCAACTTATCCCATACATGGGGTAAGTTGACCTTAGGAGCCGGGTAAGTTGAGCCGTATCCTTACTACCTCCCCACTCTCCAGCCCAGTCCTTCCTCACCTCCTCTCTCCCTAAAAAACAGTCACTTCTTCAAATTCATGTGTATTTTTTATCTATTTTACACTATTCAACTGGTACAATAACTTTTTTATTATTATTGCATATAACTGCTAAAAAGCTGTTTTGTAAAAAGCCATTTTAACATGAGAATGTCTAAGTGATTCAGAACATTCACAGCTGTATTTTTGAAAAGAAAAAGTCAAACATTTCAACAATCTGAACTGAAACTCTGATCCTCTCATCAGACTTCTTTACTTTCTCAGTTGAGCCACTGGATCAACTTAACCCAGAACTACTATTATGACTATTAGTCCTCTAAGCTAAAATGGTGGACTTTTATGTTATCTTCATATCTCACTTTTATCTCTTAGGATGTTTAGTATATTTAGTCTGTATTTATTGTATATACTTAGTATTTTTAGCCTGCATTGTACTTACTTCTTCCTTTATTTAATGTTATTTTGTATTTTCTTTTTGCTGCTGTAACAAGAGAATTTTCCAGTTTGGGATCAATAAAGTCTATCTATCTATCTATCTATCTATCTATCTATCTATCTATCTATCTATCTATCTATCTATCTATCTATCTATCTATCTATCTATCTATCTATCTATGTGCTTCTAACCTTCACAGAGTCAATGAATTGATGCCCATCTCCTAAATATTTGCTTACATTATCAATTTCTTTTACCATTTTCAAGCAACAGGGGGTGGCTCAACTTACCCCACTCTCCCCTATATTTCACAGTCACCTCAGACCATGTGAGTCTGCTAGCAGAAAAACAAATGCAACTGGACCCCAGATTTTTCTCCCCCCTTCCCCAGAAGAGGGTGACAACGTCGGCTGATCGACCTGGTGTAGGACTGAGTTTACAGCCAAGAAGATGAGAAATTGGAACCAATTAGTGTACTGAAAAAAAAAAAAAAACACCCACATTGCTTTAATGCTTTATTATCTATGACAACTATTTTTTAATGTATTTTTCAATTTATATATTTTTTTATTTTATTTCATTTTATTTTATTTTTAATTTATTTTTCTTTTTGTTTGAATTGTCCTGTTTTTAATTTGAAGGTCTTACTCTTCACTTCCTCCTCGCTGTTGCGTTTCTTGCCTGCAGCGCCACCCGTGGGTCACTGCAGCTCTTCGTCAGATCATCGTGGTGAGAGGTTGGAGAGGTAGGAGGAGGAGGGTACTAACAGCGGAGATTGGAAACCCAGCAGAGTCGGTAGCGGTCTGAAGGAGAGCTGAGGGTTACCTGTTTTTCGTGATCCGTAGATAACAGCAGACACAGATCGGTCCTCACAGCGCCGATGACTCTGCGATGGGACACGCACATTTGTTGTGGGCTGTGCTGCACATCGTCACAGAGCCAGCTCCACCGATGTCTTGCTGTCGATGACCTGCAGCCTGCAGCTCGGACTGTTTAAGTTAAACGGTAGGTTATCGTGATTGGTTTTCCTGTAAAAAACGCATCATTAAAACACGAGCTTTATTATATGAGACCTTCACAGCGTGCATGCAGTTTTTAAATATAGAAGCTTTTGCTTTCACTACAATCAAGTGGCGTTTTTATGTTGTCTAAAGCAAGCAAATTCAGTTCAATCTTCATATTTTCCACCTCAGTCAATCCATGTGCCTCAAAGTCATCTGGATTCAGTGGATTTACTTGTTCTCACTGACACTGTCAAATGTACTCGCAGGCTAGAGGAAGCAGACTGACAGTCCTGATATTTCCACTCGGACCTGGTGATATGAGAGGCTCCAGGAGACGCTGATGGAGCTCCAGGAGTTGGGCTGGCTGTGCCTGGTGGGTCTCTTCCTTGCCTCTTTGCTGATCGTACTGGGATGGCTGCTCCAATACCTGCTGACCGTGCTGCGGCTGTGGAGAGCCAGGAGGGCAGCCAAGAAGGATGGGGATCCTGCATCCTGGAAGCAGCCCCCTTATGGCCAGGCTGGAGGTGTGTGGGGCTTCCTACTGAAGCTCCGCTCAGGCCGGGATGGAAGTCCTGCATCAGAGGCTGGGGTGAAAGGCTTGTTGACCTCTCTTTTCTCCTTCAAATCCTTCAGGGAGCACTTCCAGCGGAGCTGGGTCAAAGCTCTGAATGAGCAGGCCTGCAGGCACGGGGTGAGTTCAACATTTGAGATCTTTAAGCCATGATGTAAAAGAGAGGAGAGGCACAAATGAATAAACATGATGCCAGTGTGTAGAGGAGCACGCCTAAGGTTACTCCACTGAGCAAGGGGCATAAATAGTTAAGCAAGGGTTGATACTGTCAGTGTGCCCATGTGCGCTGCATGGCTGGAAGTGTGTGTAGGCAGAGAGGTGGAGGTGTGGGAGTTGGAGTGTCTAATCAGCAGGAGGATGGGGAGCAGAGGCTTGCATAACAGCTCTGAATCAATGCACATAAGAGCAGAGAGGCAACGGCAGGCAGCATAGACACAGTATGAACACCCACACCTTTTATAAATAGTCTGATACCCTGGACTGCGAGGGGAAACTGATGTGTTTGGTGAAAGTGGGAAGAAGGAGAAGCAAACAGCATTGATTGTCTTACAATTCCTAAAGCTGATAATAAGTAGCAATCAAAAATGACAACTGCGGCAGATGAAATTAAAGTCCGGATGCTTAGTGGTGGTAGTATTTCTAAATAGATGGCTGCATTGCTGTCATTGTGTTGTGGTGTGGAGGAAGGCGTGTTTTCATGTTTCTACATCGAAACCACAACTTCACACTTGGATTGAGCGTTGTCACTACACTATGCCAGTGGCAGTCTAGCACATTTACAAAGCTTACCAGACTCTCCTAAAGGTCTTTCTCCTTTAAAGTACGTCTTTTGATCTGTGTAAATCAAAGTCTGCCGCACAGTCAGACGTTTCCTTTTAAGCACTTGAAGAGGAGACACATCCTCTACCCCCCACCCACGAACTGTGTGAGTGCTGAATGAGATATATGAATTTGGGGGGAGTATAAAGGGGTCAGATCAATGCACAGAGTGAATGTGAACAACAAACAAATCTCTTGAAATAATGAGGGTCAGCTCAGCTCATCTTGACTGACTGGAAGTTCCCACTCTAAGTAAAAGCCTCTGGGAAATAGTCATTTGGTAAAAATTCAAGTTAGTGCTTTGTGTGCGTGTGTGTGTTTGTGTGTGTGGGGGGCGATATTAAGGAAACAAACAGACAGCACTTAGCCACAAAAACTCACTGTTTGTAAGATGGGAAAACCAGTTATATAGACAGAACATATTTCTTTATCTGTAATCTTGTTTCGTCATTTTTAATAATCTATCAAACTAATAACACCAATCCACGTCATCACCCTAAAGATCAAGCAACAGATAGATTAACCCAAATCATAAAAAAAAAAACATTTTTTTTTTCCATTTGAACTTTCAGGGATATTCAGGTATAAAATAGTTAAATCACATGACAGTAATTCACACAGATATTGAAGCTCCTGTGAGGGGTTTTTAACTGGTTGCAAAACAGACTGAAATTCATGTTGATGACTTTTGATGACCTAAAAAAAAGCATACAAGACCATCAACAGTAATAGATACTTTTTCTCTACATTTGATTTTTTTATGACTTGAACCACCAGCAGGGCAGTGTCAGACTAACTGTGTGCTGCAGAAACAGACTATTCCTGACAATACAATTCTATGTCAGAGAGACATTTGCTGTAAAAAGGAGCATGATAAGATTTTTTGTTCGGAACGCTTCTTAAGAACAGAATCAACATAAACCACAGGGGTGCCTAAAATCATCTAAATCCCATGGTTCCTCATGGGAGCTTTAAGTGGGCATATGATTGGGTAATAATTACACAGCAATTTTTATACAATTGTCCAAAGAATTAATTTACTATCCTTTCCTATCCTTCAAATCTTGATCTAAAAGACATATATGAAAGGAAATATATATTGTTTATTTTTGCATATAAACAAAAAGTACAACCAAAAATGTCTCAGCTACCCTCCCCCTGAAGGAAAAACAAGACAACGCAAAAAATACATTAAAGTTCCTGATATGAAGAAAACACATCCATTCTTAAAGAGTAAAGCAGTCACTCGTTGACTGTAAAAAAAAGATTCAGTTGGACAAGCAGAGGAATTTTAAGAGTTTCCAGTCCTTTCAAGCACATTTTGGGATCCTCATTGTGGGATCTCAGTCTCCCTGGTTGTTAAGTTGTGGCTGTTTCTCCTAACCACCGATCAATAGTGGGTCCATTCTCTATACTCTCTAGATGAGTTTTTATTCTGCAATCACTATTCCAAACCAAGCAGCAGTTTTTTGTCACAGTAATTAGCACCTGATGAGGAACCCGTGGTTCTTTGGATGGACCTCAAGAGGCTCAGATTCCCAACATTTTCCAAATGCCTCAAAGAGATGATAGAAGATACTTTTACAGCATGTAGAGAGTTTACTACATGACCAGCAGGGATGTGTTAAATAGTTAAATTTAGGCTTTAATGTATTCTAAAATGGTGACACGGTAGTGAAAAAAATATTTTTTTTTTCCTTGGAGGTATAATCTGGCAAAATGTTTCCTGATAAAGTTACAGATTTGTGGAATGATTAAAAAAATTAAGTAGGAATATCATGAAAAGCTCCAAGGTGGGCAGGTGAGGCATAAATATGAGCATTTATTTCTGCTTATTTTGGCTAATATCTGCTAATAGCTTGTTTTGTTGCCAACAACAAGACTATAACATATTGAAGTATGACTCCTTTATGGTCGCAGGACTAGGGACCAGGGCTAGGGAAGTCTTTTTGCAGACCAGTTGTTATACTGCTGTTTTGGTTGATGAAGGGTACAAGACAAAGCTCGGGATTTGGAAGAGTAGAACCAGCTGCAGTCTTTGTTTTTGACAAATATTTTTATTTACCATGTAGTGGGCAAGAAGAGATAAAACTTATTGTAAAACTGTTATTGTAATAGCATTCATTTTTCCAGCCAAGGAAATTGGAAGTGTTTTCCAGACGTCAATGCTGTTTTTAATTCACAGATTTTTGCAGATTGGAAATATACAAAGGGATGTCATCTGTAAAAAAAAGGATATTAAGTATTCACACCCATGTACATCAGTGGGTGGAATCTGAGGATTTTGATCGTGGCAGCTTTGTTGTTCTATAACAACTGTGAACAGAAATGGGGATAGAGGCCAACCATGGCAGGGTGTTAGATGTTGCTGAAAATGGATGAGAGATATTTGATGTGTGATGATTGAGGCCATTTGGCATAAGTAGATGATCTTGAGCCATTCTATAAAGGAGCATCTAAATCTAAATTTCTAGATAAACTCTTTTTTAAAACATGAAACAGAGCTGCTCTGGCTGTTACTCTGTTTTCTGTCATAATGCTGAGCTTTGCTCCTGCCTTCCTGCTCTAGCTTCATATTTATGACCTCAGAGTGAAGACTGTGACTGTTTCATGCATGTTTTCCCTCACGTGAGTTCATCAGGGTCAAAGGTTTGTCTTTGTAAATTTTCTCTGCATACCTCACTATGTTTGGACATGCAGGTTTGGCGTGCTGGCCTTTTATCTTTTTTCATCAAAGAGGTGGTCATATTTTGGCGGGTCATAAGAAACCAATAAACAGAGTGCTCCTGCTCCTCTTCGGTTGATAGTTTGCCTGCTTACTTATCTCACAGTAGCTCCAGGATGATCCATGATGACTGTCTAATTTTTGGACTCACAATATGTTTTAAAAATCCACCAGCTTTAGGGATTTCTCTTGCAGTAATAAGGTGTGTTGTTTGTTTTTTTTTTCTAATTCTCCAGGCTGGGTGAATACGTCAGTGTTGGCTGAGACAGAGACAAGCTGTGAGAGTCTGTCTGTCCATGTGGTGTTTGGTTTGAGAACTTAGAGTGGAAGCCAAAGCTTTCTAAGCTCACTCATCACAATGAAAAATCTGCGAGTCATTGTGTCTAGGAGTAGTGCAATCTGTTAGTCTAAATGCGTCTGAGGCTTATGCAAATCTCTTCAGAGTTTGTTAATGAATCTTTGAACTTGATAATGATGTAACAAATCACAAAAAGGATTTTTTTTTCTGTCTTTTCTGCAAAGATTTTAAGTCGCACCTTGTAGTTCACCTTTTCCTCTGCCATTTCACCTCCTCCCTAAAAACCTGACAGGTAAAACCTGCTGCGGGGGTTTGTGACTGGTGATAAGTGGCCACAAGCGAGTCACTTCACATTCTTTGTGTCTCGCCTACAGTAAACACCTGTCACCTGCCAGCCATGTTGCCGTGGCCACTTTCCAAACATGCACTAGGATGACCATCCAAACTGTGGTTCAAAACACTCCCGTTCTCCTCTGACCTGCATTTCATGATTGTGTTTCTGCATCAGACCAAACATGAGCTTCCCTGGAGGAACACAGTGCAAATGAAGATACGGCTCCAGTGTCACCATGTGGGGATTAGCAGCAAATCCTTTATAGCATTAACCTAAGTACTTGTGCGGCATTCAAGATTGATGCTGAAAGAGGTCTCAAGATAATTATGTGAAATTCATCTAAATAAAGGCAAATTAATGAGTTAAAGCGATAAACTGGTGTGGCACAACCTGCCACTCGTATTATACAGCCAACATATATATATTTATATACTGTATATATATATTCATGTATACACTGTCCACTAGTACAGACGTGCATTATCAGCAAAGACTTTTATAGAAGTGACTCATTAAATAAGGCTTGAAATAATTACTGTGATAATCATATAATGGTTTGATCAATCTCCCAAACAAAAAAAGGACAAAACTGCTTCATATGCAGGCCTTCAAATGATATTTTTGCTGCTTTTTTATCTCCCATTTAAGTAAATGCCTTGGGATTTCAGGGTTTGATTGAACCAAACAAACAATTCAGTAATATTCTCCCTGCTCTGGAAACTTTTCCTTTTGCAGTTTTCAGGATAAACACCTGATTTTTACACTAATTAAATATTACTGGGAATACTCCCAGTCCTACTGTGCCTTGGTAAGAAAACAAAGAGTGTGTGAAGTATGAAACCACAGAGAGAGAAGCAGGTTAGCTTAGCATAAGGAATGGAAACACGGCGAGATCTGCCCTCAATAGTGGTTGTAACAGGGACAAGGTGCTGCTTTATTTCTCGGATGGAAAGAGGGACATCCTGTAGTTTATTATCATGAAGTTGCTAGGCAACCAGGGGATATCGTAACATGAAGGTGGAATTGATATTTTACTTGTACTTCAAAGAGAATACATGTCCACGTGAGCAATAAATATTAGGTTACTCATTGATGAAGTTATAGATAAAGACCAAGTTTACTATCAGGTAGTTGTAAATTAACAATAACTAATCATTTTGAAACCTGCTGAAGTGATCAAAGAAATGACGAGGGGCCCTTTTGTGCGAATGTGATCCATTGGCATTATTTTTCCACAACACTACACTACTTAATGTTGTGTTTTAAAATTGCTGAAGCTGCAATGAAGTAGTTTTTTCAAAATCACTCCCCTCTCATGAAGGTATGCTCATATAAAACAGACACACTGGTTGAATTGTGCAGCTCAAAGTTTCAGCTTTTATAATAATGATATATAATATTATAATATCTTATTATGGCATTATGCACACACTAATATGGACCCTTTTAATTGTTAATACGGTCTGAACACAGCCTCAGTTTGATGTAATGACTTGCTGTATTGTGAAATTGGTTGGCAAGAAGTTGCATAAAGTGGAATTAGGTTATAAGTCTTAACTAAACACCACATGAGAACTGTAGCCTGCTAGTTTGGGTTAGTGCAGAATCATGTCCAGGCTTGCACATTTTGCTCATCCCACTCATTCTCAGTCAGGCTGTGAGTGAAGCTGTTTACTTTCAGTCAGAACCAGAATTATTTTGGCATTTATCTTTTGCCTAGACCTCAGACTGACAAAATTTTGTACTAATAATCAGATATAACAAATTCATCACAGTAGCTCTTATTTTTTGTAGAACTTTAAGCATGGCTGGGAATTTCTGCTTACTGATATATATTATTGTTTAAATCAATCAAATTAGATCGGAAATGTCAGTGTCTGCTTGTAGTTTTCAGGAGTCTGGATCTGCTACTGGTGTTATTTTGTTTATTGTAGTAGGAAGTGATGTCAAGCTGGACCTCTCTAATACTCACATAAACAACCATGAAAACGTAGCTTCCTTCAAGAGCAGCCCAATCTATCTCACTGAAGTTTGAAATAGACAGATTACAGCATCCTTGTTGCAAAACACATCCTCCTAAGGGGAGCCATGCCCCTGACCCATGAAGTACAAAAAAAAACCCAACTCCAAAAAATGCTGGGGCTGAATCCTGACAGCACATTCAGATGATGTCATGTAAATACTGAGAGCAGCAACAAATGCTGAAGCACAAGCATCTCTGCTTAGGTTTGAAGAGATAAGCTGTTTGTGCAACTGTGGGCTTCAGATTCTTCACTTAGTTGACGGTTTAGTTTTTTTTTTGCACTTGTATGTTAGATAATAATAAAAATAAAGATTTTCCTATATCGGAGAGGTTGTCAGGGCCTCTCTTAAGACTCAGATTAAATGAGACAATAGCAGCCGTAGGGTGAAAAGCAGAGCTGTTGAACACTAGCGATGTGTGGCAGCAGGGATGTTTACAGTTTTAAAGATATAGTGTCTATAGTCTTTGGTTTTAACACTTCATCACAGCTGCTGATATGTGACAATGTCAACAGAAGGGCATCGTTTTGGCGTACCAACACATTACACGCATTCGCTGGTGAATTTGATGGTAGTTTTCACAGAGTAACCAGCTCGCTATATGTCATCAGAATGGCTTAAGTGTATACCTTCAGAGGCTGATGTAGATTCAACACAAGCCATCCCACATCATGATTTATATGCTTTTGTCTCACTCAAACATACAGTAGGTAGCTTAAATAGTGGATTTAAAGATTCATGAGTCCACTCAGCAGCATAAAAAGGACCTTCTGCACTTTTTGACAGTAATTCCATAATGCAGAGGGTTTCATGACTCAGTTGTTTATCCAGTGGAAATATCTGATTGCTGAAGTATTATCGTGGGAGCCGTTGGATGTGATCTTGCCTTGGCAGAAGGAGGTGATATGGAGCTGTTCAGATGTCTGTAGCTGGATTAATTTCTGCGCTGGGCTTTAAGGACTGGGCTGGTTGGCCTCCTCAAACCAGCAAATCATAACAGCATCGTCAGACCCTCTCTTCGCATCTGCAGCTGACAAATGATGCCCAGCCATTGTCTGTGGATCCAGTGGGTGGTAGAGTGGGAGTAATAGAGTATTTGAGTGTGCATCTGCGGGGAAGGAAGCTCCCTGTCCACTCAAGATCTGCAATTATACAGAGCCCGGTGATTAGCAGGAGGGCACAGTTCATTTCTTCCCTCTCTGGCTGCCAGCTGCCGGTAGATGATTAACATCTTGTGATTTTACTCAAGTGGACTCATCTTAACGACAGAGGACGTAAAGCACTCCACTTTTATTTGCTTCAGTCATAGTCATTGATGAAATCCACGAGCCAGGTTTACTTTAAATGACCAAATTTGACTTGAGTCCTCTGGCAGTTATTGAGCTCCTTTGACTCAGCATTTTAAATGGAGACACACACACTCTGTCCATTATCTTCCTGTTAAATGATCCCTGAACACATTGTATATTAAAGTTACAGGAAGTCCCATTGCCCTAAGGGAGTCAATCTGCTGTTGTTTCATTGATCATATTTTACGGAAGTATATTTTTGTACATTTTGTGTTTAATAGATGGGACAGCCGAAGTGAGGTCTAGATGACAACATCTCCATGCTAACATGCTCAGACCGACTCTGCTAAAACGTTATTATTATAGTTTACCTGTTTAACCTATTGACCCAAGTACTTATATTTAACACAATAACATGCCCCACATTGCTAGTATTGGTACAAAACACAACTGTATTTAAGGAGTTTGTGTGGTGAGGCTAACATTTTTCTTTTGAACAACCTGCAAATTAGCAATGGGAGAAAAAATCGATACAGCATAGTATCGTGATATTTTGTCTGGTGATATATCATATTGTCTCACTGAACAAGTATCGATTTTTTCATATTCATTGTTAATATGAAGTCAAATCTATGATAGTGGAAAATTAAAATCGACTGTTTGTCCAGTGAGGTTGGCAGAGGTGACATCATAGAGCAGGAGAAAGTTAGTACAACAAATATATATAAGGTTTGCAAGATGTGCTACATGAAAATAAAATACAGTGTAAATAAGACAAACATAAAGGAAAGACAAATGCTAAATTAGCTAAACAGTTGAAAAATGGTACAAATTGCAATATATGGTATCACAATACTCACTGTGTTGCAAAATGTTAAAAATCACAATATTATCGTATTGTGGCCGAAGTATCGTAATAATATCATATCCTGGGGTCACTGGTGATTCCCACCCCTACTGCAAATGATATTTGACTGCTTTCCTGAAGTAAAAAGAAATTCCACAAATTATAGAGCGAGGCTTATCTTTTTCATCAAGTTTGTACCTTTTTGCAGCCTTAAACAGTGATTCATGCTGCGAAAAGAAAAAAGCATAAGGGAAGAGAAGGGTCATCAAAAGCCACAGGGGGAGTGTATTTCTGGTTGACCCACATGCTTTTCAGACAGCCGGACCCAAAGGGTTGTTGTGACAAACCTGAAGTGACACTGTGGATATCCTCAGGAATGGTCTCTTTCCAGAAATACCTTCATCACACACACTCATACGAACAACCGTGGTTCACAAGGACAAACGTGTGGTTACGCTGCGAGCTTTGCCCTCTCCATGACAAAATGAGCTCTACAGCTTCAGCCAGGATACACAACACCGTAGAGCACCAGATGGCTTTCAAGAGGCCAATGGATGCAAATGTGTGAGTAAGCTGTCCTCTGAGTAGTGAAGAGCAGTGATGGACCAAGCACACTACATCATTGCTTGAGTCTAAGTACAGGCACTTCTGGTCAAATACTACCCCAATATGAGGAAAATTTGTTAAAGACAGTCAAATTATTCGTCAAGATGAAGTGCAGGAGTGTTTGCTTTTAAGAATACTTAAGTAATCAAACTAAAAAATATTATAATGTATTTTAACAGTGCATGAGGGAAAAACCATTCAACTTCATTATGCTCATTTAAATAACATTATTGACGTTTTTAAACTCCCATGGCTGACAGATTTCAAGAGTTGCAATAATAGGAACTATAAGCTGAACAACCAACAATAGAAGAGAAACAGCGGATAAGTTTACAAGCACGGGCAATTTCATTTGAAATGTTCATCTGGAATAAAACCAATTTTTAGTTACATGCCTGGACACGCAGTTGCTGCAGCCGTTGCTGCTGTGGCAACTGCTGTGACAGACTGGGCTGCTAATGAAGGAACCTCAGTCACATGATCTGAGCTTTTTAAAAAGTTATCATATCAGGCCAGATGCAATATGATATAAACATATACGATAGAGAAGTTAACCATATTCGCCTCTTGTTTTTCATGTGGTGCTTTGTAATGAAATATTACTCCTCACCCTAGTTACAATAATCAGTCTACCGCTGCATTTAATTATCAGACTGTTTACATCAACTGAATGACAGCCATGAACAAATGAGTCGTTAGGTTTACATAAGATTTACATAAATGAATGCTATTTAAAAGATTTTTAGTGGGGAGAATATATATATAAAAAAAACACACATCCAAACCATCTATGAGCTCCAATACACCAGAAGTTCAATTCACCAGTTGAGTGACACACCCGCTCTTTGTCAGATTTAGGATTTTCAATCAAACCTCATTTCTTTGACCAAAAGTGACACTTTACCTTTGTGGCCACAAAGCCAGCACCATGGTTGAACTCAGCATACAAATCTGGGATTATAGTTCAGCACAGAAAGTAATTCTCACCGCAAATATTGTCAGCACCAACAGTCAGAAACAACACAGACTTAAATATCTGATGACATAACCTTCCCTCAGGCATGCAAGCGTTTGATTGACACATATTGGGAAGCCTCTACTGCTGTCCTTAAGTAATTTTAAAATATTTGTTTTTTTTTCTTTGTCTTTTCAAAACATGTGTGACATAAATAGATACAAGAGTGTATTGTTAATGCAAAGACAGATTTGGGTGTTCCTGGGTAAAGAATTTGTTATAGTTGATAGCATCTGATAACGTTGTGATGAGGCCCATAACATAGGCTGTATGTAAGTATACGTACATATCTATCACACCACACACACTCCAAATGTCCCCTGTCTATGTTATCTTACATTCTGAAGCAGTTTTCATCTAGTTATACTCCCTTTGCAGAATGTGTGTATCCCAAAAAGTCCTGACATTTAGAAAATTTGCTCGGATCCTTGTGCCATCTCTAATTAGCCTCACTGCAGAGATGCCGATGGTGTTTGACTGCAGTGACACAAACATCGGCAAAGCAACATGTACAAACCGCACACAATCAGCACCACGTGATTATTGGATTCTCTGAAGCCCTCGCGATCTGAAATACATCACATCATATTTGTTCTGCACTCTGGATGTAATGAGCGGCTGGGTGACTGAGCAGTTTTAGAGGCTCCAGCCAACCGAGGTAAACACAGCCGGTTGTACTCCGTGGTCATGTGACTGCAGTGTTGGTCCAGAGAACCTACGTCAGCTTGCAGCATTGCACTTGGCTTCTTGCCCTCCTGGCTGGAACTCACACACATACATATACACACAGCACAAACTTTGTTATATCATCCTCCCACCTCTGCCCTGCCTCCACTGTTGTGTGTGATAGCAATTGGACTTGGACCTAGAGGAACATATGCCCTGACAATAGGGGATTTGTTTTCCTTAGCTTGAGACAGTGAAAGCTATCGTCTGAACAGATCTTCTGGCACGTTCACACTGTGATAGTGGGCCACTGGTGTTGCTACATTACTGGTAAATCTTTCTTACAACTGCTGCTGTAATTCCTGTTGTCAGGGGTCTCCTCCAAGTCTAGCACTCCCACATTTAAAGCTGCCTTGCTGTGAGCATGACTAAGCATAGTTTGATGCAGTCCTGAATCTGATAATGGACACTGAAGGGTGAGGCAGAGACTCAGTGTACCCTTACATTAGCCAGATCCATTCAGGGTAAAAACTTCTGCATTTTAACAGGAGCGCTCAAACTCACATCATGTATTCCCTAGCAGCCCTTGGTCAAACATATGTTGTAACTTTTTTGCCAGTATCTTCAGGCATAATTCAGCTGAGTGCACAAATCCACTGAGCTGCCTGGAGAAAAACCAATGTTGCTTTGCCATTCGTGGAATACACAGGCATGCTTGTAGAAACGGCTGCTTTCCAGTATTCACATACACATTTTGAAGACATTGCAAGTGGCTTTTTACAGATTCAGGTGACAGTGAAAGTTTTCTCAGGAGAGTACAATCCAAAATGTAGTTTCATGACTCTAACACAGAGGAACTACTTAAGTTTCTCTTAAAAATACGAAGAAAAATGTCCCAATCACAGCAATGTGTTTTTTTAAGTTTATACTTGTGATAAGTACAAAAAGTATCATGGCTAACTTGTACGAAAAATCTAGATTTCAGTACTACATTTGTAAATTTATGTGAGTAAAAAACATGAGATCATACAAATTGTCATATTTTTAGGGAAGAGTCATAATGTAAGACTTTAGCCTGTATGTTATACTGAAGGAGAAGATCAAAAGAACAGCTGGCCACCTGAACTGAAATCAGGAACATGGAGTCTCATTTAAAGTCATACCAAACACGAGCTTCACAATTAACTAAAAACTGACATCAGAACCACGTCATTATGAGGATCATAATTCTTCATCAATTGTGTGATAGCTGTGTCTATAATAACGAACATCAGGCCAACAGGAAGCCTGCGCATGATTCAGCAACCTCTGTTTGATAGCTGCAGGCTGTTCTTCTGATATTTCCTATTAAGCTGGTTTTGTCTGTATAGATTGGCCCTGATTTGCCTTGGTCTGCAATAATAACTTCTTTTCACAAAAATATCAGCTTTATTCTTGTAAGATTTCTGCTTTAATCTTTCATTAGTTTTTTCTTGATGTGCCTCTACTCCTTTGTTGTGATCTGGCCCCATGTGTGAAACAAAATTGTTCACTTATAATAAATAAACATATGAAATAAGTACATTGAAAAACTAGGAGTTTATCGCAATAAATAAGAACAAATTTTCTACATAGACAAGCAATCTTTATACACTCATAATGTGCACATTTTGCCTTTAGGATGGAGCTCTGAATGTAATGGCCTTGCATCTCCATCATTTCAATTCAGTCTGATTAAACCCAAGCTGCATATTAACCACCCTCAGATTGATATGTGCCAACTTAACGGTTTTGTTTCTTCATTGCATAACATCAATTATTGTCTGATATCAAGCAAGCTGAGCTTTTAAACATCACTCAATTTTAGCCTCTAAGTTTTGCTCTCATTTATTTGAAAATAAGATCACTTCAGGCCATACAACATTCAAACAGCTCATATCACATCCATGAAGGTTTATTTGTAACCAGCTGATAGAAAATATGACATGCTTTATTTTCTAATCATAGTTGTATTAAAAGGTTATTTGGTGTTGGCAATAATTAAGTTGAGACACCAGATTTCGAATCAGGAAAAAAAGAAATGTCGTTCATCCAATTAATATTCACAACATGCCTCAGTTAATTTGCATTTTATTTAGAATGTACAGCAGCTGTTTCATTTACTGATTGGCCAAAGATTCATGAGGTCTGTAAGGAACTGCTAAGTGTCAGCATGAAAGGCTGTATCACTGCTGTACAAAATCTTTTATGTCTTCCCCAAGTGTCTCCTCTCTTCCTCTTATATAATATTTAGGACATTTGTTCTCCTCCTACGTCTCTTCCAGAGCTCGATCCAGATCACTTTTGACAGCAGTCTCCAGCTAACTGCTGCCTCTGCCATAGATAGTGTGACCTGCACTGACCAATCAGCACACAGAATGGTGAGTAATATTTGTGGTCTATATTCTTTTAACACATGCAGGGATTAACATCGGAGGCAGACATATTAAGTCACTTGTCTGGTAAATTTAAATTGGGGCAAGATACGAAAAAAAAAAGGCTGGCCCAAATTTCTGTGCGGAGTCAATGAGCTGCATGAAGGCATGTTTTAGCTAAAAGGGGATTTATACGCAGCTTCAAATATGATATTCTCACATTGAGGTGCTGAACGCTGATTCTATTTTGCAGGTGTTACACTGTAAATGCTGGGTGGACACTGTGACATTTCCCGTGACCGTCACCCAGCAGTCACCCGCTGCCGTTTCCATGGACACCTATCAGATCACGATTGCACCTACAGTGGCAAAGGTACAAAAGCACACCACCTGGATTTTTGTAATTTGCACATTTGAGGGAAGGCCTCTGAAACAAATGAGGGTGTCAAGCAACATTTGCATTGTCATTCAAATCACATGCAATCCGGTCAACACTGTCATGGTCAATAGATGTGGAATCTTTGATGTTTGACTCATTATGAGAATTTCAGTGATGCATCCATGTACCGATTTAAAAATCCATAAGCTCTAATGCAAGGGATGTACTATTTGAACTCCTTTCACCATTTAGCTTCAAGTGACACTTTGTTTTTCACCAGATAAAGAGCCTTTGCATATTTTGTATCATGAAAGAGTCCCAGCCTTCTGTTCTCCAAATACAAGGCCCTGTCGGTAATAAATTATCAAAAGAAATCAGTTTAGTGACTTATTAATGAGAAGATGCTGCGTATTAAATTCCACGGTATTGCTCTCATAATCAAATGAAATTCCATCCCTGCCTGCCTGTCCAGCCTGTCTCCATTAAGTCTGTGTTTTCTAACCCTGCTTCCTGGGCTCTGCTTCCATCAGGTGGTGGTGTTTCTGGAGGAGATGGCAGATGAGGGTTTGCTAATGTCCTGGACTCTTTCCAAGCAGCCATCATTTACTCTGACTGTGTCCCCGTGTAAGGTGCAGAGACAGGTGAGAACGTCTGATACTGATAGGACAAATATGATATGTCTGTGTCATGCACCCATGTGGTGTCATGTTAGTGACAAACTCTTGAACCGTTCGGAGTTTAAAACCCAAAATCCGAGCACATTCAAAAAGGGAAACACATTATTTAAATGATGTCTGGGACTGATTTCATAAATCTCAGTCAACACGTCATGTTTTGCATGTGAGTCACTCTCCGCCTCATTACACTCCTCATGAGTCATGAAGGAAATGCCGCTCTAAATATGGTTGAATAAACATGCATGCCATGTGATGCCTTTTGTCTGAGACAGCAACAAAGTAAAATGTAGGAAAAAGGAGGATGTTTCACTTCTGCAGAAGAACTCTTGGGGATAATAACTGAGTGTGATAATTCTGTTGTAATTATATTATAACACACAATTCCTGTTTTGAAGTCAACCTAATTAAAAGTATGAAATATTCAGTGTTCAGTCTCCCCTGAAGTGCAAGACTTCTTTAACAAACTAAGACATCAAAGCAGCAGCTCTGCAATTATTTTTTATTTGTTACACTTTGATAATTTTATAATGGCGGTGACATAAAACTGATTAAAAGCCACACTTTACATCATACAAGTCCATATAATTCCATTTCTGCTGCACAAACACATCATCAATGAGTAATAGGCTGCTTGCTGTTTCCCCTAGAGCACAGAGGGAGATGCAGACCTGGACACCATTAAGGGACTAATAGAGGACACTCTGTTCAGCACTCAACCAGCAATGGTCCTCAACCTCAAGACTTGTGTGTCCAATCCACTGGTGAGAAGTATTTGTGTTTTGTATAAAGTGATGTACTGTTACAGATGAAACAGCAGCCGCTTGTTTGTAGCGAGACCTCGGGCCAGTCCATTACGGACTACAGCGGGATGACGCAGCTCAAGGAAGAACATTTCTGATCATTTCTTCATGGAAATGCAATCAGACCGAGACGCTAAGGCAAAAGAACTATCGCGTCTGCAGTGCAAAATGATTAATATGGTGATTATTACTTCAGGAAAATGATAAAGTAATGATCATAAATGTTCTTCCTTGAGCTGCGTCATCCCGCTGTAGTCCGTAATGGACTGGCCCGAGGTCTCACTTCAAACAAGCGGCTGCTGGAAGAGAGTAGGTGAGTTGTGTTTCGTCTCTTTGCTAAAGAAATTGGGCAAAGCTTAAAAGATGTTTGGTGGCTAGTGCTGTGGCTGGGACCCTATATGTACTGTTGATGAAGTTAGGTGCTGTTCTGAGCATTATTTGTGGCTATAGAGTGGCGTTTTGGTTGAGGTTTGTTGATGGCTCCTCAGACTGCTGTATATTGCTATCGTGTGGTCGTTACTAAAGTTGGTATAACTAGAGAAGTAAGTGGTCGGCAACATTCATCTCTCAAGGGGGTGTCTAACTCGATGTTACGGTGGGTTTGACCCTAAATTAATTTTAAGCCGGAATATCCCTTTAAGGTGAATAAGGATTGTTAAGACATTTGTCATTGTTTACTTCTCTAGCGGTGTTTATATTTTATTCACACAAAAGGACAAAAAAGGCGTACAACAGCGCTGGTTAATTTAAGGTCCGTCCATAAGAAATAACCCTGTTAGATAACAATGAAACCATCATCTTGTTATCTTGAAAGAAAATATATCAATTAACACTAAAGGATGTGAACAATGAATTGAACAACTATCATTGATCTTCAAACTAGAACCTTTGAAAACAACTCACTCTTGACTTACTTGGTAGGACTGAATGCTATTTAATAGATCCGATGCTTCAACTAATTTTGCTCTCAAACCCCTTTTCTGCTCCAGGCCCCCATGGACCATCTGTCTGTGGGATTAAACTCAGCACCCCAGAGCATCTTGGTGAGACGACTACTGCTCCGGCAGCTCAGGGCGACCTTAAGTAAAGGTCAGACATTTCCTTCAGCGTCAGATCATTTCCGCCCGGCTCTCTGCTGATTTCAGATGTCTCACTGTGTCTCTGTGTGCTAGCAGGTCAGTGGTCCAGATCAGGAGAGCTGTGCTGTGTACTGAACCTGGACCAGCCCTCCGCTGAGAGGTCGACACACTTTCTGTCAATGCCTAGCAACCCCAACGCCCCGCTGGAATGGAGCGAAGAAATTTCTCTGTAAGATGGATTTTCTGGGTGCTGTTTAAGTGATTTTCAAGATAGAAGCCCTAAAAATACATTATTCCAATTTGAATGAAAAATAGTTACTAATGTCTATTTACTTGGGCAGACTTTAGAAATCAATGGATTTTTGTTCAAAGGCATCATGTTCAGATTTGAAGAGAATAAAAAAGGAAAAATAAAGTTTCAGAAAAAAATGTAATTGATTTGCCTTTATCCTTTAACTCTTCCTTTGTTTCGTCAGGTATCTTCCTTTTTTAATATGAATATTTCTCTTACTTTTACCCATTACTAATCTCACAAACCTTCTCCACTGATTTTATTTGCACCTGCCTGTAACCATTTTAATCGAAGGTCCTCCCTCTGAATAAATAAATGATGTGGACTAAATGTCTGCTGCATTGCAGTGCTTCCCTTTTACATGTTAACGCTTTAACTGAGTTTTTTTTCTTGTGTGTTGCAGGGAGCTGGGCCTAGAGACCAAAGAGCTGAGAGTCAGACTTCTGGAGCGAAATGGCAAAAAAGAACGTAAGACACTGCTGCAAAGCAATCTACTACTGGCTACAGTTCAGAAACCTGATCAGCAGAAATGTTTGGACTGCTTAAGCAGAATCATTGATGCCTTAAATGTGCAGTTGGCAGGCTCTGGTGGTCTTTGTTAGCACTTAGAGACTTATTGAATGTAAGAGAGCCATAGTGAAGTACCCGCTTTAATGCTGTTTTTCTTCATACGATACAACTTTTCTTACCTGGGTAGAATTCCTTCCGGGCTACGCCTCCATCACCCTTGACCTCCGCTGCAAAGTCCCTACTGGACAGCACACGCTGTCGATTGGCCCTGGCCATGGCTTGGCTCCTCATGCTACAGTCACAGCAGAGGTGAGTGAAGAGATGCAGCACATTTCTGTAAAATAATGGAAAACCTCTTTTTAAACCCCTCTCATGCTTTGAAGTGTGCAGTTACATCACAGTTTATTACCTAACAACAAGCAAGCTGGACTCAAACAAAGATTCACTACAAAGGCAGAGGGAGTGTTGTATAACAGCAGCCTATTGTCATGCTGGTGACAGCTGTCTCTGCTGACTTGTTGCTTTTTTGCATATTTTTCAAAGACGGCATTACAGAAACATCTGCCATATCTCTGCAAGCTAACATTTACATTAACACTACCTGTTATCCTATGCATCTCCTGTAAGCTGCTTTAGCTGTGCTGACAGGTCAGCTGAAGTTGTCCCTGCAGGTCAACATGACAATTTATGTAGAGTTCACTCTTATTAAAAGTTAAAAGTGTATCCTTCACTGACATTTTGAAAAACCGACAGCCATGCAGATAATAACAGTATTTTTCATGTTCTCTAGCTTCTGTATGTTGAAACGGAGGAACCTCACATTACCCAAAATGCCCTGCCTCTTCGTCCCTCTCTCACACCTACCAAGAAAGTGGATGTAGATCGAACGATCATGCCCGATGGAACCATCGTCACCACTGTCACAACCGTCCAGTCTAGACTCAAACTGGAACGCAGCCCAGGTTGCTTCAATTGACTTAAGTATAACATTTTGCACAACAGAAGACAAAATCTAAATGTAATTTTATTAACCATGGCATAAAATGCCTGTGATGCCTTCTAGGTGAGTCTCCTTTGCGCTCCCCGTCCAAAGTGGAGGTGACGGAGAAGAAGCCCATCATTCTGTCAGATGCCAAAGGCAGCCCCAACCCCAGCAGTGAGTTCAGACTGGAAGACCAGACGTTGTTTTACATAACAGATGCAAAGTAGGATAAGCAGCAGGCTGCTGTGTAATGTGAGAGGAGAGGAATGCACTTTTTTGCACGCATCGTGTACTCTCTGTGCAGGTACTCCTGGTAAAAACCTTAACGGGGTTCTCACAGGAACCCAGTATCTGCTTATGAGAAGTTAAAGATCAAAATTTGGTCTCATAAAGAGTCCAGGGTGCGCCCTGATAACAATTAGAACGCTTTTAAAGTAGAAGTAGTCATTTTTCAGGTTGATACAAAAGAGGGTGAACTGTACATTTTAAAAATAAATATGCACCACAGACAAAAAAACCTGTAAAGGAAGAGAATATTTTCGATAAAAAAGAAAAAAAGAAATTTTAATTCACATTGTTTATTGGTATAATGCTTATTTATTTACATCTTCGTGTTTTGTTGCTCAGAGAGCAGCCGTCTCTCTAATGGCCTGGATCCTGTTGCAGAGACGGCCATTCGACAGCTGACAGAGTCTGCCACCAAAGCAGCTCGGAAAACACCAACAAAAAGGAGCACGCTGATCATCTCAGGCGTATCAAAGGTCAGAGAAGCATCACTTTGTTAAATGTAGTGGTTCGTCAGCTATATGCCAACATGGCTAAATCAAAAAGAGAAGTAATAAACCATTCTTGTCTGCCTTTTTAGGCGAAAGTAGTCACATTGTTTCATTAGATGCAATTACTTTTATTTGAAACCACTTTTTTCCGTATTTGGTTGCTCTTTTGTAGGATGTCAGTTAATAGCATACCCAGATTTGATGATATCTCATCAAATCTCAGACCACAGTTCCAATCACAGGAGCTATAACAAGAAACCTACTTATAAGGAGTCAGTAATACAATGAGAGGCAGGCGAAATGACATTGAGCTAAATTTAGTCCACAGGCACAGCCTCACATAGGACCACATTATAGCAGAATGAGGGCCCTCTGAACTAATTTTGCCTGTGACACAATAAGTCTACTGGAAATAACCTCTTGGAGAACATCATTTGATTCAGGATCTCTTACTTATCAGGTGCCCCTGTCAAAAGATGACTGTGCAATATCCAGTGGCTACGCCGCAGCCATGGATGCAGCCATGCATGGCAACCATTATGGTGTTGGGCATCATCAGGACCCAGATGAAACCACACCTTCGGACGTGTCTGAGCGTCCATCTGTAGACGATGTGGAGTCAGATACAGGTTCAACTGGTGCCTTGGAAACCCGCAGCCTCAAGGACCATAAAGGTGACTTGGTTTTCTTTTTTTTTTTGTGCTTGGCCTGTACATCCAAATTGATAAATGTGGTGGTATAATCTGATGTGCGTTTCAATTCCCCTTATAATTAAAGTCTGAAGATTCAAGTTCATCTTCTTGATAATGATAATGAATGACTGATTTCAACTTTATTAATAGATGTCAGGCATTTGACAGCAGTTTTCTCAAAGATACACAAAAAAACAAAGGTAAAGCAAAATTTTGGAACAAGTTCTGATGAGGACCTAATGTGTAAAATTTTGCAGCAGCTAAAAATATTTTTAAATAATACATTAAAAAGACAGTATCACATATGATAATGTTAACTTTAATACTAAAGCAACTGTTAAAATTAGGCTGTGAGGTTGTGTAGTAAGTATGTTGCATGGGTGAAGTAAATATGTGATGGATAAATGTACATGCATAGATTTACACACTTTATTGGTGTAATAAAGGCTTTTATTTTAAACAGTTCAGTTTAGTTTTAAAAAGTTCTGGTGTGACATCTTCTGCAGGTCATTTCCTGACTTACTGGAGTGATGCTGCTGCCCTCTAGAGGCCTTTTTTCAACACGCACTTCATGGACCATGCACAGATTTCTGTTCATTTACTTTAATATCAATTTGAGAAGGCAGCCTTCTCATAAAACCATTGAATGTTTTGTAAAAATGATTACAAGGTCTTTTTCAACAAGGTCTTAATACTGCAAACATTACATTTTAAAACAGATTTTTTTCTCTCGACTTCTTTCAGTGAGCTTCCTGCAGAGTGGGACAAAGCTTTGGTTTCGAAGAAGACATCGAGAGAAAGAATCCTGCCTCAGTCAGTCACATGAAGACATCTCCAACATGGGCAATAACTTCACTGCTGCAGCAACCAGCGGCCGTAAAAAGTCTGGCAGCTTCTCCCGGCGTCTCATCAAACGCTTTTCTTTCCGCTCATCAGGCAAATCAAAGGGCAAAGCCACTGCAACCAACGGGGGAGCAAGCTCTCTAGATAACTGATTTTTGTGGTGATCCATACTAAGGCCTCTGTTTTTTGCAAAATGAAGAACAATTTTAGTTGGCAGGTTTACAGTCTTTGACAGGGCGATACCCCAGGAGGGTCAGCACCTGTACACTGTCCGAGGGGACACCTCTGGGAGGGCTTTCCTTGGAAGACAGAGGTCATTGCACTCTCAGGGCAGAACTCATGTTTCTGCTGTACAGTGAGGAGGTCATTGTTGCAATGGCATGTTTTGTGCACAGCTGGAAAATACATTACAGTGGAAGTGATCCACTACTAATGCTGAAAATGCTTTAGCATTATTCAGTGATATATAAATATATATGATACAAATGCCAGTATGATTAGGCTGGCCGCACTTTGGACAGTAAAGGTTTTTTAAACAGCACATATGAAATTCCTAATGGTAATTTATTATTATGTGGTCCGTATGAAATACGTAAATTATATTTATTTTACCCTCCAATAACAAGTCATCAATGTTGCATTGCACTGTAAAATAGAAACCTTGCTGTGTGTTTTTTCAATGCAAATATACTTTGAGAAAAAAAAAAGTCTAAATCTAGCTGTAAGGTCAATTCATGTAAATTGGTTTGAAAATGTTGTTCAGTGTCATATCTTATTTAAGACACAGTAAAATAATATTTTGCTGTACTTTTCTATTTTATAAAAGTACTGTCTGTTGAACATCATAATGCATTTACTTTTAAAACTTTAATCAGGATTTTTATGTGAATAAGCAGGGCAATACTTCTTTTTTTACTTTGACTTTTTTGTGTGTTAAAAGAATTTACCACTTTTCTTGTGGCTCTCGTTGGCCCTTTTTTATTTTTATTAATGCATCAAAACACATTAAGGCTTTAGTGACATTCATTTAGACTTTCATTAGTGCAATAACAATTATAAGCTTGCAGCATGGTCGCATTTATCACAGGCAATGTCTCGCTGAGCTGCAAGCCTTCATTTGCAGAACAGGGTAAACTTATCAAACTCTGCAAAAACTTTGCTGTATTAACATTAAGAAGCATTCCCATATTTTATTTCTTTTACATAAACATAAGTCTTACATTAGTGACAGATGGCTTGAATAGTTCTTTGATATTTTACCTGGTGATGGTTTGAGTGATGAAGAGAGGACAAACTCAGGGTAAGCAGTGAAATGGAAACTAGCAACATAAGTTAAGAGACAACCTGCTGTGTCCGTCAAAGATGCAAAGAATCAGAATGTAAATTGTGTTTTTGGACCCATGTGGTACAGAGAAAATCAAACGCCTGCTTTTGATATGGGACCTCCAACAACCAAAATACTTTAAGTTGTAATATGTATATCAATAAAGGGATCGCAATGAAATAAAGGATAACAGAGGTTGAGCCACTGCTATCAAAAGGACTTGAATGGACCTCCATGCGCTTTAAAACTACAAATCATTCAAAATGCTTATAAAGCCAATTTATTGTCTAAGGGCACGTTATGGACCGTCTATGGCTGGAGTGTGCAACAGAAAACTGCTGTAAGATGTAAGATATGCGTGATTTCAGGTAAGGTATTTGAAATGTAATTTATTGCAAATAAATTATTTTTGGAGCATCACCTCTTTGGCTTGACTGGATGACTTTTGGATATTTTATCTAGGACTAACATGCACTGTCTTGCACCTTAGTAGGCTTTCTTTTATGGGGAAAAGTGCAATGCATGTCTGCTGATTTTATCATTCTCAGAGGCAGCTGCTCAGCTCATTCGAAGAAAATGCTGGCATGGTGTCAGTATACCCCGGTGGACTAATGAAGCAGAATGAAGGTGTTGTGTCTGGTCTGTCCTTGATGTGTAGATGTAGAAGGAGGCTTCGTAACACTGGCTTGCTTGTACAAAGACTACACCAGTATCAGCACTGCAGTTGCTGGGAGAGGACTGCCAATGATGTCCATCTCTCCCAAACCTGAGTTTGTGATCCTGTTATATAGGGTTAGAGGTTTAGGTCCTCCTACATCCTCTCTTTGTCTCTAAGATTTATGTCTTTACCATCTGCTTTACACCTCGCTTACCTGTGACCTGCAGACCCCCAACAGCCAGGATATCTGGACTAGGTACCATAAAAAAGACACATTGCCCACATTCCACAATTTGTTTATCTCAGGCTATCCCTGGGAAATACCTCAAGGCCTTGCATGTTGGTGCAGTACTCCAGATACCACAAAGGCCTCCACATTCAACAATTCACTCACTTTCGTTTTATCCCCACTACAGATTTAAACAAGGCGCCAAAAAGCCAAAGCTGGAGGGAACATGATCGATTGGTTTTACGTTTCCGCCCCTCACTATGTGACCCATTCACAACAAGGACGAAAATCAATAGCCAATCAGCTTTGTTTCTGGGGTAGGGCCAATTGTAATTGGTTCAACATTACAACTGCTCAACTAATGCTCACTGACTTCCGGTTCCCTTTGACCTCTGAAAACCAATGATATTTCGCCATTTTCATTCCACCAACCAACCACGTCCTGGGGCGGGACTTAGCTGTTGTTTTATATCCAGGTCGTGCATCAGCAGCGCTTCACTACACACCTGCGATTTGACTTTTTTCCGTGTGCCACATCAGAACATCAACTACCTACAATGTCTGGAAGAGGCAAGACCGGAGGAAAGGCCCGCGCTAAGGCCAAGACCCGTAGCTCCCGGGCCGGACTGCAGTTCCCCGTGGGCCGTGTTCATCGTCTTCTCCGCAAGGGAAACTACGCTGAGAGAGTGGGCGCCGGAGCTCCCGTGTACCTGGCCGCCGTGCTGGAGTACCTCACCGCTGAGATCCTGGAGTTGGCCGGTAACGCTGCTAGGGACAACAAGAAGACCCGTATCATCCCCCGTCATCTGCAGCTGGCTGTGCGAAACGACGAGGAGCTGAACAAGCTGCTCGGCGGTGTGACCATCGCTCAGGGCGGTGTCCTGCCCAACATCCAGGCCGTCCTGCTGCCCAAGAAGACCGGCCAGTCGGCACCGAGCACCGGCAAGGCGGGAAAGAAGGCCTCCTCTCAGTCCCAGGAGTATTAGCCAGCCGGCTGATAACTTTTACCCCAAAGGCCCTTTTCAGGGCCACCCACCTCATTGAAAGAGCAACCTTCCTGTTCATTGCTGTTCAACTTTTCACGCCATTATTTAATAAATGCGCTTGTTTTGTAAATGTGGTCATCAATGTTTCCTGTTAGCGAGGGTTTCTGAAGCTAACGACACACAAAACTATAAAGACAGACGCCTACTATTTACTAACGTAGTTTTGCGTGAGCTCAATTCTTGACTATCAAAGCTAGTCTTTTCACAAGTCTGAAAATGCAGATGAATTTGTGGCTCGAAGATTAACTTGGCCACACACCTCTGCTCGGGGCTCTTACTGACTAGCACCAGAAACAAGGACCTGAGTTCCCCTCAATCTATGTATTTAGACTCCAGATTCTGGTATAAAGCAATAGCAGCTCAGTTTGATAGTTCTAGAAGAAATTATTTGTGGTGGTAGACATAAAAGCTCTTACACTACATTACACTACTGCTCGCATTGCAGCCCTAATGCTGGAGCCACCCACCACCATGAAGCATAATGCTGTATTCTGAGGTTTTTGTTGAAAAGGTGGGCTTTTCTTCAGGTCTGTGGTCTTTAGATATAAGACTTGCCTGTGTGACAAAACAGGAAAAAGTAGCAGTTAATTGAGGCTCAGCTTAGTTTGGACTTGTCTTTTTGCAGCACTGATGTCACACTGAATGAGTTCACTACCCAGGTGCGTATTAGATAACCAGCTAGTTTTGGGCTCATGTTCATATTTTGAGAGTCAGTCTTCTCAGTTTCTCTCAAACTGTGTCTTGAGGCAAATGTGCCCTGGAAATTGTTGTTGTGGTAGAAGATAACGCCAACGGTTCTTTGAGTGGAGCTCCAGGTGTTTCCTCAGTAAACAACATCTGTGACATACTGCTTGCACATTTATATAGCTGTGTTTAAATCAGCACACCAATTAAATGATCCAAACCCAACTCTATTATTCCCTATTATCATAAATTAGTGGTCATGTGCTCCATAGACATTAATACCTATTTATGTCTATGATGTGCTACACCTTAACCACAAAGAGCTACAAGGTTGTGACACAGCCCACAACCTTAAGCTGTTAAACTTCTGAAAATTTGACAAACCAACCTTACTTTGAGTGGTGGATTTCTGATGTGAATAAACACTGTATACATTTAAATAAACATGTTTTCACTTCACAAGACCACATAAAACCAGACAAATCCATACACAAAAAGTCTCTACCAGGTAGAGGAGAGTGGGGTAAGTTGATCATGGAGTCTGTGAAGGTTTTTTATACATCAATTGTATCTATGAGCTACAACATGAGGTCAAAAACCTAACATAAAAGTCCACCATTTTAGTTTAGAGGACTAATAAATTCATAATAGTAGTTCTGGGGTAAATTGAGCCAGTGGCTCAAGTGAGAAAGTAAGGAAGTCTTATGAGAGGATCAGAGTTTCAGTTCAGATTCTTGAAATGTTTGACTTTTTCTTTTCAAAAATACAGCTGTGAATGTTCTGAATCACTTAAAGACATTCTCATGTTAAAATGGCTATTTACGAAACAGCTTTTTAGCAGTGATATGCAATAATAATAAAAATAATTATTGTACCAGTTGAATAGCATATAAACAGATAAAAATACACATAAATGTGAAAAAGTGACTTATCTAGGGAGAGAGAGGGTGAGGGAAGGCTGGGGTGGCGAGTGGGGGGTAGTACGGATACGGCTCAACTTACCCCACTCTAAAAAAGTGACCACTTTTTTTTTTTGCATGCTTTATTATCAAGACAGTATGGTTTACACTCATTCTGTTGGTTTGCAGGGATGCACAACATCTTGAAATATATGCAGATACACTAGTTAGAGACAAAACTATAATTGCCTTGATGTAGTGATCCAAAATATAAAAGAAATGACTCATCTTACCCCACTTTCCCCCTACATAACTCCAAAACAAGTGTTATCCTCACACCCTGCCAAACAGCCACACAGCTGTGATGAGACGTGTTTACAAACAGATTCAGGAGTTTGGAGTGATATTTAAGTATGACACAAAAAAGCATCAGAATGAGCAACTGGATGAAGGAAGAATTAAATATATGTCATCATGTGTCAGCAAACTCGAGCTGTTGCACTTAGTCGATTTTACCACTACGTGTCGCTACATTCATTCATTTCTGAAACTTAAAGAGACGTGGCATGTTCAGTTTGGCGAATGTTTTAACAGATAACTATTTGGTGAACTCATTAATATTACATATAAATGCTTAACACAATACTAGGTGAGTTATCGCATCAATACTCCCTCTTAGGATTTGAGTAATCACCCCGGCAACGAAGAGTAGCTGGGAAGAGATGGTGTGTTTTTAGCTTCAGTGTCATCGATGGTGCAGAATGACAAGTTTCTCAGCAAGTACCACATTTCTTGCTTAACTCACCTGTAACATTTCCACATGAGGAGAATGTGGAGATATTTTTGTCTGCCTTTGACTGTTTTATTACTGGGAAAAGCAGCATGACGCACCGAGTTTGAACCAAGCCCAGGACAGGCTGAACCAATTACCCAGGCCTTGACAACGTGTCCAACACCAACAGCCAGGCTAAAAATTCCAGCCTGGGAGGAAAATCCTGAGTGTCCTTTGGCTGTGATGACTGTAATTTACTGATTTGCAGTCTGTAAGAGGCTCTAAAATAAGCAGCGTTTTTTCTCTCCAGCTGTTTGGGACAAAGCAAAGTTCAGAAAACAGTGTATGTAATTATATGCATAAATGTTAAGTCACATAGGCTAAATATGGTGTGAGAGAGAGTATGTTTGGGAGTTTTACACAGAGTAAACTTAAAGATACTCTGGGGAACCAATCTGGAATTTTACCCAATCTTGGAAACAGTTTTTCCTCATTTTTGTACAAGATTGAACAAGATATCTCTCAAATGTGGGCCTCTAAGGAGAAGTGACCATGATCACTTGATCTACAAAACAAAACAACTTTAAGACTACCTCACACAACAGAGTAAAAATAGAGAGTTGGTTAAGCCAAATAAATAGGAAAAGAGGCGATGAGCTGGGAGAGAAAAGGGCTGGAAAGAGGGGTGGACCCAGTAGAGAGAGATGCATGTGGATGCACTGAATGTTTCCCCACAGTGGAGTGAGGGACTGACAGCATATTTCCATCCTGGAGGAGACAGAGAGAGAGAAGTGGGAGAGTTCTCACAGGAAAAGTTTGGAGGATGCCTTGTCTCTAATGGTTTTATTCTTTGAACTGCATTATCCCGCAAGACAAGATGCTGATCGGAGCCAGATCTGGTAATAAGAAACAAAAATATTTTCTTGTGTGTGTGTGTGTGTGCGCGCGTGTGTGTGTTGGAGTCAGAGAGTGGGTCAGAACAGGCGATAATGGGGCTATTGTTACAGTTAACACTCATGCTATTCAGTCCATAATGACCCAGTTCTTTCTTACTCTCTATGTAATGTCTGTGAGATTTTCTGTACTTTAATGATGATTTTTCAACACTTGCCTTTGTGCCAGCTCAGTATTCAAAAGGTACATAGTGTAGAGCAAGTTTAAGGAGCAAGTCAAGGTTAATTCATCTATTTACAGAGAAATGGAGATATTTTTCTCTCTTTGAATGGGCACCTTTATACTCTTTAATGAGTGCATGTGTGAGAAATCACTGTCTCAGGACTCATGTTGATTTACCTTAAATTCTCTTGCAGGGTAATGGAGTAATTCCCATAATGACAGAGAGGAGCACATGTGTCTGAGTGAGTATAATTTAACTTAAGTGATAAAAACCCTCTGATGTGATGTGATGTATGTGAAGGATGTGAAAAAGATACACTTAATTATCTTTATGATCACAACTTGCTTTCATGTACATTCCTCTCTCTTCTAAGTGCTGAGAAACAAGTGGGCAGATGTAGAGAGGGTAGCACATCTATTTGGTAGGAGACTGCAGGAGTATCAGCACCCTCCTCTTATTTAATCTCTATTTCTATTTTTATGGTTTTGTGGGCTTGTATCTCATTATAGTGGTTGATCACATGATATGAGCCCGTACTTTCTGTACACTGTGATGACTTTGTTTACCAGGCTGGGATGATGTATGTGTGTTATATCATGTAGCAATCTAAATCAAAATGGCTGTTTAAATGGGTTTCATGTTTACATGCTCTTGGATAGAAGATACATCACAGGATATGTTGAGATTTTGCTGACAATGTTATAAAATGAGATATCTTGTCGTTTAAGTGTAGAGTACAGCCTGATCTGGTGAGTCTGAGCCTAAACAGGTTCCTTATCCTGTGTTTTTCCTCTTCCCTTGAGCATGCTGGTGTGTGGCTATGGCAGGTGTGGGAACTACCCTAGGCACTAGGGCTATTTGTTGAGTCTGGTGGAGTGTTATGAGCCTAAATTGACAAAAATCCCATGGCACTTGATAACCCCGGTGATGAACTGGCTGTTGCTACCTTACACTTATGTTTTCAAGGACATTACAAGTAGGCTAGCTAACTTAGAGAGGTATAAGAACTGATCCTTTTCATCAGAGCTGGGGTAACTCATTCTTATTTTAGATACTTAGCACTTTTTAATGTGAATTCGAAGTTCTACATCAATAAAGACTTATTGTATAAGATTATGATTAGGCTGTCATTATGAGAGTGCACTTCAGCTGAGTTTTTGCTCTAGATGATGACTGCTTGTGTATAACCTGTAAATAGCTCTGTGATCATCCTACTTCAGGGTGATGCTCTGTCTTGTCCGATGTTGAGTCTGTCAGGAATGTGTGTCATGCTCTGTTACATTAACATTACATTTAGGGTTAGAGCAAGGGTCATGTTTTGGTCCATCAAACTAAGCAGAAGAGGCAGAATTCGTGCACAGACTGAGAGGAAGTGCAGATTGGGGTCAGGGCATTGGAGTCAATGTTACCCTGTTCCACCTGACTGCACTTGTACATTCCTCCACCTGTTTACTTTAACATCGTGTCCAGACTTCTTGAACAGACCTGCAGACATCTGCTCAGTACGTCAGGTTGGACGGCAAAGAACTGAGTGTATTGACAAACAGCGCTTCCAGTATGAGTTAAAAACCAGACACATGATTTAAGACCAGTATGAAAACATCACTCAAACTGGCAACTTCTCCAGTGGTGATGAACCCTGAACATCCTCCCACTGCGGCCATAACCTGTTGAGATATAGAGTGAGGTCTATTGTCAAGTCAGGCTTACAATCAAAACCATCCACTGGAAAAACAGAGTCATTCTACTGGCCAGCAACAAAATCAGATGGCAAGTACACATAAAAATCGATCAGTTTGCATGTTTTAGCTCTCAACAGACTGCCCAGTTAAATGTTTTAACTCCACAGCAAAATAAAAGCTGTCTTTTCCATAACCAGATGGTAACAACTAATTGAAACAATACTGCATTTTTTTGTTGAGAGCTAATCCAAAGCACTTGTCCGTGCAGCTTTATACAAATGCCTTTATTCAAATAACTAAGACAAGATTTCTTCAAACGACCACAAAGTTACATTTTTCTCCAAAGTGCCCCAGACTGCAGCTTTTCATATCTTTGTATTAGTGATTATAAAAACTTTGCAGTCTTAGCGTTAATGCTGATTTATCTGTACAAAAGACCATCCTTATTTTAATTAACCAAGATGATTGGATTGTAAGACCTGACAAAATGCAAAGCTGCTTGAACTGTTATTTTTAAGAATCTAGGTATGAAGCAGGTCATCACTGACACACAGATCTTCTTAGTTGGTCTTAATATGAGTATCTTCTTTCTGGTTTACTTAATCTATCTTAAATCACAGTTTGAAGGTTATTCAGCAACTTTTCACCCCCTCAGCTGCAACCTCCACAGCATCACTTACTCCCAAAACCGACCTCACTCTAAGTCCATCTGGTTTCTTCGCTGCCTCTGTTTGTTTGTTTTCCTTGGTGACTTCTCTTCTTCTTCATCATTTCCTCCATCCTCTCTGGCCCACCGACCATGGGAAAAGCCCTGAGAGATCAATAGTGGAGTCTTTCTCCCACTCTCTTTCTCTCTGTCTGTCTCTGGGCCAAATGGTTCCTGTGGGACGCCTGAGAAGATGGCTCACATGTGTGTGAGCGCTTCCTGTGGAGCGTAGTAGCTCCTTATCCCACATTATTGAAGCATCAAGCAAAGAAGACACATTATAATCCAAAGCCCTGAGTCAACATATCAGTTATTGTTGTGTAACTGTTTTCAAGAGTGGAAATACCCCTCACTTTTGTTTGTTACATCAGTGGCACAGAGCTCAGAGCAGGAAGTCAAGAGCACACATGGTCTTTTTCACCTCCTACTCCCACACTATGTTTTATTCCCTCCCTGGATCGGACTCTAAACACCTGCTTAACCAATACACAATTTGGCTGCAGCCTCCTCGGATCTTGTGGTGAGGTCTGTGTGGGTCTTTTAATGAATGGAAATCCAGTAGGAGTGGATAAATCTCAGGAAAAACATCACCAGCACTCTCTCAATACTGACACTTAAAGGGGGAATAAAAAAAGGCCACACCTAAGAGCCAGGAGCAAGTGCAGATGCCGGGTCCCCCACCGCTGCTGCTGCGTGTCGGGGATGTAACTCTGCACCGGGATGAGGGAGGAGAAGGGGCTGGGAGGAGGGAAATAGCAGAGGAGCTCAGTGACTGAATGAAAAAAGCTAAGAGTGAGACATAAACAAGCATGTGGACGCTGCTCTGTGGATTAGATAAACTTCAGGGAAACTCATGGATGGATTTTATCTGGAGGAGTCTGTAAAAGGGAGGAAAAATGGTAAGAGCAACCTGCTTAAAAACTCTTGAATGTGTCTGACAGCGCTGCTTGAAATGTGTTCCATGTTTTTTTTTCATTGTGGTCCTTGGCAAAAATAAGAGCCTCCTTTATTTAACTTATCAAGGGTTGTGCTTTCCTTGTATTTTTCCCAAAGTTCAGTCTGAGCTGAAATCATTTCTCTTTAAGAGTAGCAGTGCAGACTGTGCGGCTGGTGGTGTCTATTTTCAGCAGCTCATGGCAGCTCTGAAGGGCATAACTGCCCCCGTAATGACAGGTTACTGTGCAAGGCCCAGCATTTTCAAGGTTTAAAACTATTCTCCGGATTGGGTGTGTACGTTAAATCACTGAGGCTTGCGGGAGCAGGAGCACATGTGTGTGAGAAGTGTGCGTGTGCATGTGTGTATGTGTAAGTCAGACAGCCAGAGACACACTTCCCTGCCCACTCTACAGCTCTGTGTCTGGTTGCGTGGCTCAAAGAGGGCCAGTGTTGACAGGCCGTGGGCTGACAGCAGAGGCGTGAGGGGTCCAGTGTCAGAGCTGAACAGAGGGGACGGTCTGTTCTCTGTGTCACACGCACACACACTGGACAGGATTGTCAGATATGTGTGGTTTCAGCCGTCTGTGGTGACATCAGACGCAGATAGAACGTCCTGTTGTCTCGGGCCGGTCTAAACTTGGAGCTCAGCAGCTGTGGATGGTTTTTGAAAAGTTTTTTGAGGAGTATTTGTAATGATTGGTGGTGTCAGTTTGACGCAACAAAGTACTGAAGCATTTGTATTTGACAAAACAGGCATGTTGTCGTGTGTCAGAGTTGATGTGATCATTTCCTGAGAAGGAAAAAAACTGAATAAATGAGAAATTACAGGTCAGGAGGTCTTTGTGAAAGACTCAGTGAAAGACTTGAATATAATCTATTGATCAGATTTACACAGCTACTATTGTTTTCTCAGACATGATGCCCAGATTGAAAATAAAAACAGGTTTAATATTCTAATAATGTTTTCACATTGTTGGTTACAAACAAATACTTGTAGTGAGCGTTACATTTCAGTGTTAAAAGGCAGTGTTTTTTTTTTTTTTAGAAAATATTATGTTCACTTGCACAGATGACGAGACTGTTCTCACTTTGTCCACAGGGGGCACTGGAACCAACACAAACCAAATGTTACTCACAGGAGATTTAGCAAACCAGATGGTAATACCATTAGCAGAGAAATGGCACAAAACTAATAAAAGTATTTTAATCTTTCTGATGATGCAGCAGGAAAGGAGTCAATCACATACTAAGGTAGCCTGAACTTGAAATGGATTGTTAAGTGAAATTATGTAACATAACAAATAGGATGTTAGATAGGAATCGGTAAAATGTTAATGTTAGCTTTTGTTAGATGCTCATCAAATACCTTGTTGGAACACATTAGCTATAAAACACAATTTAAGCTACAAAATGGTTGAATGCAAGCCTAATATTTGTCATAAATAAGTAAAAGATTTTTAGAGAACCTTTATTTCTTACTTTGTAAAGGAACAGCTAATATTGGTATTCACTCACTGGATATTACAACCATCATCATGAAAATTAAGCTAAGTTACTATACCTTTTTTTTTTTTTTTGATAGTTTTAAATGATAGCATCATTTATCAATATGTGGTTTAATCAAATCATTTGGTCAGAAATCCTCAATTTATTGCTTAATCACCACTTCTGTAGCTTTCATGGAGTTGAGCGCTAACGTTAGCTGATGTCAAATAGTAGCCGGTGTGTTTTGTGAGTAAATTGTTTGACTTTAAAATAAAGCCCACATTCCGACAAGATACCAGTGTTTATCTCTCAGTAATTTGCTCCAAGTAGTAAAGAGTAAAAAAAAAAAAAAATTAGATAGTCCATATTCACATTTCCCCAAACATGATGTCAGAGGACAATAGCAGCTGTAGAATGTAGAGTTAATTATAAAGATGATGTGGTAGTTCAACTAGGAGTTAATAAATATTTTTAAGCGGCGCACATTCAATACAATGCACAGAGATGTAAAAATGCACACAAAATAACACCTATGTGAACAGACAACACTAACTTAAAAACACACCTAGACCTTGAACAAGGAAATTCAAAAATTGCAGGATATTCTTCTTAATCAGGAACAAAGTGGCAATTTCAAGGCTTGTGTGGACCCAAACCTCCAGATAAACATGATATGGATCATTTTCTTGATATTTTACATGATTTGACACTTTTCCATTACATCCAGAGATCATCCGACCGTTAAAGTGAACAAACCTACTTTGAAATGAAAAACAAAGTCACCAACTGTGTCTAGTCTTCTTACTTTGCACCATAGTAGACAAAACAGAAAGCAGATAGGAAAGAAAGTTGTGTCTGCCTCCATTTTGCTCAGGAATGCTGATACTAAATTGTTTGCAGGACAGCATATGAGCTTCACAAGCTTCTTACAGAAAAAATATGGTGAGTCATCTGTGATGCGTATGTGTCTGTCTGCGATTGTTTGAGGTCTGTCTAGTCCTTGCGGGATGTTCTTTCCTCTCGTCTGATGAGCAGACATCTGGATGTAATCAGTAACATCTGTCTGCTAACATGGAGTGTGTTTGTGTTTGTATGTGAGTTTGTGTGTGTTCGTTTTGTGGATGAGTCACCGTGAGTCATCAGGGTTTCAGGAGGCAGTGATCTGACCCCTGATGTGCAGACACCTGCAGAGCTCATTGATTTAGGCTCAAACACACATCTGCTGTGAGACTTTGATACTAAATGATGCTAACCGTGTTGTCAAATACCAAAATCAGCCACTTTTCTCAGATTAACACACAAATCTGTGCCAGCTTTATGATGGACGGCTTTGTGTGTCTGTTTCTGGTGAGACAATTACCCACTATAATGGTTTGGTCACATGGGCTCAGAAGTGGGGCAGGCTGGTTTCTAAGGAAAGCTCTGTTCCCATTGTAGTACAACTGTAGTAGCAGTATTCCCAGTGCCCCCATTCATACCCTGCTCCTCTCCATCTCTGTATGTGTGTCTCTGCTGCAGGATCTACATGTGTCAGATAAGTCTGACAGTCTGACAGACATGGAGCACATAAGCAGGACGAAAGGGGAACAGGGGCGACAGATGCACCAGGTGTTACAGGTGAGTTGTATCTTACTTAAGGTCCAGAGACCGTGATGTAGGAGGAGAGATTAATGAGAGTGGATGACACAGAGAAAGAAACTGTGACCAGCATTGTAGAAATTTAAGACTGCTTATCACTGCTTGTCACAAAAGTGTCAAAAAATTGTTTTCAATGAATGGATACATCTGCACTTTGAATGTCTTTTAAATTTTTTAAGGTACAAGTACATGTGCAAATTTCACCTCTTAAATGTAAAGATGCTAGAGTGTTAATAATCGCCTTTGTTTTTTGATTCTTTTCCACCCTCCACTTTCCACAATTTAACTCTTAGTACAAAAGTCTGACCCAGCAGGGAATTGTAGTTTTTTTCCATGATTGGAAAAGTATGATAATGTACTAACTTAGATAGCGCTGCAGTGTAGTGTAGTGGATATTACAGTTTAATAGCCCTGCATCAGATCCATATATGCTGTATTGTGTCTAAGTGTCTTTTTTTTTATTCAATCACACAAAAAAGACTAGAAAAATGAAATCCATTCAATAAATGAATCAGCCTTTTGTAAATCTGTTACTATCAGTGATTTCTGGTTTAAAATTCAATCTGTTAAAACTGATGCCAGTCCACAAAGTGTATTAAGTATGTAACTCCAGAGTTTCAGGATCTGCAGAGTTTTTAAATTGATTTTATCTTCCTACAGAGCACTCCTTTGGACCTGATTGAGACTGGCAAGTCTCTGAAAGTCCAGGCAGAGCGCCCTCACCTGGTTAGTTTGGGAAGTGGACGCTTGAGCACGGCTATCACTTTACTACCACTGCAGGAAGGTACAGACCCATGTGTGAGAATGCATTACTTTGGACTGCTTTGTTTGTGTTTTTGCTCATTACCCACGATACCTCTGTACAGACAGCAGTATCTACACTCTATGTTATAGATAGAACATAAAGACGCACCCATCAGCACATTATCCTAAATAACACAGTCGTTCTTTAATCAGTAAGCAGCAGAACTTGTTATTAGCGTTGAATTTACAAAAAGTGATGACACATCCCTTTATAACAATCATGTTGTGACTCAAACTTCACCACACTTGCAATTACACCCTTGTCTGTAATTGTATTCGTCTTGCATCGAGCCAAGACACCCTACAGTAAAAGAGGGTGTGACATTAGCACCTCAGAAGAAAAGTTTCCTGGATATTTTCTTTGTCCTACATCCTCTGTGCCCTCACATGAGAATTACCCGGAGCATGTGTTTCAGCTGGGTTAAACCTCTTGCACTCAGACAGCTATATTAATATAACTGATAATTGAATTACAACATGTTAAATAGCAGTTATATTAATTCACTCTGGCAAGAATCTTCTCATCTGCCAGGCTAAACACATCTCTAACACCTGTCCCGCTACAGTTTATCAGTTCACATGCTGACTGAGTTTGTAACTCCACCCACGTGGCCTTGACCTCTCAGATGACATCTGTAACCTCTGGCTTCAAACAGCAACCCAAGAATACTTCACAAAGTATTCACAGGCCCGCATGGCTAACTGTGGTAACTGACGCTGAGAAAATGTTTTCACTGGTTGCAGGGAGGACCATGCTGGGCAGTGAGGGGACGGATATTCTTCTGCAGGGCCCCGGCATCGCAGAAAGGCACTGCTACATAGAAAACCAAGTAGGCAGCATCACCCTGTACCCATGTGGAAACCAGTGCTCTGTGGATGGGCTTCCCATCTCCAAACCATACCGCCTGACACAAGGTAGCTCAGTTACAGGACTTGTTTACTGCTGTCAGATAAGTGTTGGTGTCAAAGGTGTTTTTAAATAGCACCTTTCATCCATGGAGCTATATTGTACTGGTATTTGGAGAATGATGTGCAATGTGTCAGTGAAAAAATGATTTTGATTGATTAATTGAAGTTTATTTGGAATACGCAAACCAAAAATAAAACAAGAAAAGTAAGGCAAAACATTTAAACATAAAACATAGAAATACATCATCGAAAAGGAGTGAGAAGAAGAATAACTTACGAACTCCCACTCCTTCCCTTTAAATAATAATTACCCACACCAAGCTTTCTTGCAACTTGTTTAGATGTACCTGATACTTATAGATAAATAGAGTACATTCATGACTTTGTATTATTAAAAAAAATCTACATCCACTTAATACAGCACACACATAAAAACAACAAAACAAAATAAAACAAGAAAGAAACAAAAAACCAAAAACAAAACAAAAGAAACAATAACCTCATGACACTTAGTGCTACCCAACGCCTTCCTCATCCCTGTACCTCTTAAAAATAATGTCTTTGTACCTCATTTGTGTCATGTTTGAACATTACTTTAAATCCATGCAAACCCTGTTCTATAGTCTCACCCTACTCACTGAAACACAAAAACCCTTCCTCTTTGTCCGAATTAAAGTTAGATTAAAGTTAATTTTTCCTCTTAAATTACAACATCCCTCACGCATACTGAATAATATCTGTATATTTATTGATAGACGATTATATTTAGCTTTAAACATTATTTGAGCTGTTGGATATTCCACACTATCTGTGAATTTTAACAACTTGGACTGAAGAAATAAGAAGTGTGTGTGTTCCTGATAGCCAACATTGTATATAAATTGTGATTACCATATTAGGTCTTATTGATGTAAAATCATGTTGATGTCCAGTTATGTACTATTCATAGTTTAAATATACTACCATGTTACATACATGAGCTGTTTTGTTGAGTTTGAAATAAATGGGGGTTGATAGTAACATCATCTAGCTTCACAAAAACAAATCAGTCCAGTCTCCTTCCAGTAACATGCCAACATGCCATAAAGCAGGCACAACAGTCCCACCCCCCTCGGTCCCCTCTCTTTGGGATTCAAGCCAGCAGCTACAGCAGAATGTCATTTGAAGTTGATCCACTCGTGTATGTGTGTGTGGAGGCAGCAGCTGCTCAACTTTAGGCTTTGCTTCATTTAAAGGACGGTGATGAAATATTAGATCGATCGACTCTGGACTGAAGGAAACTGCTACATCCCTTTCATAATTGATGCTGTTGTTTGGACCTTTAACCTCACTTTGAAGGATGAAATAAGTGTTAAACTTTCTGAGGAATATCAACAAGTAGACACAAAAGATCAGTGCTACTCTCAGGAAATACTTTAGGTGTTCTTGAAAATTCAGGGAAAGGAGAAGGACTTGGTTTTACATGCTGGTTAATTACATGTGAGTAAAACAAATCAGTTTTAATGTAAGTTTCTCAACACTTGCTTTGTCTCTGCCAACTTGTCAAACTGAACTGTGGTGTTCAAGGCATGATGAAATAACACCTCTAGATTGTTAAGCTCATGATGGACATCTTTCTGTCTTTGTCATCTCCTGTCCTGGCAGGGTGCATGCTGTGTTTCGGTCAGTCTGCTTTTTTCCGCTTCAACCATCCAGAAGAGGCCCTGCGGATGAAGAGCATGCTGCCTGGAGGGAGTCAAGGACTGAGCAACACAAAAAATCATCCTGTTGGTAAAGACCATGCAGCATCAAATTTACTTTTGAACACTTTCTGTGATCCAGTTACAGTAACAAAAAGGCAAACATGTTAAATCTATAATTAATATAAGTCATCTAGAACACGGTGAAAGAAGGTTTCACAGTTTCCGCCTGCTGTTCTTGGCTCAGTAGATGCTTTGGGAGGACACAGTTGGAGCTCCTTAACTTTTGTTGAAATTAAACTAAAAATTTGTCATCTTTTGCGATGAATTAAGAGGCTCTTGCCTGTGGGTGGGAAGGATGATATATTATGATTGAACAAGTTGTCCACTTTGTTTTCTCTGTAAGATATTAACAGATGTTACTCAAATTGTTACTGAGAAGACATTCACTAAAAACAAATGACAACTAATGATTGTGTGACTGTTTTTAAAGTGAAACTTTTCTAAATAGTTATTTTTGTGTCTTTTATTTTGGTTTCTAAAACACAACTGGCGTGGAAGTGTTACTCAAATATTGGTCATCGTCCTTGTCAGGCGGCAAAAATAACTTGCTCTGGACTAATTATCTTTGGCCTACATTGTGATCTAGTTCATTAAAATCTGTGTTCTTCAGTTCAAGGTGTGACCCCGTTTTGACGCGGGCCGTTGTAATCTCTCTTTTTACTGCTGATGATGTTATATAATTCTCACTGGTCGCTTGCTGGGGTTGATATTTAGAATCCATTCTCCTCTGACCTTATGAGTTTGACTACAGTAAGAGCCACCACACCCAGCCGGTGTGTGTACGGCCCACTCTTTCCTGACCAGCCCTGATTTCATCAGCTCTGAATGAGCTACACGGCTGCAGCTTTTATATTTAGCAGCCCCAGATCCCTGCAGGATTATGACACAACTGAGGAGCACTAACATCCCAACTGCTGGGTTTGGTTCATACATGTGGGTTCTGAGACGTTCATCACTATTTAAAGTGGGCCACTGAGACTCAGTGAGTTAGTATGTGCAACAACATGTGGAGGCATGTGTGTTTTCCCTCCTACAGGCCCCCTGCTGTGTGCTGCAGCCCTGACCTGAGGTGAGGGGGGTGTCAGTAGGACAAAGATGACACAGGACTGACAAATCCCTCACACAGTGTTTGTTTATGTGTGTTTTTGCAACTGTCCTCTCAAGTGTCCTCTTCTGTTCTGTTCATGCACAAATGTCTCTGCTCTTTTTTAGACTCCCACAATGTCTTGAATGGGAACCACCAGTTTCCTACAAGCAATGGTGACTCCAAAGTCAACAACATTGCAAAGAACCTGCAGGACTCTTTGGTGATGAAGGTTCCAGGATCAAAACTGCCGATTCGTCAGAACTCTCCTCCGAATATGCTCAATGGGAGACACGGCTCTACGACAGAGGACTCTAGCGGCTTTCGTGGTCACAACCTGGGCAACAAAACCCCGCCAGTGCCTTCCAGGTCCCCTCATACCAACCACACTCCTGTACCCCATCCTCGGAGCTCACTCTCTGTTGCCCCAAGCAGTGCCAGTGGTGGTTTGAGGGCCCAGGAGAGCCCAAAGCTTCTGAGGAATGTAAGAGAAGCCTCATCAAGTCCCACACCAGCCAGCAGGGGGTCAGGACAGGGCACAGAAAACTCTAAGAGACCAAGCCCGGTTAAATTGTCCCCTACAGCTCCATCAAGTCCTCGTGTCAAAGGTTCCTCCCTCCAGAAGAGATCCCCCAGCCCCATGAGAGATCTTGCTCATGTAGATGTCCCTCAAAGGATCAGGACTCCTGAGCCAACCGCTGCTAACAGCCTGAGAAATCTTCCTCCTCACAGCCCTTACACATCCCGCAGAGGGACTCCAGGATCGCAGGGCTCAGCTTTTGTCCCTGATAGCCCTCAGGGCCACCGCAAACTGACTGCTTCCAAAGCAGAAGCCATGAGGGCCATGTACGCCCAGAGTCCAACAGCGCTCTCTGGGCTGGAGAAAGAGCCTGGAGGAAAACAGTTAAGACCTGGTCCAGGGGGAGCCATCATGTCAGGCCTGAATTCATCTCCTTTTTCTAGTCCTGGAAGCCAAAGAAAAAACCCCTGTGCAGCAGGGTCCTCCAGTCGGGACATTGTTAAACCTCGTACCCGGGAACGCAAAAACAGCATCTCTGAGATCAGTGACAATGAGGACGAGCTGCTGGAGTACCACCGCTGGCAGAGAGAGGAGAGGCTGCGGGAACAAGAGATGGAGAAACTGGTGAGTGATCATGTCTCATATATGACTTATGTAACCGAATCTGGATCCTTGTGTGATCTTCACTGAGAGACTTAGCCCTTTAATGCCTTAAACCACAAATTATGGCCAGAAAATTAAATTGTTTTGGAGCTGAAATGTTTTTTTTCACGTACTTATGAAAACCAAAAAAAATCAAAATGTCCTTAAAATTTAACAAATATGTATATTTATCTTGTTCGATACATTAGATGTTTTTGGAAACTGATAAACCACAAGAGGACATTTTTATCACTTATCGGACTGTATTCAGGTGTTTTTTTTTAGTAATTTGTTGATCATGTTAATTTGAAAGAAGTATCATGAAAGTATGTATCAAATATGATACAAAAGGCTTTAAAGGGTTAATGAAGAAAACATTCCCAGCTCAGGTTTGTCCTTAATGGATGTTTGTACACATTTTTAACTTGTAGCTCTGGAATTTGTATAGACTGAACCTGCAGAAACAGACTTTTTTTTTTTTTTTTTACCAAATTAGGAGAAAAACTTTAAAACAAGCTGACAGGTCCAGAGCCACACCTGCATTTTGTGCAAACTGTTATAATCTTTTTTAATGTTTTGTACAACCAACTGACAGAAAGAAACAATAACACTCATGTCGAGCTCTTATGTTCCCTGTTCTCAACGGAGGGAAGAGAAATATCTGTGAGCAAACTTCGCAAAACATGTGGATATGTTCACCAGTTAGTGATGATAATAATAATAATAATAATAATAATAATAATAATAATAATAATAATAATAATAAAACTTTTAACTAATTTTTATAGCACTTTTAAAAACAGAACTTTGCAAAGTGCTTTGACAAAGAGTCATAGAACACCTGGAAAAAGACAAATAAAAACAAAATGCTCTGTTGTGATGGAACAGTGGGAGACACAGCTGGTTTGGCTTTGTCTACAAGAAAAAAAGAAGAGATTTTTATTGGCTGTTATTAACAGATAAATCTCATTGTAGAATCCAGGAGTCACAGTGTACAAATGATAGATTTTTTAGCAGGTTTTTATTTATTTGTTTATTTTATGTGGTTGAAATTGTTTGGGTATTGAGTTGTGGGCTAGTCTTGTTGGTTTTTTTTTTCCATCAGCACAAAAAATGTAAGAAGAAAAGTACACCAGGGTCAACAACTCTCCTGATTTTAAAGGACATAAAATTACTAAAGTGTAGAGGGTGCTGAGACCTCTGGCACTGTAGACACCGTGTCTGCATTCAGATATCTTGTCTAAATCTCCTGGCGCACAGCCACCATCTCATCTCTCCAGAGCATTACTGGCATCGCCGGCCCGTGTGGCCTTGAGTAACGCGGGCTGAACATTCTTCCACGTGTCTTAAGGTCCAGAGTGGAGGGTGCGGCTGCTCAACACTATATTTATCAAAAGGACGAGCGGTTTTTACTTTCTTTGCTGGTCCTGCTTGACTGAAGCTTCCTTCTTATCCAGACCCACAGAGATCATACACTGCATACTTGTTATCCATCCTCAGTCCACACCCACCAGCCCCCACCATACCCCCCCGTTCTCCAGCCCCCACCCCACCGTGTTTCTAACAGCTGAACAGACCAAGAGAGGGGGAGAGGAGGGGGGTAATTCCTGGTCCTCCATGTCCACAGACTATTTCAGGAACCAAAAGGTTTCTTGTAACAAATAAGAGAGTTACCGACAGCATGTGTTCGAGCTGGACTGACGGGAGCTGATACAGTCTGAGTTGAGTCATCCAGCATGTGCAGACAGTGTAAGCAAACACATAAACAGAATATGAACAAAGAACAAACATTTTCTTTGGCTAAGGATCTGTGGAGGAGTGTTTCTGTTTGTAAATCATATCTGGAATTTCCTCTGTCATCTATAGAAAAGTATGATAGCAAACAGCTCCACATGGAAATGCTATTATGTCAAAATAACCCAGCCTTGTAGTCAAACCTACACAAACATACAATTATCCAGATGGATGGAGGAAAACTGAGATTTGTATAGCTTTGGCTGAACTTTCAAAGTTTTCAGTGATTAATGGATATGCTGGTGGTACTTGACAAAAATGTTAAAAATAACAGTAAGGATTAACACATAATTGTAGTAGAATGAAGATATCCAAAATGTTCAACATATAACCCCTGAGAGAGACAGGCTGAATCTTCTCATCTAACTCTTAGCTAGCTCTAAAAGAGACACTTTTATATGATAATCTTTGGACCTATAGATTGGAGACAAAGAGAGGATTTCCCCTCCATGAGCTGAATGCTCTACACTTGGCACACTGCAGCACTTTATCTCACTTAAAGTAAAGGGCAAAGCTACTGTAGGGCGGAAGAGATAATGGAAAAGTTCACTGTAGTTTTGGTTTCACTGGAAAGAGGCCAAACTACTGGCTGCATTGAAGGGGTTTTGTTTTATCAGAGGTATTTTTGTGGGGGTTCATGAAGGAAAACCTTTTGTTTTTCAAATGCTACAACTTGATTATTTATCTGGTAGAGAAACTTTTGTGAGAAATTCTGTTCTGTGTGCAAAGTTAAGCGAGAATGGTATGTTTAAGTATTTCAGACGTTAGCAGGAGAGTGAATTAGTATGATCATAATCCTTTAATGCCCTTTGTATCATATTTGATACATACTTTTATGATACTTCTATCAAAACAATATGATCAACAAATTACTAAAAAAACAAACAAACAAAAAAAAAACCCACCTGAATATGGTCTGATAAATGATAAAAATGTCCTCTTCTGGTTTGTCAGTTTCCAAAAACATAAAATGTATCAAATGCGATAAATAAACAAATTTTAAGGACATTTTGATTTTTTTGGTGTTCACTAGGGAATGAAATAAACATTTCAGCTCCAAAAAAATTGAATTTTCTGGCCATTATTTGTGGTTTCAGGCATTAAAGGGCTAAAAATTATCCTTCATTTGAATTATTTACAAATATCTGTTTCATCATTACGCCTTTATTTTACTCTGCATGCCCATCAGTTCACCAATCGGTTTAAAGAGGTAGTATTGTGCTTTTTTCATATTTAGAAAACAAATGTTAAGTTAAAATCAGTCAGTTCTACACATAAGCAAAATTCCAGATTGCAGGTAAAAGTGTGCGATCCCTGATGGAACTACAGGGTGCTCTAAATGGCCTGTTCAAAAAGTCACACGAGAATTCAGCGAGATCTATATGAGATTTGCTCAAATCGTGACAGCATCAGACAGTGAATCTCCTTAAAAAGACAAATTTGTAATTTTATGATAATAAAACAAAACTTTGGGGTTGACATTAGGGTTTTTAAAGACAGCAGCCTGAAGTATGTTGAGAGTTTGTTGAACTGTAAATCATGTAAATCATGCTGAGAAGCTTTTAGAGGAACGATATTAAGACGGAAGTATCAGGATCATACTTCCTCTTTAATGTAGAGTAATTTTTGTTACCATCTCTGTTGTATTTTACAGCATGAATGTAACAAAAAAAAATTACACACTGTCTCAGACGTAAATTTTACAGTACAAGCCGATGACAGAGTTGGTTCGGTTATTTTAACAGGCTGAGTAAATTGAATACCAGACAGCAGCAAGTGAGTGAGTGGTTCTGGAAAGAGCTCTGCAGCACATTCGTGAGGCGCAATTGTTTCTCGTCTTGCCAGATTTCTACTTACTGTCACACATTATTCATGGTTATTTTTGGATGATGAAAGCAGAAAGTCCATTATTTCGATTAACTGGAAAGACTTTCTGGCCACAAGCTGGAGTCATCTGGCACTTAACCCAAGAATTACACGACACAATGAAGGAAAGTTAAAGAATGAGGATCTTGTAAAAGAGACGAATCAAACCACGCCTTATTAAAAAGTTTGCACAAACAGCTCTCGAGCTGATAAATTTTACTATGAGCCCCCTCATGAGAGACAAACTACATCAGCTCCTCTCCTGCTATCAGGTTACACTCGTCCCGTGACAGTATGTGAGGGACAGCTGCCTAAATGGGACAATGTCAGTCAAGGACACATGAAGCCAATCTGCAATATGATCCTTAATACACGACAGCATGCTTTTGTCTCCTGTATGTCTCCTCTATAGGAGCGACAGAGGCTGGAGACCATCCTGAACCTGTGTGCGGAGTATAACCACGGGGACAGTGCTACAGAGCTGGCAGAGGTGGTAAGGAGTGGGCTGCTGGGAGGAACCTCCTCAGAAACAGCAGGGGAGATGTTGCTTCAGGAATTAGACGGACCCCAGAGAGAGAACGACGAGGAAACACAGAGAGAGGAGTCCAGCAGCACAGAGAGTGCACACCAAGAGGTAACACATACAGTTTTGTAAGAAGATTATTTTTTGGGAACAAGTTTTTTATATATATTTAAAATTTTCTCCAGTGTGAAGAGATGTTCGCCGGTCAGGAGCAGACCTACCTGGAGGAGGAGAGAAACCGGATTTTGGGCCGGGTTGATGATTTAAAGCAGCGAGTCAGTGAACTGGAGCAGCAGCTACAAGAGACCAAACAGGAGGTAGAAGCTCATCCCATCTTTGAGTATTTATTTAGCTGGAGAGTGCCTTGTGGTTTGCAAACCCTGACCCCTTTATTTGTCTGTAGGTGGAGATGGAGCAGGCCCTGCTGCACGCAGAGAAACAGGCAGAACAGGAGCAGGTGGACGCTGAAAATGAAATCATCTCTCAGCTGCAGCTCAAACTGAGCCAGCTGGACAAGGCCACCCAGAAAGAGAAGGACAAGGTGGGCAGCCGGCCTGGGACAAAACTATGTGATACTGTAAATGCTGTCAGTCTGCTGCCTTTGCACGTGTTGGATGTTTTCCTAAACATCTGTGTATGAATATGTGAAAACTCCCTCCCTCCTGAATGTGCAACATTGTTGACATGTGTACACTCTTTTTAAAGAAGACCTGAACTGACCTGCACTGCTTATTTATTGACTCTCTGTCCTAAAACACAAAACACAACTGTCTCCTCTTTCAGGTTCCCAAAAGCCTCTTGGGTTTAAAAATGTGTGTTAGGCTTTAAGCTGGGTGTGACGTGCAATGAAATGTTGAGTCAGTCATTCATGTAACTCACAATTTTCTCAGTTTTTAACCTGACTAATTACTCAAAGCTCTGTAACCCCTAACCCTCTTCATGACCTTTCCTCAGCTTCAGTCCTTTAATTCTCTAACTGTTCTGGTCTGATGACTTTAAAGCTTGGCTGCATGGATTTTGAGTTGTCTGTGAATTTTTTTTTTGTTCTCCCTCCATTGGTGTGTATGTTTGTGTGACTGTGGACAAACTTGCGTGGATGTGTGTGTGTCTGTGTGTTTTTAGGGGAGGGCTAATGTGTCGGCTGAGCGGAAGGCCCTGGAAAAGCAGAGGAATGAGTACAATGAGCTGAAGAGGCAGTTTGATAAGTGCCCCTTGTCTCAAAGGGAACAGTTACAGGAGCAGCTCAGCAGGGTCAGTGTTCTCACGCAGCCCACAGGCTGGCAACAGTGAGTTATAATATACCAGATACCACCGTGCTGTATGATCTGCACAGAAGGCCACAGATGTAACACTGACTCTGTTTAGAAGCACTCAGAGCAACTCTTAATTCTGCAGACTGTGCATTTCCTCTTTTTCTGCTCTTGCTCTTTATCATCTCATCACATAAGAACCATCACATAGGTGCCATCTGTTAGCTTGACGACGCTTCTGCAGCTTTTTCAGACTGCTGCTTTTCCCCTGCAGTTCCATTTTTTTCTGGATGCAATTTGTAGAAACTAATCTCATTAACAGCTTTGCTCTAAAAGTCAGCATGCCTTTTACAATTCATGATTCAAGTCACATTTGACACACCTAGACCTTTTTGGGCAGATCATTGTTAGATTTGAGCTTCTTTATCAGGGACATTATTGGAAAATGTCTGTTTCTGTCTTGCAAACATGTCCCATGAAAACAACCAAAACAAACAGGGCATCAGTCGGTCTCTAAACATGGCTACACCAGAACGTTTTGACCTTTTATACAGGCTAGAAGTCTTAACGGAAAATCAGAGTACCCTTGTCTTAACCCTCCTCCTGTGTTAGGGTCTGTCTGAAGAACCACTTTAATTAGTGTATTTGCATCAAGACTTTTTGACTTTGTCAGGAACCTCTATTTGAGTGACGACAAAAAACATGTAAATTGACTAAATTAAAAAATGCTCTCATTAAAATTATGGCACTTGCCATGTTAGGGTTGCTGTTGACCCGGTTAGATCAATATCTAATAATTAGAGCAAAAACTGAAATCTTAAGTGCACTGCCAGGCACCACACTGACAGTCAGATCCTCTTCCAATCATGTGAGATTTAGGAAATTCTAATTTTTTCATGTTTTTCTCTGCACAAAAAACAACGTTGGGCATGTCCTGACATGTCCTGACATGTGAGATCAAATCAGTATAGATGTCTGTATGAGGGGTATACTGACAAAGAACACAACAAAAACTATTACAAGCAATATTGTCATGGATAATGAAGCCTAACAAGGTAACCTAGAGATGAGAACCAAATTGGATGATAGAGAATTTTTTTAGTGTAATTTGCAGCTGATTTAAGACACGAGTCAAAACCGACCCTTAACATGGTGGGTGCGTAGTAAAGTTAATACAGGAGGAGGATTAAGCACATGCTCCTCATACAGGAGAAAACAGTGCATATGTTCTGTACTATTTCTGAAAGCTGATGATAGGGAAATACTATCAAGCTTAAGAGAGTTAATCGTTTTAAGTTCTGGTCTTTTCTTGGGATTCTGTTGACAGTTAGAAAACAATGAAATATTCATTCTTCTTTTGTCGCTGTTTGAATGACGCATCTGTCTATCTGGATGTAGAAAGCTGAAGCTCTGGAATCTGGGACCAAACAGTTTGAGGAGCTGGAGTTTTGCCAGCTGGAAGCAGAGAGCAGTCTGGAGGAGAAGAAAGAGACTCAGAGCTCACAGCTTCTCCAGGAGAGAGCTGAGTACCACTGCAGCGTAGCAAAAAGAAAGGTGAGTGCACAGGTGATGCAAAATGCATCATTTTGGGTCAATTCTGGTCATCGATATGAGACTGTATGGCTTGAAGAAATTAGACTTGTTTATTTGCAGGAGAAGATGGGTGCCCTAGAAGCTCAGGTAATGCAGCTGGGGTTACAAGCAGCTCAAGACTGTGACAGGATGGCAAAAGACAGAGCAGTGACTCTACAGCTGTTATACAAGGTTAGCACACCAACACAGTGAATGAACATAGCATTAAAGGGATATTCCGGCATAAAATTAATTTAGGGTCAAACACACTGTAACACCAAGTTGGTCTGTTGGTCTGAGGGGCAAAGCAAAAAAGATATTTGGTGGCTAGTACTATGGCTGGGACCCTATATGCACTGTTGATGAAGTTAGGTGCTGTTCTGAGTATTATTTGTGGCTATAGAGTGGCGTTTTGGTTGAGGTTTGTTTATGGCTCCTCAGACCACTGTGTATTGCTATCGTGCGGTCGTTACTCAAGTTGGTATAACTAGAGAAGCAAGCGGTTGGCAACATTCATCTCTCGAGGGGGTGTCTAACTCAGTGTTACGGTGTGTTTGACCCTAAATTATTTTAAGCCGGAATATCCCTTTAATTGTTAATTCAACTAATCATGAAACTACAGCAATGATATCCATGCTGGCTAAACTTTTCAGGAGCAAGACAGGCTGAGTGCCCTGGAGAAGAGGTACCATACCTTGACAGGAGGGAAAAGCTTCCCTAAACACAACAGTAACATGAAAGAGGTGAGCAGGATCATGTGATACGTGACGCCACAACTGTCTGTGGTTACTGAGTTGAGAAAGGCTTGCTGCTTTTTTGAGACTGAGATGAAATTTTCAAACAGGAGTTGCTTCACATCAGTGAGCCTGACCTTGCTTTTGTGGATGGTAGCCCCTGTCCTTCCTCTGCCTCCTTCTCCTCCTCTCACATCCCCTCCCCTGAACTCTGTCCTGTTAGACCACAAGAGGTAAACTCCAACAAAATGCTTCCTTGAACAAAGCTTCAGAAAAAAATACTAACTTGTATGCTGTAGTGTTTGCTTTTCTCTTTGTTTTTTTGTTTTATTTTATTTTATTTTGTTGGCAAGTATATTGTCCAGATTTTGTGGTCTACTCTCTCTAACTGAAGTACACAGCAGCATTTTTCTCAAGAGGAAGCTCAAATGCTCTAAAAATGTCAAACCGCTCAAATCCATGTTTTGAAGTCGTGGAGACAGGGGATACAAGAATAATGACCGATTTACCGTTTTACTGATTCTTAAAGGTTTCTGAACAAAGTATAATTAAATTGTACTTTGCATGGTGAGCAATAAATTTAGGTTGCCACCGACGATCAAAGAGCTTCGGCTGCTGATAGTGGATAAAGGTGAAGCCAGTCAGCAAGCACAAAAAAAAAAACTGGAGTTCTTCAAAGTACCAAGAACCAAGAACTCTTCTTATTGAAATGCCTATTTTTAAAGTGGGGTTTGACATGCTTAGGGTTGGGGGGGGGGGTTTCTAAACTCATCTTTTTTAGATTGCTAAAAAAATCGTAGATCTATGTATGATCAGGCATGATTTGTGGCGTAGCCTGTTTGACTGACAGGTGGGCGTGTTTTAGCAGTTGCAGGCTGTTAAGCCATGGCCTCAACTTGACTGGAGTCAGCATTTCCAATATGACAAGTACCATCTAGAAGAACTAGGACTAGGCTCCTGCAAATTGATGGACCCCCGCCCAGGGTAAAGTAAAGCACAGCTGTGTTATAAAAACAGCAAACCTCTGATCTATATTCCTTTCAGAGTTTAGATTTTTTTCCCTAAAAGACACAAAAGTTCAAGATCTATTTATATGATATCATCATTTTTTAAATAAGCAGACCAATCATCAAAATATGTCATTTGTACCAACTAAACAATGTCATTTCATCATAAAAGCAGGTTATTTGATTTTTCACTTTATTCTCTGCAGCCACCACCCTCTAACAGGGAACCAGTGCACAGGTCTCTTCAGGGAGATCTGTGTAAAGGGGCCCTGTTACTGTGAATGTACTGTACATGTATGCGAAGAAAAGGACACAGATAAGACAAAAAGATTAATTCAGTAGCCATTGTCATGTAAATTAATAGAAGATCAGTTATTGCTAGTTTTGATATTTACCATTGAACTCTCTGCATGAATCTACGTCTTCTTGGTTTGTACAGGCGATGCAGCTCATTGTAATCGGTCATTTCTATGAAAAACTACCTACTCCAGCAGATACACTGGATGAAATTATAATATTTTCATAGCACTGTAATAGGATAAAGTGGAGCCAGCACTTTGAAATGGCTCTTATGATAGGGCTCTGTTAGTGTAAATGAGTAACACATACAAACATTAGCTCAAGACAAAAACAATGAAACAGTAAAGATGATTTATTAGACTTTCTTAATGATCTTATTTGAACTCTTTAAACACCATTAAAATATTTCCTGAAAAAATCATGTCAAAGGATGAGCCAAAATTACTGAGAGTATTTTCCAAACACAACATAAGAGTATTTGAGCTTCCTTAGTGTGACTGCCTATTCACTTCAAAAACAGAGGGTTAGCCAGCTCCATAAATATTAGCTCTGCATGGCTTTTCTAAGCACTGAATCGTCTTTCTTCTTGTTTCTGTGTTTGGCTGTCGGTGCAGGAGTACCTCAGGCTCTCTGATGTCTATAAGATGTATGGAAATGCTGCTCTGCAACCTCACTCCTCTCCCTCTGCTGCTCTCCACTGCCTGTCCCTCACTGTAGCTCCAACGCTGCCATGTGAGGTAGAAACTCTGCCTGCTCTCTCTGATGTGTTTCTTTACTCTTTAAATCCCTGAAAATATCTCATAATGTTTTTTTTCTTAAAGACACCCTTTCTTTCCTAATCTGTTTTCTCTCTCTGTGTATTTTGTGAACGTGTCTTGTTTTTGTGTTTGAAGGATTACATCACAGTTAGTCAGTTAAGTCAGATCTTTGGGATGCAGAGACTCGACCCCTCCTCTTCCTCCTCTACTCCATCATTCCAACTTGCTTCTTCTCAGTCTACCTTCTCATGCCACTCTGCTGCATGTGGTCCTCCCTCCTTTCTGTCTGCAAAGGTTAGTTCTGGGTCACCAGTTTTCTGGTTACACCACCACTACAGCTCAATTTTTCTGTCATGTTTATCTTTTCTGTCTACTTGATGCTTCTGGCACGTATTTCTTCTCCTGTATTGCTCCCCTCTCTTTGCCTGAATGCTTTTTATCACCTCAGAGCCAGCCTGAGCTGAGCAGAAATGTAATTCCTCCGCTTAACCTCGAGCGCTGGTACCAGGACATCATGGCTGCTGGAGAGCCTCAGTCATGTCCTCCACCTCTGCCTGCAAAGACTTTTTCCACACGCAGACAGGGGCAGGTATAATCTTCGCTTTTACTTGCTCAAATGCACTCTCAAATACTCTCAAGCTTCTTGTGGTCTTCTTGCTTTCTACCCAATCTACCTGCAACCACATTTTTATGACTATGAGGTCCTCTAGTGGAGAAAATAAAACATTGTTACCACAGATTTATCATGGAAAAACGGTACAAAATGTTAATACAAACTATACCAAGCTGTTTGAACAATTTTAAAACCGTCTGTCACAGATAAATGCTGAATTAAGTCATATCTTTCTCTGTGGTATTTGGCTTTTTCTCCAAGATGAACTGTAAAAGAGGTCCATCTTCTGTATTTGGAACCACATATCATCTCTCTCTCTCTCTCTCTTTTCCATGAATAAAAAAACACATTGAACCAATTATTGTTCTCCTCTCAGCTATTAAAGTCCAAGTCTGATGGTGAAGTTGGACAGGCAGCATTGTGCAGCGCTGCAGCTCTACCACAATCCAGCGGTCCTGCTCATGAGAGGAGTGCATCAAGCAAAGTGAGCACATCAGTTTAAAAGATTATAGTGGTTTTAGAAAACCTGCTAAGGAGTTGGATGAATTGTATTTTACATGTGTTTTTAGGGGCTGCAGTTGATGCTGAGAGAGATGTCAAACCCATTAGATATGGAGTCAAGGAGGCAGTTTGTCATGCAGAATAAAGGTACGAAAATCCCTCAATACTCGATCTGTTAGTCATAACAATAAGGGTTTCACTTCTTCATCAGTGTGTTTCTTTAAAGGTGATCAGAAATTGCAAATTTAAAAAAAATCCATTTTACTTTTCTAAATATTATTATTTATTTGTTGTTGCCTGATAGGAGTGCTTAAAGAAACAGGGAATGACATGCATCAAAGCATGTTATTTTTTTTCCAAAGAAAAATGTCATAGCATCAACTTTAACCAGATGTAGACTCCTTTATATAAATGTCTATGTGTCTATTTATCTATATGAGTATCTTAAATAGACCAGAGCTTTAGATGGGACTTCATACGACACGACAAACTAAAAGTCCCTCATAGTGGTTTCAAATGTATCAATCAATCAATCAATCAAACTTTATTTATATAGCACCTTTCATGCTTTTAAGCTGCAACACAAAGTGCTTTACAAAGAGGTAAAAACAAACAACGTTAAAAAAAGAAAAAACAAAACAAACAACAGTAAATATAGGGCACTTAAATAGGCATAAAACCCGTCCCTTCCCACCCACAGCAGCATATACAGGCATGCACAGCAGCCCACCCCACACACACATACACGCACACACGTATCCACACACCCACACAGTAACTGTCAGTAAAAACATGGCAAGGCACTGATGATTCTGGTAAGGAAAGACCACCTATGGGAGCCGTCCACACCGAGAGGAGCCACAGCCCACCCCCACAGGGAGCACCGCCCCCGAGACCCCCCGACCCAGACAGCCCGTCTGGGCCTGGACGATCCCAAGGACCGCGCCCCCCGGGGGCGGACCAGACATACCTCCCAGTGTGGAGGGCCCCCACGAGGAAACTCTGGAGCTAAAAAGACTAGGGCATAGAAGGAATTAAAATAATATTAAAATATCTTAATGATGTAAAAATGTGATAAAAGTAAAGGATAAAATAAACTAAAACCGAATTAGAATAATGTTAGAATATCTAAGTGACATAAAAATGTGATAAAAGTAAAGGATAAAATAAACTAAAACAGTTAAATCAGCTAAAAGCCAAACTAAAAAGGTGGGTCTTGAGCCTCCTTTTAAAAACATCAACAGTCTCTGCGGTCCTGATGTTCTCTGGCAGGCTGTTCCATAACTTTGGGCCATAATGGCTGAAGGCAGCCTCTCCGTGAGTTTTGGTTTTTGTATGAGGAACAACTAAAAGGCCGGCGCCAGAGGACCTCAGGGTACGCGAGGGTTGATAAGATAAAAGCAGTTCAGATAAATAAGATGGGCCAAGACCATTAAGACACTTAAAAACTACTAAAAGAACCTTGAAATCGATCCTGAAACACACGGGGAGCCAGTGCAGGGATTTTAAAACCGGTGTAATGTGCTCCCGCCCTCTGGTCCTCGTCAGCACACGTGCTGCAGAATTTTGTAGCAGTTGTAACATGTGGGTGGTCTTTTTGGGAAGACCAGAGAGCAGGGCATTACAGTAATCTAAACGACTAGAAATAAAAGCATGCATCAGCACCTCCGTGTTGGCCTGAGAGAGAAACGGGCGGACTCTGGCTATATTCTTAAGATGGTAAAAACCTATCTTTGTTATGTTCTTGATATGTGTAATAAAATTCAGCTCAGAGTCAAAAATTACGCCCAGATTCTTAACAGATTGAGCAGGTTTAAAATCTTGTAGTTTTGGTAAAAGTTTCTCTCTCTTGCCTTCAGGACCAATAATTAAAACTTCTGTTTTGTCCTGGTTGAGCTGTAGGAAATTCTCTGCCATCCATGACTTGATATCTAAAATGCAGTTAAAAAGGGCATCAATAGGCCCTGTGTCCTCAGGAGACACGGCAATGTACAACTGTGTATCGTCAGCGTAACTATGGAAGCTGATGCCGTGTCTCCTGATGACGTCCCCAGGGGGAAGCATATAGAGATTAAAAAGTATTGGACCTAAAATTGACCCTTGGGGCACCCCACACTTAATTTCATGAGTTTTTGAGGAACAGGTATCCATACTTACAAAGAAGGATCGTTCCGAGAGATAAGAAATGAACCAGTTAAAAACAGTCCCAGAGAGGCCCACCAGGTGCCTGAGTCTGCTTAATAAAATCTGGTGATCTACTGTGTCAAAGGCAGCGCTTAGATCCAGTAGTACCAGAACTGTGAGTTTCTGTTTATCGGCATTACACCTGATATCATTTAAAATCTTTAAAAGGGCTGTCTCGGTACTGTGGTTCATCCTAAAACCGGATTGATACTTCTCTAAGATATTATTACTTTTTAAGAAATAATTTACTTGGTTAAAAACCAGTCTTTCTAAGATTTTACTTAAAAACGGTAAGTTGGATATGGGTCGATAATTATTAAAAACATCAGTATCCAAATTTCTCTTCTTCAGAAGGGGCCTCACCACCGCCGTTTTAAAGGCAGTGGGGAAGACCCCTGTCTGAAGAGAGCAATTTACTATGGTTAAAATCTGTTCCTCAAAAAATTCGTAAAATGTTTTTAAAAATGATGTGGGAATCGGATCTAAAAGGCAGGTAGTTGGGTTTGCTTGGGAGAAAACTCGACCAAGTGTCCTTGCGTCAACCAGGGCAAAACTCTCCAGTGTTTCCTCAGGTAAAATCAGCTGTTCAGATGTGTTGGAAATCACATTCTGATGAGTTAAAAGACTGGATCTAATATCATCAATTTTGCTCCCGAAGTGGTCTGCAAAGTCCTCACAGAGGGCGTCTGTGGGGGTCTTAAAAGATTTTTTAAAATGGGAGTTTGTTAAGAGGTCGATGGTGGAAAAGAGGAATTTGGAATTGTTTTTATGGTCTGTGATGAGTTTTGAGAAGTGGGCTGTTCTTGCCTTTTTTACTGCATTGTTGTATTTTTTGAGTGAGTCCTGTAGTATTTCGAGGTGAACTGTTAATTTGGTTTTTCTCCATTTGCGTTCGGCACTCCTGCATTTTCTCTTTGTGTTTCTGATTTCGTTGTTTTTTCTCCATGGGGGTAAGGGTTTTGTTTTAATAGTTTTAATTACGGGTGGAGCCACTGTGTCCAATGTGGTTTTTAATGTTCTGTTAAAATGGTCCACAATAAAATCGCATGGTGCAGGTAAAATTGCGGCAGGAGTGCTCTGTAAAATCCCAATAAAATTTGCAGCCACTTCGGGGGTTAGGTAGCGTTTCCTCACCGTTCTCACCGGGGCCTCCTGATGGTTAAAAAATGTAATGTTTTGTTTAGTTTTAACATCCATGTGGTGAAATATTCAGCCATAATCTCTACTTCATCTACAATGCAGCACCATTGACTCAGCAATTCAAAAGAAAAATACTTAAAAAAATGTGCAAAGTATCAACATCATTGTATGACTCGCCGTATTGTATGAACTTTTTGAGGGTTTCGTTTTATTTTGGTCTTATTTTCCAGCCCTCTGGCTACATCATTTTATTTTTTATCAGAGTTGTTCTAATCTTACTCAAAATTTTTGCTTCACACAAACAGGAGATTTGAATGTGTTAAAATTTCCTGTTCCATCCCTGATCATGTTTCCTTTTGAACAATTTCTCCAATTTTGATTCTCCTCTGTAGCTTTAGATTAACCAGGTTACTGTTGAACTTTAAGGGGTAGTGTGTCAGGACTGCTCTGTTTAATGTGATAGTGTCTAACTCCAAGGACAGACTTGTAACTGTCAGTAGAGGGCGCTGTGAGTCTGTGACATCTGTCTCTGTATCCTCTCTCCCTGCACAGATCTGTCTCCCACAGTCCATCACTCCATCCTGCACCATCAGACGCCACCTAGCGGTAACCAGGCATATGACACCCTGAGCCTGGAGAGCTCAGACAGCATGGAGACCAGCGTCTCCACCGGCAACAACTCCGCCTGTACCCCAGAAAGGTGAGAGACTGGGAAATGAGCATTTGGCTCTGTTTCCATGGGAACACTCAAATCTGCCCCGTCTCCCAGGAGAAGGGTCACTGGGCTTTGTTCCCGTGACAACATGTTTTGTTACATGTCTAGTACACTGGCTGTTGCCATGCCAACTGTTTTAAGTTTTCAGTGTATCAGTAAGTTCAAAGCTTCAGTGAGAGCGGGTTTTTTTGTTTTTGTCTGCGTCTCCTCCTGCTGTCAGTGTTTGGTTTCCAGGCATGTGTGTTTACTGTTGTCGTAGCCGTGTCATCACACACTCCTCTCCCTCTGTGTGTTGTAGTGCCTGTGGGCTGGAGGCCCAGAGGATAGAGGAGATGGAGAAGATGCTGAAAGAGGCACAGCAGGAGAAAGCCCGGCTGATAGAGAACAGAGTGAGTGTTTGACTGAGTAGAGGGTGGACGTCTTACACACTACACTTGATACACCACACTTCATGCCCCTTAAATTCTGTTCAGGTTTTAGTAGAGCTGCTGCTGTGATTTCATAAGAAACAAATTAGTTCCTTTTCTTATAATTCATCCAAAATATATACAATAAAATAGTTTCATCTTTCATACATATACAAGGAAAATACAAGGGGTAAGATTACTTCTTGAAAATAATATTACTTCCACAATATTGTTGTTTCAAATGCTTATTTAAAGCAAAGAAAATTGATTAACAGACGTAGAGTCAGCATACACTGGTTAAAGTGAAGGAGACAGACTTAACTGGCTGCTAAAATAAAAAGTTTTTCTTTTTTAATTGAACGTTTTGTTGCCAGAGTTAGGATCATGTGAAAGATTTTTTTTTTTTTTTGAGGGGTATCATCTATCAGGAGAAAAAAAAATGTTTAATGGCAACATCATATCATCATAACATCACCAAACATGTTGCCTCTTTTGAGAGTTATTGCACTAACTTTGAGTTATCACAGGGGTCTCGGGTTTCTTTTGTTTAAAAGAAAAAAAAAAAAAAACACACATAGTGAACCTTTCACAGAGTGAAATGAAGTAATCAGTACGTTGTTTACCTTTGTATTATTTCTACATGTTGAAATAAAGGAGACCAGAATGTAAGTGTCTGAAAGCTGCAAAGGATCATTTTACATCAGCAAAGCTAACTCTTCTATACTCAGACTGAAAGGATATATTTTACAAAACCCTGGATTGGGACTTGAAATCTCTGGTGCCTCTTCTGACACTCACTCACTTTGTATTGCAATATTTGCCTACCATTTACATATTGTCCCCGTCTCCCTTTACCCCCCTGTTATTTTCCCCCTTTCTCTTCTACCCATCTGCGCCTCTGTCTCCTCTCCCCGACGCTCCCAGGAGAGGGAGGTGCAGGCTCGGCGACACATGTTGGAGGAGGAGCGGAGGAGGCGAGAGGAGGCCGAGAGGAGGCTTCTGGATGAAACGGCCCACAGGCAGAGGCTGGTGGAGGAGGAGGTGAAGATGAGAGAGAAGCACTTCTCTCAGGTCAGTGGAGCAGCAGGGGCAGACAGGTGGTGGAGAGAAGAGAGAGGATGGGAGAGAGGAGGGGATGTTAGACTTGGGGGAGAGGATGAGAGAGGAGGCACTAAAGAGAGGCTGGGTGTGTAGAAAGATCAAAGATTTTTAGGGAGGGAGCGAAAGAGGAGAGATTGGCAAAGAGGGTGGAGAGTTTAAGAGGATGAACAGAGAGAAAAATGAATAGGAGGGTGCAGAAAATCATAATGTATACAGAATTAAAGCTTTAATCTGGACTGATTATATTCAATTATCAGTTACCGGAGGCATCAGTAATGTGGGTTAAATATTCCTTCAGTGTGAAAAACAGACACACTTCATCCCACTTACTGCACACCATGTACACTGAGCTTTTATTTTCAGTAAGTGATATCAATAAAGCTTTAATGTGTGGTAAGAGACAAAGAAAATGTGACCGATACTATGATACTTATAACCCAAGGTTTATTCTGTGGATCCAAACACTAGCTATAAATTACAGAACCATTGGCAGGCAGAATTGAATTAGCAACTAAAGAGTCAGATATTACCTTTGAGAGTTAAATAAGACCAGAAAAGAGCAAAAACAGGTCCCACATTAAACTGGTGACAGAATGAAAAATATTAAAATGCTCAAGCTTTTGTTGCTTTATATTCAAAGTACCATGTTAATGTTTATAGGCCAGATAATCAGGGCCTGAACACCGGAATAGTGTGAGAGCCAAATTCTCCTTCACCAAACTAGATTTTTAATGTTTATTTGAACAAATGAATCACTTTTAAAGGCTTAAACATCTCAAAAATCTCACATAAATTTGCACACATGAGGTCTGATGAAATATTTTGTATTGTATCTGAGTCAAGAATGAGTAACGCGGAGTGATAATGTCCTGCCAAAGTTTTCAAAGGTACAGCCCCAGAAGAGGTGCCAACAGTATATAAGCTCCCTTTAGAAAGTGTGTTAAAGGTACAATGTTTAGTATTTGATAGAGTTCAGCAAAGCAGATTTTGGAGAAACAAAAAATATAGATATTAATAAATATGGTGAAAAAAGCATTTAATTGCCAGAATATACAATCTGTTTGTTTTTGTAAACTAAGAGTGATCCTTTGCTGAAGAAGTATGTACTTCCACACATGCTGCTGTCGTCCACCGTCATGTTTCAACAGTAGCACAAAAAGGACATACTAGTAATAGCCTTCAGTTTTTTGTGGTCGAGGACAAAGGAGAGCGGCTTCTGTTGTGCACAAAATAATTTCTATTGAACAAAGTTTTGACAGTGAAAACTTGACTCCAAAAATTTTGACGTCTCACCATGAAAAAGTAGGTTGTAACTCAAAAATATTGTGTCCGAACTGCCTTAAACTTTACATGTTTCATAAAAATCCCCCGCTAATATACCTACGAGATGAAAATGCCTCTTTGTCATTGTTCGTCATACTGGCAAGAGACAGGAAGCTTTACGTGAAATGCTTCAATCCATTAACAAACAAACTGTGTGCTCTCACTTCATGTTTCATCCACATGGTAATTCTGCTCATTTTGGGCTGATAAAAACAGCAGCAGCACAATCAGGGTGGTGTCAAACTATGACATAAACCTGACTCTTACACATACCACAGTGTAAGGGCTCCTTTCATACTCCTCACACTTTTTGTAACTTTTAGCAAATATTTCCCTCACTTGCCTAAAGCAAACGAGACCATCACTGAGAAAACTACTCTTTACAAGATTTTAAAATATCTGTATCGCTGAAAAAAAAACCTTTGTGTGAAAGTTTCGGTGGCAGAAGGTCTTAATAAATGAGACATTTGGCTCTATGGGAAGAAGAAAGATTGGGTGGACCATGAAAAACACTACCTACACATGAACAGGAAAAAAACGTGCTAAAAAATAAGTCCTGCTTTGTCCACAAGGGGCACTAATATCCACCTAAACTAAAAGATAAGTTTAAATGGCTTATGCTGCTAAGATATAAGCTAATAATCATATTTCTCTTCCTAACAACTTCAATAATTTGATAGCTTTATTTCATCATGTTCAGGGTTTGAGTTTTTGCCATTAGTTCAACAACAACAAAACTAAATTGTCCATCTTTATGGTTCAGATTTGTTTTTCTGCCCTTACAGTAAAAAAGAAAAAAAATAGTTCACGCAGGTTTTGGCTTCAGACTGTTTTTGTTTTTTGTTTTTTTTTACTGGAATAAACCTCAAAATTTGATGTCTAAGCTTTTTACTTTTTAATCCAAGTGTTTCCAAAAAATCATCCAGACATGAAGAGCCCCATACTTAATGAATATTTAATATATAACCCTAAAAAAGAAAGCACTGTGTTTAGAAAAGTCAGATAAGAGTTATGAGTGGAAATGTTCAGAAGCTTGAAAGATTTTCGTTTTGTCAGAAGATTAAGACGACTTTTGGGACTCGACTCTGCCTCAAAAGACTTTGAAAAAGTTATGCTAACTACTCCAATATCTTCATCTTCTTGCACCATTAAACGGTGTCACATTTTGTTCTTTGCAGGCCCGTCCAATGACGCGGTACCTTCCTAACCGTAAGGAGGAGTTTGATCTGCGTTCCCACGTCGAGTCATCAGGCCACTGCATAGACACCTGCCCCTTCATCATCCTCACTGAGAAGATGTGCAAAGGCCACCTGGTGAAGATGGGGGGCAAGATCAAATCATGGAAGAAACGCTGGTTCGTTTTCGACCGTCTAAAGAGGAACTTCTCTTATTATGTCGGTGAGGATACAACAGTATTCTTTGGCTTAGTTTTTTCAGGAAGTGTTAGAAACCCCTTGTTTTGAGGGTGATTCAGTCACAGACATAAACTCTACTCAAAACTATTTCAAATTTAATGAAAACATTTGCTGAGGTGTGAGCGTCTTTACTTTCAAGTCATGTTGCTGCTTTTTCCAGTAATGAGGAGCACTTGAAAGCCTTTCCTGGTCCAGGCTGGTGCAGGACATGATTTCAGCAAGTGTTTCCTGTTAACTTGAGTATTCTGTCAAATTAGATTTTTTAATACTGACTTCTTTACAGGCATACTGGATATATTTCCTCTGTAAATGCTGAAGTGACATTACTCAGAACTGAAAAATCATGATGCTAAGTTGTCGTTCTGCTTCAAATGAAGTGAGTCAGAGGAACATTAAGGTATTACTGAAGATGTAAAACATTCACCTCCTCAGACTTACTTCAGGCACTCCCCAGACTCCATGAAAGTGTTGCATTTAAAAGGATCTATGAAGCCAGGCTTTTGTTCAAATGATAGTTAGAAATAGTGAAATAGATTCAATTACACCTTGTGCTATGTTTAGAAAACACACTGGAACATACAATATTAAAATGCGTCTGCTAAATAATGTGCATTTTTAATACCTTTATTGTCATCTAATAAATCACCTCTATCCTTAGCATCAGCGGGACCAGTATACAGTATAAGAAGAGGTTACTTTATGAAAAATATCATGGTTAATTGAGATTAATTAATCACTCCTTCTGTCTTACATCCATCATAACCTCCATTGGAAGTGCTGAGCAGCTTTTGCATCATACCTGCCAACATTTGGGTTATAAAATCCACAAGATTTTTGCGGGCAGTTTTGGGGTTACCTTGCATGGTGGATATGAGCTAATTATGAGAGTATTTGTAATTAGATTGCTCATCCAAATAAGTCAAAGTGAAGCTGCACACTTTTTAACTTTGTTTTAACAATAACAAATGGTAATAAAAAGTAATAGCTAAGATAAGCTATGAACTTATTTAGTCCACTAATATTAGTGTTAAAGTCCTCATATGTTTTACATGCTCTCTGAACATCTGTGTGTGCGCAATACAGCACTCTTTTATCTGAGGCTGCCCTGAACGCATCACTCTGAAACGGTGCAAGACTATCAATGTAAATATTATATCTCGCAGTTGTTTCCCTGTCACTAAAGAGTTCATTTTGCAACAAACACTGCCTAAATATAGTTTACAGCTTAAACCGACCTGAATCATCCCAAACTGTAAAGTGAAAGTATCAATCCAGTGTCTGTGAGTCTCAGCAGAAACACAGGACAATCTTCGGTTGTCTGGAAACTTTGGACAAATATAGTGATCCGATTCATGAATGAACGTGGACCATGCTAACTACAGGAGATTCCCGGGAGAAATGACAATACGGGATGTGGGCGCGAGATAGGTCTGAAATATGCTGAAGACTGGAGGTTAGCTAGTGCTTCACCTTTGACTTCAAACGAGGTTGTTTGCTCAGATTGCACAACTGCAGCAAACATAAACACAATTATAAGATTATTCCTTGATTAGGCTTCAGTGAGGTTTCAGTTATGAAGCTGTTTGCTTATGTTATTATCAACTTAATACAATTAGCCTTTTTGTTTTCTCAAGATTCTAAAAAAAATGAACCTGCAAACCTGATAAACATCCTCCACTTTTAACTCATTTTACTCAAAGAAGGACTTTTGTACATCTTGGCTTTCTGTCCAAATCCATGTCATTGTCTGCAATTTTGCAAAAAAAAAAACCACCACCTCTGAAAAAGACTTCCTTTACTCCCTCGTGTATTTGAGGCCTCCAGGTTAAAGCGTCTCTCAAAGACTCCTTAATACCCTTGGCACCAACACAACTTCACAGCAAACACCACAGAGAAGAACTTCTCTGTAAAGGATCATATTGTGCTCAAGTTCTGCTTGAGTCGACTCTTCTCATTGAAGTTTCTGGCCTTTTACAGAGTCTTCTAACATGAGAAGAAACTCATATGTTGTATTCATAAACTTCCTGTAAAAAACTTTGTGCAGTACACAAGGCCCAGACCTGATTTATTCAGTTCAGCCAACAGCAGCGCCTCACTCTGCTCTGTTTTTCATTGAAACTCGACTTCTGTCCCGACCAGCGTTTGTTCATCTGGAACCAAACAGTAATTAAAGCTGCACTAAGTGAAATCTCCGCCTTGTTCTTGTGTGTTCAAGCTGAAGTCAGTTTGTAATTCACGGATATCAGACTGTCCCCTGAATCTGAAACGAGCACAGTTAGTTTTCTGAATAATTCACGAGCGTGTTTTGGAGACATTATTTTACACTCCCGTTCAAAATAGGATCCAGGGATATTTTCATTACTGTCGCCCCTCTTCTTCTCTTTGCTGCTCTCTCTCCACTCACTTGCCTAGCCTTTTCACCCTCTTACTCCTGACGAAGATGATGGTGATGATGGTGATGAAATAAGATGCAATACTTTCTCTGGATGTGTTTTTCTTGGGGAGGAGGCTAGCTCCTGGCTTGTTCGTGACTAATAAAACGAAACTCACATTTCAAAAACATTTATCTCATTACTAAGCAGATTTGACTTATGGAGAGGGGGAAGCAGGAGAAGGTGTCAGACGTTTTTCAAAAGATTTCTTTTAATTGTTGCTGGATGTTTATTTCTTAGCTGGGCATAAGAGAGTCAAGGAGAGCTGTGTTTATTTGGACAGGAGTGGAATAGAGAAACTCTGAAACACATGTGTGAAAGAAATTGATTTGAAACATGAGAAAGTCTCCTTCATAGTTCTGCCTGCAGTTCATCCCAAAACTGGAAAAATCTCAGTTTGATGATTGGGTCCGATTGGCTTTATCCGCAGGTCCCCTAAAGTACAAACTCTCCTTTATAGAAGGACATTAAAGGTGCTCTGGACAGAGGGGCTGACTCGCTAAAAGGGAAATGTTGTTCTGAAAGATCAAATCGGAAACAAAAGAGACACTTTCCTTTTAAGTTTTGCACAAGATAAAGAAGAGGGAGTGAACCTTGCCGGCAGGAAAAAGGCTAAAAACACAGAGACAATCCAGAAAGTACAAGTGAAGAAAACAAGTCAGATTAATAGGATGGTAAAGACTGCAGGCATCGCTGGAAATAGACTTGCTGTTGTAATTAACTTACACTGCTCCTCATACCTATTCATGGGTTATGTGCTGCTGAGAAAAAACTGAACACCTTTCTTGCTTGAAAACCACTTTTTCTTTTATTTCTCTGTCTAGATAAAAGTTTGTCTTCATCTGTTTCACTCAGACTTTTTTTATTGAAACTCAACCACAATGAAAAAACACTTTTTTTTAGAGAAATCAGCCCCTCACCTCATTTATTCAACCTGTACTTTATTTTTTCAGAGCTGAAATTTTCTGAAGCAAAGGCGCTTTAAACCTTGATGACTTATTTCATTTAAGACTTCAGGAGCAACATTTTGCCAGATGTAAAAATCTATGGCTGAAGCAGAAATTTTAAAAGAGTGACAGATAATCATGGATTCGGATGAAAGTTTTGATTTAATGGTATAAGATTAACCCTGCAGCTGACTTAATTTGGACGAACTTGCCTGGAAAATTAAGTTCCGTCTCTGTAGTTAGTTTACAATTCAACCTCAGCTCAGAAAATCACAGCTGACTCTCTTATTCCTGCTTTGAGAGAAGTTGCTTTTCTTTTTGGACTGTTTCACAAAATTAGTTTTTTTTAAACAGTTTTAATGTATTTTCCTTAAACACTTATTCAAAAAAAATGTTAAGGTTCCTTCAGCAAGAGCGCAACTCGTGATTTTTCAGATTTTTGTTTGCTTCCTCTACATGATCAAATTATTATTTTAAAGGAAGGTCCTCATTATTTTAAAATCCAAAATATGAAAGCTGTAACTGTCAATCATGACCATCTACCTACTGATCTTTTCTAGTGGGCTTCTGCTTTCAAGAATTATGAGAAATATTTGTCTGAAGCAGGACTTTGATTATTTGACTGAAAACAAACATTAAAATGTATCCCCACATCACAGGCTGATTGTACTGCTGGGGCTGACAGAGGTCTTGCATCAGTACAAGACATAATGAAATGTGTCTTAATATGTTTCTTTTTTCTTTTTTCTCCTCAGACAAGCATGAGACCAAACTGAAAGGACTCATTTACTTTCAGGCGATTGAAGAGGTTTATTATGATCACCTGCGCAGTGCTACAAAGGTAACAAGCTGCTCTTTTATCATTACCTACTATTCAGAACTTCATTAGAGCAAATTATGGCTTAATCATTTGCATGCTTTTTGATTTTATAAGCACTGGAATAAAACATTACAATTTAATCTCAAACAGTACTTACTCATCCTTTATAAATATATTAGGAATATTGACTCTGTATCAAAGACATGATTTCAGGTAAAGGTTTTGATGCTGCTCCAGCTTCAGTTTTAATGATTAACTAAGAAAATGTATGAAAGAATAAAAATGTAATTTTATAACTTTATAATACATACTTATTTTAGTGTCACTAATAATATACCATCTGCAAACTAGATAAGATATAAGATATATAAAAAGTTTTACTTTTTTGAGTGGTAAGCAAACATAATTAAAAATAAAAATGACCTCTAAATGTTTGAATTATTTAAAGCAAATTGTACTTTGAATTAATTAATTAAAATCAGGAGCTCAAATCTACATTTAGAGGCTTAGAAGGATCTGAACAACAGAGGACAGGATTAAGTTTTTTTTTTTTCAATCTTAAATTTAAAAAACCTGTCCTGGAAATTTGTTCAGATGTAAGATGCTACAGACTCCAAAAAAAAAAGATGAAAATGAGTTTTCAGTTTTGGTTTTAACTATAAGCTGTCAAGTATTTTGGTGATCAGACTCTCCGTCTGGAGGAAAATCATGCAACAGGTGTTTCGCCTGCTGTCTCTTGTCTTAAATTGCCCCCCCCTCACTCCTCTCTTCATGATCCCGCAGAGCCCAAACCCATCTTTGACCTTCTGTGTGAAAACCCACGACCGCCTCTACTACATGGTGGCCCCGTCCCCGGAGGCCATGAGGATCTGGATGGACGTCATAGTAACGGGAGCCGAGGGCTACACGCAGTTCATGAGCTGAGGGACCAGCGGGTGACAGATGTGGAAGTTGACGGAGGGACTGAAAGAGCACCCAGACACCTTAGAGTCCACCTGAGCTGCTCCCAACCGGAGCTCAAGCCGCAGCCTGACTGTGTGTAACCCATGGACGTTTGAAGAGATGAAAAATGTGGAGCTCACATGAAAAAAGCCTGATGCCTGATGCGCACGTGAGGGCTGAGCATTGGAGGTACATTTGTACGACTATATGATTTGTATTTATCCTTCAGCCACTATGAAAAGGGAAATAGTTTGAGCAACCTGCTGGTGGATCCATAATTACACAAATCCAGCCTACAATATGTATTTCTAAAGAAACAATTTTTTATAGTCAAAAAGAAAATATAAAATATTTCTCACTTCAGCATAAACTGTTTACACTGTTATCCCTGTAACAGATATTTTAACATCTCTTCTCTTTTTGATACATTTGTACTTTTTCCCTAAAGTTTGATAACTATTTCTTGGATGAAAAAAAAACCCTAATATAATACAACACTAAAAAACTTTATGGAAAAAATAAGCTATTTAAAAAAAATACTCGCGTTACTTATCAACTGAAAATTACTTGGTGCCAAATACTTTGTAATATTTTGTCAGATTTTTACAATGCAAATGTTAATATGACTTTATATATTGTTATAATGGCTTTTTATTCGGTAAAATAATGCAGCTTTCTGTGTCTGTATTTAACAAAAACTTTAGAAAGAAGACTTCTATTGGCATTTGAAAGAAAATTCATAGATCATAGTCGTATATGCAGTAGATATTGTAAAACTACCATGTAATAAATGAGGATGTATGATGCAGCTGTTGGTGTGTTTGATTTCCTGACACTTCAGCTAAACTATTAACATTAAGTAACAAATCTGTTCTCGCTTCCCTAAAAAGTGTTCCTTGCAAACAAGTCACTAATTCACACGCTGCATTCAGTGATCTCACACACTTTAATGAGCCTCTAACATTCACATCGTAATAAGAACACACAATAGGTGCTCCCTGTAAGACACGTCTCTTCACACCAGGACGGTCAGGTGGTTGAAGTAGTTAGTTGGCTCATTAGCTCTGATTATGTGTATCAAAACATACTCATATATTTAATTCCAGCACAGTGTAATTACTTGTGTGATTTGTTCTGCACTTGTTAAGACTACAGGAAATAAAAACAACATGGAGCGAAATTACATGCAACTTTACACGCATGATTCAACATCGAGAAATTCAAAACCACGTAAAAAGCATCTCAATAGGTCCTCATGAACAAGGTCTTGTATAAAGTCCTGCATTTAAATATAAATTCACATCCTGGATCTCATGTACATGTGCAGATAGATGATAATATATGACCGGGATATGTGATTAGTTAAAGCAGGGATTACTGGAATATTTAACAGACATGCAGGTAATCACAAAAACACATACCTCTGACAAGGACAGGAGAAATTCAGCACTTGAAAGGTTTATTTTTAATTTTCCCGGGTTTGAAGGGAAATACATGTCACATTTGTGTATATTAACTCAAACAAACACCCAATTCAATTCATAACAGGCTGAGTTTTGTTCTTAAATCTGTGCGCAGCTTTCATTCGGATCATCTGCATTTCTTTGACCTTGGGAGAGATTTTCACACATGGTGCCACACTTTGACTTTCTTTAAAGTCTCTGCTGCAGCCGTCTGAATAATAAACAGATCTTTAAGAGACCAGTGTGAGCTCATTACTGCGGTGATGAGTGTGAGTGACACCCAGCCTTATTGTTGGTGAAATATTAATGAGACCGGCCTTTTCCCCAGGCCTTTAATGCACAAAATAAGATAGACGAGCTGTGAATTAGCGCTGGTCTCACATGTGTTTTGTCAATATTAATGGGAGATATTAACCTTGTCTGAAAACAAGCTCCAAATTCTGATGAAATAGAGATATCTCTCTACCACGAGGATGAGATTCTATCAACGCATGTCAAAGCCGTCTGCTTTTACCGCCTTCATAAAGCTTCAGCGCAGACATTTGTAATTTATAAGTTTTTATATCCGCGTATGAGTTCAGATTAATTTAGGAGATTAAAGAGAAAATTCTACCGCCCTACCCCGAACATGTTCTCTCACTCACACGCACACACACACACACAAATAAAGATGAAAGAAGCTTTCACTAAACGCATTTGATGCACAAGTGAAACTTCTACTCTGTATGTTTACGGCTTTGAACAAATTATTTTCCCTCTCTTTGAAGGCAAACTAAAATGACAGTAGTTAAATCAAAAACAGGACGCATCCACATACAGGCTTCATTAAATTACAATAAAAGAAACGTGTTTTTCAGATTTCATGCCAAGCATAACAATGATGGGTGAAAAATATCCAGGGGGGAGAATAAGTTAGGCAAAGCACGATGACCTAATGAGGGCAACAAAAATATAGATAGCAGGCTGCACCCCAGTGTGAGATATCAACCCAACTTTAGCTGATACTTTTGCCATTTGTTCCCATTTTACAAAACTGTCCTCAAAAGAAAGTGTGTCACAACAAACATTTATTATTATATCTTACATCTATTTAAACCATTTTTAGTACTCAAGCCAGAGACCCACAAAAGTAAATCAGTATTATAAATTTTTTATTTTTACACACTCACCACAATCCCCAAAATAGTCTATTTTATCCATATGTGCGCAAAGTTTTACAGAGTAGAAGATTCACTGTGGAGAGGCAATAGGATGCATTACTGTGCAGTGAGGAGTGTGAAAAAATAAACGCATGATAAAAATTACTCATAGCTGCTTTCATACATGCTCTTTTTTAAAATCACTTCTTTGAGCAATCAGGAAATCATTGCCTTGACCTTTGACCTTTTCTTTTTATGCCTGTGAGTTCAAAAGGACCCAGATCAAAACAGGACCTTACATCAAAATCACACAGAATGAAAACTTGACCAAAAGCGATCTCAATATCACACAAAACAGACCAATCAGTGTTGAGGAATTAAAGTGTTTTTGCACATTAAAGTTTGCAGATTCAGTCAGACTAGATCAGATTCAAACGTCTGCGTCAAAATAAAATAAAAGCTGTGTGGCAGTCAACTTAAACAAGAAGCATTTAAGCTGAATGAATGTCGATGTAAAATTCAAAGGTGACAGACAGATTTTCAGACTCTTGGGGCTTAATGTTTCTGCAGGGCAGCCCAACACAGTCTGAGTGCGTGAATGACACCAAGGAAAGGAGAGTCCTCAAGGAAACCATTTGGGACTTGTTTATTTAAGGAGCTCAAATTTAAAGTGACGCACGAACACTGAGCTCAACTTAAAATATCTATTAATATTTCATAATGTTTGATTTCAGTTTCTTTTTATGACTTACCTTGTAACCTAAATGAGTTTAAATGTGAGATTTTCCTTCAAGACATTTAATTTAGTACAGAGTTTTCCACCTATAATTAATCCTGTCACCGTGAGAACATGAAGAAAACTTGAAAAATTGAAAGTTTGCTCACGATAGGTCAGCACTTCGTTGACCTGCATACTGTCAGTTAGAGCATATTAAGTGAGATCTCTGAAGCTGTGACATCCCAGCTGAGAGCAAAAAAAGGAGCCTTAGTCCTTTACATCAAACACCTCTAATTTACCGAGGAGCCCTTGAGGAATAGCAAACAAACACAACCCTGCGACTGGCAGCTACAGCTCTGTCATGGCTGAAAGTAAATAGCCTTGATCACAATTATGACTGAACACTTTATAACACTTGTCACTTTTAGGGGACTTGATTATGTTTTTTTTCCGAACATAGAAACAAATGGGGGTGTTTTGTAAGCTGAACACACACAAAAACATCCCCGAAGCCCCTCTGAGAGGCTCCCATTCACAAGTTGTAACTGAATTCCATGTTTTCATCGCATGTTCAAAGAGGGGCAAAAGTTGAGGACAATAAATTCTGAGAGAGATGATGATGAAATGATGGTGAAACTCTCACTAACGTGCCATACGTGCACTTGGCATGCAGCATTGACTTTTTCTGACTTCTCCACTCATACACAATATTCAGACAATGTTTGGTTGTAAACTGATGGACAGACTTGTTTTGCATTAGAGATAATTAGAAATATCTCAAATGTAAATCCAATGTCAACTTTCAAGAAAGTTTGTCAACCTCAACTTAGTCCTTTTTTAAAATTGTTGTTAAAAACAAATTGTAATTTTTGATTGTTGAAACTTTGGTCTGAGACTCAGAGCCCGCTGAATAATCTATAGCAGTAAAGAGACTTAAAGGTGTTGTGCTGTGTAGTTAAACCATTTGAACCTTTAATGGGGACAAAGGGAGGCGTACTTAAACAGTGGAGACAACATGGAGAGGCAGCAGAACTTTTATGAGAAGCACCTTGGATTTCTCCCAGGGTGCGCACACAGGAAGCCCTCAATGGACCAATTAATACTGACGGGGAGAGCTGTCAGCCTTTTCCTGGGAGACCCTCCAACTTCACTGGCTTCTACCATCTCAATCTGGTCTCCATTACAACTACATTTATCTAGATTGCATCAGGTTGCCCTTCTACAAATGTCTAAAAGATTCACTTATACAACAGCTATTACTTGGTGAGCATTTTGCTGAATAGCCTGCTTGAAACAGGACTGTCACTTTAAATGACTCAGATCAGCGCAGATGGACTTGTCAGTCCTACACAATCCTATTCAATATAAATTACACAGAAAGACTTAATGTAGATTAACTCCTTTCAGAGGACATGCATCCTTTTGTGGAGGAAAAACTGATCTGTAGCTATCCTGGAGTGATCAAGTGTAATCAGTGAAAGCTGGATATAAATCAATATACAGACATGCTGTTTTGTGGACAAATCCATTAGCTGCCTTACGCTAGTGGCCCATCAATATGCAAATTCAGCAGAACTGGAAATAAGCCAATTGGTTTTGGCAAAATTTATAATGTCACAGAGAAGCAACTCAGCAAATGAGATGGAGGAACTGTTTGGAGAAGGAGGGGTGCACAAACATAGGTGAGGTTGAGGGAAAACAGCAGGTGTGGTGAGAGAGAGAGAGAAAAGAAGAGAGAGAGAGAGATGCAAATCCCATGGCAACAGCAACCAGAAAACAAGTCTAAAATAGGGGGCAGTGTCCGCTATTACTATAGCAACAGGAGAACAGCACATTTACTCTGCGTCTGGATTTGCTGAAAGGAGAAAAATAAAGCTTTATTCCTCACGTAATAGTTATTGACAGTCCTTAACAGTGAATGGATTTGGTTGTGGTAACTGTGCCTTATTAAATTAGCCATGAAAATAACAGTTCTCAAAATACATTAAGATAAAAGTTAACAGGTAATGGTGAATTTATCTCCAACAGTTTTAAATCACAGTAACTTTATCAAACAGTGCCCTGTTGAAGTTAAAAACTATATCAAGTGACAGCTTTATTTCCAATTAACTTGAATAAGGGGACACATTTTTGTCATTGAATTTACACTATACACTTTGTTTAAAATCGTGTGATTATAAAGAATGTGTATTCTCATTCATTTTGTTTTTTGGGACAATCCCCCCCTCCCCACATCTGGTCACCGCAAGCTCTTTTGTAAGACAATGAATGAATGAGCTTTGTGCTCCAAGGCGACTGAGCTTTCTCTGCCTTAAAAACTGCCGCACTGGTATCCACGCCCGGTTTGTTTACCTCGAACATGTGCACAGACTGCACTGCAGGAAAAAAAGACAACAACACGGTGACGCTTTGCTTCGCCCTCAATCGACCAATCAAATTTCACATGAAGCTGATTCCAACCAATGACAACAGAGCAGTCCAAGCACGCGCAGCCAATCGCTCTGAGCGTGGACCACTGATGCAACGGAGATGCAACAGAGTGCTGCCGAAAAACAAAGTGCGGTGTGAATCAAATAGTCCCCCTTCTCCAAAACAATGCAATGCCAGGAGTAATGTTAAATTTGTGGGCTGTGTTTGTGTGTATATGACAGCTATGTCCGTGTTTATAAACCCCTTCAGCAGGTGATGGTCAGTAATTTATAGACTTCTAAAGGGGGCGGGAGATAGCCTACTATGACACTGCCCATCTTTGCCGGCTGTGCAGCAGGCTTATAGTAAGCACATGGTCCACTTCAGAGACATTTACACTTTAAAAACAAATTGAAACCTCTCAATAATTGACTCATGCTCTCAAACCACAAACGCAGCAGTAGTTTTAGTCGGTTTTGGCCCATTTTCCTCAAATCCTGACCGTCAAACCAACCAGTTTAGGCTACTACTGATGTGTTTGTGGTGAAAGTTTGCTCATGCGCACGTAATTTCGGTAAGTTGAAACCCAATTTAAAAAACCTTGTTCGTGTTTTGATTGATTTTTATTGGTACTTCAGCTACTTAATGTGATAAGTTAAGAAAAAATTTACACACAGGAACTAGAAATTGTTTACTTTCTGAGCAGAGCGTTTGTGGGAAGTCCTTTGGATGGCAGGCGGAGGGAGGGGCGGAAGGATCCGGAGTCAGCAGCAGCAGCGGCACGGTTTGTCCTGGTGACGCAGTTGGTTGCTAGGTGTGAATGAACTGATGCTTTCTCACAATTAAGCTGCTCCTCAGTTTACAGGTCGACCACAACAAAGCAACAACTCGACCTTGTTTGCGCTGTCCCGGACCTTCGGAGCTAAAACATGGCTCTTTGAACCCTTTACGTGTTTGGACCCGAACAGAAGTCGTGCTTTGCTTTCGCAACGCACCCAAGAGCTCTACAAATTTCTCTGCAATGATGGAGTAAGTGAGACTCTACTGAGTCAAGTTTGTCTTTGTCGTGGTGGAGCTACTTGTCAGTGTACCTTATGTGCCTGTCTGTGTTTACAGTTGCAGAGTGTTCCATTTGTGTTGGCTGGTTACCTTGTTTTACAGACTTCCTTTACCTCTCAAATGTGTTTGCATGTCTTTGCCAGTTTTTGAAGCGTCTTCCTAGATTTAGATAGCCTATGTTTAAGTTATATCTCAATGGTGTGGATGACTTTACAAAAGATTATTCAGAGATGGTATGACAGAGATTTATAATGTAAATGTAAAGCATATGCTCTGTAACTGTAGACGTATTGGTCTGTCACTGTCATTGTTAAGTTTCCAATACTACATTGTTGCCACCCAATCTTCTAACCTGATTATGTGATCAAGTAGAGGTAATTGATCTTTAAAGAGTTTAAGATTAGGAACAGCTGATCTGCATTAATCTGGATTAATGATCAGAGTGACTCACTCAGTGTAACTCAGGTGCTTCTTGACAACAGTTTGGCCCTTGACAGCATCACAAGGTCCTTTGGGTATTTAGCTCTGAGGCAGGTAAAACCCAAAGGGTTCAGCTTCTGCTGCGTCTACTTCTCTATCACAGTCTGTTCTTACTTTTTTTTTTTTTTTTTTGAAGTTGTACATTGGTGTCACTTTTGAGGTAGTTTAGTGTCGAGCAGAGTTGGTAAGATTGCGAAAAACACCAGAAGTCCTACATTATGTTCGAAGGGTTTCTTTTTTTTCCCATTGTAGTAACGCCATCGACAGACTCAGTCATGTTGACAAAGTTCGTGAGATAAGGGAGAAGCGGTATCCCCATTCTGTTTCCTAAAAAAGGCGCATCTTTTCAGCAGCACATCTCTGATCCTTGTTTGTGTTTCCTCTCCAGGTTTCATTATGCTCACCCAGCCCTGCTCTCCGTGGCCCACCTGTCAGACCCTGCTTGCTCTCAGCATATGCTTGGACTTGGACTGAATCAAAGCACCAGCAGACAAAATGATGGCAACATCAGCTCCTGTTTGGAAGAGTCTTCGTGTCTGCCCGGCAGACCCCCTCGCTCTCTCTCACCCACAGGCTAACCACAGCCAATCACAGGGGTGCAGGGGGGAGGTGTCAGAGGAGAGTCAGCACTTAATTGGTGAGTTGCAGCGAGCATGCTTTTTTATATTTTTCCCCATTTCAGGTGGGCTCGGCACTGCAGCACATTCGTCCTTCCTGAACAGTAAGTAATAAACTAGCTTCGTATGACATATCGATATGCTTCGACTTTATTTTAAAAAACCTTGGTTTTCATTCAGTGTTATCGATCGGATTATGAAGATAACTAGCTGCCTGTGTTAGATGATTTTTTTTTTAAATGTTGCATGATTTTTTTTTTGTTTGTCTCCGACATTGTCTTCCATGAAACAACTCGTAATGATTGCATTTATTTTCTTGTTCTTATTTTTGTAGGTGATGGTCTCACAGACTGGATGACGGAAGAAGTGGATTTCTCCTCATACCTCCCAAACCCTCCTTCCCCTCCCTCCTCCACCAACGCCTCCCTTCCCCCTTCACCCCTTCACAATGATATCCAGGTGCCCTCTGACTTGGAGGTCATGACCTCTCTGCTGCAAGAGGAACTCGCCCAGCTGGAGGACTACTTCCTGTCTGAACCACTGCCAGAGAAAGGGCCCAGGCTAGGAAAATGCGACAGGGGTCCACTGCCGGCGGGTCCCCAGCCGTTCGCTCAGCTGCCATACGCATCATACTCAACATCCAGCCAATCGGAATCCAGCCCACTTCTTGTTACCCTGGCAACCGGAGAACTGGACCTGCTGAGCATCTGTGGCGGGCCCATTGGGCGATCGAAAATTCCACGACACGCCCCATACAGCTGCAATCGCCCCAGTGGGTGTGGTAGGAAAAGAGTCCCTGACGGTGTGAGGTTCAGTGAAAGCTACGATAACAGTTTGTTGAGTTCTAAAGGAAGTAACTCAGGTAACTCAGCGGTGACCCTCACAGGTAGCTACGGCTGTATTGAGGAGGAGCAGCTGGTAGGAAAGAGCTATTGTCTGGGTAGTGCAGTTGAGGTGAGACGATGTGCTGTTCTACCAAAAGAAGAAAAAAACTGCTGCTTCAGTCAAGATGTCATTGGTGGTGCAAAGGTTGTTGGTGGTGGATTTGGCTTTGGTGGATCACTTGATGTCCAACATAAGAAGGAGGATCTGTTGATGTACAGCATGAGAGAGGTCAGCGGAGGCAGCGCTAACAACGAGGTGCTGAATAGTATCAAGGCCAGTGTGGAGGTCACAAAAGCTAGCGTCTCTTGGAAATCAGAGAGCGGTGAGGGTTGTTATATTCCAGCAACAGCACAGTCCGAGGCCTTTCACAGCTTTCTAGGCAACATCAATGAGCAGGTGAAGTCAGAGAGTCTGCAGATAGGGCAGCATGATTTACACTGTAACTTCCTGGAGGATCAGAGTCCAGAATGTCTCTTAATGGCGAGGGAAGGTCTGAACCTGGAGACTTCAGGGCATAGACAGGCTTGCAGACTGAAGGAAGACCACTGTGCTGTGAAGTACGAAGTAGAACTTGTACCGGGTGAAGGTGGCGAGCGCAAACAAAAGAAGAGAGATCAGAACAAAACTGCTGCTCATAGGTACATCATGTAGTTTCTGCTTTATAACAAATATCTTCTGAGATGACTGCAGTCTGAGGATCTTCATTTCATTTTTTATTTTTTTTCATGCAGGTATCGCCAGCGAAAAAGGGCAGAGCTAGATTCATTGGAGGAACAATTGCATTGCCTTGAAGGGAGAAACCGGGAGCTTCGGGACAAGGCAGAGTCGGTAGAACGTGAAATCCAGTACGTCAAAGACCTGCTGATTGAAGTTTACAAGGCTCGCAGCCAAAGGCTCAAGCAGGACTCAACAGCCTAACACCAAACTCCTGCAAGTACAAACAAAGCAGGCGAACAGGGAAAAATGTTTGTGTCTTTATGATTGTCCAAAAACTGAATGTTACTCTTCTTGTTTCATGACAGATGGGGTAAATGCATGCTTGGCTAGAGTCAATTATTTTTTACTTTTAAAATTACACTCCAACAATCCAATGCTTCCATTGCTTTCGCAATTCTGATCACTTGAGCCTGCACTGTTATTGCAATGCTTTAAATGACAATCATTTTCAAAACAACTCGCACTGCATAAGTCTATGAGTTTAAATGGTGTTTTCCTGAAAAATGATATATAATGTATGATGCAGGTTAAATATTCTTTAAAGCCTTACGTTGGAATTGATGTCAGCAATAGCACTTAAGTTTGAAAAAAAATTATTTGAATGCTGTATTATTCTGATTAACTGGGAAAATACAATTTGTTTGTGTCAACACCTAAAAACATCATCATCTTTTCAAAAACATGTTTCAAACCACTAACTCTGGATGCTATTTGAAGCCCCCCTTGAAACAGCAATAGTTATTTCAATTGCTGTGAATTTTTTAAATAAGGACGGTAGAAGCTGTATTGACCTGCAACTGCTGATGGAGTAGCCTAAATACAGAAGAGCTTTAATGTAGCATTTTATTAATTTAACATTGTAACAACAGACTTCAGGACAATGCGTGCTTTATTTTTTCATTTTACTCTTTTTGCTGAATGTCAAAAATTTTTACCACTTTGTCAGAAACATCACTTGGTCTGTGTTATTTTTCCATTTCCGACAATTACATTCTTTCAATGCAACATATGTCTTTTCCTCAGCAGTGATTGATATGGGCCAAATTTGTTACCAGAAAGAGAACTAATGTATCGTTTGCACTGTTTTGAAAGTAGACACTGACATTTTATTGTATTTTGTGGCAAAATGCTTTTATTTAATTAACTAATTTATTTTATTACCGGTACATATTGCAAATAATACAATCTATATTGCAGCTCAGGATATGCAATATGCTCTCCAGTACGACAAATTCAAGAGGATGATTTGATGCAGGAATATCAAGAATTACGTCCTTCATTTTATGTGGTCAAGATTTCACTGATGTGGGTTTTGCTGGTGTAAAAAAAGATTTTCTTCTGTACAAATATTGTAACTATAGTGGAGATTTAGCAGCCTTCCTCTGCATGTTTTTTCTCTCTCTTGGAATAGAAAATGTGGGGTTTCAGAAGAACTCGTGGATTTTTCTCTAAACTGCTTATTAAGGCAATAAGTTTTCTAGGCCTCTGGCTGATCTGCACTAATTTATAACAACTTTTGTATGTTCAGGGAGTGGAGTGTGTTAGCCTTTTCTTTGTAGAAATTTAACTAAAAAAATCTCATTAGGTTATTCGTGAAGGCTTTTGCAGTGTTAGCTTTGGTGTAAGAGGATAGCGTCTGAGTGATTTATTCTTGCTAAGCAAACAACCACTACTGTTACTGTTCAACATGCCTATGCCGAGGGTAGATTTATTTCTATGCATATTTATTTTGAGACAATCTCGGATCTGAGCGCTGGCTCACTGACTTTCATTTATGCTGTTTTCAGTTTCTTGGGAAGAATGTCACATTGTTTGACCCCCCTGCGATGTACTATCAGCTGCGATTGTTCAAACCAAAAATGTGAAGGTAAAGCACATCACCACGCTTTGTAATATTCAGTTCATTTTTCCGTACATCCACATTTCTTCTGTGTGAAGTTTACTTATTTCCATCAAGAATAAAGTCCTCAAATTAGTCCGTTGTGTGGTTTTGGTGTTTTCAAGGAGAATTGGGGAAAGGGGACTCAAAATTATCTCTTTGATAAAATGAGAAATAGGCCTATTGCACTGTAGTCACAAGGAAAAAAACTTTAAAACAAGTTATGGCTTTTGCTTTTTTTGAGGAAACAAAGTCAGAAAACTCTCGGCCTAAAGAGCGCTGACATTTTCATCTTCATTACGCTTTTCGATACGGGTCAAACTCACATTTTCACGAATGAAATACTTCACTCTCACGACAGAGTACCTCTTATTTATTTCATATGAAGCTGTCGAAAGTGAAAGAATCACCTTTCAATATTTTTTAAGATTCAAGAGGAAAACATTTCGAAAGATACTGCCTACCTGATCAATAAATCAAGGGAGGCCACAATGACTACATTACCGTAAATATCTTTAAGATCCGCACAACCTTCAGGACCGTCAGGAAAATTCATCCTGCCTGAAATGATGATTCCGCACACCTAGAAACGACCAACTTGTAGAAAATGTCAGAAAATGCTCGTTGCATAAGTGCACAATTTTTAAAAAAAATAGTGTAACTTTTTTCCTAAAATGGCGGTTGTGTGATGTGCGACAACAACCTTTTACACAATTAAAACAAAGTGTCACAATTAAACTACGGCTACATCGATTTTTTTAAATTACAAAAAACTGGTAAAATGTAATAAAATACCAAATAACTCGATAGAAAAGTTGTTTTATTTTAAAATAAATTACCGCTTCTTCAAAAAAATCTTCCATTAAGAAAACTTTTATTTTTCAACATTTTGACTGGAAAGTTTGAGGTTTACACTGCAAATGCGATTACTCGCTTGGTGTAAAGAAAAGGAAAGCGTTTTCAGGTGACAAAGTCTGCTCTTACTCCCGTTGAACAAGACTTTGTGACAGCTGTGCAATGAGCTGCTCATAGTCACACTGAGAGGAAGAAGAAGCATGCTGTGAAGCCAGGCGGAGTTTTCTGCTGGCGTTCACGTCTACCAGGACCTGCAATAGAGACAAAAGTGATTTGAAAGTTACCTGTGTAAGTGTTTGGTGTACCATTATGTGCTCAGAGGTGTAACTAAAGAGGGACTTATTTACTGAATCACTTCAAAATATGCAATAGAATAAGGACAGTCTTTATTTATTTCAAAAATAAATAAATGCGTTAAATGGTCAAAACCAAAGACAGCTCCAGGGATGAGTAAGCAAGCAAATAATGTGCGCTGTTTTAGTACTTTCAGAAACGTAATACACTATTGTAGCAGCACTGTGATTTTATAATAAAGTAACAAAAAAGTTTTATGTAACTCAGTCATAAACAGACTTCTTGTAATTGTGACTCTGCTCTCCACCTCATCTCTTTACCTGATGTGTTGCATCCTGCTGGCTGTACAGAGACAGGGTTGCTATGGCAGCTTGTCTCACTGTATTGTTTGGATCACTGCACGCCGCTTTCAGAAGTAAGTTTGTCACTTTCTCCTCCAACAACAGAGACACAGTCCCTTCAACATGAAGCAGGTTTCCCAGTGCGGCACAGCAGTGACGACGTGTGAGGGCGTCAGGGTCAGAAAGAAGAGGCACCAATATGGCTGCTGTTCTTCTGGCTTCTTCTAGCCACCTGCTCATTTCCTCCTCGTCTGCATCTGATACTGCTATTGCTACTCCAGTACCACTCGCCAAATCTCCTACAGTCTTACTGTGTGAACATGTATGTTTATTTTGCCTCTCTTTTTCGCCCCACCCTGTTGTGTCTCTGTCCTTTCCACTGGACCTACCTCTTATAAACTCTTCCTTTGCTGCAATGTATCCTAGCCAGTTTCCAACCGCCCTGCAAGCCATACGCCTGACTGATGAGCAAGAATCCTGAAGAGACTTTGCTATCCTTTTAAAAACGTCAGGTTTTAGAGTTTGCATTGTGAGGGGCTCAAACGGATCCAGATTTCCCAAAAGTCTGCATGTGGCAGCTCTGATTGGGTCATAAGTGTGAGCCAGTGCCCTGTGCAGCACTGAGGCCTTCAGGTGGAGCTCAAAACAAGTATGTAGAGAGGAAAATCGAGCCACTCGGGACAACAAATGAAGAAGCTCCACAGCAGACTCCCTCAGCTCTTCCAGCTGAAGCAAGTCAGAGAGCAGAGAGCAGGCAGTTCTGTTAAGTGGAGCTCGGCTTTTGACTTGACCGTTTCCAGATGACATGAAAAATCCACAAGCATCTTCTTTGAGGCGGGAAACAGAGCGCTCGGGGTCACACAGGAGCAAACGGCTCAGCAGGGAGAGAGGCAGCTCCAATAGTGGAGGGGGAAGAGTTTGAATTACCTGCCAAAGCACGAAAAAACAAAATCATCCAGACAGCCTGTCACAGATCAAACAGCTGTCAACAAACAACACAATGCTCTCACAGGAGGCATTAAGATGTACAGCGGTGTGTTTGCCTGATGAGAGCCTGTTGCAAGAGTTATCCTGTGTTGCATCAGAGAAACGTGTTTGTCAGTAAGGTCTCTATCGGAGCATGTAAAGGCCCTGACCTGCAGGAGGCTCGTAACAATACCACAACTGTCATACAGCTGGATAATGGTGGACATGGTGCTTGAAGGCAGGTCCAGGGCGAATGGGAAGCACAACAAGTGGCAGCTCAGTACAGACAGGCAGTCGTGACTCAGATCCGCCTCATGTCTCCCAGGACTGCCTCCAGCAAACAAATGAGGGCTGTGGGGTTTAAAGATATTATTGTTAGCTCCAGGCACGGTAGCTGTGTTGTTCACACAAAACAGTTAGTTAATAATCAGGAAATCCAAACACCAACCAGTCAGTGCCCAGCAGGCGGCCAAGAGTGAAAACACACTTTGATTGGCAGTCAGAAAACAATGGAACACATGAGTACGGATCCTTGGTGAAAACCGTCAGTGCAGTTGACAGAAAGGAGTACAGTCCTGGTTTTGAAAAAAATGAAAATACAGATTTAAAAATCACCAAAAGTTTATTGAATTACACCGTGTTTAATAGTAAATTCATGTTTACCATTCGCTGAACAAAAGTCTGTATCTGTTACTGTCCTTGCCAATGAAGTACCGATTCTCTTCCACAGATCTAGAAAGAGGACTGGATCCAAACCTACTGATCCAGACATGTTCTCCTGCAGGGAAAGGGAAACACAAAATATAAAGAAAAAAAAAAAGACAATTAAATCTCTGGATTCAACCCATCATATTTCACTTTGGAGCTAATGTCTGACCTTTGAGAGTGTGTGCAGGAGTAAAGACAGGAGACCATCACAGCATCCCCAGCCAGAGGGAACAGTGAACCGAGACTGAAAAAGAGAAGCACTCAGTGTCAGATTTCCTTGCATTTAAAATAGTCAATTCATTACCAAATATGTAAGTTTCCTCTCATACATTTCGTACCTCATACGAGTCCAGTAACAGTTTTTTCAGCAAGGAGGTGAGACTGTCCATATGGACTTGGACATCAATATTATATTGTACAAACAAGGACAAAACACAGGCAGCCAGGGGCTGAAGGAGAGATTCAAAGTCATCTGGTTATGCAACCGGCAAAGTAAATGTAAAACCAAAATCAAAGGCAACATTCACAGTATAATGTGTTTATATTAACATCTATGAGTACTTACAGCCAGATGAATGAGGTTTGGTTGACTTAAAATTGTGATGAAGGACTTGGTGAACTCTTCCAGTCTTCAGTAAGAGAGGAGTTTATAAAATGTAATAGTTAAAAAATGACTGCGAAGTGTGGTCATCAGCCACTGAAAAAAATCTGCTTTAAAAAAAAGAGAAAACAGTCAAACCTTTGTTCTGCATCTACCCAGTCACAGTGGTTCTCCCAGTAGATGATAAGTATAACAATCATTTCTTCCAGTGCTGCCACACTCCATGGTTGCTGAGGAGAAAAAAAAGTACCAACAATTATGGATAATGTTGATGGAAACAAACAGTTGAATCTGGTTCCATATGTGAACATTAACCTTGTTGACATTTAGGTTCTCTACTGTATCATGGATAACATTGAAGAGGACATAGGGTAGGTCAAGTTTGCAGCCAATGTGGTATGACTCCTCAAGGTCAGAGGTCAGGATCAGGTTGTGCAAAACTCTCAGTGGTAGTTGAATCTGCCACACCTCTTCAACTTCACCACTTGTTAGCTGATGAAAGGAAAAAAAAGTGGGTAAATGCAAATACCTTTGAGGTGAAATCAATTCATGGTCGGTTAAAAGTTGTGACTGATTACCTGAGCTGTTAATGCCCCAATCTTTGATTGAAGTTGAGGTATAATTGCACTTAGATTTAATGGTGCTTGTTGTTGTCTATTTGGATCAGACTCTTGGACCAGTTTCTGCCAGTACTCCTCCGTGTCAACATCCTGGAAGATAATGAAAGCAATGATGCTGTGGGGTAACCGTTTCTGATAGAAAATGACCACTTTCTTTGTAACCATAATAGTTTGAATGGAGGAGAAAAAATAACCTTTACTATCTACAATCTTCAATGAGAAATTCATAATGTATTTTGAAAAAGCAGTCTGCGCAGTCTAACCTCGCTACATCTCCGTATCAGCCGGGGCCCGACCTCTACAGAGGGGAACTCCTGCTCATAGTCCCTGCTGATCCGACCCCTGCACAGCGAAAAAATAAAATAAAACAGTAGTGAAATACACAAAACTGAACCTATATATTATCCATTTGTTTATGAAATCTGAACTTAAATGAACACCTGGATTTGAATCCCATGCCGGTTTGATTCTCTGCATCGAGCCTTTGTTTGGCTTCTGTCTTTACAGAGTAACTTAAGGTGGCGGAGACATCACAAGATGGGGGTTTGACCCTGGAGTTGATCCTTTCATTTTCCACTAGACCCTTTTTCTTCTGTAACTACAGACAGGATGGATTAAGGCTCCACAGTAAAGCTTAACATGACTAATTCAAGGAAGAAAAATCCATTTAATGCTCACTTTTGCAGAGTCACTGCCAGCTGATCTCCCTCTGTTACCAGCCTTTATCTGTTCCTGGACCTTGTGTATCAACTTGCTTTCTCCATAGATGGGTACTGTCTTTTCTGCTACTTGCTTCAATTTTAACGCCAGCATGTCTGGGCTGGGTTTGACTGTTAGAGGGCTGAAAACAGTTGAGTCTGACAGCACTGCGCCGACACACCAATATGGGGAGAAAAGAGTGAAAATTAAACATTATAGTACCATCAGGTAGCACAGCAGGTACAGGCATATGTAGAAAAAATAACAGCTCTTTAGCACTACCTTGAACACCGTCAGATACAAATGGGTCGTGCAAGAGATCTGGCCATGACAATCGCTTCTGAGGGTCTTTGGTCAGCAAACCTTTCAGGAAATTCTGGAGAGGAAATGTCAAGTAAGCAATGTGGATAGATTGTCACACATCAACACAATTACATGCTATGAATCTATTGGTACAATAAGCAGGCTTGCAGTAATCACTGTGGGTGATCTGGAAACACCCAAACTCTGTTTAAGATATCAGGGACAAACATGATACTCAGGGCTACTTTCAGGCCACACATTAACAGAAAAAAATAAAATTATAATTGAAAATGTTTTTCTTTCAGTCTGGCCAAAATAACTACAGTGCTATCAAATCTTTGCTGTGATCCTACCTTGACTACAACCTTTTGCTCTATCATCCAAAATCTTTAAACTTTTGGCCTGTGTCTTTTGAAACCCTATTCTTGACCCAGAGAAGACTAGACTGTGGCTGCACTTTACCGTACAGGTGGGGCTCATACTGTCAGGCCACTTGACAGGGTCTTTAACTATAAGCTGCACCAGGTGGAAGATGGAGTTAGCGTGGAACGGAGGCGCCCCCGTGTGGAGTTCATACAGGATGCAGCCCAGAGACCAGAGATCAGCAGTGTGGTCATATGGCTTCTCCTCTACCAGTTCAGGAGACATGTACAGAGGGGTTCCCTTGATAGATGTCAGCACCAAAGTGGAGACGCTCATGGCCCGAGCAAACCTACAGATTATTAGATAGATATTATTTAAGTGGAAATTATCAATACAATTATTATTTTTTTTATACAATCAATATTGTCTTACCCAAAGTCACACAGTTTCACCACCCCGCTTTTTCCCAACAGTATGTTCTGGGGTTTCATGTCACGATGGAGGATACGATGGGAATGTAAATAATGCAAAGCTAAGACCAGCTGACAGGCAATCTCACGCACCTAAAAATAGTTATAAAGAGCAAATGATGATATGACAACATGATTATTTTCAAATCATCAAATCAAGTCAAATTTTATTTATATAGTGCCAATTCACAACAGTCGTCATCCCAAGACGCTTTTCAAAGAACAAGAGCAGGTCTAGACCACGCTCATTGTTTGATGAATTATCAAGAACCAATCTAAGATGGGATTTGGCCCATCTCATCTAACATGAGAGGCGAGAAAAAACTTCCTTTTAACAGGCAGAAACCTTGAGCAGGACCACTCATGCTCGACTCATCCAAGCCCCTGCTGGGTTGGGGAGGAAAACAGAGAGATAGGGAGAGAGGGAGAGAGAGCGATTGTGATGTATAGGACATTTCATGAATGATTCATACCTGGCTTTCTGGTAAGTGGCCATCATCTTCAAGTATCTGGAATAACTGTCCCTCTGCATACTCAGTGACAACCACAACCTGTTTCAGACATTAAAAACAGGTAAGAGAACTACTTTATGTCAAAATGTTAACATCAGATAGAGTCTTTTTGGCACACAGACCTCTGTTTCAGTCTCAAAACTGTCATACATCTGAACAATATTCGGATGTTGAAGGTTTCTCATGATCTCAATCTCCCTCTTCAGACTTCGAAGCTCCTTTTCTGAACGACCCGTTTTAGGCATAAACTTCATCGCCACGACCTGGTAAACACAAATGCATTTAAAGTAAAAAAGCAGATAGAAAACCAACTAACCACTCCTGAAAAAGTTACTTACTTGGCCAGTGTGTCTTTTTCTTCCTTTGTAAACTCGACCAAACGAGCCCTCTCCCACCATCTCCAAAACATTGTACGAGTTCATGTTGGCGTCTATCAACAGTAAAAAGAGGAACGGTAAAACATTTTCAAAGGCGGTAAATGACTATTTTACCGTGGTTCTGTGCGAATTATCGAAGTAATCCGACATTCAAAGCTAAAATAGATACGAATGTTATCAACGGTTGAACTGAAGTTTTGTGTTGTTCACTTTCTTTCAAGAGCTACATTAAGCGCCGTTTCACAAAAAAATAACAAAACATAAAATAAAGTTTTGACGTCCAAATGTGAAAGCTCTGTCTAGGTACCCTGAGCTTTTAAATGGTACACAAAAAACGATACATATGATTTTTATTTTCTAAATGTAATCCGTACCGCAAAATTTAAACTGGCACAAAGTTGGACAACAACTACGCAAGGGTCCTTAGCCTAGCAACCACTGGCGCGTACCAGGCAACGGACAACAGACCAAGAGGGACTTGTGAGGAGCAGATGGCGCCACACCCCAGTTTATCCACATATTAACTGTTCAATCAAAACACTTTCATTCAGTCCAAGTAGCCTATGTGTGTAGTAGATGACAAGTTCCCTTTTTAAGTTTAAGTCTAAGTTAGCAGCAGTAGTTTTTGGACAAACTAGATAATGAGGCAAAGGTGGGTAGCCCTTTGTTGTTATTTTCCTTCTTTTCTGTGGGGAATCACAAAGCATCAAAAAATAACGACGGTACAAGTATATATAATAAGTATAATCAACATTTTACGTGTGAAGGGTCTCCCCACAGAGATAAGAGTAGGCTACAGCCTGTTCTTCAAGTATCCACCAGGGGTCGTACGTGATATATATCTCAAACAGTGACCATGCCAGCAAAACTCACATGAACTCATATAGTGATGCTCCTCTGAAGGTCATAACTATGATTTATTTTTTTTTATCTGTGCCATTTCACTTTCCTAATACTCTTTTGAGGTCTCGTAAGTTTTGACTAGGACTGAATATACATTGCTGCCCTATATTACTTCAGTATAATTGCTTGTTTTGTTTGAATGGGGTTTTGGGAAACATCATAGTCTACTGATGCAGCAGTCTGGAATTAACAATTGCATCTTTCAGAGCAGCCAAAAATGAGCATTTCGAAAAGACTCATAAGTTTTGTATGTTAGGCTATAGGCTAAAATGCCAGTACAGTCTGTGCAAACAAAGCCTGAAAATAAGATGTGATGCTTAATTCAAGTGTGTTAGGACATGGTGATAGTCCTTACTGTGTCTTTAGTTTCAAGTGACCGGAGTCTGAGACAGCACACATCCAATGATCGCCTCCAAAGACAGCCCCCTTTAGTGGAGAGACTGAGTTTCCAAATTTCTTACAAAGGGAGAAAATGCACAAAGTCCACAGACACAGAGGGCAGCAGTCGACTCAGCACGCACAGGTGGAGAATGAGAATGGGTCATGACCAGGAGGAGTTTGCACTGAGTGGACTCGCACGACCTTCATTGTTTTAGAGTTCTGCGCTCTGGATTATGCTCTCCATCCTCGTTTGTGACCGTCACCGATTCTCCTGAGCTTGCAGATTCAATATTGTTAATTTCTCTCTTGGTCATTGCATTCTTTATTGAATGCAAACATCGTCATGTTTATCAGAGCAACTTTTCTCCTCTACTTTGTGGTGACACTTTTAGAGTTTGCTCGTTGTATGGACAGTGAACTTTGCTTCCCGATTAGACTGGACAACCATGACAGGAAACATCTTGACAACGAAGTGGATCCTCTCAATGGAAACCGTATACTCAAAATAAAAGCTTTCGAGCAGGAATTGGTGATTGATTTACAGCAGGACTCTAATTTCATCGCCCCCTCCATCTCTGGTCAAGACACATTCAGGATCTCCAACACCGATGCCACGGTTGACCTGAGCCGGTGTTTTTACTCCGGATATGTGAATTCGGACCCATATTCCTATGCTGCTTTGAGTCTCTGTAAGGGTGTACAGGGCGCATTTGGCTTTCAAGAATGGGAATATTTTATCAGTCCGGTCCAAAATGACACCACAAGCGCAGAGAGCGCGCACATCATTCGGCGCAGAACCAGCAACAACCTGAAGCTCAATTCAACCTCTAGGTGCGCAGTGGTCAGCAACATCAGTCTCCAGCTCGAACAGTCACTGGAGAAATACAAGCGACTGAGAGATTACAGCAATGCGACAGAAACATTGCTGAAGAGGATGGGGAGAGCCAAAAGGTTTGCTTCTGTGCCAAGGTACGTGGAGACCCTCGTAGTGGCGGACGAGTCCATGGCGCAATTCCATGGAGATGACCTGAAACATTACCTCCTAACGCTGATGTCAGTGGCAGCGAGGCTGTACAAACACCCCAGTATCGTCAACTCCATCAGCATCACAGTGGTTAAGATCGTGATTATAACCGAGGAGGACAAAGGACTCAAGGTGTCCGGGAACGCAGCCATGACGCTACGAAACTTCTGCACTTGGCAAAAGAAAATGAACAAGAACAACGACAAGCATCCGGACTACTGGGATACGGCAATCCTTTTCACCAGACAGGTAAAAAAAGAAAAAGAAAGAAAGAAATCAAGGTCTTCAGGGTGTGTAAAGTTACTTGGACAACATGGCATTTGCATGCGTAATTACGCACAGAAATGCATGAGTTTACTGTTTTATTCCAATGCGCAACATAATCTCAATATGTTTTAAGGTACTGGCAAAAATATTTAACCTTAGGGAAACATAATAGCTTAGTTTGTGTAAGGTAAATGTGTCTTCGATGTGTGATCGACTTTGTTTATAGAATAATGTAGACTTAACATGACAGATTTCCCCGAAACCTCTCCTGCTGTGTTAATTATTTCACCCTCCAAACGCGCAGTCCACCTCTGAAGAACTACATGAGTAGGCACTTGGTGAGCATCCAGTCCACCAATAACATCACAGCTTGGACTCTGAGGCTGGGCCACTTAAGAAATCATTGAGCTGAACAGAGGGAGTCTTGATTGCACTTCATGGATCCTTTGAGGGCAGTTTATGGACTTGGAACCCACCTCTGAGTTCTCTCTGCACTCCCAAATATTTGGCAGATGACACAAGGTCAGAGATGAAGTCATAGCTCACAATCATTGGTCAGAGTGTAACACGCTCATGCATGAAGTGAGTGCTTTAAAAAGCTGGGCCATTTTGCAATTATTTTAACCTTGAAAACTTGGAAAAAAGTTTGGGAGAGTCTAGAGAGAGAATTACTGTAGAGAGATAATGTTTGCTATTGATCAGCTCCCAGTCAAAAGATCTACTGCAGCAACAACTACAGTCTCAAAACCTTCACCCTTCAAAAATGAAAAGAAAAAAATATATAATAAGGGCCTTTGGTCAGTGTCACTTAAGTAACACCCACAATCATGCCAGATCTCAAACATGTGCTTGTTTTACTTGTAACTTTGCCATATTTAAGAAACCTCCAACCCTCAGGGATGCAACATTCGGAAGTGTCTTGTTTCTTTCAGCCCATCCCATCCCTTCACCAGTGGGTTTTCCAGCCCTACCCACCTCCTTTCCTGCTCCTCATTAAACTAGCCCCTCAAGGAAGAAAAAGAGCGTGTGTGGGGGGGGAGTAAGGGTGGGGGGTGTCTTTGTGCATGTCCAAGAAGTCATTTTCCTCTGTTTCTCTGCCACACCTGCTTGCCCACAGTCCAGAGGGGTAGTTCTGCACAGCTGCAGTCAGCCTGCACTGCTGCATCTTTACAACACATTCTTTACTCATATATATTTTTTCTTCACTCCCTGTTTTGCTGTTGAATGTCAGTGTACTGCTCATCCTGTTTAGGCCATGAATGTCAAACGCAGGTAGTATTCCTTATTAAAGTAACTCATTAATTACGTAAGGGGTTTTTCTAGGTTTGTGGATCAAACACTCAACAGGCAGAGTTGATGTTGAAAACCATAACAGACTTAGGTGACCCCATTCAATAGTACTAGACCTGCAGTCAGACAGTGAGTCATGCAGTTTTAAACTGCTAAATAAAGCAGGGAGACACACGTCACAGTTCTGTCACCACTAGACTTAACATTATTTTGGACTGAATGAAGTAGCCTCGGTGCTTTGGTTGGAGAGCTGACAAACTGTATAAACACTTTCTGTTCTTCAGAGGCAGGTCATGTTAAACCAAAAAGAGAAGTTGTCTGTGACGTCTTCCCTCAAAGGGACAGTCACAGTCAAAGGAAAACAGTCATTTAGAGACAATAAATGGGGAATTTTTGCATATCGATCTGCAGAGTAGCATAAAAACAATTACAAACATGTACATATTGAATCTCATTTATCATTACAAACTTCTGTTGTGGTACAACAGAAGAGTACAACATATAAACAGTCTGTTGCATTCATGTCAAATGGTAGTGGATCAAGTCAGGGAAGGTTAGACATTCAGACAGTGGTCTATCTTGTGCTCATTCTTGATTTGGTGACTCATAATCAGTCTCCTCAGTCAGTGGTGCTGTTCAGGTTTACCTCAGCTTACAGTGGGCATTCAAGACACGTCCATTGTCTACTGTTTATGGCCCACAGAGTAATTTGTTGGTTTTATAAAGACCAACTCAGTGTTGTCCACAGGCAACTGTGGCTCTCTTTAAACTTCTAGCCAGCATGATTTTTTGTGTAAAGAATGTTTATTTAGTTCATTAAGTTGCACAGAAAGCTCATTGTGAACAGCCAATCTGTAAAAGACTAACTGTAAATCTGATGTATTTATATTTCCCCTGGGACAGAGGGGATGGTTTTACTTAAACTCACAGTATATTAGTCTTTCCTTATATAACAGGTAATGGGTTGGGTAAGACAAAGTAGTGCCAAATATTTCCAGGCATTTTAAACTGCACCACTGCTATCAGATCTCATATAACTTCTCATAGTTTTAATTGAAAACTTATTAAGGGAAACTCCTAGCAACATGACAGTTTGAATGTTGCAGCTAAAACACAAACTGTCATAACCTTGATAATATTCACATGCACTAAAGTGTGAACATAAAATGAGGTAGAAATATAATTGGCTGAGATAACTCCCACATTGTTTTTAAATTGCACAAACACATAAAAATGTTAAGATAGATGACAGATGTGGGAAGTAGGTCAAACAAAGAATAAACTCATTGACACGGCTGTTTCGTCTCTCCTGTCTGTCCTATGCTTTTTTATTTTCTGCTCCTAAATGGACCAAACTTTCAGATGTCGTCTGCACATGAGAACATCTGGACTAGATTTGCACTGGCCAACAATTGTGGTTCTGCGGTTTATTCTTGGAATGATTTGTCACAGCACTCGAGGTCTTCACTTGGCACAGAAATTTTCATATACATTCAGTGCAGCACGAGATTTTGGGGCAGTGTGACGTTAAACTGGTGCTGTGCTTTATCTTTTTTAGCTGGCTGCTTTTTTTCTTTAGTTCTGGGTATGTACAGACAGAGCTGTTTATGGGCTAGGCAGATGGGCGGTTCTCTGTGGCGGTGACCACTGATGTTGTCCTGTGATTAGGAGGTTCAGTTCCAAATGGATACTCTCTAAGATTAGGTTTTAAACCCTTGTGGTGGAGAAATGGGTCATCTGGAAACTCTGCTCTGGTTGGTTTTTGGAAATGTTGTGATGGGACAGTGGCCTTACATCACAGAGGACCATGTTCTTAACACTTGGGCTAACTTACAACTAGCTGATTGGCAGTGGAAATCCTTGTTAAGACTAATGACTCTTTTCCTTAGTTAATGTTAAAGTTATGCCCAATGTTTCTCTTCTTATTAATAGCATTGTGGCTCTTGAGTCTTAAACCACAACATAAAAGAGGTCATACATGGCAAGAAACAGGCACCATTGCATGATCAGGCTGGTTTCAAACCAATTTCACACAGTCTGCTATGGAGCTCTGAGTTTAAATTTGATTTCAGAGTAATTTCAATCTTCCAGCTGGACAATCCTCCTAAAAGATCAACTTTCTAGGCCACTTTGTCAGGTATTTAAGAAACGTTCTCATTTCCAAATCACAACAAATAACTTTGTAATCGGAGCACCATTATCACAGAGGTGTGTCTGATTTAGTAACACCTGAAAGTTAAGTGCAGTCATGTGTGTTGCAACAGGTCCAAGTCTACAAAAATGCCCATCAAATTGCAACAAACATAAATTCTCTTGGTTTCCAATTCAATTTTTTTTTAAAAACATAGGCTGTGTAAAAAAAAGGCATACAGCACAACACCCTACCAAAAGTGACACCAATAGTTCTTTCAATTTAACAGATGATAATAATAATGCATTTTATGTATAGGCATCTTTTAAAGCACTCAAGGTTGCCTTGCAAGAGAAGGTTAAAACAAGACAAACAAATAAATAGATGCAACATAGCCAAAATTACAAATTTAGAGGCATGCCAAAATATTTTCACAAGCACACAATAACCTTAAGGATCTTCCACATTATTGGTTTGTTTTCATTTGTGAAAAGGCCATAACAGTAATAATGTGGCTACACTAGCAGTGTCTTTATATCTTTCAGCTAAATACTATATCACCAGGGCAATATGTTAGTGTTTGTTGTGGCAGTGTTTTTATTTGTTTTTTAACACAGAGATAGATGGAGGTATATTATCCCTATATAGATACAGTCAATGTCTTTAACCTGTTCAGATGTATTAATGCAAAATGGCTTTTTTTTTTTTTGCTCAGGATCTGTGTGGAGCCTCCACCTGTGACACTCTGGGCATGGCAGATGTTGGCACTATGTGTGACCCTAAGAGAAGTTGCTCTGTGATTGAAGATGATGGCCTCCCCTCAGCCTTCACCACTGCTCATGAGCTTGGTGAGATCACCTAACATAACATTGTTCAAACATGTAGCACCTTCATGCTTCCTATGGTTTAAGTGTTTATACCTAATCATCAACAGGAGCCGTTTGTATTTGTAAAATGAGTCTGACCTCTTGTTCCCTATTCACAGGACACGTGTTCAACATGCCCCACGACAACGTGAAGGCCTGTGAGGATGTGTTTGGGAAACTCCAGGACAACCACATGATGTCTCCTACTCTGATCCAGATCAACCGCACCAGTCCCTGGTCTCCCTGTAGTGCTGCCATCATCACTGAATTCCTGGACAGCGGGCATGGTGAGTCTTCATGACCTCTGACCCTTGAGTTTGACTGCAAACAGCCTCAAAGTGTGTTTGAGGAGGTGGGAAGGGTGAGTGCTGCTACATATGTGAAAAATTGGTTGTTCAAAGGGTGTTGTGGTAATGGAGGAGCTGTGTCTGAAAAACAGACTTAAATGATGTAGCTTTAAAGACAAGGGTTGTAAAATTAAAATATCTGGGATCATTAAAAAAGGAACCAGACCTCAATGGCTCCTTTTCCCATCACTGTTAGGAGTCCCATAGCTACTTCCATAACACACTTTAATCCCAAAGAAACTGTACCAGGATTGCACTGAGCTGTTTAGGTGCCAGAACTCCATCATTGTTTTCTTCTGTTAAACTTTCCACAAAATACCAAGAGACGTCTTTTATGCAGTCGTTGTAGAGGAGCTTGTCCTTTGACTTTTTCTTGGTTTTGACTTAATTTTCCTGTGCTGTCAGCCTCATGGGTTTTCAATATGACTTCACTCATTTGACACAAACATAAGTAAAAGCCTGATTTAATTTCAGTATCCATCTGTAATTCAAATGTGGCATCTGCCAAACCTTCTTTAGTATGGTGGTCATAGAGAGGACTTAGAAATGCCAAAAAGAGATGTATTTGGTTAGATGCAGTTTGTTTGCCAAGCAGGCCAGACCACAAGACTTGGCCTTGGAGCAATGCTAAACGTTTGTTTTAAAATTGCCTCCACATCTGCCCTAAATTAGAGGGCTTGTTCTGGGGAGAGTCACCACAGCGGTTTGGACAGCAAGGTGTATCTGCCCAGTAATTCCCATGCAGGTTTGCTCCAAATAGACAAAGTCCTTTGCTACTTTCTCAGTTCATTTTAAAGACGGTTTTAAACAAAGGAACGTGAAGTGGAGACAAATAGGAACAATTCTGTCTTGTCAAGGAATGATTTCTTACAATGTTGTAACTTGGTTTCTCCAGGCTGCCTGTCGTAAATCTTTACTTCAAAAAGCAGAGGGAAGAAAAAAACATGTTGCCACATGTTTGAGGCATTTTTCATGAAGGGCCCCTTCCAAAATCATTTGTAACCTGTTCTTTTCTCCACAAACATGATCCCAGCTATTGTTTTTATAATTGCTCTTTGGAGAAAGAAGTGAAAGGAGAAGGGGGAGGCCAGCTGTTTAAGTTCTGGGTGACTTGTTTACATACAATTGTACTATCATTTAATCAGAGCCTTTCTTCTGCCAAATTTTTGGTGAAACGTGAGGAAACTGATTAACTAACGCTTACAGCCCATTCACTGCCTGCCCTATTATTTGCAGTGAAGTCACTGCCACAAATGGCATATTAAACAAATTAAGGGAAACCCTTTTTTCCCAGTTCACATGACTTGTTTTGGATGTGTAAATTCCACATAAGGGCGAGAAGCTGTGTGTATTTTTGAGTGATAAAAACCTCCTCCTGGAAACCGCATCCAACAACATTGATCTTCCAAGCACTCGTCAAACTCCTCCTCTTGTTAGTCTGTTCCCAGAAAGGTTTCTGTGCACCGTTTACCATAGATGTGGTCCCTGCCTTTGACCTTTGAACTGCAAGCTCGCAACAGGTCAAAAGTTGAGAGTGACGTTTTTAAACTTGAAGCTAAAAGTTGAAGATTAATCTGTGGAACTCTGTCTTTGCAAATCATGCAAAAAGAGTGGAATTAAACAAAAACCTGTGGGTTTTGGGGGAAGTTTGAGGAGAGGATGATGTGGGTGGCTGTGTGTGGGGGCTTTTGTTATTGGCTCTGCTTATGTTTGCATGGACAAATCTGTGTGTAGTATAAAGCATGCACTGCATCAAGTTGTGGTTTCCTTCAAAGAGCCAAAATCACAAGGGTAATGGCTGCAAACTACCCCAAACCCACACTACCACCCACCCAAAAAAACAGACACACATTTAAAGAGATGCTTAGAAGAAACATTGGGATAAAACCATAGAAAATACATATTTGTTTATTATTCAGTCATGATTTTTGTTGAAACATTTGAGTGTTCACCATTAACCGCAGTTTTTAAGTGCTTATATCTGGTTTAAAAAAAAGCCTTAAAACCAGAGGATGTGGTAATTCCACAATAAATTGTTTTTTCCTTCTTCTAGGGGAATGTTTGCTGGACCAGCCACAGAAACCTTTGATTCTCCCTGATGTCCTGCCAGGCGCTTCCTACAGTGTTGACCGCCAGTGTGAACTTGCATTCGGTGAAGGCTCCAAACCTTGTCCATTTATGCAGCCACCATGTGGCCGCCTGTGGTGTACAGGGAAATCCAACGGCCACTTGGTGTGCATGACTCGCCATTTCCCTTGGGCTGATGGCACCCAATGTGGTGATGGCCAGGTCTGCGACCGGGGGATATGTTCTGATAAACAGGTCCAAAGTGTGAAGGTGAGAACTGAGGTTTTAGGATCAACAAAAGGAAAGTTCAAGTGGTTATGTATATGTGTGTATATAGATATATTCAAATAAACCATTTCTATGAATATTTTCAGGTGGACGGTCGTTGGGGTAAATGGGGCCCATTTGGTTCCTGCTCGCGCACATGTGGAGGTGGTGTCCAACTTTCTAAAAGAGAATGTAACAACCCAATTCCGTCAAATGGAGGAAAATACTGCCAAGGGGTTCGGGTCAAATACCGCTCCTGCAACCTGAACCACTGCCCTGACACAGGTACGGGTCATTCAAAATAGACAGCTATGTCCAATGACATTTTCCCCCCTGGGGCGTTCCCACCTCTCACCTCCTGTACTCTCCCTCCCTATTTCTCCCCCTGTTCAGGTAAGACTTACCGTGAGGAGCAGTGTGAGAGCAGCGGACGCAGTTTCAACACTAACAGAATTGCCCACTCGGTGGTTTGGGTACCCAAGTACTCCGGAGTGTCCACCAGTGACAGGTGTAAACTCATGTGCAGGGCTAATGGCACCGGCTACTTCTATGTCCTCTCACCCAAGGTAAATAGCAACACCTCGGGTGTTTCCTGAAAATTTTTAAAGACTACCTAAGTGGTTGTCAGACAAAAGCCAGGACGAATCAAGATTCTGTTTTGAGATATGAGGTCAAAATTACAAGTTATTTGTGAGAATGTGAATCTATGTCAGCCAGCTGCCTTGGGACGAAGTGCGAAGTGTGTGGGAAGGAATGAAGGAGAGGCAGAGAACGGTTTAGCTCATTCAGATAACAGGGTGTGGAGTGAGATTTAGCAGCAGAGAAACTGAATCCACACTTCACTCCATCATTGCAGCTTAGGAGGAGTAGATAAGAGTTCTCAGAGGACACAGAGCTCTGAATCACTTAGCAGCTGGGTGTTTAAACCACAGAGTCGTGACTTTTAACCAGAAATGATTCCATAAATCTGTCTTTGTGAGGTGAGGTTAAAATTTTGAGCTGGCACTTGGTTTATTTGGTGTGAGTGTTTAAACGTGACACATCTCAACCCAACCAGCCAAGGCAGATGAATGTCTTTATTTTGGTCACAATGGACTTAGGTTGGTCTCTGTGAATATTTTCACAAGAATAATGGTCATAATGGATGTAAAGAATGACGTCTCTGTCAAGTGTATTAAAACCAAATGAAGTGACCTTATATATTATATACCTTATATGTATTTGAATACCAGCAGGTGAAGCTGGTGGTGATGAAAGCTGCAATTAAGATCATACTGTATCTTCAATCAACCTGGTTTTTACCATTGAACCACCAAAAAAATGACTTCGCTTGCTTGCCTCTTAATTTAGAAAAAGAGGTTGTTCTGTATCGAGAAAAGTTTCCAGTTTTCTGTAGAAAAGACAACATAGTTATAGGGCTGTCAAAGAGAATGTAATATATGTAGGTGAAGCAGTTCAACAATAAGAAATGGCTGTAGGAAGATTTACAGGAACTGCTTTTCAACTGCAAATCATGCTGAATGTTCTTTGTGCCTCTTGCTACTGAAGATTTATGTTGAATGTATGGTTTGACCAGATTGTGGAGCCAATTTTGTTACGTGTGTTCGGATCTACAGGTTGTGGATGGGACTCCATGTTCCCCAGACTCCACGGGAGTGTGTGTCCAAGGGAAGTGCATCAAGGCTGGCTGTGATGGAAAAATTGGCTCTAACAAGAAGTTTGATAAGTGTGGAATCTGCGGCGGTGATAACAAAGGCTGCAAGAAGGTGTCAGGACTCTTCACAAAGCCTGAGTGAGTAAATCCACATCAGGATGGGCTAGACCTTGAAAAATATTACTTGCTATTTTTCTCCCCAACTTTCTAAATGGGATAAAATAATTGGCTGCACTCCACTACTAGCACAAGCTTTTATTCACGGTAATATGTCTTGACTTTCAGGCACGGCTACAACTTTGTGGTCATGTTGCCAGTCGGGGCAGCCAACATAGACATCCGTCAGCGCGGCTACAAGGGAATGATGAGTGATGACAACTACTTGGCGGTAAAGAACAGCGAAGGCCATTACCTGCTTAACGGGAACTACATCGTGTCAGCAGGAGAGAGAGATGTCATTGTAAAGAACAGCCTGCTACGCTACAGTGGTACAGCCGGCCTCTCAGAAACCATCCAGGCCGTGAAGCCCTTGGGAGAAGTCCTGACTGTAGAGGTGCTATGTGCAGGTCAGATGACACCTCCTCGCATCCGCTACTCCTTCTACCTCCCCCGTCAAACCAAAGAAGACAAAACTCTGAAGAAGGATGGGCGTGTAAACTCCCATAACAGTGTACTTGCTGAGGATGGTGTCAAAGAGAGGGATAATGACATCTTGAAGGGGTCTTACAGCAAAGTGAATCCCATTCTAGGCAAATGGATATCTTCAAATTGGGACAGGTGTTCGGTGACCTGTGGCACTGGGATGCAAAGGAGGTTGGTGCAGTGTCTGACACTGGATGGAAAGCCAGGGTTGGACTGTGAGCCCTCTCAAAGACCCCCTGCCACCAGGGTTTGTGGAGACCCATGTCCTGAGTGGCATATTGGACAGTGGTCACCTTGTTCCCGCAGCTGTGGGAAGGGCTTCAAGAGAAGGCCATTAAACTGCAAAACCCAGCATGGGCATCTTCTTCCAAGGGACCACTGCACTGGCTTACGTAAGCCACAGGAGCTGGACTTCTGTAACCTAAGCCCTTGTTAGTAACTTAAACCTACAGACTAAAACCCTTGTTTTATTTTCGATGGACAGAATTGAATGCACCTGAAAATATCAGTCAAACACAAGACTGTGTTTGCCAGGTCCAGGTTTTCCACCTGCATCATGGGAAAACTCCTGAGATGAGTATCTGAAGCAGAGTGACAGCTGGAGGATAAATGCTGGAGGATATTTTTCACCACCATCATCACTCTGATTTCATAAGATGCTGTCAACATAAAAAAAAATCAGAGTCAAATCACATTTTTCCAGATTCTTTCAGCCAGCAGATACAGAATCACCATTTGTGAGCAATTAATTTCGTTTACTCCCAAAATCTGGAACCCATTTCACGTCTCAATATTTAAATTGCAGGTTTGAAAGTTTTGGTTCTGGCTCGCAAAAGACTCCCTATGTCCTTCTTCTGGTAGCAACAAACCAGCACTGATACAGAGAACAGAAGGACAGAACATTCATGGCTCAACACAATGTGCTTTTTGTTTATTTTATTGGTGATTTTTCCAGAGATGTGAGAATATGATCATTTCCCTTTAAATGTCACCTCTGGATGCAGCATTGCTTCCAGGTTTGAGCGCAAAAAAAAAAAAAAAAAAGACATCACTGGTAGAAAACCTCAGATTCCTGGCATTTTGCAGTCTGTGGTTGCTCTTCAAACACTTTCATAACAATGGTGTTTTGCCAAAACCCAGTACTGTATCTAAGGCTGTGCTGGAGACCGATACTGATAATAGCTTTAGTGTCAGAGCAGCTCCGGGGTTTTTAGGCAACCTTTCAAAAGTAAAACTGAGTCAGAAATTAAAAACTCAGATTATTTATTTAAACTGCAGGTGATTTTCGACCCAAAATGATTCTATAAAAGCATTTTTAAATGAAAGTCAGCAGAGCAGATTTTTAGAATGTACAATTTTATCTCTTTTTGGCCCATAAAACTTTCAAAGAGTAAGACTGTTTTAGGCACCAGTCATGGAAACAGTTAAAAGTAGATCTGGAGTCACACTGGTCTCCTTCAGGACAGATATGAGTCAACGAAGAACAACAGGAAACAATGGCCAGTGAGTTTTCTCCGTGTCGGCCTGCTCCATGACTCCATTAGGCTACACCAAACATCGCACAGCTCATCATATAGGCTCACACATGTAGACACCCAAGTGTTCATTTCCTGCCTCATGTGCTCATCATGTCTGATTGCATCCCTCACTTCTTTTATTATCTGACCACAACAATGGTTCTCTCAGTTCATAATTCTCATGCCTGTCTGGCACAGTTATAGCAGATAATTTATTACAAATGAAACAGTGAAGTTGAGAGGGGAGGGACATCTGGCAGGTATTCCGTTACGTTGTACAGACAAGTGTTTTCCTGGACCTCCTTGTTCATGGCCTGGCAGACTGAGCCAAGCTGTTCTTTCTACTCACTTGGTGAAATTCTGTAATCCATTATATACTTGTTTTTCTTAAAGGGGCTACATTGTCCATTCAAACCTCCAACTAAAGGACTGATCCTGTGTTAGTTTGATTATTACTTTCTCTTTTACTTTTTTTTTTTTTTTTACTTTATCAACTTTTGCACTTTGTACAGCAAAAGAAACTTATGACCTGCGTGGGCTGTATTGTATGCTATGTATACATTTATTCAGCTCTGTGCAAAAATACTGTAAATACTTTTTAAATCATTTTTTTACACAGGCATTTGTAGGCCTAATTGTCTTTGACTTAGATATATTTATTCAAAAATAAAGCCATCAGTGAAAAATAACTATGTTGAGTGCATTTCTTTCTATTTCCAAGTAGCTTCAGTGCAGAGGAAATTCACATCCCCATACCAGGGCAGGTAAGCAATCACAACAACACTCAGTGAGAATCGATGGCAGTCTTTGCAGTTAAGGTAGAAGGTAAGACTGGTGTAGTGGTCAAGGATTTATACTGGGATGAAGTCAATATGACAATACAAACTACAAGGGGAAAATAGTGACAACATTTTACTTGACGCCTATCTCTATAACGCTTTATAAATATATGTATAATGTGTTATAATCACAATATAGCACTGTATAACTATAGTTATATACACTCATAAATAATCATAATGCTTTATAGCAATAATCATAACACATTATAAAACATTTTATCATGACGTACCAGGTCCAGTATTATAATGTGCTATAACTGTTAACAACTCACTAACAATGCCCATATAGATAATGTATTATACATATATATATATATATATTTATATATTCATTATGATGTGTTATAATTTGCTTATAAACTTGTATAACTATCATTATAAACACTTATTAATTATCATAAGGCTTTATAACAATAAGCATAACACATTATAATACCTGACCTTGTAAGTCATAAAAAAATGCTGTATAATGTGTTATGATTATTACGATAAAGCATCATGATCATCTATAGGTGTTTATAACTATAGTTATACAGTGCTATAATGTGATAGGCGTCAAGTAAAGTGTTACCAAAATGGTTTTAGTTGTACTGCAGTATTTTAGACTACTTGTGTGAAATCCTATTGGTAGTCATTGTTATTTTACCACTAGAAAGCAAAGGCTGAAAACAACTTAAAACAGGGGGATGAGCAGCTCTGACTGACTCAGAACCCTAAATTCCTGTTATATGTTGGGTTAACCTACAAGCCATAGTAGCTCTCCAAGTAGCTCAGTGAGTGTCCTCTGCAGCATCAAGCTTTCACAGACCACTTTGCTACATACGTATGTCACTTCCTGGTGTGACCAGTCCACAATTTTTCTTAACACATGTAACATAAAACTATATATGTTAAAATCTTCATTCTTTCTTCTTTACCAGCCAGGAATAGTATGACTTTTAGACTTGAATGGGCTGTGCCGGTCCTGGAAGCTTAGGAGAAAGGGTGGTTTTAATATTTTAATGTGTGTAAGGTATATTTAGTTGCCATTAATCACTGCTTTTAAAACCCACAAGTTGTCTTTCTATGTTCATTATTAAATCAAAAAGAACACACACCATTCAAGCCAAACTGAGTCAAGCTGCCAGATTTAAAAATATCACTATGCCACCAAAAAAGAGCTGCCTGTCTCCTCTTAAAATGGAAAAGTTTGTAGAAAGACACAGGATGCCAGATGCCAGGCAACCAGACAGAAGATGACTCAGCAAAAAAGAAAAGAAAAAAGAAAAACACACACATCCATGGAGTACCACCTGAACATCTTAAAATGGGTCAGTATGTGACAGCCTGATGTGGGTCAATCACATATCAAACTGTGAAGTGTTGACACATTAACAAAGATGTTAACTTCGATAACAGTTAATCTGTCAACTCTGTTGGAAATTTACTGAGAGATTAAAATGTCCATGGTTCAGTTTTTGTTTTTGAAAATCATTAACATCTGAGCTTGTCGAATCTCACAGTCCTGTAATGTTGTACCAAGTTCAGTCACATCCAAATCAAATTAGAAATGCACAAACATTGCCAACACCCACTATGTGTTAAAGTTTTTAAATACTATTTAATTCCCAGCCAAAACATATTCAAACTTAAACTTCTCAGCTTTTGGTTGTTGATGCTACTGTTGTGTTTGTCATACCAAAACTTTGTAGCAAGTACCAAACATGAATATGCAAAAATAATGTGGATTTTACATAATGAAAATAGGTTACAATCTATTTAACGTCCTGAAATTATTTCTGGAGGGAACAATGGGGTTACATTGCAAAGAGCCTAAAGTGAACAGTGTGCATCTCAACCACCATGAAAGGGTGGACTTGGAGCAACATAGATGTCATCTTTAACTTTGACTTTAGTCTTTTTATAAAATACCTCGATAAGTAACATATTGAGGACCTTTTAATCATGATAACATGGTATTGTGAAAGCTTGATATTGCTACATCTGTGATCCACTCGCTCTCGCTGAAGTTGTCTGTGATATATGACTCAGAGAAATCAGGGAGGAGTATCGAGAGAGAAAAAGAAATGACAGAAATTAATGTTTAACAAGTTTATTCATGGTTAAAAATATGGAAAAGATCTTAAGAGAGGCTCCTGGGGGAGGGGTGGGCTGATACAGCATCTGGAACCTTGGCAGGGCAGAGTTAAGAAACTTCTGGAGTCAGCACATCGCATTTTCAGAAACTGTCATCCTGTAAAACAAATAAATCCTGACAGAGAGAAAATGCCTCTTTGGCTTAAGTTTTAGCAAAAATCCACATTAAAACTAAATATTACAAAGAGTGCAATAAAACCTGTTCCAGTGAATATGCCATGTTCTCCTTCCTCATATGTCTCTCTTATGTCTGGATGGAAACATCAGGCTTTTGTATCTGCAGCTTCAGTGGGTTTTAAGGTGAGGTGGGTGGCCAGCATGCCTTGCAGCAGCTCACTGTAGCCTGTAAACTCTCCTCCACTGCGCCTTTATTTCATGGTCAACATTTCAGACATGCAACTACAGTTATTTTCCGCCGGTTGCCGTGTACTCATTCTGCCTGTCTGTGTCCATGACCAGTCCAAGAATGCAGCTGTGTGTGAGAAGGTGGAAATTTTGTGATTTTGACACCATGACTCATGCACGTCTGGGGACTTGGAGAAAAAGGTCAGAGTCTAGCACGGGAGGTCTTATGTCAGACATTTTTTAAGGTTTTTCTGAAAGCAGTAATATGTCAAAAAAGCTGAATACGGTGACCTACATATGAGCAGATAGAGAAAACCCTGGAAAAGAGCCAATGGAAATGTTTATTTTTTCCCCTTGTTGCCTCTTGCCTGGGTTTATGGTCATATCTTGTTGCAGGTTTGATGGTTTGAATCGAGCTGGACTCCTTATCAAAAGACTGTTTGGCTTTATCAGCTTTTCTCGAGTGAAGTTTTTGAATTGGAAAAATAAATCTTGCGCACTCAAGTGGCCTATTTTATATTTGAACTTAAATCCAAGGCTTAAGAGTCTCAGTCAGAAAAACAGTTCACAGTTTATGTACCTTAAATGCTTTCAATGCTCCGATAACAACTTTGATAGAAAAAGCAGACCATTTAAAACAAGATATCTTTCATATACGTAAGTCGAGTCTTACATCAGAGATTGCTACAAGACTTACAGTTGTATTCTGAACTTAGATCCTCTGTAGTTAAAAACATTATGCCTCTTTAAGTGTATATATGGAAAAATGTTGGACAAAGGTTAAAACACCTTACCTAAAAGAGAGAAAAAGTACCATTCTTTATCAAACTTTCCTTTGTTAGCATTCATCGCCGTTTTCACGTGTCTGTCCTCTCTGATTCTGGTCTGCTTTGCTGCAGTATTTGTAATTTTGTGATTTCCCCTGTATAGATATTCTCTAAACCTCAAAGGAAAACCCTCTAAATAAAGCGGTAAAGGTAATTTGGCTTGACTGATGTCTTGTTTACAACCTATCTGATCATTTAACTGCTTTTGTTTGTTCAAAATGTTCCCAGACCTCAGAAATTGCTTTGGTAAGTACTATGTTATTGTTTATAGCCAGAACTACGTAAATAAGACCCAAGTTTTATGAAAGTAGAACTATTATTTCTTCTTTATCCTGGGCCCAGAACAAATCTCACCAATAAACAAATAGACATTGGTTGAGTGTTCTTGATTTTATCTCTGAAAAACGAAGACCCTCTTCATTCCTCACCGCTGCAAGAGATTAAAAGTAAACCACAGACTTAACTAGCAGGGAGAGCCAGCAGTGCATCACTGCAATACCACTAAAAAAGCAGCATAACTCCACATTCTTTCACTGCTTTTATGAAGTCCCCCTACCAAGAGAAGGCCTACCCCTAATTACTTGAACCACCAAATGGTTCCAGTTAGCAATTAGGACAGAGGAGCCCAGTAATATCTCATGTATGTGGTGTCTTGTGTCTGATATGCAGCAGATTTTGTCTTCGCAGTGTTTGCTGAGTCAGATGGACTGCATGCCACAGCCCATTTTAAAGATATCCACACAAAGAGAAGTGCTTTGTACACAGACCATGTGATTCTGAATGGGTACACGGACAGGCTCAATAAACAAAAGCTCATTAATGCTCATCTCTGAGGAGGTCTGCTGACTGCAGCATGAACAAGATCCGTCTGAAAAACAACTGTGATGACAGATCCACAGCTGTCTGCTGCTTATGGAAAGTATTCCAATGATTCAGCTAAAGTTGGCTGATTTAAACACCATGCATCTTGATCTGAAGCGTTATGGTTTAATAAAGGGGTTTTTGCTTTGTCAGCCACCAAACACAAGTCGAAATGAATTTTTCAAATGCATATTTTGGTCCTCTGTGGCCTTGTTGACCTTGTGTTTTACTAAAAAAGAAAAAAATAATGATACCAGTTTCATGTTTCTGGTCGTAAAGATTTGAAACAGTTAGCTCTTATGTCCAAAGGTCACTTGTTTCTGTAAATGACTGGTCTGCTGTTGTCCCATTGACTTTGGGGCAAAATTTTCACAAAGTTCTTTCATGACTTACATCTCAAAAAACTCATGTACAATTGGGAACAGCAATGGCACACCAATCCTGATCAAACTGCACGTTTTAAAATATAATTTGTCCTACAACTCTTCAAGCTGGAGGACTAGTCATGAATAAAAATTTGCCCTGAAGAGGAATGAGAGAACTTTTAGCGTTAATCAAATTGCTCTCAAAGTGATTAATTGATGCAGAGATATCAGAGCAGTCCCTGATTAGTGAATTGATCTCAGCTGTGGGCCTGGCCTGAGGCTCAGAGGTTGCCATGGCAACTTGGGTTGGTTA